ATATTCTTATAAAAATAAAAATTGTACACACCCTATATATAGTTTTTTTTGTAGCACATTTTATTTCTGTTTTGAATAATTTTTTTTTATAAAATAAAATATAATAAAAAAAAAAGAAATAATTATGGTTCCTTTATTAAAGCTGATCTCCGGATACTTCTTTTATATATATATATATATATGTATATATATATAAACAGATGAGAAACAGAGGAGCAAAAGATATATTTATATACACGATTTCCAATTGAATCCTTTTTTCCTCTATCATTTTATTGTTAATGATTTCATTTATTTTCAAGCCCTATACAGTTTAAAAACTATCTGTAAAAACAAAGCAAGTAAACTGTCAGAAACAGCAGCAGAAGCAACAACAAAAATGTAGGTGTAAAATATAAGGTTCATTCCACACAAGAAGAAAATAACCAAAAAATAATAATTCAAGGTTAATTCTGGGGGGGGGGGGGGGGGTGAATATTATTCTGTTTCATTTATTCATACATATATATATATATATATATAATTTTCACTTTATTTTTGGTTTTGGTTGTTTGTTTTGGTCTGTTCCTTATAAGTATTGGTATTATCATTAAAAATTGTTCTTTTTTGGTCCGGTTTTCCGAATCCAGGAAATTGGATACAGTTATTTTTTATTATTTCAGGCTTAGAAGAAAAAACTAGATGTTATATATACATACACACCATACCAAAGTGCACTACAGATACAGTACAAGTAATGAGTAGTGTTAAAATGATGATGACTTGATTAATTTACCAAACCAAATAATTTAAATCATAAAGTGCCTCTCTTTCTGTGTGTGTGTGTGTTTCAAAATTCATGCAAATGGTTGTTAGAGGCAACAGTCCGAGCATTTAGTGATGTATTTTAGGTTTCTTTGTTTTTTTTTTAACAAACCACCTGAATTCACAGGACTCAACCAATAGAAAATAAACTTATAGTCCCTGCATAGATTTGCCAAGTAAGTAGATATCCATACATTCTGCTTGTAAAATGTCTAATTTAGTAAGCAAATAGTGCCATGTTGATTGTGTTTTATCTGACTGATTGACTGACTGACTTCCTGTCTGTATACATTTAAATATAAACAAAACAGTAAAGAAAACAAAAAGAAGAAGAAAAATAAAAAGAAAACATCACAAAGTTACATGTTATAAAAATAATAAAGGATAAGAATAAGAAGAAAACTAAAGGGAACATATGTGGTCTCATCTCGACCAAGAAAGAAAGAGTAACAGAAATCAAATCAAACCAAAGAAGATAGCTAGTTTTACATGGTTGTCCAACCACCAATATCATAGTTGGCTTCAATCTGTCTAGCAATATAGACAGGAATAGTATGCTGTAACCACAATTTACGAATCTCAGAATAGCGCTTGGTATTCAAGTATTGAGGTTTACCGCGTCTAAATTACATAAGAATATTTCGGTAAGTCGACTTGTTCTTATTTGACCATTCATTCCATTCAGTTATTCTTACCTCAGTCCTTGGTCAACCTCACCATGAGAATCAAGATACGGGGCATCAATAAACCATCCATTGCCATTGTGCAAAAGAATCAACACACATCTCTTGACAGACAAAAATACACCAATATCGCCTCCACATCTAAAATATAAATAAATTAATCATAAATATCAACACTCATATAGCTCTACAGTTATCTTAATAGTAATAGTAATATAAATTAGGTACTTACTCTAGAGTGTGTAAATTACATTCACCTTCCTCCTCTTCAGAACAGCAGAAACTCTGTGCGCACACAAACGTTCCACAGAACAGACACAAGGCAGGATCGGTAGGGACCGTGCCACACTTATTGCAAACACGTCGCATACTCTCATCAAATAGCTGATCCAATCTACGAGGAAGTGCTACAAGGTACAACGGGGTTGGCATGTCAAGTCGAACCATCGCAGGAAGTGCTGGTGCATTTTCCGAACTTCCGACCTCAATCTCCCATCGACGCTGCGATTCCTTGATGTGTTGCTTGCACCACGCTGAAATCAAATGCTCATGTTCTGGTGTACGCTGAAGCATGGTCTCAAAGTTTGGTAGCTTGAGAATATCCAACAGGCGACTCAGTTCAGATCGACGGTGTCCAGTGTTACCACTATTACCAGCAAAATCATCATCATCATCACTCAAAGGAGGTACAATCAATCCAAACCGAACAATCATCAGAACCAACGCCCGACGAAGGAACGGCAAAATAAATCCTTGGAGGTGGCTGCAGAACCGCTCCTGACCATAGTTTCTGAACAGCAATGCCGCATCATCACTACTGTACTGCATCTTCTCCATAACTGAAAATGCAAACTCACTAGCAGCCACGCAATCCTCCTGAGATACATTGACCGGTATCTTTCCTCTAGTGTTTCCTTCGCCATCTAGAACGTTCTGATAGTCTAGTGAATCCGTGCACATCTGATCGTGCTGGTTTCTGAGAAGCGCAATCGTAACCTTTGTAATCTCGGCGAGGAACAAGGTACGCACAAATGGATAGATGTCAGATTTAGTAGTAGAAGCCATGTGCAACGAAAGCTCAGAAAGAATCATAAACGGATCGTCTTCCAGCAGTGGTGTATTGTCATAGATAATAATCTTTTCCTGATTGGGCCCAATCACATTGGCCAAGTCATCCAGACTGATGTTAGGGAAAATCTGTCGAAGGCGACCGAGAGCCAGAACATGGATCTTCATCATAGTAGGACTGAGCCCAGGGCTGATACTTGAAGAAGTAATGCTAGAGTCCTGTTGGGACATCAGACTCGTGTATGCAATTACCGTGTCGCTCAAAACACGCAGCAAAATTTGGGTCTGCGATGGTATCTGATCAAACAAGGTTCCTGTAGGTATAACCTCTGGATTGTCTTGGGTTTTTGGCTTAGCAGACCCACGCGCAGCTATCTCAACTCCCATAATCGTGTATCCTAACATTGCCCACAGCAGATCAACATTCTTGATTGGCGTCGACATCTCCTTAATAATCTCATCACCAGCTATCTCGCGAAACGTAATTGTTGTCACATCAAACAGTCGGCCATAAGATTTCTTGATTGCAGGAATCGACGATATTGCTGAAAGGTAGAGCACATCTTCATCAAATACTCCAAGACGTCCTTCTGTAGGAGAGTGGGCCGTGGTACGGTCAGAGTAATGCATCACCGAATCGTCCTGTTGCATCGTCAAGGATGGCTCGAGTGACAATGAAGACGGGAATCCTGTCGGGCGTCTGCTTATCCAGTCATCACTCACCACAGCCTGCCCACCTGGTGTGGTCCGCAAAGAAGGGACCCAGGTAGCAATGGCGTCCTTGAGTTTGCTGGCCCCACTGCTTCTACGTCTCGGCCCAAAGTTGGCTCGATGAGGACCAAGCATCTGCTTCATTTTTTCTGCTGCTGATTGAACGCCAGTCTGTAAGAACTTTGTGTACGAAGCATTGTCTGTCTTGACCAGCACACCCGGGTATGATTCCTTTTTGCCCTTTGTAAATACCGGAAAGAGGGTGTTTCCGAGAGATTTGCAGAGTGGGCACATAAACTCTTTACGAGATCTGTTTTCTGGGTGGTTACGTGTCATCTGGGCCACATGACGAGAATCAATGGAGGAGCAGTAGGCCTCAAAACATTTGATGTGCATCAAGTGCCCGCAGGTAGATGTGTAAAGTCCGGTCTTGTGGTTCTGTGCTGGGAATCCGACTACGCCATTGTGGTTTTCAGGCAAAATCTGACGGTCTGGCCATTCGACATCCAAACTAGGCCCCATGGTTTGAATATCCTCAAACAGCTCTGTACTGTCCATCGGAGCCTCACGAAGGATATTCGAGGCCTGGATTAGGCCAAGGATACCATAAGGAGGCGATCGTTCGTTGACATCTTCCTGGCACAAGATACATGTACCAGACGGATAAGAGCAGAACCGATGGATTTCATCTGGGTTTTCAGTAGAAGCGTCTTCAAGACCATCGCCTTCCTCAGCATCATCAAGCTCATCTTCATACAGTCCTTCGTTCTTTTCCATAAACTGCGACTGGGCTTGGGCAAACTGGGCCATAATCTTCATCTGACGTTCTTTTGCCGCAGCTTTTTTCTTCTCTATGTCAGATAATTCGACAACAGAACCTTCGGCAGCTTCTTCCTTTTGTTGCAGACGAGCAAGACGACTGTACTTCCAGGCATTGACGATCTCGCTTGTCTTTTTACAGCCACAGTTCTCAAGACGGTCAAAGATCCAGTCAAAGCGACCATGTACTTCGCTGTACAGCTCTTCATCCCTGAATATAGTCATGACCTCAAACAAGGTGTGTTCCTGCGAGTGACTTGCGCTGGTTAATGGGTAGCTTGTTTCGCACACATAGCGATAGAACCCGTCGCACTCTTCAGCTTCGACACTGTTCTTGTCTGTAAGAGCCAGCAGAATGAGATGAAGTGTCTGGTCGAGGATGGTGTCGCTCTTGTGGTTCTTGCTCATTCGTACGTTCCACAAAGCATATGTGATCATCTGGTTAAAGACGGGTGTGTGTAAGAACGCACCGATGTACTTGAATGGCCCAGAGCCAATGAAATCTGTCTTTGGGAGGATAAAGAACTCTTCTTCTGGTTTCTTGGGGTTTGCCTTTTTCCAGCGGTTCTTTAGAACAGCCTCGGCTTCTTCTCGGTTGTTGCGGCTGTAGTGCCAGAAGTAAGTGTCGACTTCAGAGAACCACTCTGTCTGGAGTTCATAGCGTCCATGATCATTCACACCCATCGGGGACTTGAAGTTTGCAACCGAAGACAAGATGTGATCAAAGTCTGGATGTTCGCTTAGTCGTTCGGGAATACGCTTGGTCAATTCTGAGTAAGCAGCCGGTTCAAGGCAGAGATTATGGATAATCTCACGGCGGATCTTGCCTTGAATAGACATGCCTGTTACATTGGCTCTCTCGCAGACACAGACCACAAGTAAGTTGAGGATCTCTTCGGCCATAAACACTGTTTGAGAAGGATCGTAGTTCTCGTGCTTGGTGGTACCCATGAACCAGGACACGAGGTCAAAACGATCCATAAGAGTTGCTAGGAAGCGACTAGGGTCTATGGTGACAAATCCAAGTTGAAGAAGGAATACATCGGCGTCATATGTGTTCTCACGCAACGAAATGTCTCGATAATGATGAGCCTAATATTTTACGTGTATGTGTATTATTTTTTAAAGTATTAGAAAATCGATGGAAAATTTTGATTTTTTTTTAAAAAAAAGTACTTGCCTGGTTTCTGATTCCATAACCGTTTCGTACCCACACACCTGCTCTGATCTGTGACGAAAAGACAACTGTGCGAATGGGGAAGTCAAGAATGGGTAACAAGACATCGGTTGTGTCATTTCCATCTTCAAATACAGTGTTGTACAAAGTAATAACCTGGAGGAAACCACCTGTCCAGCCTGCTTCTCTCAAGACGTCATCACTCAAAAGCGATGCATACTCCAAAAGACCAGCCAGCAACCAGTGCAAAGGATGGTGGAAAGAAACTGGATCTTTGCAGACAGAATACTTGATGACCGCAAAGGGTGGCATGTGGGGTAACAAAATCTCATGGAAAACCTGTTTTGCAGTGCCACTAATACTGGGCTGCGAGTTGGGCTGTTTTGATGATGGCTCCATCGGATCGTCACTGTCGTCTGCTCTCCACTCCTCAATTTGTTTTAGGACTCGTGTTATGGCATGCACGAGTGCTCTGGCTGTGTCAACTTTTTCTTGGAGAGTATTGGTCGGAAGCATTGAAAAGCAGTCTGAGAACTGGCGGCAACATTTGGCGATCTGAAGAGTTACATTAAATGCATTAACCCATATTTCAGACTCGTACTCCACATGAGTGTCTTTCTGGCAGGTTTGGGCATTCATTCCCTGGAATAGGCTGATGAGATCAAGGTATTGGCGCAGGTATATGGGATCCATAGCAAGAACTTGCTTGATCATGTCCACATTCATAATGTAGCGCAAGTCATGGAAGGCGTTGAAATAGCGTCTGGTTCTAAATGCACGAGATTCGCAGTTGATTCTTGTAGGAAGGCGTAGTCTCTGAGATGGAAGGAGAAGTCGCAAGTGATCTGTCAAGAAAAATGCAGCGAGGGTGGAGCATATGATTCCAAAGAAGTAATATTCGTTCACAAGTAAGTCCGAAACTGTTGGTACGGTTAGGAGTTGGACAGAGAATAATATTATAGAATTTTCAGGTTCACGATCTTTGAGTAAGAAAGATTCTGCCAAACGAGCATAATTTCTGGCAAGTCTTCTTCCTGTATATATGTGTGTATGATTTTTTTTAGAATACAAAAAATTAGTCAAATGCCACATTTCTCAAACATGCCTTATGAAAGGCTTCAATTATATTTACCAAGAACCTTTTTGTAAACTGTACTTGAAGCAAGGGTTGAAATATACAGCTCTCTCAGTGATATACGAACTTCTTTCCATAGTTTGAGGTCATAGAGCATCAAATAATCCAGTCTCAACTTTTCTTCAAATTCTTTTTGCATATGTAATCCAAGACGAACTGCATCTTTTGAGTCACGGATGACTCTTTTGCCTGCCGCAGAATCGCTCAACGGTTTTTTGGCAGTACCCTTTGCATCAAGCATATCGCCGTACCTTTCTTCCTCTTCTTTAAGCTGCTGATATTCTTTGACCATCGCAGCTGGTTCCCAGTCGATACTTGCTACATCGCACTGATTTCTGTAGATAATCGGACTTGTGTCGAGAGATTGAGGTGAGTTTATTTTGATTGGTCGAGATGATGAGCGGCTGTCAGGATCAAACATTTCCACATCCTCCGTCTCGCTCGTTTGACCAATTCCTATTTCTCCTCTTTCGTGTTTTATCTCGTCTTCGTCTTCTTCTGCTTCCGAGGAGGCTCTTTCGTTCCTTGTTTCAGTAGTCAGCAGGGCTAGTGGGAGACGCAATTCCCACTCTCCGCACAATGTCTCGCACAGCACACTGCGGATAACGCCATCGCCGTACTCGATACTATTAAAGAAACGTGTCTGTCCATTGACTAGTTCCTTTAGCCAATCTACAAGCAAACCACACACTTGTTCTCTGAATGTTTCTTGGGCAGGGCGGATTGTTACGCCAAAATTTATTGCTGCCAGGGGAGCAGCCACTTTACGCAGCTCATCAATATTGTGGGATGTAGCGATGATTTCTCGACCCTGAATAATACTACTTGCTTAGTAAGAGTTTTTTTTAAAAAAAAACAAAATAGAATACAATACAATTCCTCTTTTCTTTTTTCTTAAAGAAAAAAAAGAAGGGTGGGGAAGTTGATACCTTACATGAACATGAATCACGTCTATAATGTGTTTGGCTTTTTCCCAATCACATCCAGTAGCTGATTGGATGCACTCTAATACGTGTGAAAATGCATGGGCTTCATCGTTCCACGCAATACAGGCATAGAGTTGATTATCCTCGTCGTCTTCTTCATCTTCTTCATTTTCAGTCTTTGAGTGTGATCCAATACTACCACCTATTTTTGTGTGCAGATCAGACATATCTCCACTGCATTTGTCCATATCTACATCTACATCTTCTTCTTCTATGCAACCGGTAGCGCCGCTTGAGGGTTCTGTTTCCATCAGATTGTCGGTATTTGATCTTCCGACCGGGTTTTTTAAATAATGGGATGGAATGCCAATGTGCTGTAATACGTTACGCTGACGTCTGCTCTCTTTGATCAGGGCTTCTGTAGATGAAGGCAGGGCGACCTCTTCAGGAGCAAGAGCAAAACAGTCAAGCATAAAGTCGAGAACGGTGGTGAATGTCTGTTGCATGTGTTTTATTACTTCAGGTGGGACAAACGCTCTGCCAGACGATATTTCTGCCACAGCAGCTGCAGCCGCGGCAGCATCTGGAGAGTGGATTCTGCATTGCAGAGGTGTCTTCCAGGCTTCTGGGTCACCGCAATCGCAACATCCACCGGAGCCAGGACTGACTGAGAAAAGAACGTCATGACCATCATGGTCTGTAGCATGGAAACATTGTGAGCAAAAGACGCAAGTGTCATCCAGACCGCAGTTCCTGAAAATAGAATACTGCTTTGAATGGGAGATTCTCAAGTATGGATTGTAATTATAGTTGTACTTGTAGCTTTTTATTATACTTTACTGCTGAAGATGCTGATTCTGATGATGTAGTTGGTTTAATTTACCTGCAACGATAGACAGGTTCTCCTTTACGAAAAACATGACCGCATTGTCGACCGCGTTGACTTGACATGTCTTGGGGTGGTAGGACACTGTTTGTATGCCATGCCGAGCTGTGTACAGAGTTTGGTTCTTTTCCATCTTTTTGTAATGATTGTCTCTTGGATGCAGCTTCTAGACTTTCTTTTGTGGCAAAGTAGTATTGCTGTCTGATATTTTCGTCTCCATTCCAGAGCGCTTCGTACAATCGTTCAATAATGTCATGTTTTGCGTCCTGAGAAAGCACACAATTATAGAGTAGAGGTGTCTCCCAGAGATAATCTGCTAATTTAGCAGAACTGCTGGATGGTTTAGAAGATGATGCCATTAGCAAAGAAGGGGAGGAAGGAGGGGGGAGAAAGAGGGAGAGAGGGGAGGAGTTGGGGGGGGGGGGGGGGGGGGAGAGGAAAAGTAGCGGAGTGAATCTATAATACGCCAACCCACTTATTCTCTTTGAGCAGAAAAATAAAAAGCAAATGAATGAAGCGGTCTTTATTGACGCGTCATCTAAAATACAGTAGCTCCTCCCCCCAAAGTTCATTTTTCAATTTACCAAATTAGCTTTAATCTTATTGAAAGCCTAATTTGCTTAATGGCTGCTCATCAGAGTGGTTCTTTATTAAAGCATTTTTTTTTAAAAAAATCTCAACAGAATTCTAAGCAATGTTATGAAATATCTCTATTGACGCTTTCATTAGCCTCACTTATTCTGGTGTTCAGTAACAGTTCTAGCAAACCTTGGGTGCAAAGAAGGGGATTTGGATCCAAGTTAATGTATTATATAACAACCTGTCCTCCAGCCTGGCCACTGCCATCTGTCGTTTTCACTTCTTTTTCTTTTGAACTCTATAGCTCACATTCCTCTTGGGCAAGGCGGCTGCATGGTTATTGAAAAATATGTTGAATGTCGACTTTGCTCTAATATTCTGTAAAATAAATTAATATTAGTTAAAATTGCTGCCAAAGACAAAGTGTGCTAGCCTTGTTATAAGCGACCAAACAGTTGGCCATGGTATATGTAACCGATCCAGCAATAATATGCTTCTTTATGGTTTCCGCAACCCACTATGCTTTTGTTAGATGCACAACGCCTTGCAACTCCGGGGTCTTTGGGAATCAAGCCAACTAAATAGTTGGTGCTAGTCCATGTTCTAAATGAGTATTGATTACTGCTGAATCTGAGAGTATGACTGAAGGATAAATTATTTATCCTCAGCTATTCCAGTCAAACGGATCTGTCTTTATGATATTATTCTGTGCACAGATCATTATTCACATAATTGAATGTTATTTATTTTTATCAATATCATCTAGAATACACGATTACACATATTCTATCTGCAGATTTCTCTCACTGTAGTAATACTTCATTGATAGACTACAAATATGTTTAATCACAATCCAGAAAAGTTACCTGTATCTGGGTTAGAATATTAAATACAACCGATAACATAAATGCTCTTCTTTACCCAAACTCTATTGCTGATCTGACTGGAGAAGAATCAGATCAACAGGACTTTCCAAAAGCCTAATACTCCTGGAAGATGATTCATATTAATAATTATCACTTTAGCACATACTGTAACATAAATAAGAAAAAACGTATAAGCACCAGTAGTTAATTCTGTGTAAAGCGAATCGAATTTTATAATCTTTTTTGAAATAAAAAACAACCTACACAAGTTCTTGCGAATATTTTCTAGCGTCTTTTTTCTGTTTTACAACCCCACACAGCACCTCAATTACTTGGCTCCGTAGTAGTCCAGAGAACTATAGGTTAATGTTAGAAATAAAAGGATGTATTTCATAATGTATATGTATTTTTACCTTCCAAACGAAGCCTTTTCTTTGTCTGATGGTTAAAGGTCTTTTGAAAATGATTTCCTGCTGTGGGAGGGAAAATTGGATGCACTAGAAAAGAAGTAAAGGAAAGAGAGGTGTCCGCTGAATGGTACTTTATAAAATATTCAAATGGACGTTTTCAAATGACCGTATGAGTTACATATTGTCAATGTTTTGTACAAATGCGTAAAACATTACCAGACCTTGCCAGACAAAAATAATACTTTTTTCTCTTCTTATAGTATACATTAACTAATTCAAAAGTCTCTTCATACATCTAAGAAAACAAAACAAAAAAGCTGATTACAATAACAGAAAATAGTCTTCTAGCTCAATCTTAGTGTTCCTTAAGTCCGAGTTCTCACATTTAACGTCATCTCTAGTGAGCATTAGAATAGAGCAAATAGGCGCCACAGCTTCTTGAAACTGTATGTGGAGTAACGAAGTGATGAAAAATTATGAAAGGCGTACATTTTACTTATCTGTGTATGTTCAACTAAGGATGAGAACTGAACCTAACATTAATATAACTAGTAAAAGAGCAAAAAAAAACACACACAGACACAAAAGCTATCTGACGTACTTTTCCTAGTGATAATGTCTTTAAAGATCTGGATTTTATCAAATTCAACTTATAAAAGTAGAGGAAGAACAAAAACTTGAACCATGGACTATTTGTCACGCCAATTGGACCCTGCCTGCAGCGATGTTCTCATGACTTCCTTCTACTAATCGAATAATAACCAGATCTATGGTATGAGAAAAACTCAGGCGACTGATATCCTCTGATCTCAAGGTTGCCTTGTGGTCTTTTTTGAGGTCTTCGAGCAAGCTCAAAGTTTCCCCACACGCACCCTATTTTTTAAAGTATTTTAATCCTTAAAGTTCTTAACTCCTAAATCGTATTTTTTTTGTTTCATTTGATTTACAGCAAGTGTTTTGTAAAAACAGATGAATGGCTGTAGCTTTATATATTTTTGTGAAAATATTGCTGGAACCTCAACTCTTTGTTCCTGGCTCACTATATAAGCCCTAGGGGCCTTTACTGACATTGACCAATGTCTAATAGCATTGTCTACATAACATACGAGCACATTCGAAGAACGCATTTAAGTATAGCTTTGTTCAAGTTAGCTACTAACCGCGCGTATGCAGAAAATTTACTTTGAGCTTTGAAAAAACACCATGAGAACCTTATTATAAAGCTAGGAAAGTGTCTTAATGATGGTCAACATTCCATACATAGTTTTGTAGTGGTAAAAACTTGTCTTCATTTTGTCATTGGAATTGAACCCAGAAGGTACTTCTGTCAAGGGTATCTCAAATGCAGAGGACTCATCGATTTTTATAATGCTGTCAGCATTATATTTTAGTCTTCCATCATCGATTCTCTTTTGTTTTAGCTGGCTCGTCATATATTCAAGTTCAATTTATCCTAGTAGGAAAGAAATATTGTGATGGTGACTGTGCGGGTACTTTACAGAGAACTTGATACAACTGTCAAAAAGAAATGATTTATGGCAGGATTCAAACTTTCTGATAATCTCAAGACCATTGCCGTCATATATGTGGTCCGTTTTAAAAAGAAATGAGTCTTATATTCCAGTCTTTACTGCTTCTACTTGCAAGATTATACAGATATCAACGAAAAGTTGTTTTTTTTCTGCTATAACAGTGAGCTCATTCAATTCAGTACAATCAAGAATATCTGTACTTGTCTGTATTTCATTATTGCTGGTCTATTTCAATAATAGTAATACTAGCCTTTTTGTTTTAGTATCTAGTTCGATTGCTAAAGTTAACATACAAAGTCAAATATAATTATACACATTTGGATAAAAGAGTATTTTATCTTTTATGGTATTATCGATGGCACTTCTTGACTAATTCTGGTACATAGCTCAAGAGGTAAATACTCTCTTCATCTAACCAGCTTTCCGCACTAAATCACATCATGCTTCTTTGGGCCAAATTATTAAAATAATAAGTACGAATTCATTTTTTTACACATTGTAATGTATACCTCAGGTTCATATAGTACAGCCTTTTGAGGAGCGTCTTCCATTCATCTTGCTTATTATATTCTGCATTATCAGCCTGGATGTTGTCATATGTCGTCTCCACTCCTTTTTCTTTTGACCTCTTTAGCTCACATTATCTTTGGACAAAGCGGCTGTATAATATCAAAAAATATGTTGAATGCCGACTTTGCTCTAATATTCTATAAGCGAATTGACACTAGGTAAAATAACTATCAAAGTCAAAGTGTACTAATCTTGTTATAAGCGGCGAAACAGCTGGCCATGGTATATCCGACTGGTCCAGCAATAATATGTTTCTTCGTGGACTTTGCAACCATCTATGATTCTGTTCGATTCACAGCGCCTTGTAACTCCAGGGTCTTTGGCAACCAAATCAAACGAATAATCTGTAATAGTTTAGAAATCTAAAAGTCGAAATTAAAAGCAAAAATGAACAAAGTGTATTTCATAATATGTATCTACTTTAACTTTCAATTAAAGCTTTTGTTTTGTTTTATCTTGTTTTGCTTGATGGTCAAAGGTCTTTTGAAAATGTTGCCATGAGAAGTAATTCTGATTGCAATGGAGAAAGAATACAACAAACTTCACCTTCCCCTAAAATGCGTTTCCATCTTATACAACTCACTTTGAACTCCGACTAAAACCCACCTTTCTTATAGCTCAAAATTTACTGGAATTGTTACTGAACTTTATATGATGTTCGCTTCTAAAACGTTAGATGAGATTAACAAGTTGGCTTAATTGAAAAAAAAATATGTAGCCGAAGACAATGTGGCCATTAAGCAATTTTAGGCTCTCAATAACATTAAAGCTAATTTTAATGATAACAAAAACGAACTTTGGGTGATGTTAAAGCGAATTTTAGTCGGAGACCAAAGTGAATTTGATAAAATTGAAAAACGAACTTTGGTGGGGGGGGAGTCACTATAAAACGTACAATAAGAGGGACAAGAGAGGGGAAGGGTATAGTCTGCGGTCACAAAGACATTTAAGACAAAGAAAGAAAGTAAAAAAAAAGGGGGGTGTAAAATAAATGATTTATGTAAATTGTAACAGAGGGGGGAATAGTGAGATGCACACATTAAATCAAGAGATGAAAGGGTCATTACAAAGTGATGTTCGGATGGAGGGATTGTGTACAAGTGTATTGATGTTGTAGATGGTTACTGAAATGTTGGGTTGTTGAGTTTGGAGTGGCGTGTGGTTATAAGCTAGAGAAAGAGAGAGATAGTGTGTGTGTATGTGTGTGTGTGTGTGGGAGAATATGAAATTGTGTAAGTATATGATTGCTGGTGCTGTTGCTGTTGTTATGGTGGTGGTGGTAGTAGTGGTAGTGGTGGTGGTTGTTGCATATCATGAATCTTTAAATGGGCTATAGGAAGAGTTATCCATACTGACAAGAATCGCTGCAGCTTCTAACATTTGTACTTGTTGATGTTTGGTTAAAAGAAATTTACTGGTGAGCTCCCATTCATCAGAGTGCTCCCATCGATGTTTTACTAGACAGTTTAGATGTTTGTAGACCTTGCCACATGCATCGCACCTATGAGCCTGATAATTCTTTGGTTCTGCTGAGAGACGAGCCTTACGATAGCCTTCAGAGGGTCTTCGTTGGCGGATCTTAATCCCAGTTGTGTTTGTGGTATTGGTTGGAGTTGAAACCAATGTTTTCTCCAAGGGCTCTGGTCGTGACTTGGCCAGCGAATGGTCGATTGTGTAATTCTCAGGTAAGGAGGTTGAGAAGCGTTGGAGGGTCATGACATTAAAATGGGTCGGAAGGCTTCCTCTACGACTATCTGAGATGTCTCTGGTATTTGTCAGGGGATCGTCACCGCAAGACGACGTTGGTGGAGATGGTAGTCTGTGTAGTGCTTCTTCTACTTGCTGTTCTTGTTTCTGGTACTTTGGTTGTTGGCGAAGCTGGAGAGCAAAAGACGATAGCATGATAAAGAAAAGTTGCGGAGTTTACAGTTAACAAGAAGAATAGAATGAAAAGAAGAAAAAGAAGATGAAGAGTGTGAATAAAGGTAAGAGTAAGAGTAAGAGTAAAAGTGGAGGTAAAGGTGAGGAGTAAGAGTAAGAACAAGACCAAGAGTTAGTAAGAGTAAAAGTAAAGACAATAGCAAGAACAAGAGCAAGAGCAAGAGCAAGAGCAAGCGCAAGAGCAATAGTAAGACCAAGAGATAGTAAGAGTAAGAGTAAAAGTGAGAGTAAGAGTGAGAAGAATAAGAAGGATAAGAGTGTTAAAGAAGAAAGTGGAAAAAATTAAAATAAGTTTTTTTTTTTCTTCTTTCTTTTTTTTAGTCTTGAAGCCACTTTACCCCTCTACAGCTCTTTCTCTCTCTCTCTCTCTCTCTTACACACACACAAACACACTATATCTTTCTAGCTCTCTCTGCCTATATCTCCTTCACCCCTCAAAAAAGGAAACTGATCAGGCAGCCCTCAATTGGGGACCACATTATCCTTTTGTTAGTGGAGCCTCTCGCTGTGTTACCTTGCTTTATTTAGAATTACCCAAAATTCAAATTAAATTATAGATTCGTAAAGGTCAAGGTCAAGGGCAAGGTGATATAAGCAATATTGATAGAGTAGCAAAGTAAGATGTCCTGGAAATAAAATAATGATTCATTGTAGCCTTGTAATATATAGGTAAATAAAAGACAACAGCCACAGGTGTAAAGAAGTTTTTTCTTTTATTTTCTTGTGGGTTTCATTGTTATATAATTACAATCAATTATTTATTTTGGTTAATAAATTTTGCTTGTTTATATATGTATATATATGTAAATATATGTAAATATATGTACCCAAATATAAACGTACATCTTATATATGTTATATATCTATATTTATTATTTAATATTCATATTCTCTCACGTATGGTAATAGTCCGTCAATCAGTCAAAAATAGTACAAAAGATTATATGCCTTTGATAGAAAGAATTAAAGATATCGATTGAGACCAAGTAATTCAGCTTTTCAAAGACCATCTCTTGTTATTATATATACTATATTATAATAATGTGCATAATTTTACTTATTTATTTATTACATACAGTGTTTCGCATCCAAAAAAGAAAGAAAAATGAAAAAAAAAAAAATTACAAAAATTTACTGTTGATCAGTAAAATACTTTTTATCATCAATATATACATTATTATTGCAATCTTCTTGACTGCTTCTTCAATCCTCCCCACCAAAGGATTTCAATTTTCTTTACCCACCCTGTTCATTATATATATATATCAAACTAGATCCACCAAGATACAGTTCAATTCGCTGCTTCCAATGATGTTTACTATGTAGCCGAAAGTTCTAATCTCCATTTAATTACAGCGTTTTCGCCATGACGGATAACATTCGGTAATGAGCATCAGTAGAAAATTTATCAGATTTTGATCGACGCTTTTTCAACTGATGAAAATACGGTATCGTACTTGCTTTCTCAATGTTATTCTTGTTGAAAATATTATGTGCCCACTGAACTGATTGTTTATCGCTAACCCTGATGAGGGATGTCATTTTGATTCTACCAGATCACAAGTTGTGTCCATTCTTACCAAGATATTTGCCTGGGACGGCATGACATGTCTACATACCTTTGAAGAAAGATGTAAGTAGCTTTGATTCTGGTGCGACCCTTTATCAGGTTAAGTGCCTTAGTAACTTTAATTGGTGCTTTTAAAAAAGGACAAACCTTGAGCCACTTTCTGGTAATATATAGAGTAGATGAAAGAAAGAGAAAGACATCATACTCGTAAGAAGGCTAATAAATAGTAAAATATCCAACAAGATTGCGTCATAAAGTGTGTAATGACAGCAACTCCTTATAATCTTTTGCATAACTGGCTATTGATATAGTGTATTTGTGACCAATTATTGTTTTTTTTATGGCCAAGTCTAAATTTAGCGATAGTAATTGAATATATTGTATAAATCTCAGGGCACATTATTTTGCCCTGAGGATTAGAGAAAGACACCAAGCCCAAGGTGTAGTCCAGTTAAATAAAAACAGTAGCCACGTAGGATTGCTAGTGGATTTTTTTCAAAAAGATGAAATTACCATTATCCAATCATTTTATTTAAAAACAAATTCACCTTTATTTTCGAATACCGACGAATATTCACGAATGGTTACCCCTAATATTGATGCAAAAAAAAAGATGCATAAATTTCATATTGTTACGGGCAACGCTCCATTCCATAGCTCTGGGACTTATTGATCCCACTATAATCATAAAGAAAAATGTGTATGCGTTATATATAACATTGATGTATAGATATATTCCTCTCAATTCGCCAGAACTCAAATTATATTTCATTCAGGATATCAAATTACACAATATTACACATAAATCCATATATAATTTCCTGTCTCTGATTGGCTCTATTCATTGCTTAATTTGTTTTAAAAAAAATGACCAAAAAAAAAAATAGGCGTCACACCCAAAAATGAAAAGAAAAGAAAAGAAATGGGGAATTTATTGTTTTTTGGAAAAAGGTAATAATCATGTTCATTACCAAATGTCTTTTGGCAGCTATTCCTAAAGCAACCTCAACATTCATTCCAAAATCAATACCAAAACAAACGCCCAACCAAATTCCAAAATCCCTCACAACAGACGAACTTTCTTCTATATTTAATATACGAACAACTATAATTACCGTTAATGATGCCTTTACACTCAAGGCCATTAAACAAACCAATCCAGCTGAATACAGAGTGGCCATTGTTGCTGGAAAAAAGAAATTAGGAAAACTTGCTGTTTGGAGAAAAAAGGGACAGAAAAGAATAAGGGCAGCCATCAGAGCTACTTTCCCCACGCATGCCACACAAGGTGACTCTTCTTTTTTAGAAGTGACTTGTCAACTGACAGTCGATGTTAGGCTATGACTATATCTTTTTCATCAATCCACCAGCCGTGATCTCTCCTTGGCCCTCTCTTTTAGACAAATGTACAAAGTCTCTCATTGGTCTAAATAGATCGATAGATCGTCAAAAGCGACCCAGAAATCCAAAAAATGTCATGGAAACCAAAAAAAATTAAGTGTCCATTTGATGATCAATCTTTCTTTTGATTTGGCTTATTAAAATGAAATGAATGAAGAAGAAGTAGTAGGATGACTAGTGTAAAGGCACACATGGAGTCAATAATCCAATTCCAATGCCAAATATATCTTTCTCTGTTTACTGTGCATATATATATATATATATATAGAAGAATAATTTCTGTACAAAGTTTAAAAGGTATCAATTAATCGATATCTATTAAAGCCCAATAAGATGATTTATTTAATTTATTTGTTTCTCGCTGTATTTATTAAAGATTCAGCATTATTGTCTATTTTACGGAGCAAAATATCACACCACATTTACAATACTTGAGACTAATAAAATAGCTTAAAAACTTAAAGAAGAAGAAGGAGAGAGAAATTCAATACTTATATATAGTGAGCTATAGAATTTGTGCAAGAGCAACTTTAAAAATATGCTATGTTAAAGGCTAAATTAAATCGTATAAAAACCAAATAATAATATTATTATTCTTATTTGTCAAAGTAGCTGGGTTGTATTATTGTAGAGGGATCCAAGACAAGGGCAAAGAAAAGGAAAAAGAACCATCTTACTCATTTGTTTTCCCAGGGTCTTCCAAACCCGAATCAGTGAGTGAGTCTTGAGACCTCAAGGTACATCTCAAGCACCACAAAATATATGTATTTTATGGTACCTAAAGTTCAAGTATACATACATAAATATTAAGTATTTATATATCAAGACAAGATTTGCTACAGAAAATCCTCCGCTATTCTATGTATCTTCTCACCCACACATTCTCCGCTTGAAGAATCTGAAGTACATGATGACAAAAATATATTCTTTTCACATGCAATTTCTCCACACTTGTTAACCTCCACCTTTCTCTTCTCTTCTCTTCTCTGGTTCTACTCTGCATTTCTTTTCTTTTCCCCCCCTTTATTCATCTCCCCCACTCTAAAAACCAACAATATGCCTGAACTCAAATCCTTCACCAGAGAAGAAGTCGCCAAACACAACATCGAAGGTGATTGCTGGATCATCATCGACTCTGAAGTCTACAACGTCTCTACCTTTGCTGACATGCACCCCGGTGGTGCCAAACTCTTGATCGAGTTTGGTGGACAGGATGTGACCGGTAAGCATCCAGATATCGAACCTCATTTGTGTCCCAACAACCAAAAAAAAAACAACACGCGCACACACTAATTCTTTTCGGAATTTCAATAGACGATTTCTACGGCCTCCATCGCCAGGAAGTCCTGATCAAGTACGCCCCTAAGCTTAGAATCGGTACCATTTCTGGTGAAAAGACAAAGGTCAAGATTGCCCAGCCCGGCGATATTTCTGCAGTTCCTTATGCTGAGCCTAGCTACTGGATGGGATTCAAGAGCCCTTACTTTAAGTAAGTTTTTAGCACAACAATGCATCCCAATTGTATGTGTGTGTGTGTCTTTACACTATTTTATTCTCCTTTATATTAAAAAACAAACAAACAAATTAGCGACTCTCACACTGAGTTCCGTAAGGCCCTTCGTAATATCTACTCTGGTATCCGTGCCGAAGCTCTTCAGTGCGAAGAAGCTGGTAAGAACCCCTCCAGTGAGATTTACCAATTCTTGGGTTCCGAGGGTGTCCTTGCAACCCAGATCGGTCCCGGTCCCTGGTTGAAGGGTCTTAAGCTTCCCTCTGGAATCAAGGGCGAGGACTTTGATTACTTCCACGAATTGATTGCTCACCAGGAGACTGGCCGTCTCGGTGCTCCCGGTTTTGCTGATGGTATCTCTTCTGGTTACAGCATTGGTTTACCTCCTGTTCTTAACTTTGGTACAGCAGCCATGAAGGCAAAGGTAATTATACCTCTCTTTTTTTAAAAAAAAAACTAGACAAAAGTCAAAGAATATGTATAAATGTGTTAGGGTACAAACAGAGTATAAATCTCACAGTGTTTGTTAGGTTGTTCCTGAAGTTCTTTCCGGAAAGAAGCGTATTTGTTTGGCCATCACTGAACCCTACACTGGTTCTGATGTCGCCTCAATCCGTACAACTGCTGTCCGCACTGCCGACGGAAAGCATTTTATCGGTACGGATTGTACTGTGTAGAGTGTACAAAAAAGGAAAGCATATGACTAATATAGGGAATAATGATAATAATAGTCAACGGTGTCAAGAAGTGGATCACCAACGGTACATTTTCTGACTACTTCAGTGTTGCTGTGCGTACCGAGAAGGGCATTACCATGCTCTTTATCGAGCGTGACGACAACATTGAGACCAAGCCCATTAAGACTTCTTACTCTGCTGCTGCTGGTACTTCTTACATCACTTTTGAGAACGTCAAGGTCCCTGTTGAGAATATTCTTGGTAAGGAAGGTCAGGGTTTCCAGGTCATTATGTACAACTTCAACCACGAACGTTGGTATATTTGCGGCTCTATTACCGGTGGTACTCGTGACGTAATCGAGGACTGCTTCAAGTGGGCTAACCAGCGCAAGGTTTTTGGGAAGCGTCTTATTGATCAGCCTGTCATCCGTAACAAATTGGCTAGCATGGTGAGTGATACACTTCTTTTATTTACTTTTTTGGTCTGAGTGTGAATGTGTAAGGAGATAGAGTTTTGATTCTGATCACAACTAATGCCCGTTGGCTATTTAGGTTTCACAATTGGAGGCTGTTGAAAACTGGCTTGAGAACATTACTTTCCAGATGTGCAATATGTCCTATGCTGAACAATCTGTTAAGTTGGCTGGTCCTATTGCTCTTCTCAAGTATCAGTGCACTCGTGTCGCTCACAACGTTTCTGACGATGCATGCCAGATCTTTGGGTACGTTTTTTCTCTTTGTATTTTATTTCTATTGAGAGTAAAACAAACACCAGAAATTATTATTTTGCTTACTTGAAACAATTTATTGTGTATTTTTTTTTGTTCTTTATTCTAGTGGTCGTGGTATTACCCGTACTGGTATGGGTAGATCTATCGAGGCTTTCCAAAGAACGTACAAGTTCGCTGTAAGTGCTCTTTTTTCTCTATTTTCTTTTTCATTTACCTATAATTTAACAATGTACTTAAATTGGTGTCATTTTCTTCTTCTTTAATAGGCCATTTTGGGTGGTAGTGAGGAGATTATGGCTGATCTTGGTGTTCGTCAGGCCATGAAGCAGTTCCCCAAGGGTGCTAGACTTTAATTGATGTGAACCTTCCAAGAAGAATAAGATAACCCCTTACCAAAAGAAAATGAAAGAGCACATAACTTTCTTATGTTTCCGCTACTTTCACTTTTTTGTTATAAAATCATTCACAATATATACGTTTCTTTCAATATTTTTTTTTCTTAAAAAGAAAGTTCCAATATCTTTATCTATAAATAATAGTCCTTTTTGGCTACTCGACCTCTGTGTGTGTTGAATTTGCAGTAAAATAAACAATACATATGTATATATATATGATATAATACAAAGGTTTTTATTGTTTTCTAGAAATAATATCCACACTCCAGATACCCCCTTTTGAGACATATCCTAAAATTAAATTATCTGAAATAATAACAACAGAAAACAAGATTCTTTATTATTAGAATAGTAAATTTACATTCGTATGTGTATTAAAAGAATGACTATTTAATATTCTTTCTGGAAACTCTTCGCCAAGATAAACAAGCTCTACATTGAGTATTTCTAGATAGTAATATAATCTCTTTTGTGGGAGGGGGGGTTTAGATGTTATATCCAATCGAAAATACACTTTTAATTGTTCCATTTACTAGCAGAATAGGTTGTTTTTTTACATTTTCCTTGTTGGAGAAGGAAATACCACAGTTAAAAAGATTGTGTTTACAGGATTATGGTGTTTACTCAACAATACACAGTATCACTTATTTTCCAAGTTAAATACAGCTCTATCTGATTCTTTAGAAATATTTATACCTAAAGCGTTCTTAAAGGCCTAAGACTCTTGGATCATTATATTGAGCTTTGGCAGTAATGAATTGGGCTAATGAACCATGTTATTACCGAGTTTTATTTCTCTATTGAACTTGGCTCATATACAGCTCATTAACACGGTAATACTCAGCAAGATATTACGTATAGCTTTACGTTTTATGCCAACGTAGAAGAATTCTATATCCAAGAAAGTTCTACAAGCACACACACACTCTCTCTCTCTCAAGTTCTAAAGATTTCTTATAAGCAAACCTCTAGAGGTTTTCCAACTGATTTTAATAAAAAAAACTTTTGGTTTGTATTCATTTGGATTAGTACAGTGTTTCTACTTGAGATTGAGACAAATTAAGAAATGCTTTAGACGAATCAAAATGCAATTGTAGACAATATGCTTACCTTTTGTCAACAAAACGAGAATGAAATTTAGACAAAGAAAAATCAGCTTTCAGGGAAAGTAAACATTTATTCAAAAAAAATCGGTAATTATCTAAATGTCTCAGAGACAAACTTTTTACGTTACAGAGATAGGATTGTTATTGTTGTTGTTGCTATTGCTGTTGCTATTTCTGCTGCTGCTTGTTTGCTTGTTTGCTTGCTTTTATCAGATCTTTGGAGAGTGGTTGGTGGTTGGGTTCCTCTCCAATTTGACAAAGCAATTGTCATCATATATGTTGCAGTATGAACATCTCGTTGCCACAATGTATTACAGGTTCTGAAGGCTAGTAAAGAAAGGACAACTTTAGATCGTAAAAAAACCCAGATATTCTTTTATATGATAAGTACAATCTGACCATCTCTTTTTGACCAGTATTCAATCCTCAGTGTGGCTAATATACACTATATAAAATGCTTTCCGAAACCTAACAGCTGAAGATGCTCTTAACGAATCTGAGTACCTGTATATAGATAACCACAGCAATAACAATCTAGTCGCTGTAACATAAACAGTTTGGCTCTTTGAGACCTCTAGACAATTACAGGTAAGTTTTCTGAATAAATGTTTACTTTGAAAATTAATTTCTATTTGTCTAGACATTTTCCAATTTGACTAAATCCCAAGTAGAAACACTGTATTATTTATTCATTTAAATGAAACTTCCGAAATAGACTTCTGGTAGGTGTATCATGTACTCATTATGATTGTTAAGCAAATATTATTAAATTGTGTAAAGTAAGGTGAAAGGGAGGGGAGGTCATAGTGTCTGTCTCTTCAAATAATAGGAATATGTATTCGGCATGCGACCTCAGCTAAAAGTCTTAAATATAGCAATATTCACTAACAATGAACTCTTCCATAAATATAAAGGGTAACCAATGTAAGAAGTGTGCATTTACTGAAAAGGTGACAAGTTGTTCTATTACTAACATATATCTTTATTCTTTTATAGCTTTAAAAGCACATCTATATTTTGTAAACAGGTAAGTACAAGGATAATACACGCTTGGATATAATGTTTATATTTATTTATTTATTTATTGAAGGTAAATATTAAGTATATATATAATTCCAGTCGATAAATCCTATATGCCCATCCAGGAGAGTCCATCGGTGCTCCACATCTTGTTCTTGTGCTTCAAAATCTGCTGTAATAAAAAAGAAAGAAAAAAGAAATATAAAAGTACATACCTGCAAAAACAAACACGCAGAAAAAAACGGACCCAACGAGAAAAAAAAAACTAACTAAAACACAGTACGAAGTTGGGGACATCTCACTTATACGACATCCGGTGGATCAGCACAACACCGAGATGAAGGACGACTAAGCATCAAAAAAAGAAGTTGGCTCAATGCCTTGAAACCCTCGGCCTCGTACTCAGAATCCTGGACACCACCAGAGCTCAGTCAGGGTCCCGAAGGTTAACCTGTTGGCTTGAACCTCGTTATATACAAAATAAGAACAAAATAAAATGCTGAGATGTTTTGCTTTAGCTTATGTTTTGGAACGATTACTCACCGATTAAGGAGTTCACCAAAGTACTTGCGCACTCTAATGAACTCGCCCGCTGGACCGCTATTTTTTTTTTGGAAGAAAAATATGCAGACAAAACACGTTAGTATCTTTTCATGTCAAGTTGGTAAGTAGTAAAATGGAAATTAGTAGCAGATTTTTGCACACAAGAACAAGAGCAGGAGTGTTTTTCTAGGCTTCTGGTTATGTCTTTCTGTCAGTCTATTGCAAATAACAAATAAAGAAGTTAGATCTTGCTCAACATTAATGCACATGAGGTTGGTAGCATTAGCCATTCACTCGTTTTCTTGCATCTGTCAAAGTTGAAAATATGGAGCGCCTCTTTAAAAAAGAAAAAGGCGAAAATATGTTCAGGTTAACTTATGACACCGAACGGGACATGTTTGAGCTGGCTTTAACATGCTGGTGGTCTTTACATTCGTTACTTACCTGGTGTAAACGTAGACAGACCTAAAAGAAGGGAAATACAAGTAAACAGACGCGTATGCCCTTGAAATAATTTTTCCTACGCCAATATAGATGACATCATCATCTATTTGTGATGCAAGCATTCTTAGCCACTGTGAGAGAATTTATTAGAGCAAAATAACCACTGCGGTAAAAAAAAAGGCGTGATTCAGAGGGCGATTCTGTAGAATGCATGTGATTTTTTTAAAATCACCCCCTGAAGCGCAATTTTTTTCTCACAGTGGCTAGGAATGCTTGCATCACAAATAGATGATGATGTCATCTATATTGGCGTAGGAAAAATTTATTTCAAGGGCATACGCGTCTGTTTATCTGTATTTCCCTTCTTTTAGGTCTGTCTACGTTTACACCAGGTAAGTAACGAATGTAAAGACCACCAGCATGTTAAAGCCAGCTCAAACATGTCCCGTTCGGTGTCATAAGTTAACCTGAACATATTTTCGCCTTTTTCTTTTTTAAAGAGGCGCTCCATATTTTCAACTTTGACAGATGCAAGAAAACGAGTGAATGGCTAATGCTACCAACCTCATGTGCATTAATGTTGAGCAAGATCTAACTTCTTTATTTGTTATTTGCAATAGACTGACAGAAAGACATAACCAGAAGCCTAGAAAAACACTCCTGCTCTTGTTCTTGTGTGCAAAAATCTGCTACTAATTTCCATTTTACTACTTACCAACTTGACATGAAAAGATACTAACGTGTTTTGTCTGCATATTTTTCTTCCAAAAAAAAAATAGCGGTCCAGCGGGCGAGTTCATTAGAGTGCGCAAGTACTTTGGTGAACTCCTTAATCGGTGAGTAATCGTTCCAAAACATAAGCTAAAGCAAAACATCTCAGCATTTTATTTTGTTCTTATTTTGTATATAACGAGGTTCAAGCCAACAGGTTAACCTTCGGGACCCTGACTGAGCTCTGGTGGTGTCCAGGATTCTGAGTACGAGGCCGAGGGTTTCAAGGCATTGAGCCAACTTCTTTTTTTGATGCTTAGTCGTCCTTCATCTCGGTGTTGTGCTGATCCACCGGATGTCGTATAAGTGAGATGTCCCCAACTTCGTACTGTGTTTTAGTTAGTTTTTTTTTTCTCGTTGGGTCCGTTTTTTTCTGCGTGTTTGTTTTTGCAGGTATGTACTTTTATATTTCTTTTTTCTTTCTTTTTTATTACAGCAGATTTTGAAGCACAAGAACAAGATGTGGAGCACCGATGGACTCTCCTGGATGGGCATATAGGATTTATCGACTGGAATTATATATATACTTAATATTTACCTTCAATAAATAAATAAATAAATATAAACATTATATCCAAGCGTGTATTATCCTTGTACTTACCTGTTTACAAAATATAGATGTGCTTTTAAAGCTATAAAAGAATAAAGATATATGTTAGTAATAGAACAACTTGTCACCTTTTCAGTAAATGCACACTTCTTACATTGGTTACCCTTTATATTTATGGAAGAGTTCATTGTTAGTGAATATTGCTATATTTAAGACTTTTAGCTGAGGTCGCATGCCGAATACATATTCCTATTATTTGAAGAGACAGACACTATGACCTCCCCTCCCTTTCACCTTACTTTACACAATTTAATAATATTTGCTTAACAATCATAATGAGTACATGATACACCTACCAGAAGTCTATTTCGGAAGTTTCATTTAAATGAATAAATAATACAGTGTTTCTACTTGGGATTTAGTCAAATTGGAAAATGTCTAGACAAATAGAAATTAATTTTCAAAGTAAACATTTATTCAGAAAACTTACCTGTAATTGTCTAGAGGTCTCAAAGAGCCAAACTGTTTATGTTACAGCGACTAGATTGTTATTGCTGTGGTTATCTATATACAGGTACTCAGATTCGTTAAGAGCATCTTCAGCTGTTAGGTTTCGGAAAGCATTTTATATAGTGTATATTAGCCACACTGAGGATTGAATACTGGTCAAAAAGAGATGGTCAGATTGTACTTATCATATAAAAGAATATCTGGGTTTTTTTACGATCTAAAGTTGTCCTTTCTTTACTAGCCTTCAGAACCTGTAATACATTGTGGCAACGAGATGTTCATACTGCAACATATATGATGACAATTGCTTTGTCAAATTGGAGAGGAACCCAACCACCAACCACTCTCCAAAGATCTGATAAAATCAAGCAAACAAGCAGCAGCAGAAATAGCAACAGCAATAGCAACAACAACAATAACAATCCTATCTCTGTAACGTAAAAAGTTTGTCTCTGGGACATTTAGACAATTACAGGTAAAGTTTCTGAATAAATGTTTACTTTGTCTCGATTTCAAGTAGAAACACTGCACTATTATTTTTGAGATATATAGTAGGTATTCAAACTTTTATTATTTAGTAAAGCTGCTTTGTAAAAAAAAATTAAACATTTTTATGATATTTATGAATAGCTGACCACTCTTAATTATTCTTATTTCCAATTTAATTGTAAGCTTATCAGCCCGGTTCTTTAAAACAATAAGGATAGCTAAAAAGTTGCAGATGGTTAATCGGCCATATTATTTATAACAATGTATTTATTTACGCATATCAGTTTGGCCTGACAATAAGAATCCTAAAAAGAGAGAAACATTATTTACAGCATGAACTTTAATGACCATGTATGCACAAAAATTCTACCTTAAAAAACAACTCTTTAAAAATCTTGTTTATTGCAGCATTCATCCAAACTTTTCTGATAATGTTAAGCCAAACCTTTAAAGTCCCTTGTTTTCAAGTTATAACAAAATCGCTCCCTCTTCTTTTATTTTTTTCTTCTTCTCTTAATAGCATTGTCTTTTTAGTTATTTGTTTCAAGGATTTGTGGCGCATTATTTTACTATCGATTATTAAAGCTTGCAATTGAATTGAGTTTGTGAAAATATGAAGATAAAACAAGAACGTCAATAGCCTAAATGGATATGATTGACTAAATTGTTAGATATAGGAATAGGGACCCAATAAAAAAATATGTGATATTTATTTTCAGGTACCATATACCTTTAAGAAAAACCAAAAAAATACAAAAAGAGAAGAAATTGTGTTCCAATTTGTCCCTGTCTGACGCATTAACATTATGCATGTATTATTTAACCCTATGTTAATGCACTCATGGCATTTCTTCTGTTTGTTTAAGGTTTATAAATACATACATGGATAAATATTGATAATATATCAGTACTCGAGCAAAGTGGTAGTGCAGCTGCGGTGTTCTCTATTGTACGGAATTATTTATTTTTGCATGAAAAAATAAGCTCCAGATATACAAATAAAATAAATTATATGTCTATTGTGATATTTAGTTTCTTATTATCCTCTTTTTCTCTGCTATCTATAAACAATAAGCGACATTATATCTTTTTTTTGGGGGTGAGAATAAGGGACGCGTTTGGAGCGCGCTCCTTTGACTGACTGACTGACTTGATTCATTGATTGACTGAATGCCTGTGACGTGTAAAAAATAGGTACCTTAGAGAAGGTTGCTTTATTCACACCATTCATTCACTTTATAATGTCAAAAACAAACCTCATTGGTCCTGCGGAAGAAACAATCAAAGCTCACCTGTCGCAATCAGGAGATCCTTTAGAGGCTATTAGAACAATCCAGCGGATCTATGGACTTGACTTGCCCGGGATTGAGGCCATGTATCCTCTTCTTGATCTCGCTGGATACAGTCGTCATGAAGTTCACCTTTATTGCCTGGATGCATTGAATAAAGCCATATTGGCTCGCATTGAAAGTCCTGATTTCACATTGAATGAGTAAGCCGTTGTCAATCCTCATTCCTTTTTACGCAATCTTTAACTTATTTTATAAAAAGCTTCCGTGATCTCTATCGACGCACGTCTCCTTACATCCACATACCTTACATGCAGCCTGTTCCCATGGCCCTCTTGAAGAAATTTGAGAAATATGTGGACGAAGACATCCTAAGCTCTCTAAAAAATGATGAGGAAGTATTTGAGGTACAACTATATACAATATTTTATTATGGGAATATGCTTACACGCTTTGCTGGTTTTATCAGAACTGTCCTCTTAATATTAAGCAACGTATTTGGAAACAAGACGAAGGATTCTTCCAAGGCCAGATGCTAAACGTTCTCAACGATTATCATCACAATGAAAGACTCCAGGCACTAGCTATGAACCTAAAGCCAGAGAGTTATCAAGGTGTTATTGAAGAAAGGTATATTTTAATAATAAAAGTTCCTTAAAGATATATACATAAATCCGTTTGATTGAAGATGGTACATCCTACTTTTCTTTCTAAATTAATTACTGCTGTTTTCATCAATAGACGCTCCCATCCCATTGTACTCAAAATCATGGATATTATTGGTGGTGATCCCAAACTTTACACTATGTTTATGACCATGCTTCGTCTTGTTTTCGAAGCAACCCCTTATCCAAGTTTATCTTCCCTCCGTGTCGATCTTTTGATGAATGTTCACGATCAAGATATTGAAGAAGTGGGTTGTCCAAGTGGCTAAAGATAACTATACTAAGCTTTCCTTTTCTTTTTTTTTTGGCTTTTAGGTTTATAAAACAGATGAGTGCCATAAGCTGATCTGGTCCCTTGATACATGTATTAGAAGTCAAAACATGGACGAAGCTATCATTGGAAAAATTAAAGAATGTTTTGACAAGACAGTTAATGGAGAACCACTTTATGCGTCAGTAATATTAATAATTAAACTATATAAAATCTAACCGTCTTTTTATATATATAGTGAATTTGCCATGATTCTTATGGACCCGATTATTTCAAATTTCCTTTCTTCTTGTATTGTTCGTTGGTTGAGAAATAGCGTTGATGAAGGAGTAAGTCAATCTGACATGTATATAAAAACATGCTCACAATTTCTTTTTAAAAAAAAGGCTCCAGGAAATCTCGAAGATCTTATAAACTATAATGCCAAACTTCTCAACCTTGCTGAACATGCACCTCGGGCAACTGGATCTGATCTCAAGATTCCAAAGATTGATCGTGATATCCGTATCAATTTCTGGCACGACATTAGCGTGGTTATTATCAACGAAAACACACCTACCAACCAAGCAAACAGCCTTATTAATATTACACGCATTGAATCCATAATTTCTAAAAGTGAAGTTGCTCGCAAGATATATGTACACTATCTTATCGACCGCGCCTCAGAAGGAGACATCACTTCTCTTTCTAGATGTCTCCCGTCTATTCTCAACACACTTCCTTCTGAAGAAGATAAGGACAATGTAGACTACAATATTCACCTCTACACTTATCAAAGTTTCTTCCGTACATTCATCAACATTATTATCAAGCGTCATCTGGTTGACTGTGTAATGGATATTAGATGGCGACAAGCGGTCGTGGAAGAATTTCTCTTGAGAGCAGTTACATGGGACTTTTCTGTACACGAACAGGTTGTTAAGATGTTGAATGAATACTTTAAAGAACCAAAACATCTTCCCAAACTTGGAGAACAGGTAGCAGTGATTGCTGACTGGGCCGACAAAGTATTTCTCAATGGCACAAGAGAAGAAAAGGTATATTAAATAATATAAGTGGAATCTTTATTGCTTTTTTTTTAATAACCATGTATTATTATTTTTAAATAGGATACACCTGTGGTTTATCATTTATACTACTCTCTATTGCGTGATTCTGCAATGGTGTTAGAAGGACAGTTTAGAATAGCTCCTCCTGCCATCGTACACTTTTGCTCCACTATAAGATAATATAAATATATATAATACACAAACTCCTTAGAAATTACTTTACGAGACTTGCTTTCACTCTAACATTGTGCCGTTGACAGTCTTTGTATATACATTACTAGTATTATTTTGTACAGACCAATAAATAAGAAATCCTTTCAAAAGAAAGGTTCTTCTCAATTGTAAAGCTCCATTATCGTTCATTTTTTTTTGCCGTGAACCTTTCTTTTGTATAAGTTTGATATGCCAGGTTTTGCATTCGTTTTTTTTTGTGTAAGAGTGGTTGAATGCTGTCTCTCCTCATTTATATATGTAAAAAAAACAAAAAAAATATGATCCTTCGTCCATGTCCCAATCCTCAAATGCTTTCCATAAAGTAAAATAAAGTAAAAAAGAGAAATAAAAGGCTTTCTCTATTTCTTTTCTCCGCTTAATGGCGAAGACGTGCTTCTCTGCTACGCTCCAAAGCTATATGAAATTGTTAGTAAGTGGTACAATGAAGCAAAGGATAGCTTACGATTATAGTGGAGGAGCTTCTCAATCAGATCTACGTGAGTGAGAACCATACGTCTGCAGCAGTAACGCTTCAAGCCAAGAGCATCCAATGCCTCACTAAAAAGAAAAAGAAAGAAAAAAAAGCGTCAGTACAATTTGGTAATAAATCCGAAATGTCAATAATTAGATGGTACAAAACCAAAAATAAAAAATAAATCTCACCCCTCGGTGTATTCTGACTGGAGAAGTGACAGGTAGTTATCCCACTTGTTACCGATGACCTTGCCACAGGAGAAACAGCGAACGGGAATGATCATATTGGTGTGGAGGAATGTGTTGGATAACCTTTGAGGATCAATACACGCACCTCGTTCACGCACCCCGAACTTTGAAAGACGGTCACGATGGCTTGTGACCACCAAGCATATCGGAACAATAAAATACCGAAAAGGCAGCTGTCAATACTGTAATTTGCCTCAAAATATTGGTCGAATACATGATATGTATTTATGAATTTATGGATTTATGGATTTATGTATATACATATTATTTTGTTTTCATGTCAAGTAAATTGGCTATAAAGTACATATTCTATTGTATTGGGTCGAAATACTTTTTCTTTAATAAAATAAATAAATAAAGTATTTTAAGAGTCTTAAAAATATCAACATTTGTACACTGTGTTTTCTAGAAAGAGGTATTTTATTTGCTAAGAATTTGAATATCATATAGGAAGCCATCTCTTTTTAATTATTCATTTATTTACCTTCTTTATTCTACATGCGCTCTAATGGTTCTATTCCAACCAATCGAAGTCCATTTCCGAGAGTTGTTTTTGCGGCCCAGAACAATAGCATTCTTGCTTCTGCCAATGGAAGATCCATGCCTTTGACCCTGAGTGTGTAATTGGACTGACTGATAAGATGGGCGAGTTTAAAGAGGTATGACACCAGGGTAGAGGGTTCAAGGTTATCAAATGAATTCTGAACCACACTAGGAAAATGGGATATCATCTGTGCCAATTCAAATGTTTCTTTTTCTTTTAGCAATCCAAAGTTGCAATTATCGGTCACTCGGACAGAGCATTTTCGCTCAATACTTGTTTAAAATAATTTCCTTTGTTTAGTTTTCCTTTTTCTTTCCTTCTTTTTCATCCCGTGTATTCTCAATTGATTATCCTACTCACCCGCACACACGCGCATGGGTGTACTGCAGAAATACACCCGTATCTCCACGTGCGTCAATCATACGGTCCCATGAAAATCCATAATTTTTAATCCTCCGTCCTGACATATCCTGTGCAATGACTGCCGAGGTACCCAGTCGATCAGCGATATATTCTGCTGCTCTTTCCCCTTCATACGTCACGCCATCAGTCTGAACACCTCTCTTAAGAATATCCGCATACTTATCCTTGTTGTCCTCTTCTTGCATAATCGACAGCATTTTGTTCTGAGCCGTATCCAGAATATCCTGTAAAAATACAGCTGTTCCTTGACGAGTTGACATGCCATTTATACGGCCAAACCCAATATGGTACAAGCCAGGTAGCTCTTCTCCCCAAATCAGCCGGCTAATGGTAAATACTTGCTTCAGGTAACGCTCTTGCTCAGTTCCGACGACATAGAATGCCTTGTTGCATGGGTAGGTCTCCATCCGCAGTAAAACGCTTGCCAAGTCGCGAGTCAAGTAAAGACTAGTGCCGTCTGCTCTTTTAATAATAGGTCGGCCCAGTTTGTATTCTTCAAGGTCGACAACCCATGCACCATCATCCAGTTTTATTGCAATGTTCTTTTCTTCCAACAGTTGATAAATCCTTGCAATGTATGGTTCGGTCTTTGACTCTCCTGAATAATCATCAAAGCTGATGCCAAGGCGTCTATACACCGGCAAGTACATTTCGATACTCAATTCTCTGAACCGTTTCCATTGCTCGAGAACCTTTTCATCTCCTGTTGTTATTTTTTCGTATAAATTAGAGTCTGTTTTTTATCCACTTGACATACCATCCTCCATGCGCTTAAAGTAATGTCCGGCCTGTTGATCTATCTCAGGTGTAGTTTTCATATCCTCATTGATCTTAACATAGACATTATAAAGATGTTTTATGGGATCCTTTTCTAATTCATCTTCATTGCCATATTTCTCAAACCCAACAGCCAACAGGCCTAAGTAAATTTCAGAATATAACATGTTCAGTAAAAAAGAAAAAAATCACAGCCTGCACAATGCATATACTTACCATATTGTTTTCCCCAATCACCGAGATAATTTATTCCTATTACTTGATAGCCCATGGCCTCATGAATTCTTCGCAGGTAGTTACCAAGAATTGTACTTCTCAGATGGCCAGCATGAAAAGGCTTTGCAATATTCGGAGAGCTATAATCGATCAAAACTGTGCCCGTATTTGACAAAGACCATCCATAACGAGTTTTTTCTTTAAAAACTTGAAGGAGAGTATATTTAATATATTCAATTGGCTGAACCTCAAAGTTCAGAAACACGCCCACGGGTGTGGCTCTTTCTATCATAGAGTCGGGTTTGAACTACAAATGCATATATATATAATATAAAGATTTTATAACAAAACATAGTCAGTAAATAAATAAATAAAAAACATGAATAATATCGCTCACCTTTTTAGCAAGCTCTTGGCACCATTGGGATGGATGAGGATTGTTGCCATCCTCGTCGGGATTAGTACATTGTGCTATTAGTTTAGGCAGAGGCAAGGCAAATTGACCATATGCTGTGCTTTTTGGTGTCTCAATGAACCGCAGTAGTTGTGCTTCTGTATACCGTGTTACTATCTTTGATAGCTGACTCGCGACAGCATGTTTGAAAAGCGATTTTGTGTCTTTGATCGTGTGCAAATCAGGGATCTTTTGTTCTTTCTTCTGCTTCTTCATAATGTCAAAAAAAAAGAGAGAAAAAAAAAGGAGCAGGAAATGAAGGTGTGACCAAGCTTTTCTGTTTGGTACTCAGCGAAAGAGAATGGGCTTCTTTTTGTATGTTCAAGGAAACGTTAGTTGAAGAACTTGAAATGAATCTAATTTAACTCAATTCAGGATAGTGTTGATAAAAGTACAATTATGTCACATAATGTAAAGGCCTTTCTATCCTTCTTTAAAATACTAGTAGTCAAGTTCCCACATCAATCAGAATGACTCAGAATTGGTTTTAACAAGACACATATTACACAATATGACATATCTTTTATGAATAGCTTAAATGTCTGCTGAGCAGGCGTACACAGGCACAGGCACAGGCACAGGCACCCACACACACAGTCCCTTATTATCAGGTACGACTGTTTCTTCTTTCTCTTCTTCCTGTGTTCACTTACGGCCGCAGCCAACCAAGTTTAAAAGGCTTAGTCTACCTGTATTTTTTCTTTTTTCTTTTTATTTGATGTATCCAAAGACTTGTTAAGCATATTAAAATTAGATACTTTCAGAAATCGAATTTCAGCGATTCTAACCATTGGTATTAAGCTGCAAATGATTATGTGTGTGCTGCCCTCCAGGATTTACAAGACCAATCACACTTTCATGTCACAAACCAATAATGTGAAAAATAATATGTCTACCCATATGAATATATCAATAGATTTGACTCTTATTAATTAAGGATATATGGATTTGAGCCTCTGATATTTGCTGTGGACAAAGACAGAAACTTCCTGTGAAAACATATCTTTTAAACCATTAATTTCTCTCTATTATTTTTTACAAAGCATTCTCTGTATAATTTGATTCTTATTTATCAAGGGATAAATACACGAGAATAATTTTAGTATAGACGATTGATTAATTGGACCGATTCTTCTATTACATCTTTATTTTATATAGGGCATTACTGATAAAGACTTTCTTTTTTTAGCTTGAGTTTGAGAAACAATAAAAAAATATAGTTTAATATCGTTTTACTTGCTCATCCTATTAGTTTCTGGTCTGTGCTACGATTGGCAGAACAGGTAAATAAGCTCTTCCTACTTCAAAACCTAGCATTTTCTTAAAAGGATTTAAAGAAAAGAATACTAATGATCTTTGTCAGCTAAATACCCCAAAGCTTTGCTACTGTTGCGACTTTAATATAAAGAAAAACAAAGGTGTTAATGTAATAGATTATCAGGGGTAAGCTGTATGGTGTAACAGTCGGATAAAGGATTAAAAACGATTTCAAAATGTGGTCTTGAAATTCCTTGCTTATATATATATATATATTGGAGTATATTTACAGTCGTTAACAAAGCCATCATTAGCCAAAGTATACACCAAGGAATATATTTAATTTCTTATGCGCATGTGTTGTTTGTAGTTTTACGTAAGAAAAGGCAATATACTGTAGGGCTATTTCTTTATCTAAAAAAAAAGAGAGAGAGAGAGAGAGAGAGAAATAGAGTAGTCAAAATCAATATCCCTTTATTTTAATTATAACCCACAGGTTTCTACACAGCTGGTCAATGTTTCAAAGTAAATCTCGCTAAAAATAATGAAATGATGAAAGAAGTGGTTCAATGTATTTTGATGCAACTAATGACTGTAATGAATATTCTTAAAGGCCTTAAGAAATTGGCACAGTTAGGGTGATCGTAATATTTCAAGGCATTTATTTAGTTATATAGCTAATATTATAGAATATATACAAACCTTCTTTATTTTCTTTTCTTTTTCTCATACTCCAAAAGCGGCCAAAAATTTAGGGTATTCATGGTAGCAAGGTACTAAAAAGAAGTTCTTGGCTTGTATTGAAGGTTAGATACTTGTTTTCAAGACACAACATTAATGATACGTTAAGTGTCATTACTTTACAAACATAGTGTGGTTATTAGAAAATATGTACCCTAATTTGTGAATGTACGGTTTTAAGCTATTGAATATTCTTTCGAGAAGGGGTGGGAATAGAAAATCCTCCTGATATGCAACAGTACAAGGAAAGTGTGCATTGTATACCTTTGATTGCATTAATCAATAGACGAGAAATGTGATTGTCTGATAAGTAATAATTAGATTGAATATATATCTAACAAAGGAATAGAAAAACTCTAAATATGTTTTTCAGTTGAAAACTGTAACAATATATCACTCTTGAGTCTTACACTCGGGCCGAGAGACTGTGATTAATGTGATCTAACAGATGAAATCCTCAAGTTCAACAAAAGGCTAAAAGGAGTTTACTGTGTGTTACAAGGCGTTTTCTTTTCTTTTTTTTTCTTTTTCTTTTTTGCAAATCTAAGCAAAGAACAAACTCTTAATACAAATAGATATTGCATATAAAATAAACGCAGGCAGTTAGATTCCCTGAGACTAATTTATGTGCTGGTGTTTCAGACTCCATACTTCTAAAAGTTATAACACCTTCCAAAGAAGTTAATCAAATATAGCAGGCTATAAATTTTATTATATAATTGTTTTCTTTAGGGGAGATATCCATTGTGTAAAAAGACTCGGTGCCCTTGGATAGAGTACGTGATGATTTAGTGTATATTTTTTTGTCAACGCTGCGCCAGGACTTTTTGTGATGACATCGATAATCTCGAGAAATCATATGAGAGGGAGAATAGCTAAAGGCTTGAACATTTTCTTTTTTATTTCCCTTTTTCTTCTTTTTCTTTTTAAAGATAATAAACACTCTTTGGTATTACCAGGTAGGTGCTTAATCGAGTATTCAAAAAAAAACTGAAATCCATATATACACATATATCGCAAGAGTGTCTAACTACCTCATTTACTCACTTGCTTTCATTTGATTTATACTTGTTTCTCTGTAACTGCAGAGTATCATCTGGATCAAGTGTGCTAGCAGAATATCAAGTGAGAATGATTTATATAAAGCTCGATTTCTTGTTGCTAACAAAGATAATACAACTCATCTACCAAGTTTTGAATATGGAAAAAAGTTAGTAATCTTCTTATTTGTTTTAAGCATATTTCATTAAATACCTGTTAAATTGCTCAATAGAAACACCAGCTCTCGATGTGTGGACATCAATCGGCACATACTTTTCGGGATTCTCCCCCACAAACCAGGCCAAGTTTATTGAGACAATGGGAAGAGTGTCCAAGTCTACTTACACAAAGAAAGAAGTCGAAACAATTATTGTGAGCTGCACTAAACTTGAGGCTGACAACTGTCAGCTCAAGCACGAAAACGAACGATTGCGAGAAAACATCAATGATCTTGAAAATGATATTAAAAAGAGCAGCACCCAAGCAAACCTGATAGCGCGAACTCAACAAAAGAAAATCGATGATCTCAATGAAACTCATAAGAATAACGAGCTTCGTATTGAGAGCTACATGGTAATATGAACTTGAAACACGCTTATATGATGGAAAACCACAGTGATTTTAACAAACAAACAAAAAATGAAATAGATTATGGAGCGTAAATATAATGCTCTCTTGGAAGATCTTAGTGCTACCAAAACTGAGCTTGCTCGCATAAAACCGGAGCTTGATAAATATAAGGTATAATAATTCATTTATTTATTGATTTGCTTTAAAAACAATAAGCACCCTAATACGATAAAAAAATAGGACCTTAAAGATAGACACAGACGGATATTGGTCCAAGTAAACGAGGCAAATAAAAAGATTGAAGCTTTCCAAGTAAGAGCGATAGGATTTCAGTTTATCAACTGTAATCACTGATTATTAACTGTGTCAACGTGATAAAACAGAGCATGGAAGAACACTACAAAATAATCTCAAAAAAGCTGCCTATTGCTAACGGCCAGATAGCCCTACTGAATGTGTGTACTAAATACATTGCTGACTTATATTGGAGTATCTAATTACTGTATCGTAATAATATAACAGTCAGAGAAGAAAGATTTAAATTCGATGGTATATCAACTGTCAGCCGCTCGACCGTATCTATATAATTGCAAGGTAATGTAATGGATATTCTTTTTTATTGTTTTTTTTTTCCTTTCTCAATCAAATTGATATTGATATGATATATAACAGGTTCTGGAAGATATAGTCACGTCTATTTCTGAACAAATTAATAAAGAAACGATGTCTGAGGCAACATGGAAGGTAATATACAAAGCTTTCAATTTATAGCTTGTGTTTATTGACCTTTGTTATATATTACAGAAATTCGACGTGTATGGGTATACTGTAGACAGCCATTCTTTAAGTGTAAGATACATCTCTGTGACAATAAGACCATATCTAAGAAAAAAGAGTCATGCCTGTCTATATACTTGAGCTAGTGTATTTAATAATTTGATATAGACCAAACGCCAAGAAAAGATAATATTCCTAAGTAGCCAATTGACCATCGCAAGAGACCATTTGGTTAAAACCAAGGTAGACTGCTCTTTTGGTACCTCAATATCAGCTCTTTCACTCGCATTAACCCTTTCAAACAGGAACTTGAATCCAAGATTGAGACTCTAGTGCAGAAGATGTCTGTTTCGCAAGGCGCACTTAGTATACCAAAGGTATAGTATTATTATATTTACTTTCTATTATCGGCATCATAAACAATCTGACCATACAACATAGGGGACGGAAGACAAGGTTACCTTTCTCTTACGCCAATTAGCCGACGCAGAAAAGAGAATTGATGAAAAAGAGGTATGTGTAGTAATAGTAATAGTAGTATATTTAGCACCACACATTACATGCTTTAAAATTTCTAATGGCAATAATATAGAGCCTACAAGAAGAACTAGAGTCCCTTCGTGATAAATATACTCTTAAAGACATGGAGCTTTTTAAGGCTCAAAATTCCTATGTGAAACAAACCAAACAGTCCGATATAACCAATAAAGCGCAGACGCGAAAAATTAACTATTTTCAGCAAAGGTTGGAGGAAGTAGAGAGTGACTTTACTAAGAGAAAGGTAAGTTACAAAAGATTTATATATAAATGCTTGTGTTTAACCTTTTCTTTACTGATGATCACATATACAACCATGATGAATAACAACAAAAAACTCCCCAAGCTGAAAGAAATTCTGAGAAAGGTGTCAGATCAATGTTACACTCTAAAGAAGTTTCTGAATCCAAAAGACGAGGAAGTTAATGCGTTTTTCTTCAGACATTTCGGAGAAGGTCTTCCTGGAATAAAAGCCTTGTGTACCAAAAAACCTGATGGAAAACGTGGCTTTAGTTCGGGTGTCATCAACTTACTTGTGGAGAAGATTATTATAAACAACCTTCTCCGAGATATTTGTCATATGCCTTCTTATTTTGGGGTACCAAGCGCCATAGAATATCCTAAACTTTCGGATTATACACCTGAAAAGCAAACCCCAGAATTTTCAAGTCAGTTCAGAAGAAACTTTGAAAATCTATTGAAAGACCCAAAGACTTCGGACGCATTGAGGAAAAGAAGAGAAAAGGTTGCCAGTGTTCTGGTCAAACTCTTACACGAACTGTTCCCTGCAATGAATCCTTATGTTACTCGCAAGAAGATGATGGAGATTGTCGAAGCTGCGGCTGAATTGAGTCTATCGATACACACTCAAGATCTGGCTGTCAATATTGTAAAGCTGATTGAAGGAAAAGATCAGCTGCGAACATACACAAAAACTCAATTAGGCTCAAGTGCCGGGGCTAAAACAATTCAGATTGTTATCTGTCCACCCTTCATAGCAAACGAAGGTCAAAAAACCGAACATGTACTATTGGAAGGAAAGGTTATATGTCTCGAAATCGTTACGGATTCCAATGAAGCTTCAGCTGAAAACTACAGTGATAGTGACTCTGAACCAATGGAAAACAGGATGTATATGTAGGAACGTCTCTATATACGCACATGCATATTCACTTCACCTTTGCCTTGCCTTGTCTTGCTTTATTTTACTTTACTTTGTTTCTTTTCTAACATATGACAAGCATACACTTTTCTCTTTGTATTTCATTTAGTTAAGTGATGGCTTTAGAAGCTAAAATATAACCACAAATCAAATGGATATAAAGTCTTAAAATAAATAAGAACACATTTTATAATAAATGAGTTTCTTTTCTTTTCTGGCAAAAATTTATTGGTTTTCACTAGCGATCAAGCCAAGACAAACTTTTTTTTTAATAATGATAATCATTAAAGAAAACAGTTTTATCATTTTGGGCTGAAAAACACTAGAAGTCTGGAAAGATGTATTTAGATTAGAATAAAGCCTTCATGACAGATATGTTGAAAGAAAGAAAAAAGGACTGCATAATATATATATATATATATATATATTAACCAAGGGTACGACATTATCTAAAAAAGACAGTAAGAACCAATACCACTACTACTACTACTACTACTACTACTACTACTACTACTACTACTACTACTACTATTACTATTTTATTCATGAGCCTTTAAACAAGAGACATAGACAATAGCGTGTGTGTGTGGTTATGTGTGGACATACACTTGGCTTTTCTATGATCCTTTTACGTATCAATTCTTTAGGTTCAGGGTATACTATTTTGAATGCGTGGTAGCCTTTTTTTTATTATAATAAACCGCCCTCCCAAACCAAAAAACAAGCGCAAGCAAAAGTGTGATGTTGCGAATTCCTTGAATACTGAATGTGCTTTATAAGATGTAGTAATATATATATTATAAACTGTTTAATTTTCAAATAATAAAATACTCGACAATTCCCAAAATCGTGACATGAGAATATAGTTTATGTAAATAGGTAGTAAGTGAGGGGAGAAACTGGGAAAATGAAGGAATATTAAAGGCAATATAATAATAAGAATAATAGTAATAGTAGTAGTAGTAGTAGTAGTAGTATAATGTATGCGTGCGTATGTGTGTGTGTGTGTGTGTGTGTGCATATGATTGAGAAATGTATTAATTCTAGACGGTATAACTCAACACAGTCCCAAAAGCATAATCCCAGAGCTTTGAAGTAATACCATAACCATCCTCATAGTTCTTGTAGTGGTGAGCCATGTGGTATTTCTTCATTTCTCTAAAGTGATGCTTGTAGACCTTGGCATGATGAAGATAATAGTGAGTGCAGTCATAAAGAACGTATCCGAACAGGCCGCCGGCAATTACTCCGTATGCCATCATGGGAGGGAACAGAAAATGGCCGAGACGGAACAAAGGAAGTGCAATCAGACAAGCCAATGTAGGTGGCATAACGAGACGAAGTCTATATCAAGATTACACACAAATATAAATATTTGTCGTTAGTATTGAATTATTTTTATTTTATTATGCGTAGGGATTTTTGTTGTTGTTGTTGTTGTTGTTGTTGATGATGATGATGATGATGAAAATAATAATAAAAAAATCTTACCTATCCATTGGTAAATAGTGGTGGAATCCATGCAGAGTGAAATGAAGCAAAAAGGCAATTTGATGATCAGGAAGGTAGTCGTCCAAATGGAATAAGAACCGGTGCAGCAAATACTCCAACAATGTCCAGATACCAACTCCCAACCCAAACGAGAATACGCTAAGTAGTGGATTGCCAAATACAAGGGAGAGGGAGAGATGGTATGCACATACTGGCAGCCAGATAAGTGGAACCACATACCACACTGTCTTTGATAATGGTTCCAAAAGTGGGTGCCCAAAGAAAATGGCAGAGTTTGGCATATAGCGAGGTTTGTGAACCTGTTCAAGGTAGAATTCCTTTGTAAATCTGGCCTTGTAGAGCTGAGGAATCAGTGCCTTGCGAAGATCCAAAAAGTTGTTTTTCTTGATATCAGTTATTGTGTCTGTCTCGAGCGGCTTGAAATCTTCCTTCACGTAAGTCTTGCTTTCCTCTTCCTCCTCTAATAATTTCATGCGTTGACGATGAAGAGAATCACGATCCAAGTCCTTGGCAGTGGTTACGGGATGATCATCCAGAGTTCCAATCAGGTATTCATCCAGAATTTCATACGCAGCGTCCGAGTGAGCATGTTCAATGACATCCTTCATGATCGCCGTTATATCTTTCCCGGCATAGTCCAAGATCAGATCATCACCTCCAGGATGATCACTGACAAACTCTGTGACATCATATACTTTGTTGTTGTGAATAACCCAACAAGAGTCTGCTGTGTTGTGTTTAGCGACCTGAGATAGCGAAAAGCGAGAGGTCATGTCAAAGGTTGATATGTCAATGTATATATATGTATGTATTTATATATATATAATATATGTATTTCTATTCAGAAATAGATATATCTGTGTACAAGAAGAAGAGACAAATAAACCAAAGCCAGCTTTTACAAAGTTAGTTTTAAAGAAAGTCTAAAACTAAGACATATGAGTTTGTTTCGGTAAAATAAATATCCGTAATTGACGGCTGGCATTTTAGGAGAAAAAAAAAGAGAGTTTGATACTCATGAATGCAGTCACGGATATGCTGTGTAAGATGCTGAATTCCTCTTCTATATATTTACTTTACCCTCTTGTTCTTTTTTTTTTTCTGTATATATGTTTAGTTGAATATTTCTTTTATAGTGCTTTATATTTTGCCTTTTTTTTTGTCTGTGTGGTGAATAAGATCCCTAGTAAACTCCTCAGAATTTAATAGGGAATATTTACGAGAATGTACCTTTAGATGATATGGTTGTTTGCCCTGAAACGCACTTGTTAATATAAACTTGCACACATAAAAACGCCTCTTGAATATATATATATATATATAAATAAAATAGAAACCCCAAGCACAAACACAAACCCAATAGTAACCCACCAAAGCAGTACAAATAAAAAATAAAATTAATTTTTTTTTTAAAAAAAAGGCGGTGTTTTATTAATGGTTTCAAAGCAATCAGATTATTGTTATAATTATAATTCAAATAAAATTTTATTCTCGGTACAAATGTTGAATCTATTTAGCTTGAGATTATTTCTATGAAACAATAGTAATAGTAATATTGCTACTACTAATAATAACAAAGGTCAAAGTAATGAAAATGTAAATGAAAGATATGTAAATAGGAGAATTTCAAGGGATTATATCCAGATACAAGTATTTCTAATATAAAGTAAAGGGAGAAGGAAGGAAGATAAATAGACAGAGGGAGTGGTAGCGAGAGTGTGAGAAAAAGACTACAAGAATGATAATAATAAAAGTAGATGGTTTTTTTTAAAAAAAAAAAGAAACAAAAACAAAAAAGAAGAAAGGAGCTTTGGCTATATATTCAGTATCTTTTTTAGAAATGAACATGTCGATTGTTTTGTTGGTCACTTGTGTTTTCAGTAGCTCTAGGAGTTGTGTTTCTGTTCTCATTACGAGTTGGATCAAGTGGGTCGATGGTTCGATAGGATGGAAGTGTGTCTACATCACTAGTCTCGCCAGTCGGATTAGTTGGTGGTGAACTGTGGCGACGAATAGGTCTATTGGGTGTTCCATGTGATGTGCGAGTAGTAGGTGTGGTAGGTGTATTAGGTGTAGGTGTATTGGCAGTGGTACGGTTTCTAGCCGGTGGAGTACCACTTGTGGGATAAGAGCCGGCATTTTGACGGAGAGGTCTAACGCTGTCGTCTGTTGCTCCGGGTAGTCCAAATAACCCGATAGAATAGAGAAAATGGTCTATACAGTCAAGCTTAGGTCCCCCATTATTTGCTACTTGGGAACGAGTGGGGCATAGTCCTGGTCCTGACCTGTTACTTCTTTGTGTAAAATCCTGTGATGGTTTTCTTTCAACAAGACTTGCAAGATAGAACCCTGCGGAAATAAATATACACACGGCTGAGCTAATGGAAATCCAAACAATAGCACCCATTTTGTGTTGTATGCTCAAGTTGTCTTTTTTGCCCTTAGAATCTACGACTGTGCCCATCAAAACTAAGCACAACAGGCTGGAAAGAAGGACAAAGAAAGTTATAAGAGGGAGTGTTGCAGACACACATGATTTTCCGTCCTTTCGAGAAAAAATGATGAGGGCTGAGATGATGGAAATCACAAAGCTCAAAATATAAAGGCAATCTGCAGCCATCGACAATACGGTTGTTGACTCCAGGTAAGTGGCTACCATAGCAATGTTTATCGAATCTCCATTGAATACTAAACGAGTATATATACATATTTAAGGCTCTTTTTCTTTTTTTAAAAAAAATAAGGTACAAATTCACACGTTCATGTGTGTTTGTGTATTTACTTACTAGAAAGATCACTCGCAGAAGAACCACATCGTGTTACTCTAGACCCAATTCCAACGCAATAGCTCCTAAGAGAAGAGAAAGAAACATGATATGAGACACAAACCAAAAAGAAAAAGAAAAGATAGCTTACCACAAGCCAAATTGAAGAAACTCATCGTCACTTGAATATCTGCCAACATAAAATGTTTCCTGAGCTTCATTGCCCCCCAAGCTACCGATCACGACAGTACACTGTAAGATGATTCCGATAGCAATTACAAGCCCGCCAATAGCTCTAAGAGTTGTACCCTGCATGGTAAATAGTGAATGAAATGAAGATGATTTGAGAAAAGACAAGGTGGAGGTTTATATAGTAGCAGTAACTTTATGGATTTATCTTATTTGCCTATGATACCTCTTTCTTTTCTATTGTATTTTTCTATGAAGATTTGTGCTTCAAGAGTAATTGTTTTTTTTTTTTTTCAAAAAAGAAAAGTATATTAGACAATGAAGCTGTTAACCTTGAAGAACAATAAAAAAGACATTGGTTTTATTTTATTTCACTTTAAAGAATATGAATAAACGACTTGAAGATTTCTTGGGCATAACCCCACGACAAAGAGATCCGAGGGTACGTTGTCTATAGGCTCTTTCTGTAGGTATGCACTCAGGACAAAGAAGGGCTATATATCTAGACCTATTTCAATGAAATATAAATGTCAAATAGAGATTTTCTATTTTATTACTTAAATTCGAAATAGCAGGAAACCATTGAGAAACTAGGTTTGTAAAATAAATGAAACTGTGTACACATGTATACATGTATAGATACAAGTATCTATTATACGGTGAAACTATCATCGTTTTTGTAAGTTCAGTGCAATATTTTATATTATTAGTCATCCGGCCCATAGACGCGTTGTCTCTTGTTTGAAAATAGTAATAAATTTGATACCGTCGCAGGAACATTTAGAGTTGATATGAGCCCATATTTAGTATTCTTATTTCTTTTTATTGAAGTGAGATACTCCTTTGAAAAACACATTAATAATAAGCCCAGGCTACTTTGTTTATTAACAACCAAGCTATCAAACAAAGGTATGATTGTGTGAGAGGGGTGATTGGACTGTGGGTGGGCTTGTGGTCAAAGATTTCCCTGAGAGTTTTGAACAGATTGATCCAAGCTATCGGGTAGAAATCAGATCGTCCATTGTGCCAAAATAAATCGAGATAATTGACGTCTATTGACAAAGAACATTATCTTCCCATTTACGGATCTACTGTACACCTAAACTTACAGCTATACACACACACACACACACTTTCTTTAGTATTATTCATTCATTTTTCTCTCTTCATCAGCGATCTTTCCGATTTCATGCACACTTCAAGATATTCTTCTTTATTTGACAGACGTCATCCTCGGTTGCTTTAAAATATTAACTTAATATAGGCTAACGTACCCCTCATTCTCTTTTCTTTAACATATAATTACTTATTCTCCTTCTACACTTTAACTTGTCCTTTATTTATTCATCTATTTCTCCCACTCTCTATACGTGTATTTTTGGGTGTTTCGTTTTATTAAATGGCTTCAAAGGTTTTAAATTATCTGATTACCGGCACATCACGCGGACTTGGACTTGAAATGGTTAAGCAACTGTCTGACAAAGGACATTTGGTGGTTGCTTGTGCGCGCAAGCCTGATGATTCCGAAGCACTTCAGGAACTAGTCGATAACAAATCTGTGTATGCTATTCAAATGGACATTGTTAGTCCATCGTCTGTCAAGGTAAGCTTCTTTTCTTTTTCTTTTTGTTAAGAAGAAGAAAACAAGTACCCACATACACATCTATATACAAATACACAAAAATGCCAAGTGTTCTGTGTACTATATTCCCTCTTCGTCCTCCTCTTTCTCTTCATTCTCTCAGCCATCTCACACCAATTTGGATAGGCTGCGATTGAAAACATCGGGAAGATTGTACCACAAGGTATCGATGTACTGATCAACAATGCCGGAAATCATGGAATAAAGGGATTGTCCATTGAAGAGATGTACGTTAATAAGGTTTTTCAACCAATCTGTTAATTAACCTTATTATTATTATTATTACTTTTATTTTTTTCTTTCTTTTGTTCTATTGGAAATCATATTAGCCCACCAGAAGATTTCATGTACGTGTTTGAAACAAATGTGGTTGGAACTAGCAATGTGACGCAGGCAGCGCTGCCGTTATTGAAGAGGCGTTCGACTCGGCAGATTGTTAATGTCACATCTGCGCTTGGGTCGCTGTCTCTTGCCACGACAGGCACGGTTGTTTCGTACCGTGTAGCCAAGGCAGCCGAGAATATGTTGACGAGGACATGGGCCGCACATCTAAAGAAAGAAGATTTTACGGTTGTGAGCCTGCATCCTGGTTGGGCAAGGACAGATCTCGGCGGTCCAAATGCACCATTATCTGCTGAGCAGGCTATTAATGGAGTACTGACCTGTCTAGAAAAACTAGAACCAAAAAACAATGGGGTATTCTTGGATTATAGGGACAAGAATGTCCAGTGGTAAAAAAAAACCCAAAAAAAGAAGAAATATTGTTGGTCACCCATTCTGTTTGCCAAATTAGATTTAATAACCAAATGAGCCAATAAGCCAATATATCAATGTATGAATGTAATCTGCAATCTCATAAATGATTAGGAATGGTGTACCAAAAGATCAATGGGGGGAGAGATGAGGCCAATTTCTTGTGCTTGGTGATAATCTTGCATACAAATAGCACACGTATATATATATAAATATATAAATATTTTGAAGGTTACCTTTTATTATTATTTATTATTTATTATTTATTAATATTCTTTATTTTATTTTCACTTTATTATCATGATTATGACTCTATTCCCGGATCAGTTAATTTTCAATGATTGCAAAGTTATTGCACGTATTACCTTTGATGTACATATGTCTTTGTATTCACAAGCCATGTCAAATCAGGGCACACGATCGAGAGCTTCCTCATAATGACCTATTTTTGATATATATATATATTATCACACACATAAAGATAGAGAGAGAGAGAGGGAGAGAGGGAGAAGGATATGTACATCTTGGTTTCCACGGTAACAAATTCTCTTTCTCCTTTTTATCAATTTGTTGCATTTTTCGCTTATAGTTTCCATAGCAACAAATTCATTAATTAATAAGTATCTTTCCTTTTTATGTGTTGTCTGTGTTTGTGTCTGTGGGCACATCTGCGTGCGTATATTCTTTTTATATGTATAAATATGTATATAATTATTTATATATATATATATAATTATAATTATATGTGCTGTGAGTGTGTGAGTATGTGTGTGTGGGTGTGTGTGTGGGTGAGTGAGTGAGTGAGAGAGTGAGAGAGTGTGTGTGTCTACATTTAATAGGCAGCCTACCAATGGGACCCAGATTGGAAACTCACAAGCTCCCCGGTCAAGCTCAGCCATGGCGCCAATCACTGCATAGAAAGATTGCACAAATGACCTTGATAGGACTTATGGTGATACTCCCAACTGGCCAGTGCCACCTTGCGACAAATCTAGTTTGATGAACCAAACACCAATACCAACATAAAAGACCTCATAAAGCCTATTTTTATGCTCAAAAGACGGAATGATCCCAGACTATAAATCTCTTAATGGATATGTGATGGAAGAATCTGGCAGTCTAAAGCGAAGTTTATGGCAATCTCATTCTACAATTACAGCTGATATAATCCCTTTTTTGATACCAATTATAATGACAATAAAAAAGAATAAAAAGAAAAATAGACTGTGATATAATTATAAAAAAAAAGGCCTGGATTTTTTTGTGGCTGTTGAAACAAAAGAAAAAAAATCAAAACAAAGAAGGTAAAAAGAAAAAAAAAAGAAGGTCTTGCTCTTACTATTGATTATTACTGCTCTTATTATTGGCTGGAGTATTTATCCCTTTAAGGATGTATGATTAAAGAAGTATATCTATATCTATATCCATTTACATATACAGATTTTTATATGTACATATATATATGTAATTGTGTGTGTGTGCGTTGCTACATAAAAGCTGTAATGATCTTTATATTATTATTAATATATATATATAATATAATATAATATAATATAAAATAAAAATAAAAGCAGGGAGGAAATGGCCGATCACGTTGTAGGGCAAAACTACGACAGTGTAACAGCGAGGTATGCAACGTGAAAAAAAAAGCAAAGCCAGTGAGGGTTTTGGAGTTAATGAGTTGTGAGTTCATAATAATAATAAAAATTATTTATTTATTTATTTATTTATTTATTTGAAAACTGCGTATAAACCCTTTTTTAGTTTCTCTACCTATTTCACACCCCTTTCCTTTCCTCTCTCCCAAAAGCCCTTTTGTGAAATCCCAAATCAAGTATAATACGCTTTTTTGTCAACATTTATTATCTGTGATTTCCTATTTATCGATCGCCCTTCCAACCTCGAAGCCCTTTTTATTGTTTTTGGATTTTTCTATTGATTTTCCTTACTAAATCAAGCAACAATCTGTCATGCAATCATCAAACTACTACACCCCTCCTTCCCAAGCCTATATGATGGCACAGCAACAACAACAACAGCAGCAGCAGCATCAACAACAACAACATCAACAACATCAACATCAACAGCAGCAGCAACAGCAGCAGCAGCATCATCAACAGCAACAACACCACCAGCAACAGCAACATCCACAGCAACAGATTCTTCATCATCCTCATCCTCAACAACCTCAACCACAATCAATTCATCACTCTCAGCCTCTCAACATACGCTACAATCCCAATAATGCCATCCCTTCTGCAAATCCCCTGCCTGACCCGAGACAGCACCAAGCACCTGCCTCGGATGTTATCATTGATAATGGTCAAGGTGCCGGCGAGGATGATGATTCAGATGAGAGTGACAAGAAACCAAACAAGCGTTCTGGACGCCGTAAGATTAAGATTGAGTATATTGAAGACAAGACCAGACGTCATATCACCTTCTCCAAGAGAAAGGCTGGTATCATGAAAAAGGTAAGAAAATTAAAAAATAAAACATGTTTTTAACTTCTCCTTATTTTATCATATTGCTGCTGCTATTAATGTTGTTGTTGTTAATTTCATCCCCTCCTTTCCTTTTCAAATAATCAAATAAATATTACTGCTATTATTCTTTTGTCTTAACCATGATTCAATTGTAGGCTTATGAGCTCAGTACTCTCACAGGAACCCAGGTCCTTCTCCTGGTTGTTTCCGAAACAGGTCTGGTATACACATTTACAACTCCAAAACTCCAGCCATTGGTCACAAAACCTGAAGGCAAGAACTTGATTCAATCATGTTTGAATGCCCCCGATACTGTCGAGACTCCACAAGGAAGTACGGCATCCGTGGGTCCAGACCCTCCTTCAACCACAGTAAGTTCTATTGCCAGAATGATCTTTAATCACAAATTTACCTACTAAGAAAATCTTATCACTCTATTGTAGGCTAGCACAGATATCTATGCTGATCGAAGAAAGGTGCGATCTTAAGAACCTGTCTTTGCCTTTTTACTAAAAGAAAAGAAAAGCATTGTTTCAATTCTACCTCTCTTTATCTTTCCTTATATTTATCTCTCTTTAACATTTCTTTCTACCTATATATTATTATTATATTACTATTACTATTACTATTATTTCTTGGCATGGCATCTTTCAATATTATAAATACTCTCTTTCTTTTTAAAAAAAACAATTCAATACAAATACATATATTATACATAGCGCACATATATTATACATATATTCATAAAGTATTTCCTTTTTGTTAATTTCAACATTGGTTATTTTGATAACCTTATCCAAGGTTCATGTGTTTGTGTGTGAGGGTCTGTCTTTCTTTTTTCTTTCTTTTCTCGGTATAATTTATTCCGTAATTGTTGAATTTATTTTATATGTGTATATTAAATATATATATATAAAATGACGTTTCCCAATAGTCAATTAGGAATACAGATATGTAGACATAATACACACAGAGATATTAAGTTATTGAGTTTTGTCCAATGTAGCGTCGCATAAACAAACTGAGATCAAGTGCAGAAGGCGCACGGGCAGTTATTTGTACAATCCCTTTAGGTTCCATCGCCACATGCACCAAAACCGGCCCGCCCAAACCATCCGAGGCAATCAATTCGTTGCCAATCAATTCTACCTTTTCCAAATCCAATTCTTCACAAAGGCCTTCAAACTGACCCTCCTTGCTCAAGCCACAATCGATGTCCCTCTTTTCTTCAAACTCGTATTCCACCCAAGCTGCTCCAAATTCCTCTGTAGAAATCGAATTTTTACCCTTGGTTTCTTTTTCTTCTTCATAATTATAATCATCATATCTGTCTTTCTCTTCTTCTTCATTAGCATCGGTATCATCATCGTCAGCTAGTTCAAGAGCCAAAAGACTGGCTATCATTGAATTCTGTGAGAATTGCAGATTAGTCATATCAAATTTTACAAATGACTTGGAATCTTACCTCTTTGACTATTGTAACACACGCACACGCGTACACAGTTAGTACAAGCACCAATAATAATAATAATCAAAACTTAATGTGGTTTACTTTGTAGTGGAAATTGTTGATAACCAGCTGCTGGTACAAATGAACTCAAAGTGCTAAAGAAAGAAAGAAAGAAAAAAATTGAAAGGTTATCAAGCCTTAATATTTTTTCTACAACCACCGGGTACCAACTCTGGTGAATATTACCTAGAGTGGGTCTTGTCTCTCTTTGGTATACGATCAAACGAAGACTCGAAACCTTTTGCCGATTGTGATTTTAATTGTGCCTGTGGTTGCACCTGCTTCCGAGGTTTAACAGCCTGAGCAGTCTTCTGGGGCAAGGCTGACTGCTGGTACTTGATATCGGTCAGATTTGAAGCCGTACCACGAATTTCTTATTTTCATATGTATGCATATGTGTGTATCCCATAATATAATTTAGTCTGTCATTTCATTTCATTTCATTTCTTCTTTCCTTCTTTTTTTTTCATTCTCCCTTTATTCACCAGGCTGTTATCTTACCAGGGTCCTCAAACCGACTCAAAGACGGTCTATTAGGGTTAGCCGAAATCTTAATTGTCGGCTGGGAGGATGTTGGATAAACCTCTTCAACAGATCTCTTAAATGTATCATCTTCAATAAATCCTAGCAAATCTAAAGCAAGCTTTATATAACAAAGAAGAATAAAAATATTAAAGAAGTTGGATGTCAATAATTTAATGGCACTCATAAGAAAATAAATAATATATATATAAGGCTTACCTCTTGTTTTTCGAGTATTGGTGATACTCTACATTCATTCAATATAGACTCAAGCCCGGGTAACCATGTTTTTGATCGTTTAATACACTGCTTGATTGCTTGTAACCCAATTATTTGTAACACATCGTCTGGTAGATTACATTAAAGTACACAACCATCAGCACATTTTTTTTTATAGTTTTATAGTTTAATTTTTTAGCGTTGAAACTCTAGTCTCAGCAATAGCAACAGCAACAGTAGCAGTAGCAGTAGCAGTAGCATCTGTAGTGTTAATAATAATTGCAGTACTACCTTTGATAAACCCTATCCATTTCTGCATGTGTTTCATAGCTGTTATGTCATTAAAGGAATGATCCGCGTATGCGTACTCCCCTATCATCTTACATAATATTAAGTATATAGTTAATACTATTATTATTATTATTTTAAAGTTATATGATGAAATATATATATATATATATACTTATATATATAAAAGGTAAAACGAAAAATATGATACTAATAACCAATTTAGGAAAATTTGATGTGCATTTGGACAACAACCCTCAGACCAGCTTTAATTATTATTATTTTGCTTTACCTCGCATGCCAGTTGAACAAGACACAAAGCTAAAGGTGTACTTGGGGATCTTTTTATTATCCCAAACAAGCTATGCACACCGTGTTCAAGTATAGAAAATGGTTCAGTGTCGGTTTCCATGGCTACAAAAAAAAGAGAGATATATATAGAGAATATGTTTGTGTGCCCAAAATTTGTATAATGGTAATGATTCTAAATGCACAACTGATTATCTGGTCTACCTTTCTTGATTGCTTTGCAGTGGGACTCTACTACTGCAGTATCCAGGTCTGTTTGTGTTGCTGCCAAAATGTCTATTTTTGTGCTAATGTACCACGGGCTTACTTCACAATGGGTAAAGTACCAAAAAAAGAAATATATAAGAGTCAAGGATTAACGGAACCAGTAAATGGGTTACACTGCCGCAAATAAGAATATGCGTGTGTACACGCGCACACTACATATCTCTCTCTCTCTCTTGTTCTCGAAAAGATTCGAGTGAACAAGTGAATGAGTTAGTGAGCGAAAAAAAAAGATTACGCATAGAAAAGGATATAGATAGATTGCGTCAAGGTACCAATAGGCAATCCGCTCTCGGATGTGTTTAGGTGCCTGTGTTTCCAATGCATTTTTAATTTTGTTTTGGATTCGTTGGAGCGAGTCCTGATTTGCAATTGCATTCAATATATCCAAGCTCTTGAATACAAGTGTGTCATCTTCGACACCGACCAGGAGATTGTTTGCCACCACACCTCCGTTTAACCATTCCTGGGTCCACACACTCTTGTCAAGAGCTTCAAGGCACAAGAGACCGAGATACTTCATATTGTGATTCCCAGCCTCGAGAAACCTATCAATAACACGCGACAATTGTTGGATCTCGTTATTTCTTTCTGTTGTACCAAGAACTCGGGTGCAAGACAAGATAATCGCTAAAATAGAACATAGCAGAACAGAACATAGTAGTAATAATTGTACTAATAAGTATAATCTTTTGATTGAAGTCGTAATCGTAATCGTAGTCGTAATCTATAGATTGTTTCAAAAAACCAAAATATACCGTAGGCAGCATCTACTCTTCTTTCCGCATTGCTCAAGCAATTCATTACAATGGCATTTATTTCCTCAATTGACCTAAATCAGATACCAAGGTGGTACATTATATCAGTTTCTGTGTTTCTGTGCATACGTCTATATAGATGTGTTTTCTTTCTTTCTTTCTTTTAAAATAATATTATCATTTGATATTAATTTATCCAATATTATTATGGCACAAATCGACTTGTAGTACTTTACCCAGCATTTGCCTTGTAATAAGATTGGATGATGTCTAGCAAGTGAATCTGGGCCCAAGGTGCCAATACTCCGTGGTAGATAAATGAACGATGAAGTCTGTTCTCCAATATTTGTCGAAAGATCCGATAAAACGTGGGCAGCACATCTGTGTACTCACTTGCACGATTCTAGATATTTACCAAATGATATTAGTGATAATATAGTGTATATAATATGTATTACCTTCAAAATGACCTTCCACACTGATAGGGCTGCAAATACAACACTTGGATCCTTGTCTTCCAATGCTTCTTTTAGGTATCCATCGATTTGACTCAGTAGTTGAGGAGATCGTTGGTAAAAGCACAGCAAAGCCAACAATGCTTTTTTCCTTACTATTTGCCTGTTAAATAGATAAATAATATACATATAAAACTCAATATTATTATTATTTTTTACTTGTATATGCCTTCCCCCTTTTTTTAAAAAAAGAGAAAATAGTAATAATAATAGACTTATTGAATTAGTGCTTACTTTGGATAGGCAAGACATGCTACTGTAGCTTGTAAAAGATTATCTTCCATCTCAGGTAATTGCAAATATCCAATGGCATTTAATGCGGCACATCGATCAAGATATTGCTGGCTTTTGAGGTCCTTTATTTTTATTTTATGTTACTTTAGTTTTTTTTTTCAGGGCAGAAAATCTTAATAGTAATTTATCTATATATATTATATATACAGATACTTATTTCTGTGCGTGTTTTGTGTAGATTGAGTCGTATCTTATTGTACTTTATTGGCAAATAGATGAATCTTACTCGTTGTAATGTATTTATCAACATTATTCCAAGTGAAGGATCGTGCTCAAGAAACAGTGCACAAGCTAAATAACCTAAATACCAAAAAAAAACTAGATGAGTCTGACTATACTGCTTCATAATTGGACTTTTACTTTTTCTTCTTTAATAAATTTTTTTTTCTATGATCTACTCTACCTGTACGTCTCTGTCCTAAAGTCTCGCCACTTTGAGTAGTCATGATGGCATAAATAACTCCAAATTCTACGGAATATCCCAGCATAGCACAATGGACAAGACAAATCAAATAGTCTTTCATTTTGGCCTTATATATAAAGATATATTTATATAGATACACGCCCATAAATTTATGCTATTATTATGAGGCTCTAGTAAAAAAAACAGAGATGGACTTACTGATGAGACATCAGGATGACTCATCTTGGCAGCCAAGAGCTTAAGTTCATGCTGAACATGGGAATGCTCTTCCTACAAGAAAAGAAGAAGTAGAAGAAGAATTCCAGTAATATATGTATATATATATATTATCTCAGCTCAAGGTCATTTCGTTTTTGTTCAATGTCTATTACAGCTTTGCTTTTAGATTCCGTAATCTTTCTAATGAATCCACCAAATTCAGTGCTTGCACCAGAAGCAATGAATTCTGAGCCGAGAAAAGCGTGTAGTCGTGGCATAAATGTTAGCGATAGTTGTAATACAATGTAGTATAAAAATTAATCACACGAAATAAAGAAATCTTGTACTTCTATACATTTTCTTGGTTACGATCAATCTGTTGGTCTTTAATACAAGTCACTTGAGCCTTTCTTTTTTTTCGCTTTTTTTTTCTTTTAGAGTTACAGTAGATTATAGAAAAGCAACAGTAGCATTACTGTCAGTAACAACTGTAGTATCAAAGGTACCAATAAGGGGGGGGGCGATAACATCTACAGTGGCAACAGGAATAGTGAAAAACTGTAGATATATACAATGCACGTCAAGTTCTCTTTCTCTTCTTCGTTCTTTTTCATCTCCATAAAAATATTAACCAATCACTTTATACAATATTTAAGCGCTTTAAATCCAGACAATGCTGTTGAATGTTTTAAACGAATCAAAATTATTTTTTTATGCACAGCTTACTTCTTTTGGAAAAATAAAATAAAGAAATTAAATTCAGACAAAAAGCTTATTTAAAATAAGAAAAAACACAGAGCTTTCATATCTTTATCATCCCAAGTATTAAATTGTTTGTGTTTTTTACTAAAGAAAACCGTTGGTAAAAAACACAATCTTTTATTTTTTATAGGTTTTGCAAACTCAGAAAAATATATCTTGTTTACAGCCCAATTCAGCAAACCGGTTCAGAATCTCGATTTATACAACGGTTTGTATCAAGAAAGGCGTTCTACCTTCTGATGTTACTGGTTTTCTTTTTCCCTTTATGCGTGTATTTATGACTAGTTATTTTGGTCTTGCTGGTATTAATAATAGTAAAACGTAGTCAAGGGTAGTTACATAACTAAGAGTATAATAAACAAGTAAAAAATAAGATATAATCAGTAATATATAAACAATAGTCCAATTGATTCCTGCCCTAACTTGTTTCCATTTTTTTACCTGTAAAATTGTAACAAGCTAACCGGAGCTTACAGTTGTTACAGATTTCGCCTTTTTCTTTGAATTTATAACGCCGCCCACTTCATATACAAACCCTTACAAGAAGTAACGGAATGATTTTCAAACTCAACATAGTAAATGATCTTTAAAAAAAAAGTGCAACTATGCATTAAAGAAAAAACAAAAACGCCTTTTCTCTTTCGAATCTTACAAAATGTCTCAAGAAATCAATAAAGATACTTTTAATAAACGGAAGGAGATATCAGATTATGAAAAAGGGCTTATTGTCGGTGGTGCTCTTCAAGATGTATCATTAACCGCCATTTCGGAGAAAACAGGCATACCTTTGACAACTGTACATAGAACAGTCAAAAGATGGAAACAGAACGGCACAGCATTAACAGTAAAGCGCAAAGGACGTCAGGCGATTTTGGGGGAAAGGGATTTAGGCCATCTCAAAAACGAAATTAAAAAGAATCCCAAGACTACACTTGGAGAACTTACAATCGCCATGAGAAACGTGATTGGGAATTACGTTTCCAAGAATACTGTCCGTAAAGGGATTCGTAAAATCGAAATGTCTTCTTGTCATGCTGTTATCGATCCAATGCTATCCGAAGTACCCAAGAATAAATAATTAATGTTTAATCCTCACTCCAAGCAAATCAATCAACGATGGGATCGTGTGATCCGGAGTGATGGGTCCTGATTCATGTTTTTTTTTAAAAGGATGGAAATCTTGGAATTTGGTGCGTTCCTCTGAAGAAATACAAAGCTAATTGTATTGTGCCCAGAATACATCTTATAAGTAACTCAATGACGGTCTATGATCTGTGTATGAGCAGGAGAAGTGAACCCTCCAAAAACCATCATTAATGGGCCTAGATCAATTTGGATATATACACTTCTTGGAAAGAAAATTGATCCCATCCTATGGCTATCTAAATTAAATATATGACAGGGATTTCGTTTCTCAGGAAGAAAACACTCCTTGCCATAGGTCAAAACTCGCCGAGTGCTGAAAAAAGAAAGGTCCGTAACGTGCCAATAATGGCATGACTACCAAATAGTTCAGATATCTCGATCCTCTTGAGAATATCTAGGCTTATTTGGGTCCGATTGTAAGGGCAAGGGTATGGGACTTGACTGCCCTTGAGAAGGTGGACATGGTAATCTATGGAAGAATAGAAGAAAATACAGGTTTGAAGTGTGCGAGATGTATTGTAGGTCTATTGAAAATCGCATAGATCTGATGAAGAGAACCTGTGGCGATATTACCAGGTATTAAATTTTAATATTTTTTTATTATTTTTTCAATGCTTTTAAAAGTGATTTTGACAAGTGAAATTAAGAAAACAATGAAGAGGAATTTAAAGAAGTCATTCCTATTTTACTTTGGCAGAAGTCTAGATATACCAATGATTCATGGAATCCAAGTACAAATATGTGTGTGTATCTACAAAATTGAGCGCAGTTTGTACTGCGTGAATGATTTGGACAAGATTTCCTTTTGTGTCTTGTGGTTGTGAGTATATAAGATTCAATGTACAAAGATAAGCTCTTTCGTTTTTTTTATATATTTGGGATTAATTCGATTTAATACACACATGCACTTTGCTTTACTTGTCCTTCATTGCCTTGGATGAATTCTTATTTTTGGTCTTGATCTTGTATTATGTTTGATTGTTTGAATATCCACAAGCTGGCCATATGACTTAATAATTGAGTATATGGTAATTTTACTGATAATTATTTTACCTCCTTCCTTCATTTCTTCCTGGCGTCTTTCTTTTATATATAAGTATAGCTATTTCATTACATTATATTGGAGTGCAGTACAGTGCAGTGCAGTGCAATACAGTGCAGCACATTTCTTTATTTAACAATTATCGATTTAAACACACCAATCTACCCAACATCTCTCTCATTCTCACCTTCGCTTCTATTCTGAATCTTGTTACAACTGTATTAAATTCCGCCTTACTTTTTATATATAAATTTATACTTTCTTGATTGTCAAACAGGCCACAAGCCAATATATATATATAATAATAATAATAAAAAATATATATAAAATCTTATTTTTGGAAATAAAATAAAAATTACAAGCTTCTTCATTTAAATTGATCTTCTTTTTTTTTTTCTTCTTTTTTTTTGTCAAAGACTTTCTTCTTCTTTTTTTACTTCTCTATATTTTACGTATACTTTATAAATGGAAAGTGCCGAACGTAAATACAATGAACTATCACTATGGCAGACCACAACCATGTCGATTCATACCAGTAGCAGTGGAGCCAGTACACAGGACGAAGCAGTAGGATCTGATTATCACTGGCAAGATCCACACGCACTTTCTTTCATCACTCCACCTGCCTACACTCAACTATTGGATGATTTCTCGATTATTGACGATCTCTACGAGTCATTTGAGACCGAAGATGAAACTTCAGGTTATGGTGAGAAATAAAATAAAAAAATATAATAAACATGCACATATGTGTAACACTCATCTTGAAGAAGAGCAGGTTGTAGACACTGCAAGAAATGTAGCAAAAAAACAGCAGGCTGTTCAGACATTATTAGATACTGAAACGCAGTACATCAGCGATTTGGGCACTCTCCTAGACATCTATGCCACCAGAACCCAATTGTGGTGCGAAATGCCTAATAATCGCGAATTACTGACCCGTAAATCACCAAATACTATCCAAGATGTCGAAATATTGCTTCGAGATTTGTCTGAGATTACAAGTATTCACAAATCATTTCACAAAGACTTGAGCGAAAGGTGAGAATACTAATGATACCAATACCATTACAAATGCATATAATATGCTTTATTGTTATAAAGCATTATTACTATCATTATTCTTGATCAAACTATTCAATAAAGTTAATTTAATTGTCTATTTCTTCAATTTAGGTTGCAAATCTGGGGTCCTACCCAACTTCTTTCAGACATCTTTAGTCGACTGGTAATTTCTTTTACTTTTTTTGTAATTTTCTCGATACACACATATTCAACCTCTTTATTGTGTTTTATTATATTTTGTATATAAATATTCATTCTAGTACGACCGTACTGCCTATTACGAAACCCTTTTAAACAACTACACCAATAAAATCGTTACACTCGATATCCTCTTGAAAACCGCGCCATTTGTAAAACTCATGGAGGTAAAACAAAAAAGAAAATAAATAGACAAATAAACATTGTTGTTGCCTTGGTCTAAGCCAAAGACAATTTGCACTGGTTGTTGCTTTATCTGACTTCCAAGATATCTCTATCTATTCATGACTTTTACAGAGCTGGACAGCAGAGTTCAACCCTCCTCTTCGTGACATCCTCACCTACTTCAAATCACCGCTGTTACAGCCCGGAGCTTATGCACGTTCCCTTGGTCAACTTGTATATTATACCGAACCATGTCACCCCGACTACCTCGGCCTTCTGAGGATAGCTCATGCTTTCCAGGCACGTGAGGTTGACTGGAAAGAGATGTGAGTAACCTCAAATTTGTGTTTACAAAAAAAAACAAGTACACAAGCATTCAACCATCCCCAAAAATATACATATATATATATGTATATATATATAAATTTAAATTTAAATTTAAATTTAAATAATACTGAGAATAATGATATCAACAACAGGATTCAAGATCGCCTCAATCACCTTTCTGTACTTCAAGTCTTCCGCACACTTTTACATTGTCCTGCCCATGTCACACCGACCCGGCGTTTACTGCTACAGGGTACAATGGTCAAGATCGATCTGACCGAGCCAAGTTTGGTTACTGACACCAGGCTCTACTTCCTCTACAATGACATGCTGATTGTCAGTCGGCGCAAAGATAAGAAAGACAACAAGATAGTCTATAAAGAGACCCTCCCGTTGGTCAAGGCGGAAATTAAACTCCTGACCAAGCAATTGGCTACCCGGATGGCAGAAGTCAAGAAGCCGGCCAGTTTTCAATCGCTGTTTGGACGTAAACAACAACCGGAAGAGAACATCAACGGTGTGCCTGCTCCGATGGCATTTGGATTCGAAATCTCGATGCCACCTGAGCATTCATTGGATAGCATAGCCATTCTTTCCAATCCTGCGGCGACTAGTGTATCTGCAGGGTCGATATCCATGCGCCGCCGCCATGTGGTCAGGACGAGGTCACTAGCAGAGCAGCAAATTTGGGTTGCAACCTTACGCCGGGTTGTCCGCGTCGTGACGGCCAAAGCACAAAATGATGGTTATTAGTATTATAGCAGGTCTATTCAAATTCTAATTTATTTATTTATTTATTCTCATTCTTTCACATACACAAATATTAAACGATTAAAATCTATTGTTAATTCTTATTATTATCATTATTTTATATTATTTTTATTATTAATATTGTTTTGGTTGAAGAATAAGTTGGAATACACAAAAGTATAGGCAAAGAAACAAGATGAAGGATAGACAGAAACAGAAAGGGCGGGAAAGGATAAATGATTAGAAAAACTAAGATTGGCTATTCTCCTTTATGAGATTGGACAGGTTCTTTGGTTTGTCTGTTTAATGTTCAGCCCACTTGATAGACTTGAGATCGATACCCTCCTGAACCTATTATACATAAATAAGGATAGTTTAATAACCAAGCTCATTCACTCATTTATATATAAGAAACATATTTGTTTAAAAAAGCTTACCATTTCCCAAAGTGGAGACATATCTCTCAACTTTCCAACATGTTGGCTCACACGCTGGATAACAAAATCAACCTCTTCTTGAGTAGTGAATCGTCCGATACCAAATCTAATAGAACTATGAGCCTGCTCATCATCAGCACCTAGAGCACGGAGTACATAAGAAGGTTCTAATGAAGCAGATGTACAGGCGGATCCAGAAGACAAGGCAATGTCCTTGAGAGCCATCAACAACGATTCACCCTCGACGTAGGCAAAGGACAAGTTGACACATCCTTAAGTCATAATTGTTTGTTGTTAGAATACTTTCTTTCTTTTATACAAAAAAAAGGCTATACATTATATATTATTTACCTGGGTAACTCTTGAAAGGATCTCCGTTACGGGTTACTTCGGGAATTCTTTCATTAATACCATCGATCAGGCGCTGAGAAAGAGCAGAGATGTGCTTATGATCATACTATAATTATGATTATTTTTAATATATATGTATTAGTAAATTTGGACATTTGTATATGCATATGCATATGTATTGTATTGTATTTGTATATGCTTAAAGTGTCTCAGAACCCCTGCACAATGGATCCTGACAAAGACTGTAGGAAATTAAGATTATGAAAGAATTCAACCGAGATCGAACCCTTTCAATAATCTCTTTTTTTGAATCCTTTCTTCGTTCACATTGGCGTTATTTTTACCGTGCGACGAACACGATTCATCACTGACACTATCCACCACCACTACTAATACTACTACTAATAAAACAAATTTCTGTATATATATTCTTACCTCCATCTCCTCGCGTGCCACACGACAGGCCTCACCCAAGCCTACAGTAAGCATGGTGGGCACAGTTCCACTTCGAATACCACGTTCCTGACCACCACCACTCTGGATGGCGTCGATTCTGACACGTGGCCGGCGACGAACGTACACGGCTCCAATTCCCTTTGGGCCGTACAATTTGTGACCAGAAATGCTCATCAAGTCAATGTTCATCGAATTGACGTCCATGGGAACCTTGCCGACTGCCTGTGCAGCATCGGTGTGGAAAAAGACCTTTTTGGCCTTGCAGATAGCACCGATTTCGGCAACAGGCTGTAAGACACCGATCTCGTTGTTGACAGTCATGATTGAGACCAGGGCAGTGTCGGGACGAATGGCTTCTTCGAGCAACTTAAGATCCACCAAGCCATTGGACTGGACAGGAAGGTAAGTTACCTCGAATCCTTCTTCTTGCAGAACACGGCAAGAATCAAGGACACATTTGTGTTCCTAATGAACAAAATAACCGAATTCATTTTAATCGATTTTAATTGGGTTAGATTGAATTGCAATTGAATTAAAATCAAGATGTATTGCGTTGTATTAATAATCAAAATCAAAGCACAAACCCCAATCAACATCCACACACAGTGAGAGTGAGAGGGTGAGAGATTGAGAGATTGAGATTGAGAGAAGGAGAAGGAGAAATTTAATTTAAGCTCTTCTAAATTTGGAAATCCAAAGAGAAATATTACTTACAATCAGGGTAGTGATTAAATGACGCTTTTTGTTTTTGTAGAAGCGAGCAACACCTTTGATGCTAAGATTGTTGGACTCGGTAGCTCCAGAAGTAAAGATAATTTCCTTGGGATCAGCGCCAATCAACTTTGCAACCTCTTCACGTGCTGCATCGACAGCCTTTTCGGACTCCCAGCCATAAGGGTGGGTTCTAGAGTGAGGATTGCCGTACAATTCGGTCATGTAAGGCAACATTGCATCCAGCACACGAGGGTCCATTGGACTAGTGGCTTGCATGTCAAGGTAAACAGGACGGCCTTCCTTGGCAACAGCTTCAGCCTTGAAGCCTAGTGTGTCTAGATAAATAAATAAATAAATAAATAAATAAATAAAGTAAATAAATAAAGTAAATGTGTATATAATTGTCAGTTTATTGTTTTGCTTTGTTTATTTGTTTGTATTTTGTTTTTTGTTTTTTAAAGTGAATGAATAAATGAAGTTTGGCTATCTATACAATAAATGTCGTTTGAACCATTTATATGTACTTATTTATTTGTTTTTTTTTCATATTTCTTTACCTGCTGCGGGAGCTACAATTTCGGCAGCTCTTTGAACAGAAGCACTATGAGTCAATCTAGTGAATGGAATCAAATGGCGTGCATTTGGAATCGCACGTCTAAATAGAGTTCTTGGAAGCATTCTTATTCTTATTTTTATTATTATTATATTAAATTATATTAAATATTAAAAATATTAAAAAAAAAACAATAATATTATTTAATATAAATATATAATATAATTCTAAAGGGTTGGAAAGAGTAGGGAAAATAAGAAAAGTCAACGGAGAAAAAAAAATTAAAAAAAAAAAAAGACGCAGTTTTATGTATTTTTCCAAAAATTAAATAATAATAAAAAATATATTATTTTATGTATTGAGTGTGGAGTATGTGTGTGTGTGTGTGTGTGTGGAGTTATAAGGAAAACCATCTACAAATCTGGCTGACGTGTCCAATCGATCATCTGAGTTGCAATAAACAAACACGATGACCAAAAAAGGAAAAGAGGAAGAAAACAAATAAGGATACAAATATGATAATATTGAAACAGAAATTGAAACAGAAAAAGAAAGACAGGAAAGAACAATGGAGAAAAAGGATCTATAATTCACAGTATATGTACAAGGCAATAAATCAAAAAATACAATAAGGATAAAAATATAAAGAGAAAAAAGAAAATCATACATAAATGAGAGAGTGAGATATTGGGATATGTGAGGAATGGAGGGAAAAAAAAAGAAAAGAAGATCTATAGTAAAAGAAAAAGGATAAAATATACTGATGAGAATGAGCGTACACAAGAAAGACAAAAATGAAAATGTAAAGGAGTGAATGGTGCGTGAGTATATGGATTGAGGGAGGGTTGTGTATAGGTCGTGAATTATGTAAGTGTGAGTGTATATGTGAGTGTTGGTTTCGTGAATGTGTGAAAGAACAGAAACAGATTGAATATATAAGTGTGGAAAAGTGTGTGTGAGAGAGAGAGGAAAAGGAAATGAAACTGGCATAGTGAGATAAAAGAAATATAGGGAAGTGATATAAAGAGAAAAGGTCTTGAAGGGATGACGAGGATGCGGTGATGTTGAAGGGGTGAAACATATTAACAGTAATCAGAAAATACATAGGCCGAAGAAGAGGAAGTTGAGGAGACTTGGGCAGTATTGGGCCAGGCACGAGGAGCGACAATTGCTCTAAGGTCAGGTACATGGCGAGGCATAGCATATCTCCTCCGGGCAGTTTTCTGGACCTGGTTGTTGGCACGCTTCGGGAGAGAGCCTAATGGCTTCCGGGCGACCATGGGAGTTTCGTGCGACTTTCCGTGCTTACGAAGAGATCTCGAGTGGAAATAAGCTTTTCCACAGCCACGGACAGGGCAGGCATAGGGTCGTACATTAGAGTGAGTCTTAATGTGAGTGTTGAGGGAATCTGGGCGAGAGAAACGCTTGTCGCAACCTAATGTAATTGTTGTTATTAGTATGATGAATATAATAATAATTGTAAGCATAATACTAAATTTTAATTTTAATTTTAATTTTAATTTTAATTTTAATTTTAATTTTAATTTTATTTTTAATTTTATTTTTATTTTTAATTTTAATTTTCATTTTATTTTTTATTTTTTTATTTACCTTGAACAGTGCAGACAAAGGGTCTTTCGCCAGTATGGGTACGCATGTGGTTGTGCATCTTGTGACGCTTCATAAAGGGCTTCTGGTTACGAGGACAATCAGACCACTCGCAATGATAGGCAGGCTAAAAAAATATTAAATGAAGAAGAAACAATTGGATGAGACAATAATTCATAATAATACTTGTGGGCTGTTGATCTGTGTATTAAATAATAATAAAAACTAATTTTACCTTGCCACTGCCAACGTGGTTCTCTTTAATGTGAGTAATCAGCTGATTCAACTTGGACAAATGAATTCCACAGTTGGCCCAACGACAGACATAGGATTTCTCTTCTTGGACTATAATAATGATAGTAATAAAGAATATGTGATTTATTAGAATAAGTCAAGATAAAAGACATACATAAAAAGTATTATCTATATATCAAATGAATGAATATCTTACCAAGAGGCTGTCTGGACTGTCTTTCCTTTTCGAGTTGGACTACACGCTCAATAAGTTCTGCTCGTGACAGATGGCCAAATAGGGCCGAGGCAGAGGCAAGTTTGCTCTCTACAGGATAGCAGGAGGACTCGAATTCCATCTCGGGCGAGGGAGAAGCCACAAGGCTCTCGGGTGATTGCCATTCAGTGGGCATCTCTGGGCTGACAGAGGCAGGATAGGGAAAGACCTAATAGTATAAACAATTTTTTTTTAAAAAAAAAGATTAGTGATTAATATTAATAATAGTAATAATAATAATATTATTATTACTAATATCTATATGCATACCTCTGAGGGTACAACTAAGGCTTCATAAGCAGCTGGGTCAAAGGATTCCTGGAAAGGAAGATGAAGCAAGCTGGAGTTTGAAAGACAATAAGAATCATAGAGGGGGTCTTGGGCGTAAGAGGACCAGTTGAGCTGTTGCTGGTGCTGGTGTTGTTCGTGGTGGTGGTGATGGTAATGTTTTTGGTCGGAGTAAAATGTCGCATGAATGGCGTCGTCAGACACAGTTGAGGGTTGCCACAGGGGCGAAACTGTGGTGTGGGCGAGGAAAGAATCGGGATTGTCGTAGTTTGTGTCGCACGTAGGAAGATCTGGTGTACGAACACCAGTAGAAGAAGACATTGAAGGAGAGTCGAGTTGGTGTTGGGACATCCAGGTGAAAGGAATACTACCAGTAGTAGTAGTAGTATTATTAGTAGTAGCAGTATCACAGTGGCTCATCCAAGCGTAAGGAGAGTCGGTGAGAAGTGGACTAGGTGAGTTGATAGTCATGTTGGAAGAAGGGTAAAGAGGATAAAGAGGAGAGACGGTGAAGATTGGGGAAGTAGGTGTTTCTTTGGTAGGGTCCATTGGATTGTTTAAGAAAATAGAGAAGAGGTGAAATGGTTTTTATGTTGTTGGTCGTCTTGGAAGCGAAACTAAAGAAGATTTTTTCTGGAAAGAGGTTCGAATTTCAAACGGTCAATTTATACTATTTGCTTTTTGGTGCTATTGTGGTTCGACATTTAATAAAAGAAAAAAAGAAAAAAGAAAAAAGAAAAAAGAAAGTGCCTTACCGAATCACAGTCCGAATTCCATATAATTTCATCGGAAGACAAGCTAATTCGGAAGTTCTATCTACAAAAGAGAGAGAGAGAGAGAGGGAGAAAAAGAAAAAGAAAAAGAAAAAGAAAAAGAAAAAGGGAGATTATGTGATAATATTATACAGAACACATACGTTTATTCATTTAATTCACTTTTGTTATCATGGTTACTATTGCTATGACTACTGTTACCATGACTACTATTAGTATAACTACTGTTACTATGACTACTGTTACTATGACTACTGTTACCATAGATATTTTTACATATTAAAAAAATGTTATTATTAAAGAAGAAAATAGAAGCAAAAAAAAACTATATACAGAGAAACAATTGCGTGACATTTTTGGCTTTCACATGGGCGAGTTTCTCATACAAGCCAAAATTCTTATTTTTGATTTTTAATATTTTTGTTATTTTTTTTTAATGATCTATATTTCTTATTTTATTTTACTTTACTTTATTTACATGTGGCAAACACTTAAGTCTAATGAATTACAAAATGCCTGTTGTGATGTGGTTTTATTTTTCTGGTGACGATCACTCCGCAACAAACAACAGCCAACCCTCTTTAATATATAACACAAATATAACCCAAGCGGAACTAGGCTCGTGCGCACACATGTCGAACCACACGACAATCAAGAAACACACACTCACACACTCACCCATAAAAAAATCCAACAAAAAAATATGCACACACAAATACACAAATACACAAATACACAAATACACAAATATACAAATATACAACTAACCAGTCAACCAACCAACTTTAATCGCCTGTTAGCCAAAAATATCACTCGATTTCTCTACACTGGCTCTCCTGTTTCCTACCCTCAATCTCATTTACGTTGAATCGCGTGGCAAAGAAGGACCAAAAATAGTTTCTTGATTGACATCCTGTCCTTCCTATACAACCATGCACGCACGATATACACACACACAAACACTTCTCAAAGTACAAAAAAATCATAATTTTGAATTTTGACTCCAAAATAATCTTTACAAAACTATTATTACTACTGCTGTCATTGATCTGAAATGGTAAAGAGCCGAATCTTTACTACTTTTATTTTTTTTTATTTTTATTTTTTACTTTTACTTTTTATTTTCTTAAATTAATTATCATAATTACACAAATAATATCTAAAGAGCAGATGCACCAGTAATAATATCAACTACAAAAAATAATAATAGTAATAATAGAAAACCAAGAAATTAATATTAAACATACTATACACACACAAAACACAAAACTTACTCAATTCGTTGGTAATGACAGCCTGGCGACCACGGTTGTAGGTCATGGTGAGCTTTGTGATCATCTCTCCGGCGTTTTTGGTAGCGTTCTCCATAGCAGCACGCTTGGCGGACATCTCGGCAGCATGTCCCTCAACCATAGCCCAGTAGATAGAGTTTGCAAAGTTGAACTCCTGGAGGTTAGCAAGAACATCATCTTCGATCTCATAAACAGCGAAGTTGGGCGAGGCCTTGAATGCGTTGTCAGAGTAGACAGTGATTGAATCAGCTTCGTAGGAAATGGCAGACAAGAACTTGTTGTAAACGATCTTGGCAGAGTCAAACTCGATGCCGTCAGCCTTGATTACATCAACAATTGAACTGGCCTCGGTGAAGGTAGGAACAGCCTTGCCGATCTGGTTGAACGAAAGGGTGATGTTGGAGCGCACAGCACGGGACAATTGTGCTTTGGGCTTGTCACCCAAAACAACAACACGGCCTTCGGGGTTAGCTTCGACTGCACGACGGGTGGCCTTGGAGACACTAGAATGGATACCACCGCACAGACCACGGTCAGATGAAGAGGCAACAATCAATTCAACGCCTCCATCGGTAGCTTTGGTCTCGGCACTCTGGAAAAGAGCTTTTTCGTTGTTGTTGTTTTGAATTTTGATTTTAAGGGGTATTTTTTTATATCAATATCACAATACATAATCAAATTATCAATTATCAATTATCAATTATTATTTATTTTTATTTTTATTTTTATTTTTATTTTATTATTATTATTATTATTATTATTAGAATTAAAATTTAATATCTCACAGTTGGATGCAACACCAAAGGCGCGGGCAGTATCCATGTTACGCTGAGCCTTGGCAACCTTGGTAGAGGCAATCATCTTCATAGACTTTGTGATCTTTTCAATGTTCTGGACGGAACGAAGACGCTGCTGAACTAGTAATGGAATTAGCTTTAAGTTTCTCAGTGGAAAATTGTCTTACTTTCTCTCAGAGTGGCCATGTTACGGGCTTGGATGCCATTGCTAATATAAATATTTTATTTTTTTAAGACAGTTTTAATATATGTGTGTATATGTGCAAGCGTGTTGCAATTTGCATTATGAATTGAATTGAATTGAATTGAGTTATTATCTAATGCTGATTCGTCATTGCGTGCTTTACCTCAAGGGAGCTACAGCAGGACGAACAGCAAGACGGGTGGTGAACATTATAATGCCAAACAAGGAAAGGTAATTGTCGAAACGAAAAGATAATAAAATTTCTGAGCGGGGGTCCTATCACAATCAATCCAACCTTCCCTGCCCTGCCCTGCCCTGTCCTGCTCTACCCTACCCTAGCTTCTGCCCTAGCTCTGCTCTGGCTGGCTGGCTTACTCTGGCCAGCCCAGCCCAACCCAGCCCAACCCAGCTCAGTCCTGCTAAACTCAGCTCAGCTTAGCCTAGCCTAGCCCTGTCTTGTATTTCTGTCTTGCCCTGTTCTGGTCCTGTCCTGCTTTTTATTCTCCCCCCCCTCCAATTTTTTTTTCTCACTCATACTTTTTTCTTTCATAAAATGAGAAAAGGAAAAAGGATCAAGGTGGCTGATGTGATTTTTCTGGTGTTGACGTCACACAGTTTGTGTCTTTTCTTTTTTGTATAATAAAAAGTTACTTTTTTCCGTTCTAATTTATTTTTGGGTGGTGCGTTTGGAGAAATGTTAATTAAAATGTATAATTACTTCTTATTGCTGTTACTGTTTGACATCTTTACACAAGAAATATACTATTTATAATACTCACTCACTCACACACACAAATATCTATATAAAATTATTGCATGATTATTATTGCTTTTATTTCTTGCTGCTGTTTTTTTTTGTTTCTTTCTCTATTGATACTGCTGCTGCCGCTTAAATTATAAAAGATAGATAGATACTTGGAAAGGTTCCAAGTGTTACCAACACATCAAGTGCCAGCTTAAAACCCTTTTGAAATAGAAAAGAAACGATTAATGGAATAAAAATCTTGTGACCATGACACTATGAAAATGACATGAAAGCTTTGGAGTACCAATCATTATTTTTCTCTACCCTTTTTTTTATTTTCTTTCCTTCTTTCTTTTTTAATAATAATAAATAATAATGATTGCAATTTAATTAAGACTCGTGCAGTTGAAAATCCCAAAAAAAAAATGATAATAATTATAATTTTTAATTCTTAATTATAGACATAAGCATAATGTCGCTGCTGCTGCACACTTCTTGTTTTTGGTTAACTTTACTCTAGTTGTACAAGCGAGCATGTTTTATTCTTTTCTGGAGAATATCACCAGCAAAATACATTCAAAGACTATGTTTTTTTTTAATAATAGCAATCTGTACCCACTTTTTTGTTTGAAGCTTATCTTGAATAGAAACGAAGCACAAAAGCGTTTTGATCAGTTGTTTATTTTGTATCATTATTAAAATTATTAAATTCTTTATTTCTTTGTATTTTATATTTCAATTAATGTATACACAGTGTACAGTGTACAGTGCACAGTGTACAGTGTACAGTGCACAGTGTACAGTGCACAGTGTAAGTGCAAGTGTTATAGGTGTGCACTTTCACCGAATTTCAGGTACAGTTTAGTGTGACTTGATTCATTGCTTTTTGGGTGCTCAGTAATGGAGTGACGTACCTTTTTTCCCTTCTAAATAAATAAATAACAATAGATAGTAGGAATTTTGATATTTGTACTGTAATAGAATATTATTATTTCTTTGCCCTAAACACACGTACAAACAAATATGCCGAATAACGAAGAAACAGCCACTGTAACCGAAGCTTTCAAGGCAAGATACACACGATACAGAACTATATATCTATAGACATACATGTCTATATACAGACAAATACACAAATAAGACATACATACATATGTATATATACACCTTTGTATATTTGTACAAAAGAAGAAGAAAAAGGGCATTTATTTGCATAGAATAAAAGTAAAAATAAAATAAAAATAAAAATAAATAAATAAAAATAAAAATAAAATAACAATGATTTGCTTATGATATCACTCCACAATAACTCAATAAAGAATTATACCTTTTTGTGCTATATTATTGTATTGGTTTGTATTGTTTTGTACACAGACCGTAAAGCTTGAAGACTTTAAAGATGTCCCCAAGATCCCATGTGCACGAAATGCCATGCTTTACGGAATGGGTAATCCTCATGACACTTTCTTATTTTATTTTATTTTATTATATTATATTATATGTCACCTAAACATTTATAAATGTAAATATAAATATTTGTATATATATATATGTGTGTGTGTGTGTGTGTTCATTTCTATAGGTGCTGGTACAGGTGTTGGTGCTGTTCGTTACTTGATGAAGCGTAAGTTACTATATATATATTCCTTTGAATATAGATATAGATAGGGTCATAGGCACATTTATGTAATCATTGTGAACTGAAACTAGTATTGGTACTTAATATATTTAGAGAGAATCCCTACTGCCGCAAATTGGGCCGTTGCCGTATTTTGCGGCGTTTCGGCAGTGTCTTTTGAACTCTGTCAAATGGCTCGCAAGCAAAAGCTGGAAAAACTTCAGCTTATCATCAAAGCAACCGATTCGCGCCCTATCCCGAGCAACGAACGAGTGACAATAGATGAGCGTGGTAGAAACGGAGCATTCCACGTTATGGTTGATCTGCCAGAAACCAAGAAAGATTAAACAAATATATATAAATAAAAATTGCCGTTTCTTATTTTAATGGTGTTTTCTTTGTCGAACCAAATCAAACCAACTTGTGATGTGTGATGTATGTGTGGCTGTAAATATCAATAGATAGACTATCAAGAATCATTTTAGAAATAAAAAGAAAGACTAGAACTAAAGAGATATCATATCTCACCGAGAAGAAAGAAAAATGAATATGATTCTTTATGCTGGGAATAACATTTGGGAGATTTAAGCCTGCTTTGGCAATAATCATGTCCAAACTCAACCCACATGTCCGTTTGTACGGAAGCTTCCTCAAATCAACCATATTCAATACACACAGATTACACATCAGACCATTGTTGCACCTTTCCTTTCCTTTCCTTTCATTCTTTCATTCTTTCATTCTTTTCTAACCATTGGTGTCTTCTATCAGACGAACAGGACAGTCCACAAAATCGGCTGTCCTGTCCTCGGCCCGAGCACAGCAGATCCCCCATATTAGTTCTCCATGTGGTCCCCCCCACTTTAGCTCTCCATGTGCCCCACTTTTATTCTCCATGTGCCCTACTTAGCTCTCCATGTGCCCTTGCTAAGTTCATCAGCAGTTTGAGAACTTCGTTAATTCCAAACAACTAATAATAAGAATAAGAATACTCTAAAGAGAGAAAGAAAGATAAATAGAATATTGAGATTTTCACACTAATTCATTGCATTCAAATTCTATCTTCTTTTTTTATTAGTCAAGACTGCCCTAGTTAAATTTGGTAGATTTTATCTTAACTATACATGTGTATATATATATGATATCCAGTTGATCTACTAGTCAATCGATTAACTAAAGAATATATGAAAATGTCAATAAATGACTAAATGGAATCAAATAGTAATTCATTTAGGTAGTAAGATTTGAACACTCAAAAAGCACGAGCCGTATTGTGGACATATATGTATGTATGCAGTGTTTAACGGTAAATTTATTACAAATATCCATATTGTCTGTCTAGAAAGTGGGCTACCCTTTTTTTTAAGAAAACATATTCTCCCTTATTTTCTCTCTTCATTTCAATAATTATTATTATTTAGTGGTCTATTAATTCCTTCCTTATAATCATATACATATATGTATAAATACACTTTCTCACACTCGCACTCGCACTCACACTCACACTCACACTCACACTTGCACACAATGGTTATATAGGTTGATAAGCTATGCAGGGACTTTAAACACACTTTGCAAGTTAGTGGCACCACTTTTGGATCTTGAATAATAAACCTGAAATATCAAAGATATTTAATTTAATTTAATGATATTATGTTAAACTATACTCTATTCTATCCCACTATAATTATCATTATCATTTATATGGTATATATATATATATATATCATTAATGTCTATCTTATTACACAAACACACATAATTACTATGCAATATGTGTCTATATAATTTTAATCACATACTAGTTTATAGATCTTCTTTTGATCTTGTTTTTTTACGAGATTGATTATCTACCTTGTACAATCAAGACAAGGAGAAAGACATACAAGCATATATATATATACAGAAAGAGGGGAAGAGAGGGAATGCACGTGTTTGGTTACACAGATCCCTTGCACAGAGCGTCATTTTGACTTCCCTCCATCCCCCTCTTCTCCTCCCTCCCTCTTCCCCTCACCTAACTGGCCCAGCCTAGCTTAGCTTAGCCGTTTATTATTATCGTTATTATTAGCATTATTAGTACTTGCTCTACTTTCTCTTCCTCTTCTTTTGTACTTTGACCATTTTTCTTTACTCATCTGTCAAAAAAAAAAGACAAACAAACAAACAAACAGAGCTACATATATTTATTTATTTATTTTCTTCTTCTCCTTGTCTTCATTCTTTTTCAATTATTAAGCAATGACCGTCAGTAACTCTAATTGTTCTGTGCTTGTACTTGGTGGCGTTGGTTTTATTGGCCGTCACTTTGTCCATCATCTCGTTCAAAATGGATTGGCATCCTACATTCGTGTAGTCGACAAAGCCCTCCCACAAACAACCTATTTGTCAGAGTCTCACAAAGCATCCTTTGAAAAAGTTGAATTTAAACAAAGCAATCTGATTCATCCAGGCATGTTTTTTTTTTTAAAAAAAAAAGTATACATGATGTATATATATATATTTACACATTGTTTTATTTTAGCTGCCATTGCTACTTGTTTTGAAAGAGAAGACGGTAGTTCTTTTGATTATGTATTCAACTTTGCAGGCGAGACAAAGTACTCTCAAGTCGCAGAGGTAATATAATATTCTTTCTCTCACTTTTACTTTCATACACACATATATATATATATAATTGGATTTATTTATTTGGTTTTTACAAAGGTCTATCAAGAACGAATCTTCCACCTTTCTGTCAATTGCGCAAAAGAAGCTGCCAAAAGAAAAGTCAAAGTATTTGTAGAGCTGTCTACAGCAGAGATTTATGACAGTGATAATGTAAGTCATCAGATCAAGATCAAGATCAAGATCAGAAAAAGAGAGAGTGAAAACTTTTAAATAATATATTTATTTACTCCTTTATATATCACAATTTTAGTCTGCTTCTTCAGAAACGTCGAAAATAAAGCCTTGGACTATCATCGCAAAGAACAAATACAAAGCTGAAGAAGAGTTGAAAAAGATTCCTGGGTGAGGATCTGGGAAGATTAGTGAAAGAAAAAAATTAAACAAATACTCAAAGGGAGCTGTGGTTGTGTGTGTGGGTGTGGGTGTAAAATATAATTATAAGTATACTAATGTTTATACCCATAGTCTCAACCTTGTTATCTTGCGTCCTGTTGTAGTATATGGTCCAGATGCTCTTTTGGGATTAAGTAAGTCAAGTTCATGGCTGTAATATATACAACAACAACAATAATAGCAACAAAAAATACAACTGTGCACCTATCTAAACTTGTGTACGATTTAATTGAATCAAGCGCCTCGTCTGATTATCGGTCGTATATACCAACATTTGAATGAGGAAATGAAGTTGCTGTGGTCAAAGGATGTGAAACTCAATACAGTTCATGTTGACGATGTGGCCAGAGCATGCTGGCATGTGGCTACATGGTATGAGACTCGCAAAACAACAGGTGTACCGATCTTTAACCTTGCCGACAAGGAAGACACAGGTGCGGTTTTTACATGTGTGCGTATCTGTGTGTGTGTGTTGTGTATTGACTCTCTTTTATGTGTATATATATTGGGTATAAAATATGCGTAGATCAAGAAACTATCAACCGTCATTTACGTTCTTTGTTTGGTATCCAAACTGGTTACTATGGTAGCGTGGTATCTAGCTTTGCAAAGGTCAGTGTTTTTGTAGGGAAAAAAGAAAAAGAAAAAGAAAAGAAAGAAAGGCTATATATATAAGACTTAATGTTCTGGTAACTTACTTGGTCATTGCAATTATCTTAATAGCTTAATCTGGATTATGTAATGGAAGATGTCAACGAAAAACATTTGGCACCTTGGGCAGATCTCTTAAAATCTTCCGATATTCGTGTGACTCCCCTGTCTCCATATCTGGATGAAGAGTTGCTGTACAACAATGCGTTGTCTGTAGATGGCACAAAGATTGAACGCGAAACCAACTTTTCCTACACTGTCCCCACATTGACCCAGGCCAAATTGAGGGAAATCATTGATGGATACAAGGCGTTGAAGGTCTGGCCTACCGATGTACCAGCTTAGAGGGAGCTTGATTTTATTCTATTTTATTTGAGTTTAGTTTAGTTTAAATTATTATTTTATACACATACACCCATACACCCATATGCACACACACACACACAGAGAAAGAAAAGGCAATAAAGTAAAAAATAAAACTAGAGGAGAAGGTTTTATAGTGATTTGGCTTTCATGGACGTTATTGCTACTTGTCTTTGCACCGAATTAGCATCGACCATCCCTTATTTCTTTGTTTCTTGGAACAAGTATTAGAGTACATGATCACAAAATTTCAAATCCATTTTGAAGGTTTTGGGAATCCAGGCCAAATTCTTTTTTTACTTATTAAACTTTAAAATGATATATTTAAAGAAGGAAGGAATAGAAGATATCATAATGGTTTATCTATACTCTATTTTAAATTAACTTTCTTTTTAATGTAACCACTGATGTACCATTATAATGTCTTATTCCGTTTAATAAAAAAAAAGGCTTTTTATAATATAGCAGACATGTGCAATATACATGAAATAGAGATAGAGAGGATGAAGTATTACATGTTTGACGTGTTGATATATACATATACACGCTCACTGTTGTACGAACCAAGTATTGCTTTGAATTTACTATTTGAATACTATAATAAAAATTATGTATATATAGCGAAACCTACACAATTCATAAATATGTAGATGCGAGATTTGGTTCAAGTATTTAACTCAAAACACACAGACGCACACACAATCATTATGTCAATACACTCGAGTGTATAACCGGGCAAGGATATATTCCGAGCCGAGCCTTGATCGCAAACCCATTATATAATTTATTAATTTTACCAATTATAATCGATAATATAGCTAAATTTTGTGTGTGTGTTTTTTTTAAAAAAAAGATTCTTTATTCAAATTGTCTCTATTATCATTTAATCTGGTAGATATTTTTGCTGCTACCATTATTTTTTACCCTACTCCAAAAAAAAATCGTAAATAAGATTACAATATATTCTTCCCTGATTGAAAAGTCTGAATGCTCGTTCTTTTCTTCATAATAAAGAACCCCATTTCTAGTGGCTACGAAAGATGCTGGGAAAAACCAACAATGATAAAGATCTATTTTATTAAAGTCTTTTTGCTATTGTCCTCCTCCTTTATCTCCCCTCGTAATCCTACTGTATTTACAGAAGCCTCCGGTATAGATAAAGAAGTTAATTATGTCTTTCTTGGTGGATCACTAAATGAACAACATTTCCCTGCCTTTTATTCACAGCTGTTGTCTGTAACAATAGATGCCAGTATCAGGCATCACAAGCCCTATAAATTATGCTATGGTACATTATGTGTGCGATCCTAACCTCAAAGATCCTTGTTAAATAGTATTTTCTCAATGTGTTGCGAGGATTTTGCTGTATTATATTACAGTCAACATAACAGTTATGGAATAAAAAAAAATATGTAAGGAACCAAACTTGTCTGACACTCAATCGTGAGCCAATTTGCCTCGGAACCTAGTATTCTCCTAAACATCTCCAAGAGTTACTTGTACAAATCAAACTAGTCAAAGCCATGTGAGATATTATTCGCAATCCAAACCCGAATAAAAGAGGGGGGAAACAACCTAGATCCAAAACCAAGTGATATCAGCGAACGGAACCCTATAATCTATCCTATCCTTCAGTTTGCATAAATCCCGTCCCATCCGATTCAAATATGAAGTTTCATCTACACTTCGGCAGGTAAGCCGGTCGCCCCCTTTTATACGATGCTGCGTCAAAAAGTTGTGCACGAGAAATATGTGAGAATAATAATAAGAAAATAAGTTCAGCATATTTTTTCCTCTTCCATATGCCAATATCCTTCTTAGGATAGGACGGAATCTATACGGCATGCTTTCCAGGAAATTTTGCACAGAAATTAGCTACCAAGTATTGAACTGTAGAATGTATTTATTAATCTTTAATTTTTTTTTATTTTCAATTGATTATTCCACCCAAGAATCTGCCTAATATATATATTTGAGCAAAAAATAAATAAAAATAAAATTAGACCAAAGTTTCCTAAAAATTGTGTACACAGCGTAAACACAAGGGTTATATATATGTACATTGGAAAACTCACACAGTACATAAATATATAGATGCGACATTTGACTCCAAGGTTTGACTCAATAAAAAAAAATACAAAATTATCCTGTCAAATAATAATAATAATAGTAAAATACAAAACAAACAAAAAAAGGGTTTTTGCTTCTTCTTTTCTTCTTCTTTTTAATATAAAATAATAAGAATAAGAATAAGAATAAGAATAAGAATATGAATATGAATAATAAGAGTAATAGTAGTGTTTAAAAAGGAATATAATGTACACATTGGATTGGTTAATTTATTTATCCAATCAAGTTAATAATGGTTGTAAGTAAAAGAAGAGGCAAAAACATATTGCGTGTATGGTGAAATATTGAAGTGTAGATTATGAAATGTATGACGAAATGCGCGTATGAAAAATAATAAAAGAAAAAGAAAAATAAGGAATAATATAAATAAATATATATGTGGGTGTCTGTGGGAGTGTGTCTTGGATTATAAAGGTTGATCATGATTCATTGCCATTACGAGACCTGTCAATGTACAAAGAGCTCTTGTGAGCGGTTCATGGTCCTTGTCAGACCTGTCTGTGTATTTGAGTAAATCTAACCAAAATATTCAGATTAGTCCCTGTACATATTTATATATTTATTTATACTGAGCCTAAAACGAGACAAGACAAGTCAAGCCAAAAGTCTAGATTTGGGCTAGCTTTATCTAGCCAGCCAGCTGGTTGACAAGAAAGTCAAAAATCTTTCAACTCTAATAACTACATATCTACCTAACCCAATTTACTTATTTTGTTTTATTACCTTTAAGTAGCATGCAATATCGAGGTACACGCTGAATCGGCGCGATCAAGAAATCACTCATCCCAAGGCGATTGGTATCCCGCCTTCGAAGTGTTTTCTACAAAAATCAATATTTACAAAAACAAAATAATAATAATAATTTAGCTTCATACTACAAAGTATATTATTATTTTAAGCGTACCTGATCGATTTTCGTAAATACTGTATTGTTGCATGCTTTTTGAATGATTCTTGAGTGAGTTCGGTAATGAATGGCGTATTGAAGAAAGATGACAAGGGGTTGAGAGAGGGAGCAGAAGGTTTGTCCAACTGGCACAGACCAGGGCTGCCATGCAGGTGTAGGTGTAGGCGTAGGTATAGTTATAGTCGAAGCTGAAGTATGAGGAGGAGGAGGAGGAGGAGGCTGGGCCTTAAACGCCTCCAGAATTTGGTTGGACAAGGCAAGAAGAACAGGGAGGTGGCCAAATAAGACCGGGATATCGGTTGATTTGACTAGAGGAACCTTTTCTTTTGAGGCTTGAACCATTTCACGCATGTGACGCTAAAACAATCGATAGTTAGTAAACAAACAAATAAAGAAGCATAAATATAATATAATATATTGTGTTGCATTACATTACATTACATTACATTACATTGCATCTATCTATCTATCTATTTATCTATCTATGTTTCTTTTAAATAGAGGAGTCAACTTACTGTTTCAATTAGAGTGAGGAGCTGGTGATAGGATTGTTCTGTGGTGACGATCTCATGTAAAATAAAGTTAACTAGTGCCGTTCTCTTGGTTTCGGGTAGAGTAAGTCTTTGATGGTGAATATCTGAGATCTAGATTAATATATATTATGTGCATATATAAAAAAAAAAAGCACAATTCCCATATTAATAAAATTCACCGACAAAGGCACACGAACACAAGAGTTACAAGAGTACAAAAATGAAGAAGAAATCAAGAATATATATATATATCACAATCACAATATTAAGAATTCTACTCTATTCAATTCAATTTCAATACAACAGAAAAGGGTGTTGTCAATCAAATTAAGGCACACAGACATCCAGACCCAAAATAATAATAATAGGAATGATAAAATCATACACATATAAAATGATTATAAGAACAGAAATATGAATAATTCATACCAATGATTGAGAGTATGTTTTTTGTTGGAGTTCAATAATCGACTTTTTCCAGACAGCCAGTGCCTTTTGTTGCTGTATGTCTGACTTTCGAAGAGCAGCAGATCGGGTACGTAAAGGTAAGATGGGAATGAAATCAATACGTGAAGCGAAAGTTTTTGGGGTCTCGAGATTCTTGATGGGTGTGAATGTGAATGTAAGAGAGTAAGGGTCCGACAAGACTCTCAAGTCATTAAATGTAGTCGGGGTTGATTCAAGCTGTGGCCCAAGGAAGTCTTCGGTGTGAAGGGATGAAGATGAGGATGAGGTGGTGGATATGATGTCAACTGGACAGGTAACGATAATACTACTATCATTTGGCTCCTCATTATCATTATCATGATCATCATCGATTTCGTGACCGTCTTCATCATTTGCCTTAGCCTCCTCCTCCTCTTCTTCTTCCTCTTCCTCTTTGGCATTGTCTTCATTCATGCAACTGATACCAATAAATTGTGAAAAAGGTCGTGCTTTTGGCGTGTAAAAGGGTACTGTTGTGACTGGTTCTACAGCAGATTGTGAGAACAAAGGATTATGCGTGGGTTTTTGGGGTGTTGAAGATGATGGAACGAGTTGGATGCGTGGTATTGGTGCTGTTTGTGCCATTTGTGATATTGATGGTTGAGGTGATATTGAAGATTGAGGTTCTGTTGGTTTTAAAGGTGTTGAAGAGGATTTTTTGATGGTGAAGTTTGTCAATAGACTTTTGTAGGCTTTATGAAGTCGACGAAAGACTGGTTTTCGACGATCACTATTACTAATATCAATACTATCGGTACTATTGGTGCTATCATTCGGGTATTTGATGTCTGGATAGCCAGATTGAGACCGATACAGGCGACTAAATGGACGTGATTGTGTAGACATCCTGAAGCGAGATGTTTTTGACTTTGAATCCTGGGAAGTATTGGGCATGTGTGATATTATGGTTGTGGTTATGATAAGGATGAAAATGAATATGAGAATAATGAAGAATATGAAAATGAAGATTAAGATGAAAATGGGAATGATAATGAAGAAGAAGAAGAAGAAGAAGAAGAGAATGAAGAAAAGCAACAGCAAAATAGATGAGCCAGAAAAATAAAAAATCACAATTCAATTCACAAGATAATCTTTCAAGCCAGTTGCACAAAAGAAGAAGAAAAAGGTTATTTATTACTCAGCCATACTTCAGTAATATATTATTTTGTGTATATGTATCTTGTCAGGGCCTTGATGATATATCTACAAACCCCTAATACTTGTATTGTATTTTAACCAGCATTTATTTATTTATTTATATATATGTGTATACATTATTTTATATATATATATATAGTGTATCGCTCGGAAAGCAAGTCCGGTCTATGTACTTGGTATTGTTAGACAAATATATTCCATTAAGGGTTTGTTCCACAGTTTGCTTATGCGGGGGGTCATAGCCGATCCCCTTTTTCGTCAGGATTTTTTTTTTACTTTCTTTCTTTAGCTACAAGACCGCCTTCGTAGTCAATCTCACTCTGATCGGGGCATGATCCGGGCGTCACTGTGCCACTGCCACACCAAAGGTGTACAATTCCCAACCAAGCTGTATTTGATACAAAAGAAGCAGAACAAGATATAAAGAAAGAAAAAGAATAAAGAAGTAGAGTCATCATCATTGACGCCACACTTTTATTTTTGCTTTTACTTTTTATTTTTATTTTTATTTTTATTTTTATTTATACTTGGTATTTTATATTCTTATATATGATTGTTTTATTTTCGAGTGTCTATCAACCAACCTAGCAACCAACCTAGCAACCAACCTAGCAACCAACCTAGCAAACAGTCAAGCAAAAAAATAATAATAAGCAGATCAAAAATAATTATTGCAATAATTCGGATGGTTAATAAGAATCATCCTCATTATTATTATAATAATAATAATAATAAAGACAAATTGTCTAACCTTGTTTTCTATTTCCCGTTTGAAAAAGAAAAATTAGAAAAAAAAAATGTACTTCAAGGAGGTTCAACCACAATCTACAACATATAGGAGACATCTGTGTGACTATGAAATAAAGTCCACTATCTCGTAACTCCTGTTTCTCGAACCGACACCTTCTCTTTCTTCATGACTCTCTCGCACACCATTGCATCTGCACCAGGAAAGGTACTACTGACCGGTGGCTACCTTGTCCTCGAGCAACAGTTCCAAGGACTAGTTGTAGGCACATCTGCCAGATTCTACACCATCATCACTCCATCGGATGAACCCGGGATTCAGGTGCGATCCCCCCAGTTTGATGGTGGTAATTGGCACTATACCCTCACTGTCCAGCCAGACTTTCAATTGACCCCAAGGTTAATATTAAATATAAAGTAGTATAAATATATGCACATTATTATTCCAAAGATAGAGAGCAAAATAATAATAATAATCACGGAATAAATAAAAAAGATGGATTTGTGTGTGCAAAAATGAGTAAATGTATGGATACATATTTATTTATATTTATAATATATATATATATTAATTCTTCTTTAACTTGTCTTACGAAAGCAGTTCAGGAACATCTCGTAACCCATTTGTGGAAGCATCCTTGAGATTCACACTTGCCCTTGTCCGCGAAAAGGTGGGACGATCTGCATTCGGGGTTCTGTCAACCGACTGTATCATAACTATCTTGGGCGACAATGATTTCTACTCACAGCAAGCACAGGTAATGTTTATTTATTTATTTATTTATTTGTATTTAAATAAATATATAAAAAAAGAGTGAGTTAGAGACTGTTGTTAATGATTTGCTATGTGTATATCAATATATCAACATATCAATATTTCTTTAGCTTGAGAAGCTTGGATTGGATAGCTCATATGGTTCCTTGGCTGGGCTTCCCCCATTTGCAGACACAATGACTAGTCTCAAAGACGTGCACAAAACAGGACTGGGTTCTTCTGCTGCATTGACTACATCCCTTGTAGCTGCACTCTGTGCTCACTTCAAGGCTGTCGATCTGGACAACCAGAAAGATCGTACCCTAGTACACAACCTTGCCCAGTTTGTCCATTGCTTTGCTCAAGGAAAGGTTGGAAGTGGGTTTGATGTTTCAGCTGCTGTGTGGGGAAGTCATCGTTATCGTAGATTTAACCCTCAAGTACTGGCGTCAATCATGGTATGCAAATTAGCTAGAATTCTAAAATTCAGTACATATATAAAAAATGTATTTGTGCCACTTTAATCAAGGAGTAAATCTGGATGTGCAGATGTGTAAATACAGTATAATTTACTTTCAAAAAAAAGTGTAATATAGAAAAAGAGAGAAATATCGAAAGTATTACAACTATGATTATTGACATAATGTGTTTTTTTTTCTTTAAAAAAAATAGGATCAACAGGTCGATGGTACTCTCTTATTGAAACACTTGAGTGCAGATAGTTTTGGGTAAGTTAGTCTTATTTCTCTTTTTGGTTTTTGGAATGTCAATTGCGCCACAGTAGCATATTATAAGATTTAGGTTTTTATTTATTTATTTATTTACTTATTTATTTTTGGATTTTCTTTTTTACATGCACAAAGGTGGGATAATGAGGTGGCTCCCTTTAAACTTCCTCCTGGTTTTGATCTCATCTTGGCTGATATCGATGCAGGAAGTCACACGCCTACTCTGGTTGGAAAAGTACTTGCATGGCGTAAAGCCAACCCAACTACCGGTAAACTAAGAAAAAAAAAGAAGGAAGAATAATAGAAATGATAGTTTATTTATATGTACATTATGTATATGTACCTGCATAGAATATATATATAAATATAAAAGGGTATGTTAATTAACGTTAACATTAACATTAATATTTTTCCTGTTCTGTTCTAGCAAATGCTTTGTGGGTAGAATTGGGCTCTTACAATAGCAAAGTGGAGCAAGTATTGCGCGATCTTACAACAGCCGAGCAAAAGGAACCAGTACTTTATAAGGCAGTCATTGAAAAATGCTCTCGTCACAAGGCTTCAGAGGTACAAGATTAAATACAGATAGATAGACATAGACAGATATTATTATTATAATCATAATAATAATCATAAGCATCATCATATGTTGTGTTTGTGTTTCTCGACTAAGATGTACTTATTAATTTCTTTTTCTCTTCAAGTGGGCGTCGCTCCCAGAAACGAACGAAGTTATCTCTAAAATGGTCCAACTTGTCCATAACTTTGGCCATGTCCGACGCCTATTGCGGGAAATGAGCCAATTGTCAGAAGTACCTATTGAACCAATCGAACAAACACAACTATTAGAGGCTTGTCTTGAGGTTGAAGGAACTGTAATAGCTGGTGTCCCTGGAGGTAAATTTGAAATTAGAATTATAATTGTAATTAAATACATACATATACACATATATATATTCATTGATCTATTTCAACTATAACATTAACCTTATGTATTCACTCATTACGCATACCCACAAACTTAACACTAACTAATTATATTTTTTTTTGTAGCTGGTGGTTACGATGCTATCTTTTGCATCGTTCTTTCAGACAAGGCAAAACAACAAGTTCGCCAGGTGTGGCAGGGATGGTCTGCTTTAAGCGTAGGACCCTTACTTTCCAAAGCAGATTCTAAAGGCGTGACACTAGTTGAACTAGCAGACGTTCCTGGTCTGGCCAATTCACTTTAAACCACCATCAAACTAAAAATAAAATACAATCCATACACATACTCCCCTTAACCATTTCTCCCTTTTCTTTACTCTTTTTTTTCTGTTTGGTTTGGTTGTTCTTTTGTTTGTTTATATTTATTCGTTCGCATAGAGACACGTAAAAAGAAGAAGAAGACGTAGAGTGATTATTAGCACTGGAAAAGAATTGGGATAAAGAGATCGATATAGAGAAAGAACGAATAAAATTCACAAACGATAATCTCAACACGTAATATAGTTATATAGTTATATATGCATATTATATATATATTTTTTTTAACGATTAGCACCCGAAGCCTGGTTCCAAGAAAGTCTATCGTGGTCACCAAGTTTTCTATAGAAATAATTAAATAAGTAAATAAAGAGACATATAAAGCAAAAAAGGTATTCAAGTTTCGTATGACTATAGAGAAAAATCATGCCAGTGGTAGAGTATATTCTTACCTAGGTTTAAAGAAGTGCCATCCGAGGAATACGACTCCAAGAAAGGCGCAGATGCAACCCATAATGATATAAGCCAAGCCCATAAATGAGTTGCGATCACCAAGGAATGAGGTTCCGGTCAGGACAATAGATTTTGTACCACCATAGGCAGTAATGTCATAGTTGAGATCAACCTGAACAGAGTATGTGCCTGCCTGCAGAGTTTCACCCTCATAGTGTGAATACAATTTGCGGAAGGTCGGGTACCAACTAGTACGCATCCAGACCTGGAAATGCTCATCCTCTTTTGGGTCAAAAAGATTCTCTGCTGTGTAGGCATTATTGAATCGTTTGGCCCAATTGGTAGGAGGAGTAATTTCGTCTAATGACATTGATGTCTTTTCAAATCGAGAAGCATCAGAAGGCCATGCGATACCCTTTTCATTAAAAACATATGTGATATTGTTCGCACTTCCACCTTGAGGGTTCAGCAGAGTCAGTGCACTAAAAGAATCTAAAATAAACAGAATTCAATACAAAATTTGGACACAAATGTAGTTCTTTCTTCTTCTTCTTCAAGTAAAAATAGATATAAAAATAAAAAAAATAAATAGAAAAAGAGGAAGAGAGACAACTTGGCCCATTCTGCCTTACCGTTAAACATGGAATTGGCAATCAAACCACAGGGGTAATATATCTTTCCATTGGGATCAACACCCATTGGCGAGCATGATGTTGTAGCTTCTCCGGGAGTAATCTTCTCGCCATGGAGTTGACTGTAACTCAGACTTTTGACATATTTACGATGATTCTGGTAAAAGTTGGTCATTTTATAATAGAGGTAGATGGGGGAATTGAGAGGCATTGGAATGGAGAACTCGATGATGCAACGTTGAAGAGTGTCGCCTTCTGCTACGGGTTGCTGGTTAAGGTATGTAGTGGCATTTACGAGTCGATAGCTGGGAGCACGAATGACTGTTATTCAATAGAATGTATATTGAAAATTAGTGAGTCAGTAATAGAGATTAGCATTCTTATTTTATTTTACCAGTTGTGTTTTCAGAAGTAAATTTGTAACTAAATAGGTTGTCTCCCAAAACGGTAGCTGCAGTTCCAGTCTGTTTTGCACAGTCTGTGTAATCGATAACGATTTCATTTACCTATTATATATATTATATGAATATATAGATATAGATGCGTGTATATATATAATCTGTAATAAGTTTTCAAGCTGACTTATACTTTGTTTCGTGAGCCTATTGTTAAACTTGTTTATTGTTCTTTTACCGTATCACTCTCATACAAGAATAGTCCGCCCAAGGGAGCAAACACGATACCAGCCGCAAATAAAGTCGGGAGAACGGTTTTTGGTGTGAGAAGTGGCTGCCAAGCCTTGAGACGTTGTTGCTTAAACGCAGTGTCTATATGCATTTTAAAGAATGAGTTAAGATTGTCATCCTATAATGCTCATCAACCTACTCGCAGGCTTTCTACTCTTTGTTTCTGCCATGAGATGAGGTATAGTGCAGAAATAAGGCTTCTTGTTTGGATTTTCTTTAAGAAGAAGAAGAGGAGAAAGGAAGAAATGAAAATAAGGTAATGGGTCAGTAGTGAATGATTAGCAAAAAGAAGAAGAGGAAAAAGCTCAGCCCTTTGTCCTCCTTTTCAGCCCACGCCTTTTTTTTTCTACCTCCCCTTTCCCCTTCTCCCTTCTTTTTTTTTTCATTTGTGCTTTATCCTCCGCCCTCTTTTTTCCCCCATTACCTTTTCCCTCTTTTGTTTCTTTATTTTCTTTATATATTTTCTTTTATATATATTTCCTTTATTTTTATTGTTATTTCCACCAATCGAGTTTGATGCTAGAGTCGATTCCAGGAAAGGTGTTTGTGGTGGGAGTCGTACTGCTCATCGCAATGATTGCTTATTCATCACAACTTATGGTGTTTGGTCCTGCACTCGGAGGACTGACGTTGAAAGCATTCTGGTTCCTAGCTCCACTTAATGTACTCGTGGCCATGGTCTTTTACAACTATTACCTTGCAGTCACCACTGATCCAGGAAAAGTACCTTCAGACTGGGTAACAATGAAGTTATTTAAACAATCTTAAAATGCAACCGAATGACTAAAGGACTAATACGGAACAACCATAAAACTCTATTCCCGTCAAACTACAATACATTACGCACATGTATAATGTGAATAAATATGCATATAAATAAAAATAAAAGGTGCCTGCAGTGGTTATTAAGGAGAATAAACAGCTAGGTATAACAGGTCCACGAGTATGTAAAGCTTGCAATATTTACAAACCACCTCGCTCGCATCACTGCCGATACTGCAAACGGTGTGTATTGAAAATGGATCACCATTGTCCATGGATCGATAATTGCGTTGGCCATGGAAATTATCCCCACTTTATGCGATTTGTAATCTACGTCGATTTTGCATGTTCGTACGTCGTCGGATTATTGATATGGCGGGTACGAACCATTCTGGATTCGATGCGACACTTTCAATTCGATGCCGACCCAAATACTTCTGAAATTGTATTTATGGTACTCAACTTTGTATTGGCATTCGTGGTCTTATTCTGTGTGGGTATCTTGAGCGTCTATCATCTGTACTGTATTGCCAAGAACCAATCTACTATTGAAGGCTGGGAACGAGGAAAGGTCGAAAAGCTGGTTAGAAGAAGCAAGATACCTCCCGTAAGTTTACCAAATCCTAATATTTTTACTTTTTTATTTTTTTAAAAGCAATCTCATATAAACTTTCAAGTTGACTGTAGGTTGTATACCCATTTGATATCAGCATCTACAAGAACATATGTAGTGTATTCGGAAATAATCCTTTCCTCTGGCTGTGGCCCCAAACACCAAAATCCAACGGTATCGACTTTGCTCTCTGTAACGATGCAGGTAAAAAAAAAAGAATCATTTACTTATGATCAAGATACATAATAAAATAAAAATAAAAGAATAAGAATACGAATACGAACTCCCAATAATAACGTACAAAAAAAATGGATTATCTAGATCCAGCTGTAGTATTTTACTGGCCACCTCGAGATCCCGATGATTTGCGTCCATCGATATTCTCAATTCAATACAAGCGCCAACAGGAAAAGAAATACCGACAGAGCACAAATCAAGAGGTAGAAGACAGTGTTTCAGACGATTATTACGATTCCGGAAGTTTTGCTTCAGATAGTGATTATCCCAGCGATGATGAATACAGAGGTTCTCGCCACAGCCAGCAATTAGAAGAAAGTCTCTATGGTCTTTCTGGCATTTCTCCCCACGAAAACGCATACCAACGCCGGGGGTGGGAATCTGAGCCAGAAGACGATGATTCAGTGCCGCTCGCTAATCTTATGCCACGCAAATCACCCAAAGAATCCAAGGATGATTAATAATTTTCTTTTCTTTTCTTTTTTTTTAATAGAAATTATATATATATAATAGTAACAGTCCTTAGATACACTTCTTTTTCATTCTTTCGTTCTTTCTTTTATACAACGCTGTCTATTCGATATCAAATTGAGGGAGGTGCGGGGACGAGGGGGAGATGGAGGTGGAGGAAAGGGGAGGTTTGTGCTTGCAAGGTCGGCCTCTATAAACAAACGGAATCTATTTTTTTTCATTGTGATCGGAGAGGGGTTCGAGTTGTTTTTTTTTGAGTTGGTTGCAGTGACTTTTTTGTTTTTTGTTTTTTGTTTGTGAGGGGGGTTTTTTTGTGGAGGGGAAGATAAAGCTTGAGCTTATTGATCAGTCCACATAGAGACAAGAAGAGACCAAGCACCACCTACACCTGCACATACAGCAGAGGAAATAGCAATTGCGCGAGGACCTGCAACAGATAACAATGAAGATTAGATTAGAATAGGCGAGATCAAATTGGTAATATTTTACTGTATTGTAATTTGACGTTTTTTCTATCCATCTTCTCAAATCCAAGAAACTCCCACACACTAATACTCATCTCAAATCTTCCCCCAAACCAAAGAAGAAAAATATCTCTTTTTCTCTTTACCACTATTCTACACAAATGCTCTCAACCCTCCAAATCCTTACCAGCAGTGCTCTTGAAGATAGCTCCTGCAATAGCACCTCCTCCAATGCTGCTAAAGACATTATGGGTGCCCTGACAGTAATCCAACAGGGCAGTGCTGCCATTGTAAAGCATAGCGACAACACCCACAGCGTTACCGAGTCCAGGGCCACGACGTGTGATTGTGTTGAGGGTAGTGTTGAGGCGAACCTTGGCATTTTCTGCACCTGAGCTCTTACGAAGACCTTCTGCCATACCGTAAGCACCACCGAGTGTGAGACCTGCCAAATAGGTGGTACCGGTGCCATAGCACAGATCGTCTGTCCAGCCGCGGGAAGGAGCTAGTGAAGCTCCACCGGCAGAGGAAGAGTGGTCTTCGACTTGCAAGAAGTCAATACCACCCTGGAGAGCCATGGGCTGCAATTTGGCCGCATCGTATGAAATGCTTGACATGAAGTCAGGCATCTTTTCGTACACATTGTCGTCGACAATGCTCTCCTCAAATTGCATGGGAGCATAGACTTCCTCCTGCTCTTCGACAGCAGGGGTTGTGGTCGATCCAAAGCCGAAAATGCCCATGGTTGGTTGTAAAGTGTAAGAGAAGAAAAGGCGTTCTTTTTATTTTTTTTGTCGAAAAATGCCAACAGAAAAAGCCTCTAGAGCGGGGCAACAAATGATGACGTTTTAATCTCGAGAAATTTGACTTGACCTCCCCCCCCCCTGGCTGTGCAGAAAAGAAGACCAAAAGTTGCAAGTGAAAGGAGTATAGCAACAGCAAGTACACAAGGTTATAGTACCATGAGAAGGAGAAAAGATATTAAGAATATTTCACAGTAAAAATAAAAGGAAATAAATTAAAGTATATAGTAAAAATAACAAGGAAGATAGACCCTTTTTTTCTCTTTCTTTCTGTCTCTTTCTTTATCGTATATTATATATATATATATTTTATGTTGAAGGCATAAATGTATAAGGTGCCTTGGTTGAATAAGCGGAAAGAGGCACACTACCAGCGGTGGTAAGGCGGCCATCAATTGAATTTACCGCATCCTTGTTCAGGTTTGTATCTGATAGTCCACTTCAAAGGCATATTTTTTTAAGAAATATATGTGTATATATTATGAATATATATGCATTTAGGTGGGTAATTTAGATGTGTGTTTGTGTGCGTGTGTTTGATTGATTGTTTGATTGATTGATTGATTGTTTGTTTGTTTGTGTGTGTACATGTATATATATATATATTATTGTCTGCACCAAACTTACGGTGTTACTTCAGACAATGGCTTTTCAGTAGGGCTATCTGGAGACTCTTCCTGAATGGGTTCTGGTTGATAGAGTCGTTTACGGGGTTGCTTAGAAAGTGGGATCTGGTAAACGTTGGTGTGTATATCATAAAATGCCGGATTTTCACGTCGGTACTCGCACAGATGGGCATTAAAGTCGCGTATAGACACCGCAACATGATGCATCCAATTGACCTCTGTTACGGGTCCTGCCAGACGTGCGATTGCTTTGTTGGTAATGTTATTACGCCCAGTGAGTGCAAATGGTGCCCATGTCTTGTCCGCTGGGGCTTCTTTTCCATCATCCTCTGAGTCTTTATCGTCCCCAAACAATTCATGGTCTTCAAGCTCTCCTGTATAATAATAGTCATCACGGCCCTTTCGGCCTTTTTTCACTACTCGATGACCAAATTGTTTAAATACTGAACGTGCCGTGACCACAGATACTTCACGAGTGCGGAAAGTAGATCGCAGCAAATCCCTTTCTACCAGATGGTTTTTTTCGGCGTCTGTGACATGCACCTTGACGAGCTTTGGATTCTTTTTCAGAAATACAAAACTATCTCGAAAATTAAGGAGTGCAGCTGGATCCTTGGAAAACATAAACAGCATGTTGCCTCTATCTGGAAGCGTAAAGGTCGTGACTTTGTATTGTCGCCCTCCCATTAGGTGTCCGTTACTATCCACTTTGGTCTCTCCAATGTCATCAATATCATCTTCTACTTCATACATCATTCCAGACATAATCTTCTTTGGTCTGTCCTCTCTTCCAGTTCCAGACTTGGGTCGTCCTCTCTTTTTTCCTAGTTGGCTAGGTGAATGCGTATCATTATCGCTCAGGTCGTCATCAAATGAATGATCGCTTTCTTCGTCTGTAGAGTCGTGATCTACATCATCTAGTCTATCGATCCTGTCTTGTCGCAAATCTACATCACGGCCACCGGCCATGTTCTTTTTCCTGGAGGACCGGCCTTTCTTTTTGGCGTTTTGTGAGGAATGCTTCATCGATGCTGGATCAAGTAAATTTTTCAATAAGCCATTATGGATTCTACGCACTCTTAATCACTTGAGCGTATTTTATTTTTATTTTTTATTTTTATTCATCTCATGCTATTCGATCTACTCCACTGCACCTTTTCTTTAAAAAAAAGTAATTTTGTATTGGACTCCTTTTTCTTATCCTTATCCTTCCTTTCTTCCTTTCTTTCTTTCTTCCTTTCTTCCTTTCTTTTCTTTCTTATTTTTCTTTCTTTTGCCAATAGGAATTTCTTATTTGCAACGCTCAGAAGATTTGTTGAATTCCCTTTTTAACGAGTTATCTTAAATACACGTGATTTGTGAATGTTTAACCAATCCAATCATCAAACTTTGTTTTCCTGTACACCTTTTTCACAATTATAGCGTTGCTTTAAAATATTTTGCGTGCAATCTAAATTTAATTATTATTTCTTGCGCTTGCAGGTAAAAAAAAACATTTATATATATATTTATATATATATAAAATAAAAATATAATATAATAGCAAGAATTAATACTAAAATAAGTTCAATTGGGTTTGGACCTGCAACCATAACCACACTGAACCACACTGAACCACACTACACCACACTACTCTGTACTGTACTGTACTGCACTATACTGCATTGCACCACATTGTACTAACAAAAGGAAAAAAAAATTATAATATAATTTGATTTGTGGTAGCCACTAAAGGTTGTAAATGTTTTACATACAAAGTGTATATTTAAAGCATTTTCTTTATCTTAAAGTTAAGGTTGGTCAAGGGAAGAAAATATGTAAAATTTTAAGATGCTTGTCTGTGTGTGTGTATGTGCGTGTGTGTTTTCTTCTTTTTACTTCTTCTTTATAATAAAAATAAAAATAAAAATATAGATCTATTCCTAGGCCAGTGTACAACAAATGTCTTAATTTAACCAAGGTTATCACCAAGACGTTTATCAGCTAGGGGTGAGAATGGGGGATAAGGTGGCGCGAACTGTGCCATTGGGGACGTGGGCGGGATTGGCAGCGATGATCCGTAACCATACATCGGGAAGGGTTGCTGTCCGTATGGAGGATATGGCTGTGGAAGATTGTTGAACATAAACCCGCCGTCCACAATACCTGCCTGAGCCTGTGGACCAGGATATCCAAAGTTTCCTGAAGATGAACCATAGGGATCGAATCCATAGCCTATTGATATTAATTAATTAATAACATAAACACATTATATACACAAAAATTCTCTTTTATCTGCTTCAAGAATGCCCCAAATGAATAGACGCATCAATATATCTATATTACCCATAGGTTCTGCACCATAAGCACTAAAACAAAAAAGAAAAATCAAAGAAGTATTAATAAAAAATTTTGTCTTATTTTTTTTTGTAACATACTTGTCAAACTTACTTTGGGTTGATGCGTTGGCTTGCGTGAGGATCGCCTTGTACAGGCACACCATTTGGTCCGGTTACATTTGCTGCTTGCATTCCCTTGACTCCTTGCACAAGATCGTATTCAACCTTTATTTTTGTTTGTTTGTTAGTGGTGTTATACACACACACAATATATATATATATATTTATAATGGCGCCAATTTGAATTTGCCAAGTTGAGTGTATATATATATACAGATCTGTGTATATGTATATTTATATATTTACCTCTTCACCCTATAGAAATGCATGAATAACTTTGACTCAGAAAATGGAAATGAAAATGAAAAAAAAATACTACAATAATACAATAGAATTGGGCTTACCTCTCTAAGACTTTTGAAACCTCCATTGTTCTGAATAGCAGTGTGATGAACGAAAACTACAGTCCAAAATAAGATAAGTAAATAAAATCAGAAAATACTGGTATTCTAATAAAACTAACAAGAAAATTATTCATTACCTTCCGGAGGTGTTTCTGGAGAAGGATCATTAGGAATAATAAAGCCATATCCTTTTACAGAATTGAAGAACTTGACACGACCCAAGTTACGCGCTCCCTTGGATGCCATGATGAATTAAATGAACTATGGGTTGCAAAAGATAGGTGAGTACTGAGTTGAAATCAACAAAGGATAGAGAATTCGACTAGATAAAAAGGAAAAAGGAAATAAAAAGGAGTTGTGAAATATATCTATGCACACAGAGAGAGAAAGGTATATAATTAAATAATTAAAATAATTAATTAATTAAACAAATAATTAAATTATAAAATAATAGTAATAGTAATAGTAATAGTAATAGTAATAATGGTATCCAATAATTATCTGCTTTTGTTGTTTTATATATATAGAATATATAATATATTGTATAGATTAAAGAATATATATATATATATATATATAGAAAAAAAAAGGCTTACTGAAAATAACAACAACAATAGTGGTAGTAAGAATAGTAGAATAAAATAAAATATATATAAAATATAAAATATGAAAAATATGAAAATAAAAAACTATAGACAACAATAATACAAGAAGGGAAGGAAGGAAAGAAAGGCAAAGGCTGGAATGTATATCAAAGTCTAGTTTTGGTTGTCAAACTTGGCCAGTCATTGGATAAGCTCGGCCAAGACGATCTGTGACTACTCAAACGAAAGTGCTTGTAAAGCCCATAACCAGCCATCCTTTTCTGACTCTCCATTGGCTAGAAAAATCCATTGTTTGCCACGCCTACCCAGCCGATGACCCCATTTGAATCCACAAGTGTCCTTGGGTTTCCAGACAACAAATGTTCCTGATGACTCCATAGATGCCTCAACTGGTCCGTCAATCCACCGTGAGGGTATCTCTTTATCTCGAGTTATCGGCCGAATGGCCTCTTTACTTGCCAACAGGTAAGTATCCTTTAGCGGAAGGTGGAACATTTTCTTGTAGACCGGAGACCAAAGTGATTTAGATCTCTCCTTTTGCCACCGACGAAAGACAAGTAGACCGACCTGTTTAACATAGACACAAAACGTATCTTTGTACGGAGCATTGTATTTGTGTTTAAAAAACAATGGGCCAGAATACTAAATGATGAATAGCACCAAACTGTAAATATCAAGTATGCATGCATGTATGTATGTATATATGTATCACATATACTAAATAAAAAATAATAATATCGGCGTTTAATAGACTCACCATAACATTACTAGACTTATCAGCCTTTAGTGGTTGACAAGGCTGTATGCTCATATAGTCTAACCAAAGTTTAATACATCGTATCCACTTGTCCGCTGAAGGTCTCGATTCGGCAGTGTATTCAATAATAACTCCCTCGCTCGAGATTAGCCTAAAGTCTAGATTGTCTGCTCTTTCATTACTATGCTCTACTTTTATAATCTGCCGTAAATCTATTACACTGTCGGCATGTAGCAAATGACTCGCGCGTCTCATTCGTTGATTAGCAGGGGTATTTGGATTGGTTTGATACTGTGATCCAAGATTGAATGCTGGAATTTGTTTGAGTAAAAACGTTTGAGTAGTTCTGAACAGCGCGCTTGCAAAGCTTTGTTTTGCAGGATGTAGTAGGAATTCATCCTTGGGATTCTTGATCATGAATAGCAGCCCATGATCGAGAATGTAGTACACTTTGCGATTGTCATATTTATTTGTCAAATGTCCTTCGTGAGCAGCTGGTGCAGACAACAATGGGCACACGGGTGTACAGAGTACAAGGCGCGGGATCTGTGGGGTTTCAGTTGAAATAGATCGTTCTCGATAATTAGTTCCTGTTACTGTTACTGTTCCTGTTATTAAAATAAATGAAACAAAGAGGTTCTTACCTGACTGATGAGTTGAAAGGACAATACTGGATCTCCTGGATTATCTCTCCCATGCTTAATTAGTTCTCGCCGTGCGCATGAGTACTCCCAACACAATCTCATTTTGTCTTCTTCTGCAGGAAGGGGGATATTCTGTGCCTTTAATAAAGTCAGGACACATGTTCTAATGTTTTGGAGTTGCATTGAATCAGTTGAAGCACTCGGTAAAGGTGCCCTGATATCAAGTCCAAGTAGTGGAATATTGACATCAATAAAGGACGGAATGGGGGATTTGATCTTGATTTTGTGGTATATTTCGATAAACCATTCAAAGGCTTCATTTCTAGATGGAGCTTCGAAAAGAAAGGCAGAATCTTGGGTACGGTTGTCGATTCGTAAGCAGAAACTACCATCTAATGGTGATAATGGAGTTAGACGAAGGCCTGGCTGCTCAAAGGTAATCTCATGGGCTATTCGACAAGAATCTCCTGGGTATTGCTATTGAATTATTAATTTATTGATTTATTGATTGATCATTTAAAATATCAAATAGTTAAAAATAAGCCATATATATAATTAAGCATTTTTTTAATAAAAAAAATTAAAAGTACCTTTATAGAAAACAAAACAATCTTCTTTTTTGTCAGCTCTACGTAGAACTCACGCCAATGCAGACGTTCCTGCCGTTCGGATGTATGATTCAATCTCTTTTCATGAGAATGACGACGATATATGTTTTGTGATTTTGTACAAATTAATCGTCCTTCTTTTTCAATCCTCTCATGATTAAGACTTTGCTCGTACGGCTTTAATGGAAAACTGTTGAGTAATAAAAATGAAAATAAAGTTTTTAATGATGAATGATCAAAAAGCGATAAACTAACCTCAGAGAAAAGCTTATATGAGAAGAACGTTTGTGAAGCGTGTGATCATTAAGAGATTCAAAAGCCTTCATGGGGATTGTGTCTTTGGTCTTGAGTGAAAGACAATGAAGCATGATGACAACAGTCGACAGATGTTCATCACTGTTTGTTAAATGTTGAAAAAGAAAGAACTAATTCTGTATATAATATAAATATATATATTTTTATATATAAATATAGATATGTATGTACAAATCCAGATTATTATATGTAAACTAAAGGTCAAGCTAAATAACTAAATTGGGATTATTGACACCCGTCTGCCCTTTTTTTGTGTATGTGTGTGTGTGTGGTCAGTAACAAGCTCCTTTCTTTAATACGGAAAAATCAATCCCAAGCACAGACCATGACTTGGGTCTAGGGGTATTTGAGTGAATGACTTTGGTGTCTATGTTTAATTCTGTTTGGCTAAAGACACTGATCATTGCCTTGACTCTCTTTAGTCGGTTTTTAGAAGACTGGCGTACACTTGCAAGTACAGGAGCATCAATGAGAGGGTGATTGAATAGGCTATTATGTTGTTGTTCCAGAAATGCTATAAGCTCATTGATTACTTTTTCGCGTGTATGCTTGTCATAGTATGTTGTCCATTCACCTATTTAAAGACGTGATACGATTTTTCTTGTCTTAGCTCGTATACTCCAATCATCGGATATGTGTCTGTCTTACCACAACAGGAGATCATTTTATTCCAGATTGGACTTTCACGGAATCGTATAAAGCTGGATTCCAAAATCACGTATACCGCTTTTTTTGCTGGATCAAAACAATGATCTGCTTTGTGATCTCTGATCATAGCAACTACTTTGCTACGAACTTCATCATTTACATTGATTTCAAATGGACTGTTATGTGTCATGTACACAGCAAATATATGATGAGCAGTGCTCCATTGTTTCTTTGGCATGTTTTTCATTTTATCATAGCGTTCAATCTCCAGAAAGAAAAACTACACAAAATATTATTCAATATACCTTCTACATACATACAGGTATATATATATATATAAGTATCCAAAAGCTTACCAAGTTTTCACAAGAGTATTCGTTTATTAAATGGAGTAAGAAATAGCAGAGTGGGACCCTTGATTCTAGCATGGCCTTAAGTCCTTCTTTGCGTATCTCCGAAATACAGACATCCAATGGTAAATGCTCCCCAAAAAAAGAATCTAATTTTCGGGCAGATCGATCTTGCCTTAGCTTGTCAAATGTGTCAACACTGGTATGTTTTGATTGTGTCGAAGCTCTACGTCGCATTTGAAGAGCTGGCCTATGAGGTGTAGAAGGATACTCCTGGGGCTCTTCAACCAAAGAGTTTGGAAACATAATAGTATTGTAAGACATGTGAATATTGGTGGCGTATTGATGTATATATTGATATAAAAGAAGGAAATGATTTAGATATAAAGTTCAAAAGCAAATAGCAGTAATAATGACAGTGATAATAATAACAGAAAAAGATTATATATTTGGCCCAAACGAAAATCTATTTTGGGTTTTATATAGATTGTTGAAGGGTCGATTAGCAGTTCTATGATAGAAACGGCCACTTAAACCAAAGAGGTCTAAAGTCAGATATGATTTTTAAGAGGTTTAGCTTTTTTTTAAAAAAAAATAAGAATAACAACAATGATATGCAGCATCGCATTCTATTTCGATAAATTTGTGATTTGATTGGTATTAATACGTACAGAAAGTCGTATTTCCATTAGTGTCTACTAAAAAATGAAAATTAATAGCCAAGATCGGGCAGATTCATATTTTATTGTATTTGATATAGTAAATTTTTCTATCAATTTACAAGATCATTTATTTATATATAGACGTGGCCATTATTATTACTATTACCAAAGAAAAGCAAAAACAGACGTAGCTTTTCAAATGTAATTATTGCAGAGAAATCGCTATCAAATTACTCAAACATTACTCACGATTGCTCACGATCGTTAACTTATTTTACTTCTTTTAAACAATGGATATACCCTCACCCTGCCTTGCGCGGGGACTTTTCGGCATGCGTGTGTGTGTCAGTCAGTATCTAGTGCTAACCAGATTAATGCTGATCAGATCTATAATGTCCCTTATTCTATCTGTAAAGCACAGACCTCGTTTATAGTCTAATAATCGTTTATCTATCGGTTTCCCCGAAACTCTGGCCAAATCAGTAAATAGATATATTGGGTGTCTGATTGATCCGATATGTCCCAATGTTTTCCCTCTTTATTTTTAAGCAATCGATTAAAGTCTCCTAACTCCTCCAAATAAAAATAAGAACAAATAGTAATATAATCGAGGAACAAAGTGGGGGTGTTATCGATATTAGCCATGAGAGCATCAAACCTATTTACTATATTTATGAAATGTTTTGCATTACTGGTTCACTAGAGTCAGTTTATTGCATCATTCCCAGCCAATGTTAGGTGTATATTCTTTGTTGGCCCTTATACCTTTAACACCTATGGTTTGATTATTGAATCAGTTGTCCCTCTATATACCGATACTATCACTATTGTACTCAACGTATCTCCTGCTAAAATTGAAATACATGACCTCTAATCAATAAAATGCTAATAAAGTTTAAACCGACCAACCAGACCTTACAATCTGTTTGTTGTCTAAGCCATTAAGAATACTGCACAAATAATGAGAAATTGAAACATAAAATTAGCCGAAGAGCAAGATATTACCAAGTAATTCATGCAAAACAAAAATCCAATTTGTAATACATATTCAACAATAAACACACACACACACACATATATATATACGCAAATTAGACTATAGTGATCGAAAACACTAAGCTAATAATCACATCTTCTATTGAATAGTTTGATACAAAAAATGAAGATATAAATAGGGAAAATATACCAGCTTCCCATATAGATTGTAAATAACAATTAACAGGTATTTGGGTAAGAGCTTTTGGCTTAAAAATAAATGGTAAAATGAATCAAGTGACTTTGAAGTACCGTGGGGAGATCATGAAAGTACGCCAGCATCATCATACTGTTACATTACTTACCACCATTTTATTAAATAACTGTTCAAATACCTTTTTTTTTATAAAAAAAAAGCTAGAGAGCTTAATATATTTTAGTTAAAATGAATTTATGGTGATTACAGTTAAATGGTCTCGTTAAATGCATATATTATTATAGCGTTGCCCTAATTACAACCAGTGATAGCACCAACAATAATAAAGTCAAAGAGTTTGGTACAATTAGAATACAATAATTAGCGTTTATATAGTAAGTTGGTATGGGTTTATATGTATGAGTATATTAAAAGTATTTTTGCTTAAAGCGTTCACGCCTTGTACCACGCGTATCGCCGTTGATATCCTTTAGCGCATCAACACAGTTCGCTTTACAAAGAGGGCATTCCCCAGACTTGGAAGTAAGCCAAGGATCTAAAAGCAAATAAAGAAAAATATCAGAAAGCTCGTTAACATATTGTGTTCGGATCTTCTTTTACTATTTTTGTGAACTAATAAAAAGCTTACCAATGCAGTGGGTATGATATTCGTGTTTACAGGGTAGCTGTCTGACAACGTCTCCACCAACCATTCCTTCCAAACATATTGCACATGGATTTTCTTCATTGCTCAAAAGCGATGAAGAATCATCATAAGAGCCCGATCCTGATTGATGACTGGTGGCTGGTGTCATTATAATAGTACGGGTCAACAGTTGTTTGACCTCTGAAGGGTGAAGAAGTTCTTTTCCCATAGGAAGAACTTCTCCCACGCCTATTTCTTCACCAGATCCAGGGTTACGAGCCACTCGACGACGCCAAAGATAAAACAGTATTCCAGCTGTTAACGGAAATATGGTTAGACCTATAAACGTAAGAGATCATGGAAGATCAAAGTGTAATATATTTACCAAATGTACACATTATAGCGCCACATACTGCAACAGCAATAATAAGTACAAGTTCTGCTGTTGGAAGTTTTTCTGTTGGCGTTGGAAACATGTGAACACGAATAGCCAATGTTAAGGTCTTGCCGTTGATGACTTTTGGAGGGGACTTCATTGAGTTTTCCAGTAATCCGTGAAGCTCCCTACCAATCTTGGGATTCACAAAAAAGACTGGTATAGTGATTCCAGAGTTTTTAGGAATACCCTAAAAAAAACAATACGTAAATACATATATGTATGTGCGGCTAATAAATGGCACTATATATTTAGAAGCCTAGTTATTTACCATGTTCTTTTTTTTCGCGAATATAGAATCATCTTTATGGCTTGTGGCATAGAAAATTACAGCAACTGTTCCATGCTTTTGAGTTATTTTGATCTTGGTCGAGAGCGAACATCCTCCACTTTGGACTAATGCAATTAAAGGAGCCTTTGGGAAGTTCTCCTCTGCAGCAGTGACCGGACCGACATTACACGATAATCCAGAGTCATATAGAATGCCCTCAAGCCCATCTTCTGGAGGTAAGACTGCATTCTCTGCTGCATGTACAATCTCATATCTATTTGTAGAAAGGGAGACATCGCTTGCTGTCGAAAGAGAATCGACATCAGAGCTCAGCCATACTGAATCTGTATTAAGAGAAATAAGATGAGAGTATTTATAAGAATGAGTACAAATTCTAATTATTTCTCTATTTTTTTAAAGTTATTTGTTTACCTTGAGAAATATGTGGGCCAGTGCCAAATGCTAGGACATTTTGAATAAAAATAGCGAGAAAATAAGATAAGTAGAGTAGGAATAATTGCATAATAAACTCGAGGGCTCTTAGAGTAGATCAAAATGGAGAAAATAGATGAAAATTCATTTTGAAAATTCAGAGGTCTTTTAAAGAGTATTGCTGGAACTTAATTAGCTGAACAAGGTGTCAAAGGTCTCAGAAAGTGAGTAAATTAAAGATATTTTGAAAGTTTTCATTTTAGCATAAATGAAGTGTTACTGGTATGTTACACATGTATGAAATATGTTCAGTAGAGCTTGGTACTATTCATATTTATTATTGTTTCATTGATTAATGTAGCTCATGAGATATCCATATATTCCACAGCGCGTGTTTCTCTGTTTTCAGCTTCGGCTACAGTAAGCTTGTAATCATCAGCAAAAGGCCCATTTGAGACCTCTTTGACAAAGTGATCGAACTTTGGTGTAGTGTCTGAGTAACAAATAAATAAAATAAAAAATAAAATAAAATAAAATAAACGTTAATCATTAACAAACAAATTTTGATTTCGAGACAGCTCTCTCAAACTTTTTAAATCTTACTTTGATCAGACAATCCAGAAAGCGCGACAATGCAACGAAGTGTGGCTCTCACCAACTCTTGGTTCTTTTCCACCTCCTGCTTTACAGCATTACTTCTCATTTTGAAATCAAGAGTTGATTTGAAAGGTGAAACAAGATCATCAAGCTCTGATAAATAGTTAGAGTATTTGGTGAGATATAGAAAAAGATATGGATTAAGCGGCGGCTTACTTTGAGTCACGGCTCTTATTGCGATTTTACTAAGGCGAATCAACATAAGATATCCTAGCATCTTAATCTCATGCTGATCTTCAAGTCCTGCTCTCACACGATCCAAGAAACCATGTACATCAATTTTATCTAAGCATGTACCGAGTAATGTATACATGCACTCATAGGCAGCCTTAAATAAATCGTTAGTTTCACAAATACAATGCATAAATGATTATTCCTAATGCATGAATAATACCTTTCTAATCTCAAGACCATCGTCCACCTTGTGCTTAAAGGGTCCCATTTCAACTGTGTGAATCAACTCCTCCTAATGATTGATAGTATATGGATCAGTTTATCAAAGTGTATCAAAAGAAGAACAAAAAAAAGGAAGCCCATTCGCTATATAAACGTCTCTTACCTTAATCACAGTCTCTTCGTACAGCAATGGGATCAACTGGCCAAGAACGTCTCGGATCAAATAAGGCTTACGGTGAACTGCCGAGTTAATTGCCAAGAGTGCCAAACGGCGAACATTCTAGAACCAACCAGAAAGAAAGTTATAAAATTATAAGATTATAAATTAGACTGTTGTTTTTCCTTTCTTATTTACTTACCAGATCAGGATCTTGCAATAAAATTAGGAACTGAGAAAGAATGGGTTTCAACAAATCATCGTAGGCCTGTGAAGGATCCACAACAGCATATTTTATGGCAGTTGCCACTGTAGCTCTCACATGAGCTGAAGGCGACGACAAACGCTCCTGATAAAATGCATAGATATATATATAGTGAGATTTTTTTTTCTAGATAAAGCAACCGAAAACTAGATACTAATTTATTTACCTCGAGCTGGGGTAAGAATTTACGTGGGTCTGTCAAAGCCAGTTTGCCGAGACATTCGGCAACCACTGTACGAGTACCTTCTTCTTGCTCCGACTCACTACTCTCTAACAATAAATCCCATATTTCATTTGAAGCATCTCCCAAAGAAGCGTTCTTTCCATGCTGGTCATAACGAGTAATTATCTAAAAAGAAAAAAAAAAGTTAGATGATTAAAGATAACGTTTTTTAATATGCATTAAAAAAAGTACCTCTTTAAGAGCATGTAACAACAAGTAGCGGCGCTTTGGGTAGGCCTTCATCTGATCGACAATCAAGGGTAAATATCGGCTAATATTACCAACACTCATGTTACCTAAATACAAAGAAGATAAGTCGCAAGCCAAACAATCATATTATCATTCGATTTCTCATGTACCCTACCTAGTGCGAATGCAGCAGCAAACTTGACTTCTTCTGACTGGACCGAGAATAAGGCCAGGATTTGTTCGTGAATATTACCCAGGTGACTCAAATCACTAATTAAATTAGATCAAAGCCAAAAATTTAAATGAGAAAAGAAAGACAGTAATAGCACAAGTTCCACAAAGTACATACATTCGACGACCAATTTCACCCAATGTCAAAAGACTGAGGTATTTTATAGAGTCGTTGGTGGCAGGATCCTTTAATGTTATAAATGTTAGTGTCTACCCTTTCATATATATATCCAAACGAAAAAAAACCTGTCATACTTCAATGTAGTTTTGGAAAGTTCCAATAGTAAGTTGGCGGTTTTCTAGAGTAGTATTTACTGTCAATACAGCAACACATTGGGCCACAGTAGCAGCAGCCTGCTTATTAGCAACAGCAGCAACACCGCCAGCAGAAACACCGCTAGTTTTTACGTTCAATAGAGGTTCCACCAAACCCTTAACCAGGTTCTGGTACTCATCAGGACAAGCCTTAGTCAAAGCAGTGAAGAGTGAAAGAAGACTGTTGAGTGCATATCCTTGGAGAAGAGGAGACTGGATTAATTGCAGGAGAGAGGGCAGAATCGAAACTCTCATATTTTCGGCCGAACTAGCGCTGACAGTGATAATAGACTCAATGGCTTTGAGAGCCAATGGGAGTAAGTGAAGATCATTATCACACACCAAAGGTTTCAGTTCGACCAATAGAGATTTACAACTTTCTGGAGAAAGACTTTGGCCAAATCTAAAGTATAAACAAAAATAAATAAATACTTTGATGTGCAGAAAATGTCAGTAAGCACTAAAACATAAGTACCTCTTCACCAAAATGTTCAGGCACTCAAGACTAGCAATACGGATTGTACGGTTGCTCTTTCTTAACAACAGTCCGATTTCATCCACAGCCACAAGAACGCATCGCTCAAGCTCTTCGCCAGCTACGGCAGGACTCTGAGAAACGATTGCAAGAGTGCGTACACTAATCAAGCGTGTCACTTCATTCTTCAGACGATCCAATAAGACATCCCATGCCTGACGCTGCTGTGACTGTAATACATCTCCAGCCTGTGCCAGTAAAGCACCTAGACACATTATCGAGCGTTCCTTGACTTCTTGGTCGGCGTCGTTTGTACTGAGTATTTTGAGAGTTGCATCGAGAATCTGCAAAAGATATGGCTTATATTCCTCATTCATTGGGGTAATACCATGCTCGCCTGTTTCGGTGCGATGGATGGGACGAATAACTTTGATGAGTTCAACGCACACCAAAAAGGCCTCAGATGTGATCTTGTAGAATTTATCAGACAAGGTGTTGATTATGGCCGGGCACAAACGATCGAGGTATGGGTGAAGAACATTTGGTGGGTGGCTACGGAGGAAACGACGCAAGAAGGCAAGGACTTCGATTTTGAGGTTAGATGTCAAAGCCACTTGCTGTTGCTCTGAAGCAGAGCTACTGAGAGAAGATACAATAACAGGAACAAAAATTTCTACTTCTTGATCCAAACCACCATGAAGAACAGTAACAAGCTCTCGCAAAAGGTGGAATCCAATCTGGCGAGTCTGTGTAGACTTTGAGCCAAGTTGCTGCGCAAGAGCGTGGCTTAACTTAGGCACCAGTTGTCTAAGCAGCTGTTTGGGACTAAATTCAGATTAAAGCACGGTAAATTAATACAGAAATAATGATTTATTTATACTCCTTACTTACCCTGTACCAGTCTCTGTAGGGTTAACTGATACGGCTACATGTGGGCGGATAAAGGTCAATAGAGAATCCTCGTCACTTCCTGTTACGTCAAAGTCAAGAACAGCTTTTCCGTCATCTATGACTATTTCTGTGTTCTCTCCACCGTACAGACTGGTTTGGCGTAAAAGTACAATGAATGTCTGTAAAATATCAGAACGAACAGACTCCTCTCTCTCTTTAAAGCGGCTAATAAGAGCGGGGGCAACATTCTTGTAGAGCTGTTGAAGAAGGTCGGAACGAGTCTCAATAACAGCTGCCAACACCTTGGTTGCCGAGCGACGGACCTTCCAAGACATATCATCATCATCGTCTGAATAATCACTAGAATATAGTATAAGATTCTCTATCTTATACGAATGACCACATAAAGTGACGTGTCTCTCTTACATAATATCATCGTATTCTTCTTCCTCTTCATCCTCTTCTTCATCTTCTTCCATATCTTCATCCTAAAAGTCGCCAAATTTGATTCAATATTTGGCCTAGCATTTGGTCCCGTAACCCGGTTTCGCTCTTACCTCATCATCTCCAACAATATTAGGATCATATCTAAGATATTCAAGCCCGAGGGAAATAATACGGTCAGTATAAGGGGAAATCTTGTGAGGACAGCGGAGAACGAATGATTCCAAGGTTTGAAGACAAATTTCACGCATTTCATCATCCTCTTCGGCTTCGGCAGTATATACTTCAATAATAGAGACCAATTCGGGGAGGTAATCAGCTAAACGGGCAGTGCTATAGCGGCTAAAGACGTATATAATTAATAAATTAAGGTGTACTCCGGTGGAGTAACAGGAGTAAATAAAAATAAAAATATTAGAATATCTGTGTTTGTACCTCAGCATACCGGCACACTGAACAAGTGTGCGTAGTCTGTCTCCTGTAGAACTCTTATTTTTCAGCTGTGTCAAGATATGAGTAATCAGATCCTTAAACATGGCGTCATTTGCATGGACTGCGAAATGCCCAACAGCCAGAATTGTTCTCTTCCGGACCGCAGCACGAGGGTGTGCCAGCAATGGCAATAGTGTGCTCTTGACCTGTGCCTGTTTACTGGCTGGGATCTGGGCACCAAAACGTGAGAGAACCTCAGCAAGAACGTCTAAAGCATCCATCTCCATCTCATATGTTGTGTTGGAATCCTGCAAGATCTCCAGTGCCTTGGGGACGAGTACATTGCTAATAGTATCTCCTTTGACAGAATTTACTTCCAGCACAACTGTCTTTAAGCCTGTGTGTATTTATGTACCACACGTCAGCTAATGTTGCACCTCTCCGGATATTCGCGCAGTCAAACAGAAAATAACACCTTACCCACACTGGCAATGCCGCGGAGTTCTTCATTCTCTCGCTGTGCTGCAAATCCACATAGACATTTTACAATTTCGATGATGTGCTCTTCCTGGATCTGTTTTACAAGAGGGCCAAGACTATATATAAAATGTGTTATTCAAAGCCTTTTGAGTAGTTAACACAGCCAAGAAAAAGCTTGTGCGAAACTTGTGTTGTATTTTATGCACACACCACTTGACAGCAAGATTTTGCACCTCGCCATTCTTATCGTCCATCAGCTTCAAGACAGCACGGACAACTTTTATTTCAACAGATTTTTCAAGGGTAAACGAAGGTTTTTGAAGTTCGTTCATAAGGTCATTCAAGGCCATGTACCGGAAATCCCTATCCTCATTGCACATCTGTACGCATAATTTCATCAGTTGAATGTTTCGGCAAGAACGTTGTTGGGTTCTTTAGAGCTCTCTAACCTTCTCGAGGAGATTAGCCACCATGTACGCGTTTGTAACTGGCATATTGAGTGGTTGCAAATAGCAGTAATTTGGACGCGCGTAAAGAGAAGCGAGCAAAAAACAGGAAAGAGAAAAAAAGGGGAAGAGAAGAGTCTGGCTGCATGTCGTATGCTTCTCAGTGACTGGCATTTGACCATGGCCCATTCAAAATTATTCATATAGTAAAGTAGAGGTAATTGAGGTCTTAAGAGTGATACATCATAGAAGTGATTGATTATATGAAAAAGATCTTTATATATTGTATGAACCATAAAAATATCAGATTAAAACAAAAAAAGGCAGATAACATAGTAATAGATGCGATGGCTATTATGTGATGGTAATACAATCCACAGGTAGGTGTACGCAACTGGCAAAAGAGGCAAGTAGCTTGTGTTTGTCTAGATTCTTACCAATAAGAACCATTTTGCTCGCACTATCCAGCATGTTTTCTGCGTATCCTTCCTGAATATCATATAAATCTTGAACTCCTTGAATCACCATACGTTTCTTTTTGTCATCTTGTCTATCTTTTGGAGGTTGTATAATGCCTTTGAGGCGCAGTACAATCACCGGATCTTCGGCTGCGACCAATTGCTTATTTACAGTTGGAATAGTCTTTTCCCAAAGCAAAGTCTGAATCCATGCTTCAAAATGTTCAAGAGTATCCAGTTGAGTAGAAAACTGAATACAGACAGTTTGGACATCCTAAAAATAATGATTAAGTATTTGCTTATATTATATAACCACCAGGCTTCAGTTTTGCTTACGTGACTCAATTTATGAGCATGTCCACTACCGTGATGTTCAATCTTGTTGGCTTGCTCAGCAACAGTATCTACAGCATGGATATCATAGGCACGAATATCAAGTACAAAGTCCAAAGGAATTCTATAATACCATTAGATCAAGGTCTCAAATTTACTATCTTTTGTCTACCTTGACCGTTCTGTACGCAAGATTTCTGCTACAGAATTTACTGTTTTGATTTCTTTCTCAAGATCATTCATTTCTTGTTCTGTTAATAAATCTTCTTTGTTAAGGACAATTCGGTCAGCGATGGCAATTTGCCTGAATTTTGTAACACGCATCGCTTGTTAGTTTTAACACAATTGTTTAATATGTGGGGTACTTGCTTAAGTGCTTCATTAATCATTGTGTCTTCTTTCTTTTCTGTCATATACTACAAAATTAACCGGGTAATTTAGCTATCCAAAATTCAAACGATATCTCTTCGTTATTACCTGTCCAATGTGCTTAGCATCCACTAGGGTAACAATACCATCGAGGTAAATCTCACTACCAAGACCATCATCCAACCAGAACATAGATGCTATTGGCCCAGGATCTGCCAACCCACTAGCAAATACCACGGTTCATCAAATTGATCGGATCACAGTTCATGCTAAAATAGCTCATACCTTGTCTCCAGTAGGATATAATCGAATTTTCCTCTTTTCTCCATGAGACTCTCAATTGCTTTTACACCAACATCCCTAATTTAAGATATTAATATGATTGCTTCTGTATTGGAAAACAAATTACTTGACAGAGCAGCATAAACATCCATTGCGGAGTTCAAGCCATTCCTCGTACAGGGTTCCTTCTTGGTTGATCGACAATGATTTTTCAATGTCACTGCCTAATCAATGATTTTCTTTAATTTAAAAACTTGTCCAGTACAAGGCATATGAATTACAAACTTACTTTCTCCAAATTCATTTAAAATAACCGCGATCTTCTTCTCATGTTTCTCTGTCAAGATGTAATTTAAAAGAGTAGTCTTTCCACTTCCCAAGAATCCTAATTACACGATTAGCTTGTGATGATTGCATGAGATCCATGTACCTGTTACAATTGTTACAGGGATCTTGCGATGCCCTTCCTCTTCTTGAGTTGAAGTCGGGATGCTACAGCGAACGAATAGATAGACGGATTCATATATATAAGGATAGCTTCTAGACCCGATATAAAGAGTGAATATTTACTTTTCCGAAGAGACAGGTACAAGGTCAGGAATCTCGTCAAAATCAGCCATTGTATATTAAACAGTAACTTGACGGGTGTTTGGTGCTTTGTTCAACGACATAAAAATGCTGCGGAGCTTTAGTATTGAATGATGACGTTACTTTTCTTGTCTTTTGCATTATATTGCTAGTCTATATCTTCAATTGTGCTTAATACTGGTTTAATTAATTTTTCTTAAAGAATAAGATTAAGCAATTGTTTGCTTAGATAAAATAAAATAAATATATTAACTTTATACTAGGGCATTTTGCTTCTGTAGCAAAATAATAATACAATAATGCTGATATATTCTGGCAGTCGTATTATTGGAAAGAGCTTATGTTTTTAGGCCATTTGAAGTTATATATATACACTTAATCTGTATCATTTAACAGGCTTATACGTCTATATCATAAGGGCAGCATTGGGTTTAAGCGAGGAATATAAAAAAATGACTCTACATAAGCTTGAATTATAAGTATATATAGTATAATCAAATAGTGTAGTGGAAACGATATTGGATATAGTACTTGTCAAAATTCTATCAGCTTTTTTTTCTTGAAAAAAATTGTCTATTTGTATAGCTATAAAAATATTTAGCAAAAGTAAAAGTAAAAATGAGGAAAAATAACTTTAGTATTCTTATGGGAAATGGGCCGTAATTTCAATGATAGTTTTGGAGAATGTCCATGATATTTTCCAAAAGTATCATCGAAACCATTACTCACTTTCTATAGTATATATATTGAAAGAGTATTGCAGAGTTTTTTACCTGGTCATAATCCAGCAAATCTTGAGTCATTTTTGTATTATTTTGTCAAAGTTTATACTAAGGACCGCCAATATATGTGAAAATCAATATAATTATAGAATGACTTAATAATAGTTTAAGTTTGTATAATAATGACAGCGACCTTTCACATGTTTATCAAGTTTAAATATCTGAATTACAAGCAGTCGAATTTAAACAGTGTAATTTATGTACATAGGGAAGCATGTTTTGACATCGCACATCATTTATATGGACACATGTATTCATATTATTATAGTAATCATTTACTTAGAGAGAAATAGAGTGAAGATTTCAAGGTTTAGGTTACCGTATTTGCAATAATAAAGCTTATAAGTTGATGTTTATGATGCTCTGTTTTAGAACCTATATTATAGATATTTATATAAATATAGACATAAACTTTTAGAGACTTGATAACGTTTAACTCAAGAAGATATCATAATTTATTCGTACTTTAGGCTTTTAGTTATTTATTTATTAATTAGATTTCAGTAAAGAAAATTATATTTTTTCTTGGGTGGTATTAAAAAGCTATCCTTGCTAGTAATTGTACTGTTATACAAGCAAAATATGAACAGATGAAAGTAATGTATATATATATAATGTAAAGAGTTGATGGATATTAAAAAACAGGGGATTTTAAACCAATGCTATTATGCTATGAATTATCATTAGTACTACGAGTAATGTCTACAGATCTTTTCTTTGGTTCCTTATTAGAGTGATAAGGCGGTGGACTCAATACAGTAGAGATCTTAATGCTATCAGTCGAAATATTATTAGGTTTAGATTGGAAATTATACTGTGGTCGAGTTGATGTTCCTGGTGTCCCAGGTGAAGTAGGTGAGCCAGGCGAGGTGGGAGCGGACAAGGGTCTGTTGAATGGACCAGTGCCTTCGATTTCGAATGTACGAGAGTTGGTAATCAAGTTGCTACTTATAACATCCATAGCAAATACATATTCGTTTTTGCTGTCACGTTTTTGGGCTGATCCTAATTTATTTTGCAAGCCTTGTTTAGGATGCTGTCGATTTTGAGGAAGAGAGGATGAGCGAGCTCTGTGTGAATATCTGGAGCCTCTTCGGGGATAAGACATATTATCTTCATTCGAACTGTGATCAGAAAGTCCAAGGTTTACGGTAATCTTTGGACTTTTGATATATAGTACTGTTAGTGCTTTATTTATTTTTATCCATAATATATTTACGTACGTTAAGAGAATAGCGATCTCAATAAGCAGTGTTACCAGTGGAACATCAATCATCCATATGACACAAGTGCCGGTAGAGAGAACGGGGTTCATTGTAATAGTATTTCGGAAGATTCCGTACATGAAGGAAAAGAATGTAAATATGACAGTCGCCAGACCTCCAGCAGTAACAATTATCTTGACCTTTTATTTATCATTTATTAACAGATACAAGTAAGCCACGACTGTTTAAAGATTTTCACCATTCATATATTTACCTTGATAATTCCTGTATCAATGACCGAAATGTCTGACCCATTTCGTATACGTGTTGCTCGATGGCGTTTGAGCACCCTTAGCAAAAGGTATCCAGACGAAAATAGGATAACAAAGATACAGAAGCAATATATACCCCAGGTCAAATGCAATGCCCGGGTAAAAATGTAAGCAACGTCAATTTCTCCCCTATGAGCATATATTCCAGAGCATATGGAAAATATATTGTTTGTAATAAATGGGATAATGAAAACAAAAGTACAGAATTTGTCAATGAGAAGTGGGGAGCGAAACCACTCGTTAGAAAGAGTTGTACTAGACTAAGAATATAGAAATTAGATAGTTCTCTGACTCGTTTTTTTATAAATATAAAGAACTTACGTCTGCAATTGTATGGGAAATACCAAAGAAGTAGCATGACAGAGCAGATACAGCAAATTGCCAAGGAAATTCATGAATGACTTAAATAAATAGATAAAATATATTAGTATAATCAAATTTGATATTAAATGGAAAGAACTTTATGCTTACATGAGCGAAATATAACATTAGGATAAGTATTTGTTAAGACCAAAAATGTCTGAATAGCCCGCACTATTAAATAGATCAATTAAATTAAAAATTATTCCTGATACAAGGTTCGATCTACTTACAAGAATTAGTGAGAATAGCCATAACAAGTACTGAATCAATTGGTCTTGGTTGAATGAATCCAGTACGTTCCGATACTATCCAAATACGCTGCTTCTTGTATCGCATTCGATAAAATAGTAGGATTGCGGCTGTGTGTACACATATATAATTTAGGATTATAATACCCTATGTTCTTGGTTTTTGGAGTACCTATAACAGATACTATTATAGCAAATATTGCGCCAACTAGAAGGATTTTGTGAATTCTGTCCTCAATAACACAATCGCCAAGAAATAGACGCCAGTCGCAATAGCATGTTCCATCTTTGTCACACAGTCTCCAATAAACTTCTTGGCCTGGCAAAGACATAAGATTATGGTCGACTTAAGGAAATAAAATAAATATCAAGTATGATGGGGCGTGTTGGTCGTCAATTATATCCGTAATCGTTAAAGGCAAAATATGGTGAATGGATCGAAGAGAAAAACTGAGAAGAGCAAGCAAAAGTTAAACTCTAGTACTTGGATGATTTTATTATTAAAAATATAAAAAATTTAAACAAGTGATCAAATCGAAAAAAAAAAATCCCAATTTTAGGATTTTTAATATTTTCAGAATTAACGAATAGAAAATGTTGCTCTAAATCTGAATGTAATACATGTTCTCTTGTGTTATTGAGTATCATCATGCTAAACCATGCACAGAATGTGATATGTTAAAGATGATGCCCGAATAAGTAGATTTCTGCGTTGTTCAAATGGCTGATTTTCTCTTTGACATTCAAAAAGAGCGATTGATATGGGTGATAACGATTGAAAAGCGTAAAGTCTTCAAGCTTAATCGAGAATCGCTATATATATCTTTGGAAGCCCCAATAACTACTTCTATATTTACATGCTTGTTATGAAGTCATATAGACGATACTGTTTTGAGCTACGCCGCCTTGGGATTTTGCAAAGTAATTTTAGGGCTACGGGTACATAGACCTATTATTGATGTATGTACAAGAATTCATTTTTATAAGAGACATTAGCCAAGTTTTATCTATTAAGAGAGTATAGGTTAAATACTATATTAAAGCACATGAAATCAGTGTGTTAAATTAGGGTACTTCTTTTAAACACTTTCTCTGTAAAGAAGAAAATGCTGTAATATTATCTACATTCACCTTATTTGTTCTTTAGTACAGCTAAATTGAATAAAAGTAGAATAGCTAAAGAGGCATTCGAGTTTTCTCTTTCCTATTGTTATTATTATTATCTATATGGTCTTTAAATAAGTTAGCCTAATAAAGCTTCAAGTGTATTTAGCTCCTCTTAACATCGAAAATACTCGTGATATTTTAACAGAAATAAAATCAAGGGTGGGCAGAGTTTGTTGTAACATGGTATTACTTTAATCAGCACATTAAACCCAATTTATTGTGTGTAAGGCCAATACACAATTCATATATTTTAAGGATTATTGGCTGACTAACTTGTCTTATTATACGTTCTTTTACATTATTATATAACGGAAAAAATATTCTCCAAAGTCTTCCTCTTATAATCCCAATCCTTCAAGAACAGCATAAAAGTCTTAATGCTATAAGTATAAAAGAGTATAAAATAATGAGGGTTAGACAAATGAAAATAAAAAAAGTTTGGGGTTTTCCTTGTTTGATATGTGTAACAAATTTGAATTTTCAAATTATATTGCTTTTTTTATAAAAGGACCTATATATTGTGGATGTTCCATGTAGCTTATTATAGCTCGCGGCTTATTGTTACCCTTTATGACACCATAACACACATATAAGAGTAAACCATCGTTAATTCATCTGCTCTTTGTGATCGCGAGTATTTATATTCTATATCAATGCGAGAAAATACGGATTACAACCTTTGAATATTGCAGATATTTAGAATGATGTAGTCAGAACTGAGTGGGTAGATAAATCTTGTATGACAGCTGTGATATAGTACATATATTTAAAGACAAATACAATTGAGTTTGAAGATAATATTTGTTAAACGTCCTAACAATAATAAGCCAAGTTGGTCTTTTGGTACCATGGAAAACAGTAAAATCAAATTAATAAATGTCTCAATTCACGTTAATTATAAAAAAAATCAATTGTTTATGAATTCATATATATATATATATTATTCAAAAGGTAATGCCATCAGTCATACGTACGATCCAGTAAAAACAGCGGCTGTATACTCATTTTGTGTGTGTATGTTTTGTATGAGCCCATTGTTTCTCTCTTAACGAAATTCACATTTAGTAACACGCAACTATCGCGGAAATATAATCGATTTAAATAAAGTGAGCTGGCTCAGGCTAACTAGAGATACTCTCCTTTTACACTGAAGTTTCTATCTAATGTTCAAAGATTATTTTGTTTGTCGCATATATATAGAATTTATAGGTAGTTTACTATATAGTAAACAATGTATTCTGTCATTATTTATTAGGAGCAGCAACAACTTGGGCAGAATTCTTATTAATTTTTATTGCTGTGGGCCAAAGAGAAATTGAAAGACACATGTTAATTCAGTGACAAATTTTATAATAAACTATCCAGGTACCAAGTTAAACTTTTGGCCCAGGTACATTTGATTCTACCCGACCCATCGGATCAGAAAGCAAGATAACCAAGATTATAATCTGGCTCTGAGATAATTATCAAGGGGTGCTCCTTGAGTATACAGAACCCTTTTAACTAAATATTCCAAATCGCTGGTCATCTCCATGAATCAGGCTCAAGGGGTTTAAGTCTCCGACTATTGTCTAGATTTCTTGAGCACGTTAATCTCACCCGTTTAGATTCTTCATATATTTACCATGGATAATGTAGGGATTAGTACGTTGTAACAAGCGTGTTTTGCTATTTGAATTATCAGATCATTTGATCATAATCTAAAGAATGTTTCTCGTTTCCAATACTACATTCTGTAATCACAGCAACATCCCACTTCACCAGCTTCCCAAAGAAATAGTATAAGTAATGCGAGTCCATCATCTAACAAGCGCTCCAGTGTAAGCTCCTTATTTTCTCGCACCAGAAGTGCATCATTTGCGCGATTGGGTGGTAGAAGATCCTCCGTGGTATCAGTTCCGCCAGTGCAACAACATCAGTCTTCAGTTTCACGTCAACATGTACCTAATAATGCACTGTATGAGGATCAAGAGGATAATGATACAGACTCAGAATCATCTCGCTTGAAATCAGAATACTTTAAACGATATGAGCTTATGACAGAATTGTAAGAAAATTTTGCTAGCCACAAAAAAAAATCAACAGTTGAATGATGATGATGAGAGCTGATGCAGAGTTGTTTAGCATTAACTTGCGGAATCCAAGTCACTGCCCACTTGGTGTATATGTAATGCCCTCTTCAGACAACCTTAATGGTAACCCACAAACAAGAAGGAGAGGAAGAGGAAGAGGAGGAAATACTACCGGGACTTACGTGTCGATATAGTCTGGTACGGTGTAATATTTGTGCACAAGGGATTCTACCGATCTGGAGTCTTCAAGTTTCGCATGACAATTCCTGAGAGTTATCCAAATCTTCCACCTTCGGTCACATTTTTGACCGAAATGTTTCATCCTCTGGTGGATGCCCACGGAAATGTATCAATGTCCCAACAGTTTCCAACCTGGAGACCCTATCAGGATTATATTTTACATGTCTTGCATTATCTAAAGAATATGTTCAAGAAAGCGGTTCTGGATGGTCTATTGGATAAGCATTGTTTCAATAAAGAAGCTTATCGCTTGTAAGTTGAGTCTGGTTAAGTTGGCTAACGACAATCTAACCTTTTAAATATGACAGATACCGAACAGATGTGGGTGTGTTTGGAAAGTTGGCTCAACAATGTGCGCAGTTGTCAATCACGGAATCGTTTCTGTTTGATCATTTCCCAGATAATAATATGATTAGATTCTCTTCTTTGAGTGAAGACAAGTTTGGTAGGTTCTTTGGATAAAATGTATCATTATATCCTTACTAATGTAACCTTTTTTAAAAAATAAATAAATAATAGATGAACTCAAGGCACAGATCCTTAGCAGCGCTTCGGTAAGTATTGGTATTGCTACAATATATTTTCTAATTTCTTTTTTAGAATCCGCCTGACATATTTAGCAGTGAGAACACCATTGAACAACAACTTAAGGACCGTTTGGATGAATACAAGACCAACCCACAAATATAAAACCTCCTCTTTTCCCTTACTACTATCTCGCTACTAAGTGCAAAACATTATTTTTGTCTTAATGCGTATTTTTATATCTACATTGATTAAAATCGATAAACATGAACTAAATAAATGGATGAATGAATGAACACAAGTCTTTTGTGTTAAAGGGCTTGCTTAGATTGCCTTTTTATGCTTCCGCTGGACTTCTTCCGGGCCAACCACACCTTCAGACACACGTGTTACCATCTTTGTTTTGGAAGGGTGTGGGAATAAATCTCCCCACATAGACTTGCGGGCATCTCGGTAAGGAATCTTTCCTTGGGATTTTGGGATCGAGGTTCTCTGAATCTCACCTATAGCAATAAACACACAGTATGATCAATAAATGCACACTTATGGGTGTTTTAACATACCATTCTGAACACACAGATCCATAACCACATGCCCCTTGTTTTTTAAGGGTGGTTGGATTAGACGTGGCCATGAAAAAGCTGCTCTCTCAAATGGAGACTCGGCATTTTTGGTTGATGGCCGTTTTCCTCTTCGTAGTACAACATACGAGTACTTTGCATCTTCTGTGTTGAATTTTGAGTGCTTCGTCTTCATCTGTAAAATATATAAATAAAATCCTTCTGTTGTCTATATTTTTCTCATTAATTAGGTTTACCAAGAATGCTGGTCTTTCTACTCTTTGGGAGAAATGACACCAAGTTTTGGACGGTTTAGCTTCAGGAGAGAATAAAAGAGGACAGGGACGGTCGTGAGGACACTAAGGAGAAATACCGTCAGTAAGACAAAATTTTCTATACGAATGGCGTGGTATGTAAGACTTACAGGTGCCACCACATGGACGTCCTTTTCTTTTTCTTTCTCAGCGTCAAGGATCCATTGTCTAGCCCGAGCAATGGCTGAAAATCCAATTGGAGTGCCACGTTCGATCAAAATCTTTGATATCAATGATTTAGATTAAGCTAATTGATAAGTATACGGAAAACTTACTAGAACATCCCCTGCTTGTTCCCATAACTGCTCAATAGTTGATTTCTGTAGTGCAGTTGAGGCTATATCACCCAATGCAAAAGCACTCACAACGAGGTCTGGTTTGGAGATCTATCCAGTCACAATTGATGAGAACAATCATTTAAAGCAGAAGTCTTACCGTTGGATCAAAGGCCAGATAACGTTTGAACTCAATAGGAGATGAATCAGGCTTCTTGGTGCACTCTACATCAGAGGATTTAGTCCCATACACACAAACGCCACATTGGAGGCCGTGTTAAGCCATCTTGCATAATATTGATTTCTGCATTACCCTCTAGGTTCTCAGCCACACGTAACATGTCTTCAGATAGATCTACTCCCACATATTTGTCGATATCAAAAACTTCTTGAGCAGCCCTATTCATCCATGGGAGTCAATATTTGTATATTGCAATAAACAAATCATTACCAGATGGCTGTACCGGGGCCAGTACCAAAATCAAGCATGGTTTTTGGCTTAAAATCACCAAGACGACTATTGACCTCTTCTAATACGTTGAAAATGGCAGCATATGATGCGGGTAAAACACCTGCGGTATATGCTAATGCTTCACGAGGACCATACGATACATTGTGTGGTTCAAGGACTTCTTGATTAGGTGTCTTCTTAGGTTTTTTTGTGGGATCTTGTTCAAGCGGTTCAGGAATCCTTGCTGTTGATCTCATGGCCTCGTACAGTCGTAAAGCATCCACACGAATCAGCCTCTTATCATGCTGTGCTAAATTTAACTCTTATTTAAGACATTCCCAAATAGCTTATTTTCTTGGCATGTAAATAGATTTACCTTCAATCAAGTCCAAAATACCCTTGGCAAGTGGCTTCGGAAGGTGTACACACCCAATGCGTTTTCTTCCAAACTCTGCTTCTGGCGATCCACGCACGAATTCGGCTGGATTTGTTAAATCAGAAATGACAGTCGTACTAATGAATGATCTATTAAAAAGGATCGATTAGATCATTGTGGGGCAATAATTATTCATGGAAAAAAAACCACTTGCTCTGTCATTTCAACATCGAGCATGCTCAGATCCTTTTCGTCCATGAATATAACATTCTGAGAGTATGGTCGTTGGTGTTGGGCGATCAAACGCTGGGTAGGTCTAAGGATGCGAATAAGTCGAGATGTCATAAAGAAGAGTGATAAGATAAGCCACGCCCAGGGTTATGCTGGTATTGTCTTTAAAATTCAATAGGCGCATGTTCCTGACGTTTTGTGCGACCCCCTTTTAGACCTGTATAAAAAGGAACCGATCTCCTCAATGGACGTTTCCCTTTTTTGTAGCTGGTTCCTTACACGGACTCCAAACGTGCTTTCTTTTTTCCTCAATATCCACCTTTCTCTTCCTTCTTCACTCGGCACTTCTCTTCTACTTCCCTCAATTAATCACTCTATAAAGTGTCATAATGCCAACTGACACTCAAGCCTTTGATCTCGCTGATTACTCTTATGTTATTGGCATTGGTAAACATCTTTGTTGGAATTCAACGTAGAAGGAGAAGATTTGTCCTCCCCAAACCTCCTCATTAATCTCATCAACCTCCCCTAATTCAATAGACTTTGGCACTACATTCACCGGATGCTGCTATGCATTCACAAAAAACGGCGGCGATGAGATCATTGATATTACACGATGGTAAACAATCTTATCAACTCATCTTTTGCTCATCATCAATCTCCAGGCCTAAACAAGTTAATGTCTACCCAAAGACACCGACAATATCCCTTTATCGTCATGGCTCTACAAAAATGGTAGCCTGGGGTCAGGATGCTCGTAAACTTTCCCACAAGCGCAATAATCACGATCACCTTTTGACTCGATTTAAGCTGCATTTGGATGAAAACCTCGAATTAGAACCACTACCAAATGGTCTTACTGCCCTGGAGGCAATTACTGATTACCTTGAGGCATTTCACACCCATGTAACAGCAGAACTTCAACGTGGATTTGCATCCAATTACGACCAATCTAAATTCAGATACTGTTTAACTGTTCCTGCTATGTGGAGTGATAAAGCCAAGGCTACAATGCGAGAAGCAGCTATTAGAGCCAACATTGTCAATAGATGGGACCATCCAGATAGACTTATGCTCATCAGTGAACCCGAAGCAGCCGCTCTTTACTGCGAAAAGAAGAGCGAGCAATTTAATCTCGGTCATGGCCAGCGTTTCATGATCTGTGACGCAGGTGGAGGAACTGTTGATCTGATTGTGTTCGAAATCGATGATTCTGGCTCGCGGAGATCTTTGAAAGAAGTAACAAAGGGACAGGGTGATTCTTGTGGATCAACATTCTTAGATATGCGTATGCGGGAGTATCTAAAGGTCCGGTTCTCACAACGTGGAGCAATTAGCGAGACAGCAATGGAGTCTATGATGGAAACATTTGTGGAAGCCATCAAGGTAATTTTAACCTTCGATATATGATATGTAGTGTATTAACATCAGACTTTGTATGAACAGCCTCAATTTGATGGTGAAGAGGAACAATTTTTACCCTTACCAGCCTCGCTCGGGCTGGGAGACATGGATGACCCAGAGACTGGCATTGAGGACGGCAATCTGCATCTGCCAGCGCAGGAATTGAGAAAGCATGTGTTTGAACCAGTGATTCAACAAGTGCTACAGCTTATCGATGACCAAATCTCTCAATCACAGATCAAGTTGGACACAATCTTCTTGGTCGGTGGTTTTGGGCAGTCGGTTTACCTCTATAGACGTGTACGTGAGATGTTTGAGAACCGAGTTGGAATCATAGGAGTCCCGCCTCGTGGTGAACTTGCTGTAGTCAGGGGCGCCGTCTATTTTGGGCTTAATCCTCGCATGGTTTCTGAGCGTGTCTCACGAAGAACCTACGGAGTAGAAACACGCATGCTATTTGATCCACGCCAGGATCCTCCAGAACAATGTATTAAAGGCGATGATGGTCGTATTTTCTGTAAGCAACGGTATAGCGTTTATGTTCACAAGGGCCAGGCTCTCAAGGGTGACGAGTGTATTTCGAAGAACTTTGTCATTGCCTATCCAAACGATACTGACTCAGGTAATGTACACAATAATAAATTAATTAAATAAGATATTATTACTAACCTACTTCAAGATTTGTTTGCTTATGATGGTGAGGCTCCTGTGCCTAGGTTAACCACCCATCCACATGTCTCCAAAGTAGCCAGATTCCCTATCAAGATGCCAAAATTTGCTAACGCGCAAAAGGCAGACCCAATCTTTATGACGATCAAGATGTTCTTTGGACAGACAGAAATTAAGATTGAGGCCCACATCCGCGACAGGATTTTTACTTTTACATCTGCATTCGAGACGGTTGAAGTTGGTATGCACATGCTCAACAATGGAGTCCAGGGAATGCACCTCAAGCCAGATGAACTTGAAGTGCCTGGGAGCGGATCTGGCTATGGCTACTATGGAAATGTTTCCAATTCAAATATCTCTAGTGCTGGATCCATCTCCAGGCCACCCTCTATCCCATCTCACCACGAATCAAGTGGTTATCCATCTCCTGCCAGATCATACCCTCGTAGTGTGCGTGAAGACGATGAATCTTGTGATGGAGATTCTAAACATTCAACTGGTATTAATGGAACGGCAAAGAAACTCTTTGGTACCTTGAAGTTTGGAAAACGAAAATAAAGTAGATAAAAAAAGGCAGGTTGGCTGGAATGGGCCAGTAGTACTGTATCGCATCACACATCGTTTCATAGTCGTAAAAACTTATCTCTAGCCTTCTTTTATTTGCACCTTTACATTTTATCTTCACTCTTGTATTCACTTAATGTCTGTATATCTCTTTTTATCTATTTATTACGTCTCATATCCATTTCCCCCCCTCTTCCTCGTCTCGCTTCCAACAAAATACTAGCGAAATTGGAGGTAGAGAGACTATGGATCCAATTTTATTCGACCCATCCAAACCTATTATGTAGGCTATTTCAAATACGACTTGTAGACAAACAGTGCAAGATGACTTTATATATTCAATGAAAAGCCAATGGTCTCTCTATTGATATGCAGGGTCCAATTGCATAACAGAACTTTGCTTCTCCTATCGTACATGTGCACAAAACAAGGGGTCCAGGAATATTACATTTAAATCCATACAAGCAACATTTACGATAATCTATTCCGTAAACTTGGGGAAATTTCTAGTTTCATCCTATTACTATAAACTAGCTATTTCATTTCATTTTATTTAGCTTATTTATTTATCTATTAACGCTATTTACTTTGATATAACAGTATATATTTATTTATTTCGAAGAGTTTCTATTCTTCCTTCATAATTGAACCCCTCATAATACTTCTTTAATATATTTATTTACTTATTTAATTTTTGAATAACATTAAAATCAGAATATTTGTCACTCTAATTGCGATAAACTAAACATCTTGGGTTGAAATGAAGTACCAATGAAATAACATATAATCCAGCATTTTTAAATGAATTGGTAACATTGTTAGCCAATAAGGTACCTCTTTCACCATGCTAGTTTCCTTTTTTAAACCCCATAGAAAATAAATCATAAAGACACCAATAACCGAAATACGTAATTGGTTACTCTGAAATAACTTGTAATTTATGTGAAGCTAATAAAGAGCTGTTACAAAGCTTTAAAGGACAATTCTAGACAATCTCAGGGCACACAAACCATATACATAGATACAATGCAGGAGATATTCTTATAGCATAAAGCCCAATATTGTATACCATAATATTCTCCTAATTTTTACATTTCCAGAAGTACAACATTATACATTTATATATAAAAAGATACACTTGGCATTTAGAAATAGTATTTCATCAGTGGTCTGCTCACTATTTTCCGTCCGTTTTATGTCTGATTCATATTCTCTCATAAAACATGCTAATTGCATTCGAAAGTAAGGTACAAAACTAATTTTAAGCGGGTATACTTTTTTTTAAAAAAAAAAAACATCACAATTTACTAGAAGCTTTCTTACATGCAAAGGGATTTATTCTCAGATTAATGTAAGCTTGGATTAAAGCATTGAATTTTGCGGTGTGCTGATGATTATGAATGGGAATAAAATATATCAACCGGTCTTTTATTTCTTTAAAAAAAAAATGAAAATATCTGAAAATGTGTTTGGCTCTTTTAATTTATTACTGTTTATTAAAGTACAATAATAAACCATTTTTTTTTGCTGTAATATGACTCTTCACAAATATATAGCGTAGACCTTTTGATCTTATTTAGTTTGTTCATGTATCAGTTCCAAAATCGTACTGTTAGAGTAAATTTTGGGTAGATTATAATGGCACACAGAAGTATATCACTTAAGGTTTTCAGACTAAAAAAAAAAACTCTAATTAAACTTGTCCCAACGAATTGGATTTTTGGCTCATTTGGCTCATTTGGCTAATTTATCATCAATTTCACTTGAATATATTTTCAAGGAATAATATAGCTGTGAGGAATGTGGAGTATTAAGGTAAAAAGTGAAGCGGTATCAAGACTTTATTATAAGAAACTTTTGATAGTATATATTGGTAGAAGAAGAAAAAAAGAGGCCCATTCAAGCCAATGGCTGTTATAATAGAGCACCAAGTTAATAAATGAGTTTCTCTTTGTTTTTAATTATACTACTCATTTATTTTCCTTGATTACCCATTGAGTGATATTGCTCATTTGACATGCCTTTGCGTTTAAAATTAGTTTGGGATGTACGTATAATATTATGAAATTTCCCAAGTTGAGAATATATAGATCAAATAGTATTTTTTTAATTATTATTATTACTTCTTTAGAAAAAATATTAGTACGAACAGTTTATTTTGAACCTTCTTGACGCTCATATAGCATATAGTATCGTCTTGAGGCATTCCTTTGCTGTTCATTTTTATCAGTAGCCTGCACGCTCTTAAAATGGCTACTTGACATTAAAAATGTGCTCTGGGCTATTAAATTAGTAATAGACGGTAATCATTTATTTTGATATTTGGTGTAAAGAAGTACATAAAGAAAGCTTTAGTTGGGACTATATATAAGTACTGATCGTAAGCTTGGCTATTGTCACCTATACCAGAGTGTGCATACTCAGTACATTATGTTTACGTTTCTAGGATAAGATCTTCCGTATTTGTTACATAGCATACTAGCTATCTTGTAAAAGGCTCCAACCACATGCAACTCACTCAAAAGATTTTTATAAGATCTGTCTATCACTTCCACTTTTTATCTTTCTCTTTTTGCTATACGTCTATATTATTGGAGTATATTGATTAAAATGTTTTGAATAAAACAAAATTATCTTCCACTTAAACATACGATGTATGCTCTTGGCGAATGGAAGAATTTATATCAGTACTTGTTTTTTTACAATCAAAGGAATTGTTTTTTTTATGTATTACCTATTTTTGGGTTAAAGAATTGGTGTGGAATTTTCTAGTAAAGCCACTCAGTAACAAATTTCACTTCATTTAATTTAAAGGGTATGCATTCGACAACAAAAGGTCTAGCTTATTAAAAAATATGTTTCTATTCCTAGTCTCTAGATATCTCATTCTTTCACTTGTCAAAATAAAAATAAAACAAAATTTTATTTTACTGCATGTTGTACCATGTTGTGCAGTTCTGTGCTGTGCTGTGCTGTGCTGTGCTGTGCTGTGCTTAATAATTAAGAGCTCTATAAAACTCTAAGCATGTACTTATATTAATCTAGTCATTCTTTCATTCTGAAGTCTGAAGTCTGACAGGACTATAGTAATAATACCAAATATATATATATATATGGTAGATCTATCTGGATATATATCCAATTGATAACTTGGTTGTCTACTTTTTTTTAACATTACAACAGATATACTGTAAGTATAATATAAAACATATAAAATAGAAAGAAGAAAACACACATAATCGCTCGTATCTAACTGTGATCATTATTTTTTGCACTTTAATATTTAGTATAAAAATAAGCAATTGAACTATCAAGTCTTTTCGTTTCATCTAAAAAAAATCAGTGTAAATGATTATCTAAAGAATGTGAGATCAAATAATCCTTAGAGGCTACATACTAAAAAAAAAAAATGAATAAATAAATGAATAAATATTGCTTAATGAAAGTTTACTATTAAAAACAAACACACTCTACCCAATAATATACCGCAGGGGTTATTATGCATATCCTATAGCTCATTTGGCTTAGTATGTAGTAAAATTATATTAAATTTACAAGTCAGTCTTGATGTACATAATCTTTTCATCTTATAATTCAATTTATACGAAGAAGAAGAAAAACGATCATTTAAACTGACTCTACTTTGCTTTAAAATTGGGTGTATTGTTTAATAAGTCAATAAAATGTAAACAGTATATATATATATATATTCTTCCAACTATTGTATTATAGTGGCAGAATAGAGGAATGTATCAAACAAAGAAATATTCTCCCGCGGTTGGTATGTCATTGAATGTCACGCCTGAAAGTAACTGTCGAGACCCTTGTTTGAGTTAATGGTTCATCAGCCTTTCTGACAGGTGTGTATGTCTGTTAATATCAAGAAGAAGCCACAAGCTCTACAACAAAATTAGCCTTTATCTGTATCAGCAAATATGATTCAATGAAATACATTAATGTCGTTCCAACTAAAATATCCATTAAGATAGAAGAATCAAAAATAAAGTATATATAAGACGCTCAGTAATTTATTGTTAGACAATACCTCTATCCAAAGTATCTCAAACTCCCATATTGTTCTGTTCTGTTTTTTTTTTGAAATGAAGTTCTTTGTTGGTATCTCCGCCATATCCATTCTTGCACTTTCCACAATTGATGCCAGTCTTGTACCGGATATCCTCGGGATAGCTCCTAAGTTTCTCAGCATTACCGCCAACCCTTCCTTCCAGGCCAATGCGGCTAATGCTCTTTCCAGAGCCAAGCAAAAATTTTCTGGTTCATCTAAAAGTACATCGGTTACTGTAGTCGATTACAAGAATGATGTCGAGTATTTTGGTACTATACAGGTCGGAACTCCTCCTCAGGATGTCATAATTGACTTTGATACCGGCTCTTCGGATCTTTGGTTTGGTAAAGAAAAATACGGGATTAAGTAATACTCTACACAACTATTAACCAATACATTTTGTAGCCTCAACTCTCTGTTTATTATGTGACACACACAAAAACAAGTTTAACGCTTTTCTTTCAACTTCTTATAAGCCAAGCTTAAAGACCTGGTCTATTAGCTATGGAGATGGCTCGTTTGCTGGTGGCAACGTCGGTTATGATACGGTCTCTGTCAATGGTATTTCTGTAAAAGAGCAAGCAATCCAACTTGCCAAGTTTGAATCACCTTCCTTCAAGGATAGTCCAGTTGATGGTATTCTTGGTCTTGGCTTCCGCTCCCTTTCATCTGCATTCGGCTCCAATACCGTCATGGATAACATGATTGAGCAGCACTTGATTGAAAAACCTATTTTCAGTGTATACCTTGGGAAATCTGGCGAAGATCCCGCTGGAGGTAATACAAATATTTCGCGGTACATGAGAAGAGCACTTCAAACAGCAGCTAATATTCATGGTCTTTGAAATCGTATAGAATTTATGTTCGGTGATTACAATCCTGATCATATTGGTGGCAGATTAACCACTGTTCCAGTTGACAGTATTGATGGTTGGTATACTTATTCACTGTATTATAATTGATCATGCTAATGTTTTATTAGGCCTATGGAAAATAACTGTCGACGAGGCATCTGTTGGCTTTAAGACTGTCGACAAATTTGATGCTATCATCGACACTGGAACCACTCTACTTGTTTTCACTAAAGATGTTGCCGAACAAATTGCCCAATTCTATGATGCTACTGAAGTTGGTGATGGTACCTATCTTATTGACTGTGACACCTCCAAGTTCGATCCTTTAGTGTTCACCATTAATGGCGCTGATTTCGAAATCCCTCCTTCCGAACTTGTCTTTGAAAATAAGCTAGTATCTTGCGTCGCTAGTTTTACTCATGGTGATTCTGACTTTGCTATTCTTGGCGATGTATTCCTCAAGAGTAACTATGTTATCTTTAACGCAGAGGTTCCCCATGTCCAAATAGCTCCAAGCAGATAATTATTTTTTTTCTCAATTCGATTTTTTTTTAAATAATGTTACCAAAAAAAAAGTACATTCAGAGAACTATATAGATTCTTCTTTTGGTACAACTACATACTTTCTATTATTATTCATGTATCTCTTTCTCTAACATTATCATCTATACCATTTTACTTTTTAATAATAAAAAACTGATATAAAGTGGGACGTAAACTTAATATATATATATATAATTCGTTACATTGTAAAAAAAAGTTAATTCAGAAAGGTTTTGGAGTGAAAAGTCGAATTAGTTAGTTTGATGAATCTATTCTTGGGTAATGAAGTGATTCTAAGCAAAATTTTCCGCCATATGTCTCGTAAAAATAAAATACTTTCCTACCTTGATCTCTAAAATTATCCACTTGTACTCCGTCAGATCCAAGTAAGTATCTAAAGGCTTTTGTATTTACAGCGTGAAAACTAATTTCAAGGTTATATTGTTTCTAACGGTACTATTCATTGAGGTCAGGTTTACGATGCCTGGTAACGTAGCTTTCAACTATGATATACACATTTTAAAAGTATTTTCAGAATTACATATAGAAGAGAAAGAGAGAGAGAGAGAAAAGATACTTGTGTGGGAATTATCATTTTTTAAAATAAAAATTCAGAAGCACCATTATTCTCTGATAGAATTCTTATTTATGATAGTGTGACATTAATTTTTAAGAAATATTGTGAAAAAGATTAAAATAGTATATAGAAGCTAATGAAACCAGTGTAGGTCAAAAAATAAGGTGGTAAAAACGCAAAAGCCTAAAACTTTGAAATCAACTGCCATGCACTACCTACACTAAGACGGTACTTGCACTACCAAGTCGCAATAACTTTCACTATTATTAAATTTAACAACTTTCAGGTGGAGAGAATAACCTAATATTCTTGATTTATTTTGGCGCCATTTTTTCCCCTTCTCTCTTCATTCTTTTCTCTTTCTCTTTTGGTCTTCTGTTTTTAGCAATCATTTGATCTTCTTCTTTTATTTTTGTCTTTACATACTCACGTCAACAACATACTTCAATTAACTACCTATCCTACCGATCCTGTACCTTGCCGATTAAGGATATAATATAAAAGTAATGCGCTTTTCAGAGCCAAACCAAACAGTGTATTGGCTTTTATGTGATGAAAACGACAAATGCTATTGCGACTGGCGAATAGGTCTTAAGGACTGCGTTATCAAAAGCCAAATACGAAATATTTTAATATGTGGATCAGTTTTTTCGTTAATAACCTCCGTTACATGTATGTTACATATATGTATATGTATATATAGACTTTTTTTTAAAAGAAAAAGAATTACCTTTGATGGGCATAAATATACATATATTAAACTCTCCAACATCTAAAGCATTTGCTATTTTATATCGCCGTATACGATACAAGAATCAGAAGCTGTGGGAAAAAGATCTTATATCTGGATGTATCATACCAAGACCTGTGGACTCATTGCTTGCTATGAGTACTTTGTATAATTTATGTGAGTTTGTATATTTTCTTTTATTTTATTAATTTACTTACCATGTATTTAGTCCGTGCAATACAATCACTTATTATTGTCACTGACGTTGCGCCTAATCTCGTCTTCCGCTCATGTAAGCAAATATGATATAAATGACAAGGAAGATAGGTTTGAATGATAAATTACGATATATAGTCTTTCATGAATTGCCTTGGCAGTTTGGAATTTCAGCTTTTTCTTGTTACTTCTTTGGAATTGCTCACACAATTGCAAATGTAAGTCTTGTATTTAATAAAAAGCTTGTAGCCACATATTTTATTAATATATCGTTAATCAGAGTAGCGAAAAAGTATACACTCAATGGATCAGCATACCTCGTTATGTGGATATCTACTGTACCATACTTCTCTTTGCTCCTTTTATTACCAATAATATTTGCTCTATATGCTCAGGGGTCTTTGCAGAAAGAGGTGACCTGGAGCTTGCTTACATTTTTACGCGCGCACTCCACTTTATTTGGGGGATCTATTGCATGGTGTTCATGATCATTCTCTCTTTTTCCGGGCTTCGACTGATACGATTACTGAAAATACATCGCAAAATGCGAGTAGCTAATCACGGAGACGTCGAGAGTGTTGATACTGGCATTCTAAAGGTAAGCCGGAAAAACGTTAGGGAAGCACATGTTAATGATCACTTATAATAATTTGGTACAATTTTTTTTTAAAAAAAAAGGTCAAAATAGTTGTAATAGGTGCTATTGTTGCTCTTTTTTTCTTCACATTCCTATCATTTATATATGGCGGCGCTCGCAACCAGATAATTATGAATGAAAGTGCATCTCAGGCTATATGTGTATTTTGGCTATTCAACGCTCCTATCGCATTGACTATCTGCGAGGTCGCCGTAATTTTGACGTATGTATGACTTTACCGAAGCATAACCAAGATTAATGGTGCTAACTAGCTTGTTAATATAGCCCAAAATTGAGCATAACTCTTGGGTTTATTGGGCAAAACCAGCCTAATGAGCTTCAATACACCACTACTCCACGCCTCGTTAATGGAAAACCGATATACCCATACCCTCCACTGTCCCATGCAAAAAATTCGAAGAATTCAAAAAATTCAAAAAATTCAAAAAATATTGAACCTATGGACCTACAATTGTTACAAGGAGACTGTGATACAGAAAGAAATTCGTCCATTGTAGATATGAACAGCAGCAGCTTTGGAAACCTAAGTCACAGCCCTGATAAATACAGCATATCAGGCTTTAGCAAACGATCGTCCGCCCCAACAAATACCATAGACTCTCACTTTGAATATCAAAAGAAAATTTCATTAGAACTAGTCGTAGACTACAAAAGCCACGTAACCGCCTTGGGTGCCCCTCGTTTCCATGCTTCTAAAGATGCTCGTAAAGATTATGAAGGCGGTATAAACAGTGAAAATTCATATGAAACCCATAGACTCAGCAATGAACACGCCCACTCTACATCACACTCGAGTAGTATGATAAGGAAACCCCTATAGTACGATAGCCTTTCTTCTTGTACATATCATCAATCAATAGTCCCCCTTTTTTTTAAAAAAAAAAGAAAGAACGATTCGCAGCATATGCTTACTGGTTTTTTTATTTTGTATATAATTGAATTAAACAGCATTGCGACTATTATTATTAGAATTGTACCTGACTATGTTTTCTATTGTTTGCATTATCCAAGAAGTTAAAAAAGATAGCTATTGTATTGGTGTTTCTCATTAATTAATACACAGTTGGTAAACTTTAAAGTATACTTTCTTTATTTCTTTGATTCAACCGTATATTAAGCATTTACAATTATATATATATATATATATAGACAAACAGAAATTCAAAGGTGGGAATATAAATTATGAAAGAAAGAAAGCATGTTAAAAAGGTGTATATTATCGAATATAATTAATTTTAAATATTTTCTTCATGATTACTTCTAACACCCTATATCCAAATTAATAGGATATTAATACCAGCACCTTATACAAAATATATGTATATATATATATATATATACTCTTGATATTTAAAAGTCTAATTCAACCTTCTTACTACATTGATTTACTATGCAGGCGATCATTTGTAACTTTAAGAAATTAGACGAAAGCTTAGTTTTTAAATAATCTCTGCTTATAAGCTACATTTAATATCATCAAAAATGTTGCTATGTTCTTTTTTTCTAATATTTTCATACTTAAAATTATATGTCTGTTTGGAGTCACATTTAAAGAAAGTGACATGTTTGTAAATGCACCGGCGTTACGGGACTAATGTGAAGAGCAAGTACCCGTCAGAGTTTATGTCACACAACATTGATGAAACCAAACAGAAGAAATAAAAAGAAAGGGCATGCATAAGTATAGATCTGTTGTAATTCAGGATCTTACATGTACATTATGTAAAAGAATAAACCAAAAACCAAAAAATAATCCATGTCTACAAGATTCTTTCAAACACACAATATTGAAGTCTGTATATCGGTCTAAGATATATCCTACTTCAAATAACAGTATTATCATCTAAATTCTATCATCAAGGTCAAATTACTGAAAAAAGAACCGAGAGACTTATTGAAATTAGACTTATTTAAGCTTATATCAATATCATTCGATCAAAGTACCTCCCAAATTTTAGGTCAGAGTTCCTTAAAGTTAACACATTACTGAGCCGATTCACCCCCCTTATTTTTCTGTTTTGTTTTCTTGAGCCAAGTGTATAATGCTCTACTTTGGTATCAAATAACAAACAAACATAAATCTAAATGTCCTGTTATATCTCACCCAGCTTACAGTACAGGTCTGGTAAGGTTTTCTGTCTTTTCAAAGTATCTCTAATGGGTAGGAATAATACAGCTTGGGAGCGTTCACAATTCTGCCTCTCTTGAAATGCATGCCATCATCTTGTTTCAATTCGCGTTTGATTATTATTATTTAGTTTATGCGCATACAGCTTTGTGATTCATACCTGGGCTTGTCTCGATATATAGGCTATGCTTTATTGCGTTCCCTTCTTCTTCTTTTAATAAGACTTTTCTAATAATAGTGTCAAGTAACCATTGATGGAACTAGTCAGAAGCTGGTTGTTTGGATTTGTTTCCAATAACAAAACAAAAAGAAGAAGAAATTTGGCATTTTCATGTTGTGTACTTTGTCTTGTCATCCATTGCGGAGCCTACTTTCCTACGATCGCCGATTTTTATTTTTATTTTCTTGCTCCATGTGCCCCCCAGCTTCGACTATTCGATTCTCAATCATTATTTATTTGGCAAATCAAGCAATATAACGTAGCTCCTAAAGAAAGTATAGAAGTTGCATGCGTCTTATAAATTGCCTTGGAAACAAAGCAAAAACAAAAACAAAAACAAAAAAATCCAAAAATAAAATATATATAAAAAAAAAGGCATCATAGTTTCTCGCGTTTTGCATAAGGGAAATAGTCTTTCCTTCGACGTCATCTTATTTGGACTCGGAAGGTCCTCCAGCTTGTGTGCTTGTGTGCTTGTGCGCTTGTGCGCTTGTGCGCTTGTGCGCTGGTGTGCTTGAATGAGTATTTCTGGGCTTTGACCTCCGCAACAGCCGTTTTTGTTCCTTTCCCTCTTCTCCTCACCTCATTCTTTTCTTTACTCTTTCTCCATGTCCACCATGCTCGATGAGGATGACGTGCTTCGGTCTGGGTTCCTTGACCCCGGGACGTCAAGGTACTTACTCAGCACTCCTTCTTCTCTGAGTCGATCAATGTCATCTCCAATCTATACTTCTCATTTTGGCGAAGATCCTGATCCTTGGAAAAGCTCAAATGCCTTTGATCCTGTGGCTGACATGCGCCAAGGTCTTGGAACTCACGATGCTGTTGCGGACAATATCCTAGGATCAGAAGTGACAGCTGCCAGCGTATTAGGTTTGTCTCTTCCTCTTATTCTTGTTGTTGTTGTCAAGGAACAACCACCCCTGAAACATCCTGTGTGTGTGCTTGATGATAACATGTATTACCATATTGTATGTATGTTTATGTGTACAGTCGGAATTGAATTGCCAGAGATATATGATACAGCGTACCTGAGGGCTGGACCTGTAGATGATCGAGTCAGTCTCGAGGCGCTCGGTAAGGTGGTTTCTCTTGCCACTCTTCCTTCTCGTGCAACAGAAAAGGTACAATCATGTCCAGACAAAATGTAGCCAAAAAAAAAAAGAGGGGGGGGATGAGAGAGAGGGGGAGAGGTGGGGATTTGTTATGCTGAAATATGAAACGGAGCTTATTACCTGCAACTTGTGGTGCTAACTTGTTTAAAATGATTATAATCATGATATAGGTCCTTCACACTGCTGTTCCTGCCGGAGCTCTTTATGTCACTCATAACGAATTCAACACAGCCCTTGCTTTGGTTGCCTGTGCACAAAAGAATATGGGTAAATATTTATATATAAAGTTAGCTTCTATCGGGTGTCTATTGTAGTCAAAAGATATTGATACTTGTTTTTTTTTAAAAAAAAAATATTCCAGAAATATCTTTACAGACAGTCTACCAGCATCGTAATGGTATGTATTTAATGATGTATATATAATACTACTATACTTGTTTCCACCACGTGTATAGGGTTTAAATTGCAATTAACACGGCAATATATGCCTGTTATTATTATTATTATTTTAATATATAATATATAATTTTTTATTTATTTATTTATTTTTGACTCAGATTTGCCAATCCCCACCTTGCCAAAACTCAATGAATTCCACATAAAACGTAACAGTCGTCAGATATTGCCTCCTCCAGCTAACCAGACGCAGCAAATGGATGACCCTTGGAAAGTCATTCTCACGCCACCAAATCACAATGGCCCAAATTCAACTGGCCCATTATCACAGCACAACAATAATAATCATAATCATAATGATACGTCACTTAACGAAAATACATCTCTAAACAACAGCCATGGACGTACTCAAAGTATGAGTTCACTAAATCCCGCTGCTCACCAGGACTCCCATTTATCGAGAGATCTAAAGGGAAATTCTTTCGTGCCCACTCACGACATAAAGCCAATCGCAGAAACACTTGAATGGTTCAAAGATTTGGATGTCATCAAGTTATCCATCGCACCCGAGAAGGAAGGATTTCTGTTTAAGCATGTCAACTACGTTGTAGAAAGCCAGAAGCGTCAGTCGATTGTTTTGCGCCGCTATAGTGACTTTTATTGGTTGTGGGAAACCTTGTTGAAACGATATCCCTTCCGTTTAATCCCTAATTTGCCCCCAAAGAAACTTGGAGCACGTAGGTCTGGCTTGGTGGATGACGATTTAAATGCCAAAAAAGCTGATTATTATTATTATTATTTTGTGTGTATATTTTAGAGGACGATGTGTTTATAGAAGCACGTAAAAAGGGTTTGAACAGATTCATTCATGCAATTGTGCGACATCCAATTCTCAAAAAAGACGAAGTTGTTGACAGATTTTTGACAGAACCATCGGTAGGATAGCGAAAACAACAACAACAAAAGAGAAGATATATGTTCATTACTGCAGACTAACTCGTTTTTTTAAAGGAACTCTTGGCCTGGCGAAAAGCTAACCCTCCTGTGACGGATGAAGAGTTTGTACGCATTCATCCAGAAACAAATTCACTTGAGGCGTATATACCCCGCGATCTAGAAGACCGCCTCGAGAAACTTGAGAAGCAATTGCCAAAGATGGTTGAACATTATCACAATATGTGCGCTATGATGGAGAAAATGATCAAATTACAAGAAGTTTACGGAACGGAGATGGTGCGGTATAGCATTGCCTTAAAGTAAGTTGCTGTTCATGGCATGTCATGTCATGCTTATAAGGTTATTACTATTATTATTATTATTATTATTTCTATTTAAGAGAAATGTTAATTGGCTTACATGTGTGATTTATAGTAAAATAAGCGAAACAGAGAACACATGCTTTGTTCCTGATTGCCATGGCTGCAAACAAGTTGTTCGAGGCTATGAATCGGTGGCAAAACATATGCAAAAGGCTGGTTCGATTACGGAAGAACAAGTCTCTTGTTCCATTGATAGCGTTTTGGAAGATTTGAAGCAATACCGGGACACTTTAGTCTCATTCAAGGTAAACATTTGATTTAATTTAGCTTTTCTTTTTTTGCTTGCCATGTGTTAATTGGACTGTTGATTCTCACACGCAAATTGTGTGTGTGATTGTGTTTTCAGGAAACCATGGACCGTAAGCCGAAACTTTCTGTCAATCAAATCGATACTCTCGCAAAAAGACTTTCAGCAAACCACGCCAAAGTTAATCAAAATCGAGGTGTCCCTGGATTGGAAAGCGAAGTCGAAAGATTGGATCTAGCTATCAAAACGGTACGTCCGTTACAACTCACACGTCTTTTCTTTTAAGAATCTTTAAGAATTTCTGCTCACACTTTTTATATTTATTTTGTTTTAGGATCATGAAAAGATGACATGGCAACAACAGCGCGACATTCATATTCGTTACAGCATTTCATGCGAACTCTCTTATATCCACAAGCAGCATGCCCTTGTAGCTCATCTGTACCAAAACTACACTCATGACCAGCTTCGCTTTTCACGCAAATCGGTCGACAATTGGAAAGCACTTGAAGTCCTTACCAGCGACATACCTGAACCTGAAGAGTTTGCTTGATTTGCTTTTGTTCGTTCTTTATTTTTATTATTATTATTATTATATATTTTGCATCCATGTTTTTTCTCCTTCTTTTATTCCTTTCTTGCTTATATCGTTTGATTCCACAACATATCTAAAGAAAAACATACCTTACATGTCTCTGTTATATTCCCATATCATATAATAGGTTTATCTTGGTTACTTTCTTGCTTATTTATTCCCTTTACTAAACTCTCTTTTTTTAAAAAAAAAACAATCTTTACACAAGAATAAAGATTTAGCGTGCCAATTAAACAAAAGCTAAAAACCAAAACTTCTCTCTCATTCACACTCACTCAATGCTCGCATTAAATAGAGATCACAGCCTCAAAAAAAGATTTTTTCACTGTTTGTTTTTTATATATACATAGTTATTTACCAGAGCAACACATTAGGCCAGAATGCCAATGTGAAGATGCTAAATGCTAGTAGTGATTGTCTTGTTTTTTTTTTAATGATAATAAAAAATATGAGAAGTTAAAAAAAATTACAAGAAGGTCTTGACGTGGGTCTCGCAGATGTTGCGGAGCTTGGCATCCAACTCCTTGGAGATAACACCCTTGGTGCGGATCTCATCGAGCTCGGTCTGGTGCTGGGTCTTGACGTAGCTGACAAAGTCCTTCTCCCAGTCGACAACCTTACCGACGGGCAACTTATCGAGGAAACCGTTGACACCGGCGAAGACGATGGGGACCTGGACCTCAATGGAGAGAGGAGTGTACTGGGGCTGCTTGAGGAGCTCAGTGAGACGAGCACCACGGTTAAGCAAGAACTGGGTGGAGGCATCGAGATCGGAACCGAACTGGGCAAAGGCAGCAACTTCACGGTACTGGGCCAAGAAAAGCTTGAGAGAACCAGCGACCTGCTTCATGGCCTTGGTCTGGGCAGCAGAACCGACACGGGAGACGGAAAGACCGACGTTAATGGCGGGACGGACACCCTTGAAGAAGAGTTCGGCTTCCAAGAAAATCTGTCCATCAGTGATGGAAATGACGTTGGTAGGAATGTAGGCAGACACATCACCACCCTGGGTCTCAATGATGGGAAGGGCGGTCATGGAACCGTAACCGAAAGCCTTGTTCATCTTGGCGGCACGCTCCAAAAGACGGGAGTGGAGGTAGAAGACATCACCGGGGTAGGCCTCACGACCGGGGGGACGACGAAGCAAGAGGGACATCTGACGGTAGGCAACAGCCTGCTTGGACAAATCATCATAAATAATAAGAGAGTGGCGACCGTTGTCACGGAACCATTCACCAAAGGCAGCACCAGAGAAGGGAGCGAGGTACTGGAGAGGGGCGGCCTCAGAGGCAGTGGCAGCAACGACGATGGTGTACTTCATGGCGTCGTTCTCCTCGAGGGTACGGACCAACTGGGCAACAGTGGAACGCTTCTGACCGACGGCAACGTAGATGCAGTAAAGCTTCTTGGACTCATCGGAACCGTTGTTCCAGTTCTTCTGGTTAAGAATGGTGTCAAGAGCGACAGCAGTCTTACCGGTCTGACGATCACCAATGATCAACTCACGCTGACCACGACCGATGGGAACCATGGAATCAACAGACTTGATACCAGTCTGCATGGGCTCGTTGACAGAGTGACGGGGCAAAATACCGGGAGCCTTGACCTGGACACGCGAACGGCCAACGGTCTCAAGAGGACCCTTACCATCAATGGGGTTACCGAGGGCATCGACAACACGACCCAAGATACCAGGACCAACGGGAACATCGACAATGGCACCAGTACGCTTGACGGTGTCACCTTCCTTGATCAAACGATCGTTACCGAAGACGACAATACCGACGTTGTCAGCTTCCAAGTTGAGGGCCATACCCTAAAAGATTATGAATTAATTACAAGGTTAATATTTATATTTTTATATATGTATGTGCACAATAGTTGTGCTTTCTCTTTTCTTCTCTTCTCTTTTATTTTATTTTATTTTATTTTTATAATTAATTTAATTATTTACCTTAAGACCGCTGGAGAACTCAACCATCTCTTCGGCCTGGACGTTCTTCAAACCATAAACACGGGCAATACCGTCACCAATGGACAAGACACGGCCAGTTTCCTGGAGGTCAGCCTCAGCAGAGGCACCGAGGATGCGCTGTTCGAGGATAGAAGAGACCTCTGCGGTGGAGGGCTTGGAGGAGGCAAAGCGAGCAGCCTGGGCAACAACACCAAGGTTGAGGCGAGCCTTTTATGAGTAGAAAAGAAAACGAAGCGAGAATGAAGAAAGTTAATAATTGTTATACAATCGTATATACATTCTTTTTCTTTGGGAGGTACTTTGGCGTGAATAGTACAAGTTTTTGTTTTTTGTTTTTGTTATTGTAATTTGCTGGTAATTTCGAGTTTATTGTCTTTCTTTATGAAATTCACTTGTTTTTTCTGTTTCAATTTCTTATTACATTGTTGTTGTTTATTTTGTTTATTTATTTATTTATTTATTTATTTTTATTTTGTAGTGCGCTTTTGTATTTGACTTTTTTTTCAATTTATCTATATATACATATATATGTATATATTTAAAGAAGTATTATAATACTCACAGCAGGAGCAATACCGCGCGAGACGGCAGCAACTGTCAATGGACGAGCAACACGAGCAGCAATGTTTCTAAGCATGATGGCAACGGTAGTGATTGTGCAAGTATGAAGACAGACTCTGCAGTCAAATATTTTTTCTTTTTTGACTGTAAATTTTCTCGTTTTTTTCCCCTGGAATCAACGACATGCAATAAAATTAATTGTCCGCTATATAATGTTGCGTCACTGTAAAACGTGGCTTGACCTTTGGCCTTGGGCCTTGAGTCTTGAGCCTTGGGCTTTGGGTCTTGAAACCCTGACTCTGGCTTTGGCTCTGGCTCTGGCTCTGGCTCCGGTTCTGATTCTTTTAAGTGTCCTTCTCCAGGTTGTTTTACAACTATTTTCTTTAGTTGCATAAATTATTTATTCATTTTGCAACGGAAATTTAGTGATATAAAAAATCGAAATGTATAAATATGTTTTTGTGATATGTTTTACCCCCAAAAAAAATAGCCTATATGTATAAATATTTGTCCTGTGAAATTTAACCCAAAAACTCAATGTTATTATAATTTTGAAAGGACAATTAAATGATAAATTCACTTGCTTCAAAAAAATAAAATCAATTGTTGTGGAAGGTGGTTTTATATTTATATTTATTTTACTTTATTGGATTAGCTTATAGTCCTCCGGTAAAAGCCATGTATTTATAAGATAAACGAAGTGCAGCTTTGACTCAGAATAGAAGTTTCGATCAAACTCACTCATCAATCTCGAGCAAATGCGGAGGTCCAAAACAGTGTATAGAGTCAGCTACAACTACAGTACAACTACCACTTTCTATGTCCATGAAGCCTATTTGTACTTCTTTATATATGTGTGTGTGGATATAGATATTAAAGTATAGACACTTAGGTTGCTTGTTATATTTACTTACCGCAATTGCAAGAATAAGAATAAGAATAAGAATAAAAAGAAAAAGAAAAAGAAAAAGAAAAGCAGGTTAATATTTTTTTTCGTAGCTATGGTTACGAAGAATTTTAGAGTTTTAGGATATTAATACCGCTATGTTGTATTGTGTTGTATTGTGCTTTATTGTGCTGTGATGTGCTGTGCTGTGATGTGCTGTGATGTGCTGTACTGCACTATAATTAATATCTGCGCCCTTTCGTCCTTATTGTCATTACAACTTCTCTTGGTTAGTAGCAGGCTCCAAATATATATATATATATATTTGCTCCGATCGTCAGAAAATAATATCAATATAGATATAACTCAAAATAATTTTTGGACATAAGTACCAGAGCCATGTTAGCTTATCATTATTGTCGATTCATCCCTAATGACAATGTTATAGCTAAGAGAGCTTTATAAAATAAGCACACACACACACACAGAGAGAGAGAGAGATAAAAGGCATCATTGTTCTTTTTTTGTCAAGACACAATCGGTCCATTCGGCGACATAAAACAAAAATAACACGTGAGGTTGATAATGTTATACATATATAACAGACAACCGATAAATGACAGGAGCACAGGCCCCCCTTTCTCTTGCTTAAATTTCTTTTTTTTATCTTTATCTTTTATCTTGCATATGTCATTCAACACAGAGTATGATATCATCTGTGTAGGTGCAGGTGTCGTCGGATGTGCTGCTGCCAAAGTATTTGGTGACAGTGGGCGTAAAGTACTAGTCTTAGAACGAGACCTTAACGAGCCCGATCGAATTGTGGGCGAGCTTATGCAACCTGGAGGTGTACATGCCTTGGAAGAACTTGGAATGGAAGGTAGCCCACGCATTCAATAATGACAATAATAACAATAATGATTATGTACCCGGATTTATTAATTATTTTTTTTATATAATTTCGTTTTGTAAATCAAGATTGTCTCGAGGATATTGATGGAATTCCTTGCTATGGTTATAGCGTTTTTCGAGAAGGGAAGATGGTTACCATTCCATATCCGATCAATGAAAACACCGGAAAACAAGAAGTAGGAAGATCATTTCATCACGGTCGGTTTATCCAGAAATTACGAATGTCGGCTACAAACACCAAAAAGTAAGTCTTTGGGTGGTGGTGTGGGATATTTTCTAGATCAAAAGATCAAAAGAATACAATATCTAATACTCTAATGTGTGTGAAGTGTGACTATCAAGCAAATGACAGTTAGTCAACTTTTGACCGATGATACCAGCGACAGAATCATTGGTGTTCTTGCCTCTGATAAAGAAGGGAAGGAGAAAAGGGTAAGAAACAGATTCATATGCTTAATGAGGTCTGTGCACTATTTTATATTAACAAATAAATAAGATCCATTCCGCTAACTTTTATGTCTTTGATTGTCCTAAAAAAAAAGTTTACTGCCCCTCTCACAATTGTAGCAGATGGCATATTTTCACGTTTCCGTAAAGACTTTACCACAAAGACTCCAGATGTTCGGTCCAATTTTGTTGGGTAAGATTTATATAAATTTATTATTGTTCATGAATATGTGGCTTTTATATAAAAGTAAAATTTATGTTAAAAAAAACACATATACGGACAGATTTATTATGAAGGATTTGAATCTACCTTTACCTGAACATGGATGTGTTGTTATGGTGAAACCTTCGCCTGTACTCATTTACCAGATTGGTAAACGGGATACCCGAGTGCTCATTGATGTTCCCGGCCAATTGCCGTCTGTTGGTAATGGAGACCTCAAGAAATATTTGCAAGATGTGGTTGCACCACAGTTACCAAAGGTTATTCAGGTGAGATTATTATCAAAATCAAAAAAGAAACAAAAAAAATTGGTGCGGATAACTTGATGGATAAATGAATTAATGGGGTTTGGTTGGTTGATTGGCGTAGATCAAATTCTTGGAAGGTTTGGAGACAGAGCGTTTGAGATCCATGCCCTGTGGATTCCTTCCTCCATCGGCAAACCAAAACGATGGCACGGTGTTACTTGGAGATGCGTTGAATATCAGACACCCTCTTACTGGTGGTGGAATGACCGTGGCATTAAACGATGTTATTCTGTTATCCAGACTTCTCTCGAAAGAAAATGTACCTTTGCTACAAGATACCGATCTTGTAATCCAGGCCATGGGTGCCTTCCATTGGAAGCGCAAGAGATATTGTACACCCATCAATGTTCTGGCCATGGCGCTCTATCGTATATTCGCCGCAAGTGGTAATACAACAATTTAATTTCTTCCACATGTTATACTAGGACTAGTAATGGTAAGTAAAACATGGCCTGATTATTATACTTTTTTTTGGCTATAGATGTTCCTGACCTTCAGGTGTTGCAAAGAGGATGTTTTGGATACTTTGAACTTGGTGGAGAGTGTATCAATGGTCCAGTAAGTCTTTTGGCTGGTCTGGCAGACAGACCTCTGTTATTGGTGTATCACTTTTTTGCGGTTGCTTTTTACTCCATCTACCTTGAGTTCAAGAGCGGAACGAATGCTGAAATCCCTCTGAATTTCATCAAAATATTTACGGTGCTCTACACCGCATGTGTTACTATCCTTCCGTACCTTTGGAGTGAAATCCAAGATTAATTATTGCCAATGTCATTTATCCCAACTTACCTCTTATACTTTTACCTTTACTTTACTTTATCTTATCTTTTCTTTTTATATTTTGCTTTAGCTAATTATTAATTATATAATACCATCATAATATATGTATACAACAATACAACAATACAACAATACAACAATACACGAGAGAGTTTTCTCTTTTGTACGTTATAATCACTTTATATATTTTTTTCAGTTATCATAAATTTTATTAATAATAATAAGAAAGTAACAAATAACTGCACTCCAAACACAAAGACACATACATACTTAGGACTATCACATGATCGAAAGAATAGAAATAAAATAAGAACGGACTATGGGAGTGTGTGTTTGAAGTTGTTGATAGAAATATGGATATATACTTTACCCATATATTCTATTTAACTATTAGATTAAATTTATAAGAAGAAGAAGAGGAAGAAGAGGAAGAAGAAGAAGAAGAAGAGGCTCGTTCTTTCTACAATATTATAATAAAGCAACACGATATTGAGATGGGGAAAAGAAAGAGCTTGTATATAACGGTGGTCTTATTCGTCCTGGGACACAGCATTCTTGCGAGAGTTCTCGGAAACCTTGCCACCCTCAAAGAAGTCGTTGAACTACAATAGATATTTAAGCATGTTAGAAATGGGACAATATATGTATAAAAATAATATATACTTACAAAGCCAGTAACTGGTCCGTCACTTCCAACACTCTTGACGCTCTGGGAGTCTTCAGCGGATACAACAGCAGCAACAAGGGCAACAATGGCGATGATGTAGGTGAACTTCATATTGAATTATAGGATTGTTTGTTTGTTGAGAAAGAGAATCGAAGAATAGGATAATGGTTTTTTTTCTTTGGAGGCTATTCAAGGATGCTTTTATAGTAAAATCGAATTCAATAAATGAGCTTTTCGAGAGCCTTATATCCCTTATTCGCACAGGGAAAAAAATAAAATTAAAAAATAAGGAAGATATGATAGAAAAATTATCAAAGTCTTCTTGGTTGTTCTCCTTTCTACTCCTGTGTCATTCTCAATTCTCGATTGAGCAAATCTTCTACACTTCCTTGAGCTTATAGACAAAGACAAAAAGTGAGAGAGAGAGAAAAGAGAGCCCCGCTGTTATGGTTATAGTACAGCACATCTAACCCTTACTGTTGTCTTGTTTTTCGATTGACGATCAGGATTTGCAGGAGAAAGCAAACAAGACAATTTTGATTTTAGATGTGTATGGGATAAATAAGCCTCTTTATTTATTTATTTATTTATTTATTATTATTATTATTATTAAAATATATAAATCGATACTAACAGCAGCAACATAAGCAACCTATGCAACATGAGCAATATATACAGCAGCATCAGCAGCAGCAGCAGCAGCAACAACAACAATGATGATGATAATAGAAGAAGGGAGTCAACTTTATTTGATGTTTATTTTTAAGCTCTAAAAGAATTTCAGATACTCAGTTCAGAGAGGTTTTTCTGTCTGGGATTAAGAGGTTTGATTAGTAGGTAGTAAAAACCTATATAAATTTATTTTATTTTTCTTTACTGCAATTTATTTTTTTCTAGAATTTGCGCATATAAACTACCCCTTTCAAAGAATAATAAATAATAATAAAGAGGTTATTTCTGATATGCAAGTATCAACAGGAGATCGAATATAAACAAGGGTGACAAGGGCTTGTAATGTTTGTGAGCAGCCAGGTCCAAGCTTTATCTTGTCAGTCAGTCAGTCAGTCAAAAGTCAAATCAAGGCAATTAGTTTGTTAGATTGTTTTATTTTATTTTTGGTTTGAGTTACGTTAGGGTTTGAAGCCTTACGCGTATTGCTCCCTGAATTACTTATTTTTTTCTAAGGATAAAAATTATTTCGTGCTTTTATTAATAGTGTGTTTAGTCCCTTTATTTCTCTACCGCTGTTGTTGTTTCTTGTGTGCAAACCCAAAACCCAAAAAAAAAGCCAGAGATCTTGACATGATTTTCAGGAGTAATCGAGAGTCGTACCGAGAAATACTAGTCAAAAGAGCATCAAAGATTGCTATAGAAATATACCCAAGATTACTATCATTATTACCAATAGGTTGTAAGCAAGAAAAAAAAAGCAAATAAAAAAAGTTTAATATATATATATATATATATAAAAAGAATCAATTGATAGGATTGGGTATTTTTACTCTGAGGTCTGTAGTTAGTACAAAGATATTCTGTTCAAGTGCTACGATGACATAAAGTAGTTTTAACCAATACATAAATACGTAAATAAAAGAAGTGCTCCACTCCTTTTAAGAAATGCCCCATGCGGTGATGCGCATACTTTCTTAAGAGATAAAAATACAAGCTTATATATATATATATATATAATTAAACAGAATAATCCAGATTCGAGGGTGGTGTGTGCTTTGCGAAACGTGTTTTACTATTGTAACCTCGAATGATCACGAAAAAAATTTGGTGTCAACCCTTGTGTTAAAAAGGATTTCAAGACAGATTATAGGGAGTTTGATAAGATTATGTATTGGAATTAGTGTCTCTAGTCCTCGAACCCACATATCCCTTTCTTTAGTCTTTTATACTATTCCCAAGAGCATTAGTAGTGAGCTCAAGTTACTCTTTACAATCCAATTCAATTCAATACAGGGTATTTGGACAAAGAACTCAACCAAAGAGAAAGAAAAAGAAATTGTGCTTTCTTCCTTCTTTTGTATTTCTTTTTCTTTTTCCTCTACTGTAGCACAAGACTTTTGTGGGTGTATTTAATGACTGTATTCAAAGGTAACATTAGGGTGAAATAGACAGTTATGAGAATATTAGAGCATTTCAATATCAATTAAACCAAAGTACTTCTTGGTAGATAATACTATCTTTTAATAAACCAAAATAAATAAAAAGGAGTGTATGTGGGTGTGTCTGTCTTGTTGTATTTTTGAGATCTTCTTTTTACCCAAGAGGTTATTAATAAAGCCTCAAAAGTATTAGTTTCCAAATATTAGATATTTTTCGCTGAAGAAAATGTAATGTAATATATGAAATGAAATTAGTTTATACGTAAAAACGTTCAATATATATACTTATTATTCTTCAAAGAGAGAGAGAGAGAAGAAATGTTCGAGTAAGATGATTGGATGATATTTAATGACTATGGTATATGTATTTACAGTAAAGCTAGATTATATGAAATGTATGTCTCTTTTATATATATATAAAGTGTATCTGTGTGTGTGTGTGTGTACTATAGTATGTTTGAAAAGTTTGAATTGGATAATTGTTGGCCAGCCATGATGTCTTCAATCTCCTTGACTGTTTTTGGTGCAAGCGTCAGGTTTTCATGGCCATCTTTTGTTATCAGAACGGTATCCTCGATACGAACACCGCCTACCACGCGATACCTACGAATGACATCAAGATCAAAGAAGGATTTGTAACCAGGGTATTGCGTCCAGATATCAAGCATGCTGTCGTTAAAGTAGAGCCCTGGCTCAACTGTCACAATCATATTAGCTTCAAGGGGTCTTCCTTGAAGGAAATTTGTCAAATATCCAGCACTGTCCACTCTCTTCAAATGCAATTCTGGTAATTGACTATAAAAACTCCAATTCAATTCAATTCAATTCAATTCAATTGAAGGCTTTAATTTTTTAGTACATATATATATATATTGGTTTTTAAAAATAATAAATCTATAATAATCTTGTCTTACCCTTCTACATCATGAACATCTAATCCAACCGAATGACCAAGACCTAATATATCATTAGCCTCTTTTCATTCAGTAATATATAAATTAACCTTTTAAGCTTACCATGAATAAAGAAAGCGTGCGGTATACCCATATCCACCAGTTGATCAATTTCCCCAACCAATACACCAATTCGAATTAATTCACTACAAAGTACATGAATAACGTGTCTCTCCAATTCAGACCACATTGCTCCAGGTCTTAGTCTAGAAAGAACAGACTAAAAGAAAAGAAGAAGAAGAAAAGAAGATGAGAAAAGGAAAATTCAAGCCACAAGTATATACATATATATATATGTATACCTCTTGCATTTTTAGGACAATGTTGTATATCGTTTTTGCCTCTGCAGAGAAGACCCCGGTCGCAGGAAAGGTTCTTGTTACATCGCTTCCGTAACATCCACGCTCTCCTCCTGCATCCACAAGAACAAGCGTATGTGGACCGGCCGGTATGATCTGGTTGTTTCTGGTGTAGTGTAGTGTTGTTGACCGAGGACCAGAGGCAACGATCGGAATGTAGGCCTGCCTGGACATCCCGTTCCGCGAACAAATCCACCTAAAGAGGCCTTCGAGATGTGACTCTGAGAGGCCTGGTTTTGCTTGCTGCATGACGGCCTTGTGGGCCTGCGATGATCCATAGACTGCGAGTCTGATGGTTTCGATTTCCCAGGGAAACTTCTTGAGTCGTGCTTCATTGAGCGCATCCCGTAGATATGTCGTGCTGAGTTTCTTGTCGGTTATTCCGGCCGCATAAAGCACTTGTTTGTCGGTCGTGTCCAGCACATGGATCGTGACAGGGTCTAGGTCGGTTAGGAGACCCGGTAGATCAGACTCGCTCACAATCTCATCAGCGTCGTATTTTTGAAGTAACTCATCCGGGCTATCGGGTGATCCATTCCACACAATGTCATTCTCAGGAATAGTAGGTGGGACCAGATAGACTTTATTGGTCTCTAGATCTACCACTACATGAAACCCTGGTTCATCTACGCCTATAGTATAATATAAATAAGTAAATAAATAAAGTAATTTTTTTTATATTATATTATATTATATTATATTATTTTTATTATTATCTGGGTTACCTGTTAGATAATAGAAATGACTTTCCTGGCGAAAATCGAGCTCTATGTCTGTGTCATTTCTTACTGCCCCAACTTGTCCACGGTGATAGATAATTGAACGTTGTTTCTGATCTATTTGCATTAGGTTCTTTACTCGAAGACAATGCTGGCGAGTTGTGATCATGGGTGAGCGAGTGAGAGCAAAGGGATAGGGAGACATTACAAAGAAGATGATTTAATTTTGCTTGCTTGCTTGCTTGCTTATTTAATATTATTCTTCTTTGGTGTCTACTTTATACAAGATAGAGAAAATATTTTACTGAATTGAATTATTGAGATTTGTGTAAAGATTGAAAAACAAGAAGAAAATAAAGGTAAACCCTTCCTAATAATAATTATTACTTTTTTTATATCCACACAAAATACCAGGATCTGCTGATGGCCACAGATTGCTCAGAAAGAAAAAAAATTAAAAAAAGAAAATTGCTCGGACGGTGAACGACGTACGAAATAATATATATATATATTGCGGTAATGAAAACCATATTGGGCGTTCAGTGCGCATCAGGATTGGATGAAAAAAAAAACGTGTAACATTTTAAAGGTTTCAAAAATAAAAAATAAAATAAAAATGCCTTGTCAGAGAAAGCATCTAAGGACCATGAACCATGAACCATGAACCATGAACCATTACTATTTTATCTTATATTTTATTAAAAGCCAAAATATATATTATATATATATATATAAATTTCTTATTAATTCTGTAATTTACATAGCTTTCTGTCTCTCTCTCTCTTTCTTCCTTCCTTTCTTTCTTTCTTTTTTTGAGGAGGGGGAAGTTCCTACATAGTTTTAATTAGATATATCTATAATATACATACAAGTACAAGGAGAGTTCAATTGGTCAACAGCATAAGGTAATTAGATAGCTTGGCATTAACCAACTATCTTTACTTCCGCCTCAAGATCTATGAAATTTTATTTGGTTTCTTGCTTTTAAAAAATTAAAGAGAGAGAGAGAAAATATACCTTAAATGACTATAGAACGAATAGAGACTAAGAAGCTGGACGGACAAGAGTTTTGTTATGGATTATGTAGAAGAAGCTGACTACGAACATCAGTGCAGCAACTTGTCTTTGGATTCTCTTTTTTTTTCTTCGGCTATTCATGTATTTTTGGTTGTTCAATTGGAAGACTTGAGGAGGAGGGTTTGAATGTAAGCCCTGGGGTTTGGATTTCTTTTGGGCACCATTAGTCGGCACGTGGCTTGACAAGACTAACTATGACATTTATTGTAGTCTAGCATTTATTTAAACAAACTATTGTAGTAAATATATAAAAGACAGGGTTTATTAATAGGTGTTAGAATTACAGCTACTAATCTCATAACCCTTTAAACTGCATAATATTCTTATTCTTTATATTGAGGGTTGAATTGATTGTTTCAATTTTATACATAAAAAAAAAGGGAAAATAAAAGGTTTGATATTCTCGAGTAATACCTCTGTCTATCTATTTAGTCATTTATTTAGCCATTTTGTTATGGTTACGGGTGTTACCATGGCAATTAAATAAAAAAAAATCTGTATCGGTCTTTTTTTTCTTATAAAAAAAAAAGAATTGATGTGTATACATAAGATACATATTCAGTTTGTGTTTCGTAGACAAAATCAGTCTAGTTTATTTTTCTTCCTCCCTCCCCCTTTCCCCTCATCAATTTTTGGCTGACAACTGACATGTGGGTTCAATCGGGGATGTTATATACCTGCTGTGTATAATTTGTTGTTTATTAGGGTTGATTTGGGAACGCAACATACGCCCTCAGACTTTATATAGTATCTTCCTTCCCCACGTGTCTGCATAAGATTCAGACACTCCAAAAAAAAGTATGCTGTACTTTGCCCTAGTCTTTAAAAGAAGTCCCAGAGACGCTCAAATTCTACCTGGAATGGCTCAACAACTGACGGAATATTGGTGATAACCACATTTTCACGGTTCTTGAACCGAGCACTGGAACACGATTGCCAAGTAAAACGTAACAATCAAATGCAGACCATCGACATTTGCATTCACATTTACACAAACACAACCAGACAGACACATACACAGACACATACACAAAAAAAAAGAAAAAAAATTGAGATTTCACAAGAATCATTTTTGTTTAAGCCATTGCTTTTTTTCTCTCTTTCTCTCTGTCTTACCCGATAGACCAATTGAAACTTCCGGTAATCACAACTCTACCGTCAATGACAGCAAATTTGTTGTGCATGAATTGATCACTATGAACAAATAATCAAGAATATGCTTGTCAGTACAACTCTTACAATTATGATACACAAACGTTTTATCTTTGTACCTGTTATCGGTCTTGTAAGGAATACCATAGTCCTCATGTAAGCGTCTCACATCAGCACCCTTGCCCTCCAACTGATCGTTATCAGTAATTATTCGGACATCTACACCGCGTTCCTTGGCATCAATCAAGATATCGGCTGTGTTGTTATCTGTCAGGGAGAATACGCAGACCAGCAGAGATTTTTTGGCAGACCCCAGGGCAGAAATAAAAGCCTTGTGACAATCATCATCAACAACAACAACAACAAAAGGAATGTTTTTTATTTTGTTTTGTTTTAGTATGTCGTACATCATAAACGAAGCAGTTTAGAGTTTTTCTTTTTTGTAGTCTTACCTGATAACTGTTTTCTGATGGGAAAAAGATGGGAATACAATATGCTTCAGGTGAAAGGCGTTCCAAATGATGTGGTTCAAAGTACTTTGGTCTCACACGCGATCGGTTATTGTATCCTCCACCTCCACCTCCACCTCCACCACCTCCACCACCTCCACCGTATCCACCGTATCCACCGCCACCATTATAGCCTCCTCTTCCGCCGCCATTGTTGTAGCCTCCTCGTCCGCCATTGTTATTGTATCCTCCGCGTTTACCGTTGGCCAACTGTGGGCGTTTGCGACGGACAGTCTGGAAGTCACCATTTATTTCTCGTGACTTTGGCTTTTCGGGGTCCTCGTCAGATTCTTCTTCGTACTCTTCTCCTTCCTCTCCTTCTTCATACTCTCCATTGTCATCCTCAAGTGTGTTGTACTCTTCGGCCAGCTGTACTAATCTAGCATGTTCAGCCAATTCAGGTGCATCTTCATCATCAGAATCCTCCTGGGTAGCAGCCCGTGCTGGAGCAGGACGAGACCGGAAGTAAGACGCGGCTTCTCCACCACCGTGATAAGAACTGCGCTCACCACCACCACCACTACCAGAAGTTGGGGCTTGGGTTGGGGTTGGAGACGATGGCTGTTCAGTGCTTGAGATTGTTCTGTAGCTTGAGAAACGGGTGGTTGTGGTACGAATGTCCCGGTCTTCGGAGTACTCCGAAATCTTGGCATGGTGGTTAGCAACCTCAGTCCAGGAAATATGACGTTCGTCTTTGTGACGATTTTCGTCTGCTTCCTCCTCTTCGTCCTCGCTCTTCTTCCTTGGAAGGAAGTTTCTGACACCAAGGGTACTTCCAATAAAGCATGAGACGTAGGTCTTCAAGAGAGAAACGATTTGTCTATCGGTGTCTGTTTCCAATGCACGCTCGGCAGTAGAAAACATTTTGTTCATAATAGCCACGGCTTCATCGGGTCTTCCGCTCTGACGGTTGAGCAAGTAGTTAAGATGGGAAGAAACCTTTTCGAGAAGATCATTATCTGAAACGATATTGTTTACAGAACCCATAGACTTTATTTTTTCATTTTATTTTATTTGATTGTGTGTGTATATAAATAAATATATAAATAAACAAAACGTGATATTTAGGTGAATTGTAATAAAGCAAACAAATTTACACAGCACCAACGTATCGACCACTTGGCAAATACCTCTTCTAAGAGCATGGAGATGTTCATGGGAGCATCAATGTCCCAGGGGAGCTCACTCATTTTCTGGTGTATATGGGACTAGAGAGAAAAAGGACAAAAGACAAAGGATGGAGGAAAGGTACAAAAAGGATAAAAGGATTTAGTTTGTGCTTTGGAGCGCGAAACAAAAAAAAAAGGGAGAGAAAAGAAACCAACCAAGTTTCGAGAGTCTGAATGTCAGCTCTTAGGTGTTACAGAGAGAGAGCAAGAGAAAAACACTAGCTAGGTAGTTACACTGGCCTTATGTATATGTTAAGCATATATTCATACAGAATGAACAATAGATAGTAATCAATCACTAGATAAATATCATTTTATATTTAGATTTTTCCAATAACTTTTTTTTTTGATATATAAAATCCACCCTGTGTCTCTTTGACCTTCCTCTTATTGTTGTATATAGAATAGAATAAAATAAAAATAAGCTACCGTGAGTTCAAAAGGGCTCCAAATGCCTCAATACTCAATCACCATCCCAAGCCCGAAACACCAGATCGCCAAACAAATGCGCCTCTCAAAAATGACAGTGCCACAGATAACTTCAGCCCACCTACCCACACACATATAAAAAAATAAAAGAGAGTTATAGTTATATTAACAGTTTTTGATCAGAATGAATTACGCCACCGTAAATTGCTTTATAGCAATAATAATGACCATGATGAAATATCAACCTATATGCATATATTCACTTTCTAAAACACACCCCCAGAAAAGAGAGAGAGAGAGTATACGGAATACACTATAGAAAACGCGGGGCAGAAATCATCTGTCTCACCTATAGTCTAAACGGCTTTACCATAAAACCTATCCTTCTACGGACATCACACCGATTTTTATTTTGGTTTATAACATTTGAGCCAGAATTCTTGTCCTACATACTTTAATCTCAATAATTTATGTGCCAACAAACAAGAAATATGGCTCTAGCTAAAAAGCCCTATGCCTCCGTCTCTATGCTCCTCTTGGTAAAAGCATTACAAAGCTTCTCTTTCTTTCTTTCTTTCTTTCTTTATATCATTCATATTTTATTTAAAAGAATCGGAAAATTTGGTTCTCAGGTGGGACATTCTTAAAACTAGAGTTCAACGGTCCCTCACTCCTCCTCTTCCTTATCAAGAGAAGAAGAAAAACTATATTGTACGATGTGTACATGTGTGTTAGGATACCAAAGCAGATAAACTTGTTTTATTCAATTATCCAAAAAGAATATATACCTTTGAGGAATGGCTTTGGATTAGGTTAAATTACCTCTCTCTTCTTTTTCTTTTTCTTTTTTTGCTTGTTTGCAACCCGCATATTTGTGGATTGAATTACATTGAACTACTTGTGTTCTGAAAGGATAGCCAAAAGAACAATAGCCTCTTCCCACGCACATATTAACAAAAAGGTCAATAAGTATAAACAGCTATAATAACTTGTATATTAATGCATGAACCAATGAATGAATAGTATATATCGATTCGTTCTTATGGATATGTGGATAGCTATACTCATCTGTAGAGTGATATAAAGAGAAAAAAGAGAGACTTGAATAGCTATTCTGTTCCTTCCAGGCCATTTTCTTGTATAAATTCCACTATTGCACATGATCCACAAACCTTAATGGAATTTCAACCATACAGAAAGAACATTCAAATACTCAAACAGATTCAATAATAAATTACGTGTGTATGTAAGTCTTGTATCTTTATCTACATATCAAGATCTACACATGTAGTGGTAAGCTGGCATTAAACGCAAGCTTGATACAAGAAAATAAAAAGAAAAAAAAAAGACTGAGACTGAGAGTTGCATGCGTGCTTATATTATGCACAGTCTATTCACATTATTTCCTTTATATTTCTATATATATCTTTACCTGTATACAGATATCAATATACAAGACTGGTAACAGCCAATTACATCTATAGACATTTTTATATAGAAGCAATAAAAAGAATAAAAAGGAATATATAAAATAAAATAAAGGTACCAAAAGTACTTTGGGCCAATCAGCGGTACCTGATGACATGGCCAACATTTTCCGGATTTTTTATTTTATTTTATTTTATATATACGTTGGTTGTAACGAATTCCCTTTTATTTTATATATAAAATATATATATATATAGATATTTTATATATACAAAAAGGAAAACGTCAATTCTGCAAGTCCTTACTTTATCTCCTTGACCATGTTTTGGCGCTTTGGCTTTCACAATCCGTCTGTGATAGATACATTGCTAGATCGCGGAGACGTTAAACTTGATGAAGTTCTGGAAGAAGAAGACCTTTTACAAGAAGCAAAGTCTCATAACCAAAAACTAGTCGACTTGTATCCTTTTTTTTTTATTTTATTTTCCTGCGTACTTTGGGAAATGAAGGCTCTCAATTCAAATGGTCGAATTACATTACAATCTTCAATGAAAATACAGAATGTTGTCTTTTTCTTTTTCTTTTTTAGCTATCTAACTAGCTAGTCAAACCATCCTTGACTCTCGGTCTTTTATCTATCTCTTTAGTCTTGTAAAACCGGATAACTTATGTTTGCTTATACATTATATTACCGCTCCTGACCTTGAGGGCAATAAACGTCTAAAGTAAGCATTTTTTCTTTCTATTTTTTTTTTAAAAAAAAAGGAAGAAATGTACACACTAGCATATTTACTATCGTTGTTACTGTTACTGTTGATTTTTTTGCTGTTGTTGTTGTATCTATTATTGTTGATGTTATTTTGTAATAGTGCTTATTAATATTTGCATGTGTGTTGTGTATCAGGTACCCGTTTCTTGCTAGTGAAATTATGGCCTGTGAGATTCCACAAATTCTAGATGCCGTTGTATTGGAGCACAGGCCGCTTCTGGAATCCCTTTGGGCATATCTTGATCGACCTGCAGCCCCCAGGCGTCGATTTGGTGCTTCAGATGAAACCGAGGTCGGGCTAGATTCTATGCAGGCATCTTATTTTTGCAAAGTCATTAGTATCCTGATGGCCAAGCAGACGGCAGAGGTAATTACACACATTCCGGAACCCGACTGGTCCAACAAAATGCATTTTCACATGATACAAAATAAAAAAAAGAAGTACAAGTGTCAGCATAAAACAACGTCAAAAGAAGAAGAATAACAACAAGAGGAAGAAGGGGAATTAGATATATATATATATTTGTGTGTGTGTGCATAGAATGATATGGATCAGGATATCTAGAGAAATGTGTGGATATAGATAAATTTGGACTTCTTCTTTTTAATATTATAAGAAATGAGAGACAGAAGGAGAATGAAATAAGCAGATAGAGATGTGTATATGAGTGTAGATAAAGAACTATAGACGATAGAATAAAACGGATCGATAAAGGGAAATACGTTGATGCTTACACTTGTGTGGATCAGATGTAATTAACACTTCGTTTGCCTCATTAGATGCTCAAATTTATTACCGCAAAACCTGAGAATATCAAAAAACTCTTGGCTCATCTCCAGACTTCTTCGATTATGGATCTGCTTTTGACATTGATACGTATGGAGGAATTAGAAGAGGGCAAAGGAATCATTCAGGTAGATTTACACTATCAACACAAACACAGACATAATATATATATATATATATATATATATATAGAATGCTATCTTCTTTTTGCTTACATAAAGTGTCATAGTGGTTGAACGACTATGGGCTTTTGGAGGATTTGATTGATAGGCTTGATCCATACCTGGATGATGATGTGGGTCATATATATATTTAAAAAAAAACGTATATCATTATAGCTTGCTAAACGAACTCTTCTTTTGTTTTCTTTTATGCTTCTTAAAAAAAAATAGGAACATTCTATAGCACAGCAGTGTATTTGTGAAATCATTCGGATGTCTCAGACAAGTGTACAAGATTCTCCAAGTATAGGTGTTAATGATATTATTATCAAGTTAAAGAGGTAGATATGATATGATATCACATTCTTTAGTCTATAGCCTACAAACAAAACAAGAAAGAAAAAAAAAGATATACATTCATATATACCATACTCACCTTATTCCTTCCTGCCCTGCTTCTTCTCAAGCCAGCCCGTGATGAAGAAACTGACGATGTTTATGTTGAATACCGAGGCGCCCAATTCAACATCTGCACTTATCAATGGTATTACTATTATCATTGATCTCATTAGACACAACAACAGGTAAGGTTCTTGAATAGACATGTGTAGATAAAGATTTGTTTAAAGTAATATCTTGACATAATCTATTAATGATAGTGATGTTGAAAACGATTCCTCACTCAACGGGAATTACGGTTGTCAGACAAGCCAGATTATGCGTGATATGCCTGTATCATTAGCAGACATGCTCAAGGTCTTGTCAGATCATGTTGGAGACTTTAACCAGCTTCTCCTGGATCCGAAATCAATCGTAAGTCTATAAGCTACTACTATTACTATTACTATTGTTATTATTCTTTTAAGAAGAAGAAGAAAACAGTTAATTAATTAACACTTATTCTTGTTGCTGCTGTAGAAAAAATCAGTATCGAATGCGATGGGAGAACAGGCATCACTTGGGTTCGAACGATTACGGATATGTGAATTATTTGCTGAGCTTCTTCATTGCTCAAATATGTCCAACCTCAATACTACGGCCTTGAATGAATCTTTGACGCCAGAATCACCAAATCCTGATCAGACTCAAAAATCAGATGAAAATGTTTGTATTGTGTGTGTGTTGGTGTAGGTACATATTCTTATTTATTTATCTATTTATATGTCTGTTTTACTAGACAAAAGATGATAAACCTAAACCTGCCCATGACAACGACGATGATCTGTTTTCAATTGGAGACTATCTCAAGCAAAAATATGTCGAGCACAAAGTGATGCCGATCTGTGTTGTAAGCTATTGTAATCAAAGGATATTGAATGCGTACCCTTTTGTGTGTGTGTTTGAAAGTGAGATGTCACTTTAGCTTACACCCACATTTGTTATGACACTGTGATTAGGATCTATTTTTTAGTTTTCCATGGAACAATGTATTACATTATGTAGTGTATGATATGTTACATCAAGTATTCAATGGGCGAGTAGACAAGGGATTGAATCGTAGTCTGATAATTTCGATACTTAAAGATGGCCAGTTGACAGACTGGATTATCAAAGCACAGAAATTGAATGACATTGAAAGGTACGTACGTTTATTCCCCATCCTTTGTCTTTTACTCTTTATTTTTTTTTCTGTTATATGGTTTATATTCTTCTTGTATTCTTTACAACAGATATTCTTCTTTAATAATAAAATGTGTATTATATATGTAAAAAAAAAAAAGTCAAAATAAAGATATAAATAAAGATATATTTTTTTTATAATCTGGTAGCGCGAAACGAAAGGGTACTCGGTTGGGATACATGGGCCATTTGACATTTATTTCGGACGAAATCGTAAAAGTATTCGAAGGTTATCCAGAATCTATTCTTAATACAGTAAAAGACGACATTGATCTTGATGCCTGGAATAAATACTGTAGCGGCGAACTTAGAGATACAAAAGAAAGAGATAGACTTCCACTAGGAGGAGCACGTCCAAATGATGATCCTGATCACATTAGCGATGATGATGAGGAAGGAGATGAAGAAGACGATAGTAGAGGTGTGCCGAGTCAAGTAAGTTTTAAAGAGAAAGAGAGAGAGAATCAAGTATGGGTAGTATATATATAGATATATATATATTATATATGATATTTAAAAAGAAAGGCACACATATACACAATTCCAACAATCACAGTTTTCTCGATATCTTGTACATCATGTCAGCCAAGAGAAATTAACTGAAGAGTATGCAGAAGAAGGGACTGACCGTTGGATCAAGTAAAGAATATTTTCTTCTTCTTTTTTTTAAAAAAAAAATACTAAATATACATATACATATAATTTGATAAACTTTGGTATCATTAGTACAAGAGACTCCAATGATAATAAAATTGATGAAGAAGAGGTATGTTGTATTTCATTGTATATATAAAGATGTTTGGCACGTAGATGATGTGAAATTAACAATTGGCAAAATTATAGCCAGAATCAAATAAGATAATCACAGACTGGACTAGAGGGTTTCAGCAATTCCCTCACACCAATACACTCCATCGTACACAGAGCCATCATCCGGGCGATAATTACGAGGATGAGGATGAGGATGTTGACGATGACGAATACGATCATTTGGCAGATACTACCGAACGTCAACGACGTGCAAATATTAGAAGAGGCATTACTGTACTAGCAACAGCAGAAGTTAAAAAGCAGCAGCAGCAGCAGAAAGAACAGCAGCTAAAACTACAGCAACAGAAAGAAGCAGAACAACAAGATAATGAAGATTTTGGGGATTTTGTGAGCGGTAGTGAGGTTGATTTAAACAAAACAATGGTATCAGGCCTCAAGGACATTGATTTGTCTCAAGTTGTGCAGTCACCACTACCGCCACCACTGCCTACTTGGAATGACCAGCATTATGTACGGGCTGTCAAGACAAAAGAAGAGGAGCGTGGCAAGATAAAGGACTTTTGTCTTGATGATGAAGAGCAAGAGGGTGAAATCTAAACAGCTACAAAAGAAAAGAAAGAAAAGTACCTTAATAATGAAAAACAGAAAGAAAAAAAAGACAGGAAATATTTCTTCATCTTTATCATCATCTTCTTTACCTTCTTTACCTTCTTTACCTTCTTTAACTTCTTTTTCTTGCAAGTAGACCCTCTCCCCCTTCCCCTTCCCCCCTTTTTTTTTGGCTTGTAATTCTTCTATTCATACACATAAATCAAAGAGATAACCAACACATCTTCTCTCTTTCTACCTTTGATTAATTATTACTCTTTAATAAATAAATAAAATCAAATTTAATGATTAATTTCTAGTATACCATAGATAGATCCATTGACAAAAACAACTCCTTTTATAGAATACAGCCTTATATATTTGTATATTTAGAATGTACTACTAAGAGAAATTTTAGGCATATGAATTGTTTGTTTGTGCGTGCGTGCGTGCGTGTTTTATATTGTTAAGGCTGGGTGGCATGATCATTATTATAATTGAAACAACAGTAGTTGTTAAAGAACAATGAAGACCTGGCTTGGATTAAAGCATAAAAATACTTTTTTTTTTATAATTTAGCCACAAAAATCACCCGAGTATATTCTATTAGATTATCATATTATATGCAAATGAATTTTGGGCTTTCCTTTTTTTTTTATATATAGTTATTTATTTAATAAAGGGTATAGACATAACAACAGTAATATACATATATATTCACTTTCTTTTTCTTTCTTTTTCTTTTGAAGGTGTGTAATAAGAATACACATATTTAAATACATTTTGAATTTTTGTGCGGGTGTAAGTGCGTATTGAGCTTTTGTCTTGTTAGATCAGGAACTCGGAAGGAAGGTCCAGAGAGTACCCAAACTACACATTATTACGGAAATGGCCAACAGGACATTGTTAATAGCTGCGCCTGTCTTTGTCATTGAGTGGCCAAAAAGACGCTTGTAACACACCAACGGGAAGATTGCAGAGATACTAAAGCTGAAAAGGGATCCCAGCAGTGACTACCCGAAACAAACAAACAAACAAGCAAGCAACCAAATGAATATAAATATAAAAAAATAATTTCCAAAAGAGACACGATTTCCCTTTTCATACTAATATTTTCATTTTTTTTTTCACTCTCGCTTTTGGTTTTGGTTTCCAAGTATATCTATAAAACTCACCATAACACGATCAAATCCTGGAAATACAGTGGCAGTATAGATAACTAGACCACTAATACAAATCCTGCTAGATACCACAAGAAAGGTCTCACGCCAGGAGTGGTATTTGCACCAAGACTCTACCTTTGGATGGCTGATCATCCATAGCTCCCAAGTCAAGGTAACCGGATTCATCATCAGGCCATACTTGGCAATTGGCGTCACAACAACTAGCCAAACTGCTACTCTATTGAGGATCTTATTAAATCCTGGTGTAATGGCCAGATTTTGGGTGACCTATGAAAACCAAAAGAACAAAGAAAGAAAGAAAGAAAGAAAGAAAGAGAAAGGTTATATTTTAGTTTATTTTTTTATTAGCTTATTTATTATTTACCTCTTGCATCGTATCCAAGCCAAACATTGCATAGCCAGCCATGGCAAGAGTAGCATAGACAAAAAGAGCCACAATATATGTGAGGTTTACCATCGGAACATATTCCTTTTTGTTCTTCATGTCATGGTGGATTGCTGGAAACACAGCATGACCAGCAAATCCTGCCATCATTATACCAAATGCAAGTGGAATATTGTAAGGTTCTGAAGGGAATAATTCTGTAGGCTTTTGATTTAATTTAATTTTTTTTAAAAAAAAAAAGAAGAGATAATACATGATGTTAATAACACTTTTCTTATTAGACTTGCACTATATATTATTCATATTGCTCGTTTGCCATTTGAGTGATAAAATCCCATATATATAATTACCATTGGGTCCCGAAGACTTCCGGGGTGTGTTTCTTTTACCAGACCATCGTAAATAACAATGAATACCAGAGCTACACAACTTATGATGCCGATTAAGCTTGTGTAAGCAAGTTTTCTAATAGGAAAGAACATCATGGGTGTCAGGATTGTAAAGGATATGATCCGTGTGGTGATAAGATCCAGATTAGGCCACAGTGATTGAACGCCATCCCCTAGTAATACAATCATTGCCACACTATATACACAGAGAGAAACACAAATGTACGCATTAGTATTAGTATTATCATTGTTATTGTTGTTCTATTTTGAACCATAAAAACTATATCAATACAAAAGTATCCAAGAATATTTATGTATATATATATATATATATATATACCATGCAGTAAGAAGCTCTGTGATGAAAATAGTGCCAACGAAGCGTCTTCCTTTATCACCAAAGGCCGCAGCACCCATGTCTCCATAGGTAGCTGATCCTGGGTAGGCATCTAGACATTGGCCAAGGAGCTTTGCAGTGTAGTTTGTGAGAAACGAGCAAAAGAAGAATATGATGGATCCCCAGAACCAACCGGCTAAGCGAAAGGAGAGCGGAAGTGCAAGCATTCCGATGCCGATCAGGACATTGACAGAGTTAAAGACAGATTGGAGGAAGCTGGATTGTGGCACATGACTGGCGGAGTGCCCTGTTGGATTGAGCTGCTCTGACAGGATAGAGGCTACGGTTGTGTGTCTGGAGAGAGCTGGGAAGAGATGGTAGCCAGTGGTTGTCTGAGTAGACAAGGTCCGACTCAGATTTTCCGAGTCCAGAAGATGAGATCTATAAGTAAGGGTATAGAAAAAGAAGAAGAAGAAGAAAAAAAGGACAATTTTGATTAGTTTAAATAATAAATATCATCTTATTCTTATTCTTATATTTCAAACTTGCCCTAGTTTTGAATGATCATATTCTTCTTCTTCTTCTTCCTCTAGGTCAGAACGATGTCCAATGTCAGCGTTACTAGGGTGGACGGTGAGGTTTTCTGCTACATAAAGGACTGAGGCTCGAGAGTAAGATCCAACAAAGGATTCAAGTGACTCTCTGAAGGAGTGAGGTGATTGAGAAATATTTGCACAAGTGTGGTAGCTTTCGTCTATGCTGTCCTGAAGATCTAATTCGGTGCCTGCGTGGTTAGCACCATAGTTTGGAGGTCTGCGAGAAGGGTGGGTGTTGAAAGGAACACGGATATCCTTTGGCAATGAAGGTTTGTCCATTACAGAGCAGAAGAAGAAGCAGAAGAAGAAAGTGTAGATTATATTATTATGATTTTCTATTTTATTTTATTTTATTTTATTTTTATTTATAAATCCATTATATTAATTATATAAATTTTATATATGAATTATCTAGATGTCTAGTATTTTGTACTTTGTGGAGATTTAAAAATATATATGTAAAATGGAAGCAATTGTATTAGATATCCGAATTGTCTGACAGTCGTTTTTATTGTATTTTATTGTATCCAGTGTTTAGAAATCTTGATCGTTAAAGCAATTGTGATACAGCAAAAAAAAAAAAAAAAAGATACAGGGATTCTGTATTCAGTAAATGAACAGCAGGGTTGGTTCTAAAAGGTTAACTCAATTCCAATAAAATAAAGGGCTATATAAAAGCATTCTGTATATATGTGTACATGTTTTTTTTTAAGGATCCAAAAAAGTAGTTTAATGTCCCAACAAAGAAGGTTCTTGTATTCAATAAATATAGCTCTTCTATTTCTCACGCTCATTTTATGGCTTGCACCATCAGTTTTCTTTATCAGTTGTTTTAGAGCACAAAAATCCATTACTGCAAAAATAAAAATAAAAATAAAAATTCTATTGAAATTTACCTTTATTTATGGTGTAACTAGCTCAATCATACGACTTTTTCTCATTCAAAAAATTTGTACAGAATACATAGACCATAAGATAAATAGCAGATATATGTGGTCATAGTATCGAATGTCTTTATCAGATAAAGAAGTCCAAAGCTTGTTTGTTTAATTTCTAAAGAATTATAATGAAATAGTTTATTTTATATAACATTTATCTGCTCTTTAATTTATATTTATATATAGTTTTATTGTTTAATTTAAGCGCACGTACAACCACACAAAGAGAGAGAGAGAGAGAGAGAAAATCCTAACAAACTACAAGTGGGATCATACGCTTTCTGGATGACAGTCACTAACTTTACTGCGACAAATGTAGGGAGAAGAAAAAGAAAAAGAAATATTTGGCTGAAAGTATGTACACCTTGGTCGCAAAAGTATTATATCCTAGACATTAGATCTTGCTAAAGCTATAGAATATTAAATTCTGTAGAATATCCGCATCGATCCAATTGAGACTATGTTATCTAGCCAATTGTACACCTGTAACAGAGTGAAGATATACATATATCGCTCAGGAAACATGTCGAATATCATTGCTTTTCATGCCCACTATTTCTGGTTATGCTTCTTTTCTTTTTCTGTTGGTATAAAAAAAAAGGAAGAAGCAGAGAAGCATCATTCACCAAAGAATATCTAAATAAATGAAGGCACCTTGTCCAACAGAAACATTAACTGTGCAAACAAATGAACCCTTTCTGTGTACCATGAATTATTATATTATAATTATCTTTAAAAAGAAACTGATGCCAATGTCAGCGACAATGGCAAAATCAAGAGACACACTTTCTTGTACGCTGAATATTTTCTCATGTCACACCTATTGTCCTTCTCGATTCCAATAGTAGAGAAAGCACTGCTCTCATGTCTCCAGATCTTGTGGAAGGAATTTGCAAAACCTGTTGAATTAGCTTTTAATAACCAAGACCCGATATTGTTGTTCATACGGTAGATACTTGTGAGCACGTCTAGCTCTCAATGTAATTTTAGAAGCCTTGGCCACTTAAAGCATGCCTTCAATTTTTTCTTGCTCTTGTTTTTTACTCGGGCACAGATACATAGAAAAAAAAACTGAACTGTATCCTTGTCTTAAATTATCAACAAGAATTTATATGGCTTATTCCAATTAAAAGAAGATGCATTGTTACCAATTCTCTAGCTGTATTGCTCACCGCCAGTAAGTAAACAATGCTCGCTGGGTACTGCTTCTTAATTTGCGGAAGTCTATGCTCATGGTCCTGAGATCGATAGTCTTGAAGGTCTCTGTAACTCTATAGCTCTGTTTACCCATCATCATCACACACACATACATATACATATATACTAATAGACTTTTCTTTGATATCTTTACATATTGCAAATAAGCTATTACTAATGCTGGTATTGGCGTATCCAAGTTTTTGGGAACATTTATAACACACGTGACAAGAGACTACAGGACCGTCAACTGGGATTTGTACTTAATCTCAGCTTTGTCCAATCTTGCCCCAGTAGTTTATAAGCAATTACAAAGAACTGTTTGTAATACTTATATTTTAGTCATACATTTATAAGCTATCGTATAAAGGTCATTGTAAAGAAAGAAATATATTGTGTTATCCAAACCCAAACGTTAATGCAAGCTTAAAACTTTATATATGTATCTTATATGCTATGTGTCTGTACAATGGATAGGCTCCAGGACATGAAAATCATGAAGTTCAAGGCCATGTACTCTTTCTTCTTCTTCTTCTTCTTTTAATGAGATTTATATATAAAATATAGCAAGGGCTTTATATCCAATGCCAAATGCACCAACATATTACTGTTATTTTCTTTTCTTTCAAAAAAAAACCCCCCCAGTCTATCTGATATGCATTATGAGACATTATTTTCGGAACTTGGATTGTCAGTAAAAACTCTCTCTCTTCTTTTCACACTTCTTGTAATCTCCGTCAAGGTCTGTTAATGACTGTTTCTCAAAAGCTTTTGAAAACTTTGGTTATCTCTTAGAGAAGAAGGATGGTTATTGTTTCTACAGACCCAATGTTTATTGTATTTCTTCTTATACTATACTGCAAAGTGGTTTCTACATGCATGTGTATTTTGGTGGGTCAAGAGGTTTTCAGCAATAGTTTATCCTAGCTTCATGTATTTCAATTCAATATATATTACTATTATTTTAAATCAAGTGAGTTAATAGAAGAACATCTTTAAAAGGGTAAAAGCAATTTATTTATTTAATATTTATTATATATATATATTTAAAAAAAAAAAAGCCTATTTGGAAGCACTGTTTATTTAAAGATCCAAAAAGGTAGTTCAATACCTTAACAGAAAAAATATTTATGATACAAGTATATATATATGACTCTTCCATTTCTCACGGTCATTTTATGGCTTGTAACAATGGTTCTGTTCGTCAGTTGTCTTAGAGCACAATAATAATTCTGCTGGTTTGTGTTTGTGTTTGTGCTTTTTTCTTACTTGTGGTGTAAATAGCTTGTGTCTATAATCTATTATTACTGTTATTTAAAAGACTTGTTAAAAAAAACATATAACAGATACTTGAGACCATAGTATTGAATGACTTTATCAGATAAAGAAGTCCAATGTTCGTTTGTTTAATTTGTAAAAAAATAATAATTTTATAATAAAAATTCTTTATTTTATACTACGTTTGTCTGTTCTTTAATATACATAATATAAAATAGTTTAAATTCTTATTCTAAACACACACACACACATACACACAAAGAGAGAGAGAATAGAAATGAACCGTGCTTCAACTTCCACCTCCCCCTTCCTTCTCCAATGTACAAAAGAAGAAGAAAAAAAAAAGCCAACCGCGTACACTCTGTCATTACGTCACCAGAAACACATGCAGTTGTTGTGACTGGCGGGAATTCATGCCAAGCAAGCATGTAAAGCAACCCTTTAATGCATGCAATTGGATACGGTGTTTAAATAGTGAGTTGATGATGTAATATTTTTAATATTAGCCAATCATTTGATCGAAAGCCCTTTTATCTTTTTTTTTCTTTTCCCTTTTTTATAAAATGCCTGTTTTCCCCCTCCTTTTCCATTGTTCAAGCCTTGCTTGCTTGTTATTTTTATTTTATTTTTATTTTTTTTTATTACCTACACAATACTAGATATATATATATATATATATATATATATGTATATAAATATAATATATACAAAAAAGCTACTTTTGGCTGGGATTTAAAAAAAATAGATAGAGAAAGAAGAAAGGTAAGATATACGGTAAAAGGAATGATTTTATTCTATTCTATTCTATTCTATTTTGTATTATAAAAGCTATTCAATTATATAATAGAAAAATACATATATTTGTATCAAAAAGGAAAAAGAAAAGATCACCCAGAAAATTTGTACTTTAAATTTCTTTTTATATATATATATATAAATATATATGTATTAAATATGTGTATGTGTGTGTATATATTTCTGGATTGTACCATGTAGGCTAATAAGCAGTAGCAGTATCAGTAAAGTTGTAGCTCTGAGTAATATATTTATATTTATATATTTATACTAGTGATATACTTTATTATTAATAGATAATAAATAATATCTTTTTCTTCTTCTTCTTCTTTTCTTTATTCCTTTCACTTTCTCCCTCTTTTACTTTTACTTCTTTAAAGCATTTTATAGCACCTATTTTACAAAGAGAAAAAAAGAAAGAAAAATAACCCTTTAATTTTAATTCTTTATTTCTTACGGCTATTAATATTTCCACGACCACCAACACCAGACGTCGACCAAAGTCATCCTCATTACAACAAACTCAATCGACCATTACTCAAAGCAACCGAAAAAAAAAGAACTATATAATAGAACAATAGGCGTGCAAATAACAAAATCACATATTTTGCATATTTTACACAAACACACACGTATATAAAAAGGTATGAATATTTGATGACTTTAATTTTATTTTGATTTATTAAAATATCACATTTGTATAGATTTCATATACGTACTCACACAAAGGCACAATACGAACACAAGCACCAAGAATCATTATTTAAATCAAAAAAAAAGATCAATTTTCCTTTCTTTCTTTGTTTCTGGAGCTTGATAGCTTGATAGCTAAATATCATATATTCAGACGAATGCCATCTATTATGACAGAAAACGCCTTGACAACAATAATAGCCCCAATTGTTCCAAACATAGCCACCGGCCCGAAGAAAATTCTTGTTGAAAATATGACCAATACCACTGACTCGGTGTGTGTGGTCTCCCAAGGTAAGAAGCAGATAATACTAATACCAATACTAATAATTTAATATGTAATTTAAATTTAACAATAAAATATACCAAAAAAAATAGTATTATTTTAATTAACAAATCTGTTGATTCGGTTAATCTTTTCCCAGAAATCTCGTTGAATCCTGGTCCAAAACTTGACCAAGAACCAAACCCATTCGAGCAAAGCTTCTCTGCCGTAACTGCAAGCCCAGAAGTGATCGACCCGCAGTCTAGTCTTGTCGAATCACTTGTGCAAACAACCATCGGAACTACTGAAAACAGTACTTCCACAATTCCAGTTCCAATCACAGTTCCAGCTACGATCGATCCAAACAGCATTACCAATAACAGTAACAGTAACAGCAATGATTTTGTACCCAATGCAATCGATCAAACCCAATGGAAACCAATTGGTCTCATGTCTCCTCAACTTCAGGATACATTGGACACCACGACTCTCCAAACGTATGATTTGTCAACCGAGAATTCGAATTCTTATCTTGCTGCGCCCATCTCAACTATTATGCATCCAACCGAACTTATGCAACAATCTGGTCCGGTCGACAGATATTCAGGTAAGCAAATCAAAATAATGATACAATACAATACAATACAATACAATAAATATTGCCAAGACTGCAAAGAATATATTTATATTTATATTTATATTTATATTTATATGTATATATATAAAGAAAGTTTGAACTAATGCAAATAACAATAAATAACAATATATTCGTAGATTCATCCACCCTGAACTATGCAAACCCCTATACCGACAACACTAATACCACCTACACAAATGACCAGTCCAAACAACGCTCAGGATCAACAAGTACCATCGCCAGTACTGACTCTGGATTCTCTGGTCATCACCAGACACTAGGCATGCAATCCCAAAGACATGGCAAAAGACGAGCTGACCAAAGCGGATCCAGAGACGATGGCTCCCAAAGAGATCCAGACGATGACGATGAAACCAAGGATCCAAAGCGACAAAAGTCCAGCCAAGAAAATGTTTCTGAGGAAGAAGACAAGCGTCGCAATTTCCTTGAAAGAAACAGAATCGGTAAGTAGCTATAAAGATTTCTTTATTTAACAAACTACTTATATAAATCTTCTTTTGAAAGCTGCCTTGAAGTGTAGACAACGAAAGAAGCAATGGCTCAAAGATCTCAAGGAAAAAGTCGAATATCTATCGAATGACAATGATCATCTGCAGATGGAAGCTACCGTACTCAAGGAACAAGTAATCAATTTGAGAACCATTCTATTGGCGCATAAAGATTGTCCTGTAGCATTGGCCAATGGGTTCAACATTGACCATGTAATAAATCCAGCGACCATGCAGTCCGCACAGACGACAATGCGTTCTGGTATCCCACCATCCATGTACAATAGTCCTACCCATCCTCATATGGTTGGAAATCCTTCTCATGTACGCATGCACCATCAACAACAACATCATCATCAACAGCAACACCAGCAACATCATCATCATCCCTCAAACATGGGTGTATCTGGTCTTCCTGGTATTCACATGAACTCTAATACACCTCAACAATCACATCACCATAGCAACCAGCACCAACACAGCCATCCCCACCAACAAGAGCTACAGCACCAGCACCAGCACCAACAGCAACAGCAACAGCAAGCGCGCCAAGACATGGGTCCTCAAGGAATGGGCCGGTATTAGTCAAAAGCAAATTAATCTCGAATTCGAACATAATAATAATCAAAGAAAATTATGTCTTACGCTTTGCTGATTCTCAGTTTATCTGATTACTCTACATATACAATACACACACGTAATTCAACTCACATACATATATATATATATATATATATATATACAAACACATACAAGACACATACACAAAGACACACGCAGACACACTTATACAAACAGAAGCACAAGTACAGCCGTTCTTCTTTTCTTTTTCTTTTTCGTTTCATAGTTCTTTACTTTCATTTCCTTCTTCATTTCCAGGCCACATAAAAAAAATCCCAACAGAAACCGCAACTCTTAACTTTGTACATGATTTCTATATTTCTTTATTGTTCTAGTAATGAATTATATGTATGTAATATTTACATAAATTTCTACTTTTTTCTTCTTTATTTTTTCTTTTACTATATTAATAATAATAATAATAATAATAATTACTACTACTACTACTACTACTATACTATACTATTTTTCATCATTTTCTTCTTCTTCTTCTTCTTCTTTAGTGTGTATGTATATAAGCTAACAAGAAACCCTATAAACTGTACAGACCAAAGATAATTTGTTTAAACTATCGAATAAAATATACATAAAGATGTGTAAAAATAAAGTAAAATAAGTATTTCTCTTTTCTATACAAGCTACCTACCTACCTACTTACTTATCTATTGATCTCTCTATCTATTGATCTTTCTATCCGGCTGTTATTAATTATTTATCTAGTATATATTATGGTTTGAATTTTATTAAATTACTATTGCTTTGTATAGTTATCAATACGATTTCTTGGATTATTTTTGCTATAAAAAGTATAGCTCTTCAATTCCCCCCCCCTCTTTCCCTTCTTCATCCCTCTTTTCTTCTTCTTTTTCTCCTTCTCGTTCTCTTCGCCTTCCTTTCAATGTATCCTCCCCCCTCTTTAATATATATATATATATGTGCGTATACTTCTTTACTTAATTTTCTACCTTTGTTTAATAAATCACAATCTTTTGGATATGTATATATTATTCTTGTGACTTTTACATGTCAAAATAATAATAATTCAACAGCACAATAAATAAATAAATAAGCAAACAAAACAAAAACAAAGTATACGCAAATTTCTGCTTACTTGATGCATGTTTGTATGTATGTATGTATGTATGTATGTATGCATGTGTATATAAATATATAAAATATATATATATATATATTTCTGCATCTCGAATAAAATGTATATTGAATTACAATTATTAAAGCATAACTGACTGACTCATCTACGTACCTATGTATGTATGTATGTATATATGTATGTATTTGCTTATTAAAAAAAAGGGTAAATAGATAAAATGATACATGTTTATTATGTGGGTGATCGTGTCATTGATCATTTTAATCAGAGCTGGTGAACAAGAGCTAAAGACATAAAATGGGATCAAGTTTAAAGTTGTTGGTTGGTTGTTGTTGTTATTATCAGCAGAAACAGCGACATCATCATTCATCTTGAGCTTTTATCAAGTTAGCTTATTTCCCTATTTTGTTTCAATATTAATACCAATTACCAATATGTATATATAATAAATAAATAAATAAATAAATAAATAAATAACAAGTGTGTATTCTTGAAAGTGGAAATCGAAAAATAAAATTTCACGATGATTACAAAAGGAGAAATGGTTTGACACTTAACTTTGGTTACCTGGCAATCAGATCGGCTTTCAGCTCTGACTAACTTGATACAACAAACTATTCATAGCCATTTCTTCTTCTTTTGCTCTTCTTTTGCTCTTGTTCTTCTTTGTATATATATCATTATTGTTATTGTTATAGTATCTCCTCCCCCCCATATCTCCTACTTTTACCACTCCTTCTTATTATTCATATTCTTGGTAATCTCATGGGTTCATTTCATTTTAGTTGGATTACATCAGTCGAGTTTGTACTCTGCTGGTTTGTATATCAAAAAACATACACACACACACACACACATATTACATATATTACATACATAATTAATAATAATAATAATAATAATAAAAGGGGGGCAAGGGAAAAGGGGAATAACTATCTAAATTATCCCAAGAAATTATAAAGGCATAATTTTACACATCATTTTTTTTTTGGATTTGTACCATCAGAATATGCGTGTGACAGAAAAAAAGCACTCGCTTGGGACAGTCAGAAATATACATACACATATCACAGTCACAACACAATACAACCATTTTCTCAAAATTATACTTTTTTTATTATTATCAAGGGTCGTCATTCGTGAATATTATGTTGATAATATATATAAAGAGTTTCTATGCCCAATATTAATATTCATTTACGATTGATGTCCTAAGTAATCTCAAAAACAAATATTTGATCAAAAGATTTTACAAAATATATTAGCCAATCAAATATTTTATTTTGTATCTCAGAAAATAATGTAAATATTATCACCCAATAATATTATTCAAACCAATATCAGCCTTTTTTTCGATTGCCGATGAATATTTCATGAATGATCACCCCCTATTTTATTATTGGAGCATAGATTTGGTGTTGACAGACTAAAAGTGCAAAAAAAAAATTATGAAGATGTACCATATAATGAGAGGTCTAGAAAATCTCGTATTAAAAAGTTTTCACTTAATGATATAGACAGCATTATAAGCACAATTTTATCTAGTATGTACTTGCACTAATTTTGAATTTTTTTTCTTAAAAAAAAAAGGTGTGGACAGTTGTAAATTAGTCTGATGGACTAAGTTCTGGATGAACTTGTTTTGCCCTTTTTTTTTTACCCTTTTAGTCTGCCCACATCAATTAATAAAGCATAGATCAACACATTTTACTATTATTATTATTATTATTATTATTATTATACTTACAAAATTAATTAGATAAAATTAGCGATAATCGAGAATAATTATGATAATAGAATCGTAGATATATTGGAAAGTATTGATTAACCAATTGGCTCAAAGATCTAGTAGGTATTGTGCAGTTGTACCATTCAATATATTACAAAATCCTTACAAATACGCCTGAATCAAAGGCGAGAAATAAAATAGATGGTGTTACAAACGCTTGTCAATATCTGTATCTGTATGTGTGTGGGACAGACGTCAGATCCCTTTCTTTCTTTTTTGTTGTTGTTGTTGTTGGATATTCAGTCACTCTCAAGCATTTCTTACAAAGTCTTTACTAAATTATACCGAGCATCTTTCATTAAGTTGAAGTAACAGACAAGTTATACGATGAATTGTACATTTGCTTTTTAGAGTGAGTAGATAAAAAAAACGTATGAGAAAGAGCCCATCAAATTCAATAAAGACACCTTTAAATTTTTCTCTTATTTCGTTCTTGTTAATCTTCCTTCGTTGTACATTCAGGCGGAAAATGAAAACACAGAAATAGAAAACGAAAAATAAATGATATGAATTTTATTTTTTATTTTCTTTTTTAAAAAAAAAGGCAAGGGCACTTGCAGGGGCAACAGATTTACAACCAAAAGAAACAAGAAAAGGCAAAATATAAATAAAAATACATACTGCTTTGTACCATCTTGTGTTTAAAGATATATATATATATATATATCAGATATGCGTTTTATTCTATTTATTTGTTAAACTTAAGCTACAATGTATTTATGTCTCTAAATCACAGAAAGAAAGCTACATTTTGTTTCTCTTTATTATCATTAATATTATAATTCTTAGCTTAATAGTACTCTTAATGCTATTATTAGGAATTGCACAAATCGATAAGCAACATTTGACTATCTATCAATCGAAACTTTGCTACATACAACACAATACAATTGTCATTGGGGGGGATATACATATTTTTTTTTTTAGCTGCGTACTTCCCAGGTACACCCATTGGACGTGACATGTGTCCGGACCGGGATATGTACGTGTACATATATATATAAGTGTATATATTTTACTGTCGCAGTCAACGCATGATGACATGCGTAACATTGTACAGAAGAAGAAGAACAAGAAGAACAAGAGCTTTTACTCCTTGTTTCAAGACGATTTTATTGGTTTACTCGGAATTTCTTGTAGCAAATTGTAACAAAAGATGAGCTGTGGTACTCAATAAGCTGATTATGATATCTTACTCTTTTCTTTCCATTTCTTTCCCTTTATTTTATTTTCTTTGGGCCTAGTTTGATTTGTTGTAGATTTTCAAGTGCATAGTAGCTCCACAGTACGAAGACCTTTTCTCTCTCACGTCTTTCATCTTTCTTAATATATTAAACCGTGTCATATTAGTTTGGTTATATCCCATAATATCAAATCGTATTTTCTCTTTAATTTTTCTATCATGTTCTCTTGTCTTCTATGTAAATTATATATAAAAACAAGAGACAGGAATCTTTGAATAGATATAAACCGTGTATTATATTTGATGGGTGAACTGTGTGACGTATTGAAATTTATGTGTGTACTTGCCCCTTTATAGGAATTAAAATAGCCGGAGTTATAAGAACCAGCACTGATTGGCTAAATGGCTGCGCGTCGATTCTCCGGCTGAGGCGCATCCAATTTTTTATTTTGGTTTGACCGCAGTTTATATTTTTATTATTTTACGAGCAATTTTCGCTTAATCCCCCATTCTTTTTTTTTTAAAGTACAATTTTAAAGGTGAGAAGAGGAAGGATAGTAAAGAAAGGGAAAGTATTAGTTAATGGTATATAATTTGGCGACAAAGACATATGTTGTCAGCCACAAAAATACAGAGAATAAGGGAAGGAGATAATAAAATAGAAAAGAGAGTAAGAGAGTAAGAGAAAAAGACAATGACGATATCTACAAAGATGAAGACACTTGGACTACGCACAAATACTACAAAGGATGTATGGAGTAGTGAAAGGAAATATATGTTGCCTTTGAACTTGTCAAAATATTTTCTTTCCTTCCTGTTCTCTCTGACTTTCTGGTCCTCTCGTTCGCTCTTGTTTTGATTATTATTATTTTGATTTTTTTGATTTTTTTGAACCCCAAACGGACTTGTACTTTTTTGATTTTTTTTTATTTATTTATTTTTTTTTATTATTATTTTTTTTTTGTCAGACAAAATAAAGCCCAATTCTCATTTTTTCTTTTTCTTCCCTTTTCTTTCACTTTCCTACATCTTCGTTTGAAATCGAATCTAAATAGTCATGGCTGAGCAATCCGAAATCCCTACCTTTAAGCTTGTCCTCGGTAAGCAAAATGAAAATTTAATAATAAAATACAAATACAAATATAAACAAAAAGGAAAAAGTCAAAAAATAAAAAAAAATAAAGGAAGAATAATAGCCAAAAATATATAATATACTTTTTGTTGAAATATGACATTGCAAACAAAAGAAATGAAATGAAGCAAAAAGAACTTTACTTATTTTACTGTTATCAATATAGTCGGTGATGGTGGAACCGGAAAGACCACCTTCGTCAAGCGTCATTTGACTGGTGAATTCGAGAAGAAATACGTCGGTAAGTTTCTTTGCTCTTTGCTGTTAATGATTAGCAATCTTGTTTCCTTGATTGCTAATCATTAGCAACATAAGCATATGTACATTAGAAAGACTTGAATCTTATAATCTTTCATCTCATAATCTCATCACTATTTTTATTTTTATTTTTAAAAAAAAATTAAATATTTTCATTTTCTCAGCCACCCTTGGTGTCGAAGTTCACCCTCTCCTCTTCCACACCAACTACGGTTCCATCATCTTCAACACCTGGGATACCGCTGGTCAGGAGAAGTTCGGTGGTCTCCGTGATGGTTACTAGTAAGTATCGTTGTACTATATTGTATTGTACTGTATTGCGTAGTATTATGACCATGTCGCGTAAAATATGTATATATATATATAGTTATAATATAATATGCTATATACTATACTATATATATGTATTACACTACACTACATTACATTGCAATACAGTACAATATAAAAATATCGATGATAATAATATTAACAAAATTTATTCATATTTGCGTGTGTGTTTTTTTCATGTTTGTGCTTGCGTTTATTAGCATCCAGGGTCAGTGTGCTATCATCATGTTCGATGTTACCTCCAGAATCACCTACAAGAACGTTCCCAACTGGCATCGTGATCTCGTCCGTGTCTGCGAAAACATTCCCATTGTTCTTTGCGGTAACAAGGTCGATATCAAGGAGCGCAAGGTCAAGGCCAAGACCATCACTTTCCACAGAAAGAAGAACTTGCAGTACTACGATATCTCTGCCAAGTCTAACTACAACTTCGAGAAGCCTTTCTTGTGGTTGGCTCGCAAGTTGGTTGCGTAAGTTTCAATTTCTATATACATTTTATTCAAAACGTATAAAACAAAAGAGAGACAAGGCAAAAACTATCAAATACATATACTCTTGTGTGTATGTATTTGTATGTCAATAGATAGATAGCTGGTCGTTTGTGGTGGGGTTTGTCTCTCTTTTGTTAGACAAAAAAAAAGAACCATATTCTTTATCATCAATTTTCTAATATTTTTGCTTTGACTATTAATTTATATCAGTAACTCCAACTTGGACTTCGTTGCCGCACCTGCACTTGCTCCCGCTGAGGTCCAGGTCGATGCCACTTTGATGGCCCAGTACCAGAATGAGATGGAGGAAGCTGCTGCCCAGCCCCTTCCCGAAGAAGACGATGACTTGTAAATTTCTTGCGCAACAAAAAAAAACGCAGAACTGCTCTTCCTTGTTTTTCAGCATTCACAATACAGTTTAACACGTCCCTCTTATATGATTCCAAAAAATTGTCTGAATCTTATCTATCTATCTATCTATCCTATCTTTTCTCTTTCTCTTTTATAATTTTTTTTCTAATTTTTCACATAAGCATTTCCACCAAACAGAACAAACGATCGAATGAATGAATGATTGAATGAATGAATGAACAAAAAGATACTATTTTTTTTCTTCTTCTTTCTTCCCTCCCTTTCAACTTCTACCCCTCCCCTTAAACCCACCCCCTCCCCTACAATTTCTCTCAAAGTTTACCTGCCCCTTCCCAAAGCTCCCCACATAAAGAACTTTTTTTTTATAAAAAAAAGCACAAAAAGGAAATAACATGTACAATTTTTGTTTTGTCTATAAATTTTGTTGCAAGTTCTAACATTTTACATGATTTCATTTTCTTTTTTAAAGAAAAATGTCAATGTCAGTGTCAAAGAAAATAATAATCACAAGAAAAACACATGTGTGTGTGTTGTCACCCGTGAAAAATCTCAATAAAAATAGATAAAAACCCATGTATGTGTGTATGTATGCGTAAATTCGTACATGTTACTCAAATAAGCTTACAGACGCTCACGCATATACACATACACAAACTCTTCCTCTAGCACACACAAAGTATATATGTATATGTAATTTATATATATATTTTTATAAAATATTTATACATATATATATTTGATATATAAATATAAATAAAGAATAATAAAAATAAAAAATAAAAAAGGCAGTTCGCTCAACCATTACTTGAGCTTCTTCTTGGGACGAAGCTGGTTAGTGTGGCCACACTTTCTCTTGCGGCAGTTGGTGGCACGAGGAGGGAGACGAGCATAGCACTTGCGGCAGATCATCTTCTCGCAGTTGTACTTGGAGGCAAGGGCCTTGAGGGAGGGCTCAATGATACCACCACGGAGACGGAGGACCAAGTGGAGAGTAGACTCCTTCTGGATGTTGTAGTCGGAGAGGGTACGGCCATCTTCGAGCTGCTTACCAGCGAAAATCAAACGCTGCTGATCCGGGGGAATACCTTCCTTATCCTGGATCTTCTGCTTGACATTGTCGATGGAGTCGGAGCTGTATAGATTTTTTTATTCATTAGTTTACTGATTGAAATTAGGGGAAGAAGAAAAAGAAAAGAAAAAGGAATACATGACTGAAATTATGAATAATGAATAATAAATGATTAAGGAAGAAATAGGAAATGTGCCTTTTTCTCTTGGATTAAGAAATGAATAGATAATTCAAAAAGGGATTCCAAATTTATTTTTTCTTTATTCTTAATTTCATTCATTTATTCATCATTCATGTTATATTCTTCATGTATGTATATGTATATATATGTATATAGTAAAAGATGTATGTATGTGTGCAATTATATAATATACATTATAATGTAAAAAAGTAGATATTTGATTATATGCATTATGTATATTGAAATGGGATTTTTTTTGTTTGTCTAATAATTCAAGGGGATTATTTATTGGTTTTTTTTTTACCTCTCCACCTCAAGAGTGATGGTCTTGCCAGTGAGGGTCTTGACGAAGATCTGCATGGCGGTGCTAGAAAGCAAGTTTCGATGGTAAAGGTGAGTTGTTTGTTCGAAATCACCATCGTACACGCTGTTGGTTGTCGAGTGCACGAATGATGGATGGATATATAGATGGATTGTATTGATTTGGATCGCATGCTTTTGGGGGATGTATGTTGTATCCCTTTTTCATATATTCATTTTATTTTATGGGTTTGATATTAGGATAGCTCACCTTTAGCAAGACAGTTAACAGAGAAGGATCCCTTGAGTCCGGCGCGTGGCTCTAATTGAGGATCCACTCACCCGTCCCCCCCATCTCCCACTACCCCCCGTCTCACTCTCTCCCTCCCTCCCTCCCTTAGCCTGCCTGTCGGTCTGTTCGTATGATTAGTCTGTCTGTCTGGCTTTGGTTTCTTTTGATCTATACTCTAACCGGACTTTCCCGCACATATATCATGTCCGGTACCATTAAACCGAATCTTGTATATGTCCGGTAACACTTTTCGCTAGCAAAAGATACTCATTCTATTAACCACTAGGTAGAAAAAGAGAAACAGGATATTCTTATTGTCTACAACTGTACACTCCATGTACCTTTACTTGTGCATGTATGAGTATTCTTTCATTTAATACTCAATAGTAATATCAATAGTAATAGTAATAGTAATAGTAATAGTAATAGTAATAGTAATGGTTGTGGGGTCAAACTTATAACCGCCTCAAGCTATTATTGTTTCCATTAGCTTTTCTGTTTTTTAATATTAAAAATAAATTTATATGTACTAATATTTCACAAGAAGTGTATATATATGTAAATATATGCTGTATGACCTAGATATATAGGGTAAAGTATAACAAATATATTTCTTCTTTCATATTGCTTTCGACTAATAGTATATTTGTTAAGAGATCTTTACGTCAAAAAGAGATCATCTTTGAATTGGTACAGTATGAAACATTGTACTAGTATTATTATTATTATTATTATTATTATTATTATTATTATTATTTTCTTTGTCTTGATTTTTTAAGGGACCAAGAGAACCAATTAGTAGAGCATTATATTGTATGTGCATATAGCTATTAACGGCCAGTACAGAAGAAGAAGATGAAAAGTTATGTTATTATTCGTAACATAGTTTCGTACTAAATGAATGCTGTAGAGACATCTACGAATATCTGTTTTACAAGCTGCAATTAACCATCCTTTCACCTCCTAAAACCATCTTTCCACTTCAATTTCAAACTTGATGCTTTAGAATATTCTGCTGATACAATCCCAGTTAAATAAGCTATATTTACCTTTATCGTCTTGAATGCTACTTTGTATAAATGTATCAAGATAAGAATCTGTCAGAAATATTCAATGTATTATATTCACACGAATTGACCCGCAAAAATATGTATCCAAATATATCTGCATGTACATATGCTTCGTAAACAGTAACGTTAAAAATCCCGTATTATCTTTAGTATTAATACTAATTGGAATGGTCATAAAATCTCGACAGATATTACTACTGACGAAACAAAGACAGCAACAATAATTTAGTTATGAAATTAATATTATGGTAATAACAGAGCTTGATTCTATTGTATAACTGTAAGTTATATGACAGAAATTTGAGCTATAAATTGTAGACACCCACAGACTTTACAACAAGTAAAAATTCTTGATAAATAATCAGAGTGTGTGTTGTAAATGTGCGTATGTTGTTTTTGAATTACATGGGTTTCTTTTTGGTTTCAGCGCTGCTCTTATCTTTCGTCTTGATTATTATTATTATTATTAAAAAACAAAAACAAAAAACAATATACTTTGTAGTCAAGAAGAGACTATGTATTATGTATTATGTATTGTTGTTTTGTAAGGTTTTGAATTATAATTTCCCTTGGCAAACAATACGGGTTCCCATCCTTCTTTAATATAAAATTTTCTTTTAAAAATAAATAAGTTGAAAACCTGATTTGGTGAATAAATTATACTGTGAGCAAACTGACAAGATAGTCTTTATTTCCTTTATTTTGTAATTGGTAATTGATAATTGGTGTAAACTGAATAAGAGTGATAGTGGAGTGTAGATTTCATTGGAACAACTGAATGTTACATGTTTATTGTTGTCTTGAGTAAACATATATGCATCAAGCAAATCAAATCAAAACAAAATCTTCACATGTGCAAGTACTACATTATGAAACCTTGATAAAGTGTGGACTACCTTCCGAGGAACACCCTAAAAAAAGAAAGGGAATTTTGAATTCTTATAAATAATAGCTGTAATAGCCATAACATCATTAAAGACCTTACGCTATAATATGAAACTGTCGATATTCTCGCTTTTCTATCAGTTTTGTTTCTTTTGATCATATCAATAAAGTTCTTTTTTTATATATATAAAAAACCGGAAACAGAAACAGATAACCTGAAACTATTCTACCCATATCCTAAACTTAACAATGAACAGCAATATGGAGATAGAAAGATTTCTTCTATGGACTCAGATTGTTCGTGAGATTATATTATTGACATTGATCTGTTCAATTTGATTTAATTTGCTTCATTATGAAACACTGATATATATATATGTATACATACATATATATATTCGTGGAGTATGATGATCATGTATATTGTTTGAAGTACAAGTAAGGTATAAACTCATTATCAAATTTATACCTTATTTTGTCTCAGGGTAATAACATAATCAACCCTGAGAATCGTAATCAAGAGGCTGTACCTGAAGAAAAACAAATAACATAATTAAATGGTAATGTAACTGATCCTAATTTGATGAGTAGGTTACATATATGTATTTTTCGTTTTTGTTTTATTCTTGTGAAACTAGCCTTATTCTTTTTATATATACATATATTTGTCTAGCTTATAAGCGGTTAGTGATTTTTACTTAATGAAGTGAGAACTTATAAGCAAAATTGAACTACTAAAAAATCATAAGAAAATCAAAGAGAGAGAGAGAGAGAAAAGGAAAAGTATATAAAAGCCCCAAGAGATTTTGTACATTTGGGAAAAATCCATCATCTTACTATATTGTCATTATCAAATATTCATCTTTTCTTCTCATAAATTCACCTTTTTGTTTTAAAGAATAAAACAATTGGATATGAAGTTATTATCTGTCATCGTTTTTGGTATTACTGCTTCATGTTCCATGGCAAGCAATGTCCTTGTGGGATATTTTCCCAATTGGCTATACGCTCGTTTTCCAGGTAAAGAGCAAAGCATTAGTTAGAGGTTATATAATTATTTCAATATATAATTATTTACAGGGTGCTAATTATTGACAATAGTGAGCAGCATTGACTTTTCAAAGTATACCCACATCAATTACGCCTTTGCAATTATGATCAAGGATGCTACGCCAGAATGGACAGATCCCCAGCAAGTCTCCACTCAATTGCCTCAACTGGTTACTGCTGCACATGCCAAGAATGCCAAGGTCCTAATCTCTATCGGTGGGTGGTCAGGATGTTTAACATTTAGGTAAGATATATATATAATTAGATATTCTGTTATGAATAAAGTAAAGTAAAACAGATGTTTATTATGCTATTATATGTTATTACTTCTGGGTATTGATTATATTTATTAATATCAAAATGTAAAGTTCTATGGCAGCAGACCCTACCCAAAGAGCTACATTTATTGCATGGAATGTTGCTCAAGTGACAAACTATAAGATCGATGGTATCGACATCGGTAAGTGATAATTATTTATTATAAATTTATATATATATATATATATAAATATATATAATGCCACCAATATATCTATCGATATTTATCTATATTTTCTTATATACCACCAATCACTTGCTTTAAAATTGAAATAGATTGGGAATATCCTGGACGCCAAGGGGCTGGGTGCAATGTTGTTAGTCTTGAAAATGATGCCAATAACTTCCTGACCTTGCTTCAAGAACTTCGCAAGGCTTTAGACAGTTCATTTGGAGCCGGAAAGATTGATATCACCATTGCTGCCCGTGTCCGTACTTTCGATACTTCTTCTGGAAACATGCCAGACGTGTCTGCCTTTGCAGCAGTTATTGATCGATTCAATGTGATGACTTATGATATCAACGGTGCCTGGAACTCTACAACTGGTAAGTTAAAAGCAAATATATACAATACAAGTATATGCAAATGAAATCGTATGCAGAAACAGACCAAGAAAATAACAATATCAATATCGAGATTAATACACAAAATATCATTGTTTACAAATTATATTTTTTCAAAAAAAAATTTGTTGCCAAAAAACCAAAATAATAATCATAACCATTGTGTGCAGGTCCCAATGCTCCTTTTAATTTCCAGCCAGGGTACGGTGATGCCGATAGTTATGTGTCTGGCATTCAAGCTTGGCTCAAAGCAGGTGTACCCGCCAAAAAGATTGTACCTGGCCTGGCTTTCTATGGCCGGTCTGCAAGTGAGTGATTCTGCAAGTCCAATGCTAAATAGGAACCAGTTACTAATTTATTTATTTATTTATTTTTTATTTTGCTGTTGTTTCTCTTTACTATCAAATATATATATATTAAAATAAAGCCGCTACTGTTGATATGACCAAGACAAACTCTCAATACCAAGGACAGGTTGCAGGTGTGGTGCCGTCCGGGGATAGCTTGGATGCATACTGGCAAGACCCCTATTGTTCAAAGGACCCTGGGGGATTGTCTGGTGTGTGGCGATACGGTAACCTGCGGTCACAGGGCGTTTTGAGCTCGCCCACAACAGCTTCGGCAGGATGGACAAGAACCTGGGATAATGTAACCCAAACGCCCTGGCTGTTCAATCCCAGCAGCAAGATATTTATCTCGTACGATGACCCCCTCTCAATCCAGATCAAGGTTAATTATGCTCTCTGCCTCAATCTAGGAGGAGTCATGGTATGGTCTGTTGATGAAGACTCAAGTGGTGGCGAATTACTTCAAGCAGCAGCAGCAATTAGTTCAGGTAAATATCAATATCAATAGATAGGAGGAGTTGAAGAAGCAAGCAAGGGGTAGGGTAAAAAGAAAAGGAAGTGGTATTATTTGCTTTGCTTTGCTTCTTTTGTTGTTATTGTTGTTGCTGTTGTTGTTTTGGTTTAGAAAACAAGTAATTGATTCTTAGTCTATTCCTAATCATATTCAATATCTCTCCTTGTTCTTTTCTTTTCTTTTTGTTTCTTTTTCTTTTAGGCTCTTCTCCTTCGAGCTGTCCTAATTAACAAAAAGCTTGCAGAGGTAGAGGAGGTTTGTTGCCACCACCCCCTCCTCAAAGCCTACAGATTTTATTGTTACATGTATAAAGGTCAAATCAAGACAAGTATGCTACCACTTGCTCAATTGTGTAAATCCGTAGCTTACAATGATTATGTTGTTCAAATATAATAAAAAAATAAAAAAAAAACTATCAGTATCAATATTTTACAAATATCAAATTAGTGCCATTAATTCGTGCTTTATACTCTGTATTTTAAGCGGGAGAACAGATGAGGAGTTTCCCCATAAGAATAATAAAGAAACAACTGGCTGTTGCATAAAAATTTGTTTTTGAAAAAGATCTCCAGGGAGAGGAAGGGAGAGAGAATTGTTATAGAGGGGTTTGTATATGTGTGTGAAAAATTAAATATTCCCACAACACAATACAGCACAGAACTACACTACATTAGACCCTACAACATTAAACAATAAAATTAGGTAATAACCATAGTAATAAACATAAAAACAAGAAACCAAGGAGACCACAAAAACCAATAATTAGTTTCAAAAAGCTTATGTGGATTATAATATATGTTGAGCTTCTATAAAGGTAAATCTTTGGGTTGACTTCCTTACAATTCAACGACCACAAGCTTCATTACTTTTTTGTTCTGTGTGTCTTTTTGAGCACAGTACATTAAACATATTCCTATACTTTTTTTTTAGTTGTTGCCAAATGGACCCTTTATTCTTTCAAGGAATAAGTAAGAATAACAATAACAATAATCCTGCTATTAACTCACTTGAGCATATTAATACAATATTCTCCTCCTCATCTCTTGCTTCTCTTTCCCTTATTCTTATTCTTACTATTCTTTATTTTTTCCTTTTATCGGCGCCCTTGCTTAGATACATATACTCCACATAGACACAGGCATAGGCACAGGCATAGGCACAGGCACAATGGCGACTACAAGTAAAATATAATATAGTATAAAATGAACAAAATTTCCCCTTCCCCTTGGATCGCTTTTAAAGAAGTAAAAAGAAAGAAAAAGAAAAGAAAAGAAGAAGAGAGAAAGAAACTTGTAATTTTTATACATTTTTTTTAAAAAAAAAAAAAAACAAAAAATAATCTATTACTGTATACAGTGGCACCCACACAATCATCGCAGACACAGTCCTCTCAGGCACAGTCTTCTCAGGCACAACCTCAGACAACAGCTTATCTCGAGCAAGTTATTCGTCTATCAGAGCGAGTCCCAACGGGTGCAGTTCGTGTCGAACGGGATTATTCAAAAGGCGATGGCATTACACAATTTGATACCACTCTTCCAACAGAGCTTGAAGGACAAGTTAGGGGCATGACTTGGTAGTTGAATGACAAAAAAAAAGAGATTGACTTATTTATTTTATATAGATTGAACCCGAGCTATTTGAAGAAACTATTAAAGAAGTGAACAAGATCTTATCAGAGGCAGAAAAAATTTCGGTTTTCAGTATATTGGAGAATGTAATGGAGTGCCTGACTATATACACATGGCCGCTATTGTTTTCTACAAAATACCAAAAAGTAAAGCCTATTTTTGTGTGTGTGTGTGTGTGTGTGTGTTCCCTGGAATGTGTCATCATTAACTGACATATTGATTTTTATACTCTACTGTAATATATTTATATTATACTATTTTGGATTTCTACACAGTCATTAAATCGCCTACAGGCCTTTCTACTGACCGAGAATCAAACGGTGTATCATCCAAGAGACCTTTCTATTGCAAATCCAGTTCCTTGTGCATTCTTGTTTGTAAGTGTTTAAATCCAACTCTTCTTGTTATTACAATGTATCTAACTTACTCTTCTTTTTGTATTTGAATAGCTTGAGATCAAAACCTTTGGCTGATAAAAGAAAAGAAAATTAACCATAATTTTATAATCATCATCATAATTTCTTTATATTATATAAATGTTTTACTTGTAAGCATTCAACCTCTTCAAATCAATAAAACAAACCAAAAACACATAACCACTTCTTCTACTTCTTTTGGTTCTTTTAATGGTTTATGATATATTTATATATATTATACTTTTTATTTTATTTTATTGGAGAGCCCAAATGGTATTCTGACGTCCTAGTTTTTTGTGACTCCGCCCAAACTTCACAAAACGAGACATCTTCACCCTCTTTTGCTTCACCTGTTTGATTCCCTCCCCCATTTCAAGGTATAGTTCATCTCGTCTGACGGTTCGGGAGAATGAAAGCAAACTTGATATTGGCTCGACTAACACATAGTATCCACTCATTCTTACCACCGACAGAGCATCTTTCTTCTCTACAATGACTGACTACTGGTGAGGAATTCTTCAAGATTATATATATTTTTTTGTTAAAAAGAAACATGAATCGTTATACGAGTACAAAGAGTGTTTCAGAACTTCGAACAAGATGAGATGAAACTTATGCTTTGTTGTATTTCTTGACTCATTAGCCCCGTCTACGCACCTTTCTTCGGCTCCATGGGATGCACTGCCGCAATTGTCTTTAGCTGTAAGTAATCTTCCCGGGACATTTTTTATTTATTTTTACAATCTTCTCTTTACTTTTCTCTCTCTTTCTCGACCAAAAAGAAGAAGAAAAAGAAAAAGAAAAAGAGGATTAATAGAGCTTGTATATATTCATACAAATGAAAGAAACATATATTAAATCAATAATCATTCTAATTTGTTTTTCTTTAAAATAAAAAAAAAGGTCTTGGTGCTGCTTACGGAACTGCCAAGTCTGGTGTTGGACTTTCTGCTATGGGTGTCCTCCGCCCTGACTTGGTTCTCAAGTGTATTGTCCCAGTTGTCATGGCTGGTATCTTGGGTATCTACGGTGTCGTCGTTGCTGTCTTGCTCTCGGGTGGTTGTAAGTATTATTTCTTTTAAAAAAAATCTGACACTTCTTTTTTCTTTTTTAAATATAATATAATATATATATATACTTGTCTAATCTAATGTAAAAGAAAAAATAACAACAACAATATATATATATATACGCGTCCTTTTCTATTTTTTTCTTGTCACTGTGTTTTTTACTTACATTTTGTTCATTTGTCTTTCGTATGTAACTGTAGTGGCCATGAAGCAGACACTCTTTAGCGGTTTCATTCAGTTTGGTGCTGGTTTATCCGTCGGTTTGTCTTGTTTGGCTGCTGGTATTGCTATTGGTATTACCGGTGATGCTGGTGTACGTGCCACTGCTCAACAGCCCAGAATGTTCGTCGGCATGGTAAATACAAAATCTTATTAACATACACACATACATACGTACATGTATTTGTATATATATATATATATGTATGTATGTATGTGTTTGTGTGTATGTGTATATATGCGTGTTTATACCTCTCTTCTTTATATTTACAAATTTTCTTTATAGATTTTGATTCTCATTTTCGCTGAAGTCTTGGGTCTTTACGGTCTTATTGTTGCTTTGATTTTGAACACCAAGGCTGCTGGTGGTGAGAGTGTTTGCCTGTAGATTTTAATGCATATATAAAAATCTCTTTAAAGTCAATGATGACAATATCCCCCGTTCTTTATATCAACAAAATAAAAAGTGCGTTGCTGTGTTTATCATAGTATAAAAGACATTATCTCTTCTTTTTGGATTTCAAATATCTTTACAAGATATCGATAAACTTCTATTCTCCCCGGGAAACAGGCATATTTTTATTTTTACACGTATAAATATTATATGTCTCTAATTATATAATGATTTCAACAAACAATATTACTGACCAATCCAATATCAGCGTGAATTTTATGAACTCCTTTGAAAGTGATGGTTGATTTAATATTCTGTATGTATGTATATATATACATATATTTGGTATTGGAAACCGTGTCGCTTGTTTAGATTATAAATCATATCATAATTGTTGCCATTCAAATGGATATAGAGATATTATATGAAAAATGGGATCGTAAAAACCATTTTTGATTTAAATGCCTTTTATAGCTGAGACAATCTGCTTACTTTATGCTGAATACTTGAGAACTACGGAGTCTACAGTGAATTGATTATTATTATTATTATTATTATTATTATTATTATTATCGAATGCTAATATAAAAAGCGGAAAATATCCATATAAAGGAAGTAATATATATAAAAGGCTTTGTATTGGTTAGCATAAGGCTCGTTGTATAAAGTCTAATGTTGACCGATCTTAATGTAAACTGAAAAGATGTTTATTAATCATTACAAAGTTTGGGCTATGGTGAATGGGCGATACCAGTCTGTACACACTGTCATCTAGCGGTAATACATACTTTTGAGGAATATATATTTGCATTTCTCTGTTGGTGGCAAAGGCTGCTTTTCAAGTAAGTTAATTATTGAGATATATTTATATCTATATATCTATATATGATTACCTTTTGTTTCTTTATTCTGTTTTGTGATCTGGCAGGCAGTTTAACATACAATCTCTATTCAAAAATGGCTACTTGGATTTAAAGCAATAGCAACCAAGAAAAGAACCTTTTCTTTGTTTAATTTTTATTTGTTTAAATATTAGTTTGTTTATTAAACTAAGGTTCAGGGCATCCTACATTTGGTAATGTTAATTATGATATTCATAATATATATATATATAGTTGCAAGCATTTCTTTAAATTATAAGCAACCTTTACATATATGTTCTCTACAATGCGAGAAGGGCTTGTAAACTATATATTTCTATTTCTATTTCTACACAACAGTTGTTCCAATGCCAAAGGGCGGCCAATAAAAACAATAAAAAAAGGCGGTTTTTATTCTCTCAAAGGATGGGTCTCTTTTCCCTAAAGTTCGCCATCCTTAACAAGCTTTATTCATTGGGTGTTGATTTAAATATGCTCCTCATTCAAGCAATTTTTTTTTTAAGAAAAAGCATTTAAAGAGTGCTGTACAAAGGCACAAAAGTAATTGGAAGGGATAATTCGAAAACACTACCCACTTTCTTGAATAATTTTTTGAACATTTGTACGAGGTTGAATGGCTCAGAAAAAGGAGAAGCTAATATTTGTCCAGTTTTTCAAGAGTAATTTGCCCACTATTTACAAATAATTTGACCCGATTTCTGGTCAAAACAGTCATAAGGCTCTTTACTTAGCCATTCAGAAAGATGTTTGTAGAATACTCGAAGGAAATTTTGGCAATGTTCAATAGGAAAATATCTGCTTCTTTCAATGACCTTCAAAGTAATTTTCGCGTCGCTTAGTCAAATAAAAATAAAAGCAAAATGTAGAGTATCCAGCACCAGCAATAAAAGCAATAGCTATTATAACTATTCACCAATAATGCGGATTGTAATTTACTATTGTATCCAGTACTCATTGGCATTAAACAAAAATTTCCATTACCGGACCCCAGAATTTAACCAGGAACGATATAGAGAATTGGTTTTGTGAATAACTATGAAACAACACTGACTTGTTTATAATTCGGTCCATAATATGTAGCATAAGTTTTAGATCGGTATATCATTTACATGTCATGGTATTATAATCTACATGTGTACACACAAGATTTTAAGCGCGAAATAGTGCCTTTTTTTTCTTTTTGATTTAGTAAAATTCCTATTTTAATTTAGTGGCTACTGTTTGTAATTTCAGTACATCACTGGGGGCGGTATGAATATTACAAAAGAGGACTGTGAAGCCTGGGTCTACTGCAGCTTCAGTTTCTTTAAATATTACCAAACTAGAAGCAACAAATTGAGCGACGCGAAAATTACTTTGAAGGTCATTGAAAGAAGCAGATATTTTCTTATTGAACATTGCCAAAATTTCCTTCGAGTATTCTACAAACATCTTTCTGAATGGCTAAGTAAAGAGCCTTATGACTGTTTTGACCAGAAATCGGGTCAAATTATTTGTAAATAGTGGGCAAATTACTCTTGAAAAACTGGACAAATATTAGCTTCTCCTTTTTCTGAGCCATTCAATCTCGTACAAATGTCCAAAAAATTATTCAAGAAAGTGGGTAGTGTTTTCGAATTATCCCTTCCAATTACTTTTGTGCCTTTGTACAGCACTCTTTAAATGCTTTTTCTTAAAAAAAAATTGCTTGAATGAGGAGCATATTTAAATCAACACCCAATGAATAAAGCTTGTTAAGGATGGCGAACTTTAGGGAAAAGAGACCCATCCTTTGAGAGAATAAAAACCGCCTTTTTTTTATTTTTTAAAAAAAACCCCGTCCTTTGATTGTTTTTATTGGCCGCCCTTTGGCGTTGGAACAACTGTATATATAGAAATATATAGATAGAAGTGTATTTATATATATATTTGTTCGCCCTTAATCCCCTTTGTTGGGACCACGTCAAAGATTGCCCTAAACGGTACCTTTCTGGGTGGGACCTTATTTTTAGTCTTTTTTCTTTTTTTGCACTCTACCATGAATAGAATAAAATGAAGTCAAAGCTAAAAGGCAAACCAAGATCTTCTTTCTTTCCTTTCTTTCTTTCTTTCTTTCCTTTCATTTCTTTTCCTTCTCACTCTTTGCCTCTTTACACTGCAATCAATACTACAACCCTTCACACACAATTTAGATAAATCAAATCAAATCAAATCTAAAACCGAAAAAAAATATGTCTGTGAATAACGTGACTGTTGACCTTGCTCGACTCTCTTTTGACACCCCAGAGTCAGCCTACCTTTTGTCTACGCCTCTTCTGTCTGGCAGTCCAGCAGGAGACCATTCTTCAGCCGCCAGTCGCTCTACAGCAGATGTATCACCATCTATCCGGGTTATCAGAGGTAAATATCACTTATTCACATCAATTAAGAAAAGACGTATTTCCTGTCTCGTCGTCTCTCTGTCTCTCTGTCCGTCTCTTTATATATCTGCAACTATTCGGTGTATGATATATAGACGTATCGATACATTCATTGTCGCTCTACACAAACATATGAACGCACATACATCTAGACAGAGAGGCAGAGAATAAGGAAAAGGGAGAGGGGAGATGTGTTTATGTGTGTGTGGGGATGAAAGGGCAAAGGGAGACGAGGGCAATAGAAATAAAAATAAAAATAAAAGTTGGGGGTGGTTCAAATGAACTTATGCCTAACTTGGCTAATTAGAACAAACACCGCGCGGTAGAAATCGCAACCGCCAAATCGTACCTAGTGATGATGAAGAGGACGATGAAGAGGAAGAAGGCAATGAACAAGGAAGTTCTGATGATGAAAGAGGAAGACGCGGTAATGCGCTCAGCCCTCTTCCAAGCCGTAACAAACCTACCTCTGGCGTGTCCACACCTTCAAAACCCGGCCGCAAGACTCAACCCCTTCCCAGTGATGATGAAGACAGTGAAGGTAATTAAAAAGATAACCAATACATACACATGAGAATTTATACATCTATAAATATATATCTTTTAAAAAAAATGAATGAATGAATTATGTTTTTTTTTTTGGATTTTGGTTGACTTTAATTTCATTTACAGATGAAGATGACAGTGAGTCGGAGAAGAGAGGCCCTCGTTCAGGCCAGGCTCAGCAGCAGCAGCAGCAGGCGATCTATCGCTTGAACGGGACAGGTTCCAGCCCGACCGTATACGGAGAACGTGGGTCTGCAGCACGGCCTCCGTTGCACCAACGCCACTCGGACAGCAGTTCCAACAGCAACCAGTCTATTGGCAACAACGGTGGCGGTGGTGGTTACATGATGGGTCAAGATGATTACAACAACAATCTCAACCTCAACAATAATAACCTCAGCCTTAACAACAACCTTAACCTTAACAATAGTAACAATAGCCTCAACCTGAACGGCAACGGCAACAACTACCAGCAAGATGTGCAGTATTATGGCAACGGTGAGGAGTTTATAGACGATGAGGACAATGAAGTACTGGGCCAACACATGCGCCACCCCCAAGCTTTTGGTGCTCCAGAGGGTAGTCATCTCCAACAACTCCAACAGATGCAGCAATACCACCAGGCCCAGTTGGCCCAATTCCAGTACCACCATCAGCAGCAGCAACCGCAACCTTCAAAATCCGCCTCTCACCTGCGGCCACACTCCCAAAACAACTATCAGCAGCAGCGAGTCTCGATGTCAGGCATGGATCTTCTCAAGCAACTCGAGCAAGAAAAGGCTGATCTCAAGCGACAGAAGCCCAAGCTTAACACATCCGATGTCAAGATTGAAGGCCTCCTGGGCCGTCTTCCCGAACCAGGATCACATAACATCTCATTCCAGCAAATCCAGCAACAGCAGAATGGGATGCGCAAGTCTCGATCAGGCCAGCGTCCAGTATCCTCATATGGATACCTCGACATGCCTCAGCAACACCAACCCTCGTCTCGTTCTCCTTCTCCCTCATCTGGTCGCAACCAGATGATGTACAGTCCACAACCAGGTTATGTTGCAGCTGGTAATGCATATCAATACGGATACCTTCCACCCACCGGTGTTCCATATGACTATTTATCTACCTCTCCCAATGGAGCAGCCTATCCTCGCGCACCAACACCAACTGGTGGTCAACAACCTATATATCAGCAGTACGCAGCTCCTTATCAACAACAGCCACAGGTACAGCAGCAGCAGCAGCAGCAGCAGCAACAACAACAACAACAACAACAACAGGTACAGCAACAACAGGTACAGGTACAACAACAGCAACAACAGCAACAACAGCAGCAACAGCAGCAACAGTACATCAATGCTCCTAGAGGAACCCTGCAAGATAGTCAACTTAATGCCAACCGTCGTTCTGGCTCCCTTGAAGCTGCCGTCGCTACCAACATGCCATAAAAAAACAATTTTTTCCTTCCATTTATCCGTTCATCTGTTCACCTACCTATCCATCTATACATCCTTACATACATATAACACAACACAATCAATTAACTTCAATTGCTCTTCTTTATCATCTTCTTCTTCTTCTTCTTTATCTACCTATCTATTTCTTCTTTCTTCTAACCACTACATACACCTCACCACCATATTTTTTTTGTTTCTTTTCTTTATTTCACCTACAACTATTGTAACTGACAAACTATTGCAAGAATGATAAAACAAAACAAACAAAAAAAGACATCTATACACACCACCTCTTTCTCTTGATTCCATCTCAATACACATATATTTTTTTCTATATAATTATTGACAAAAAATAAAAATGTTAAAAAAAAATTATAATAATTTCTTTTTAAATATATATATATATATATCAAAAGTCTCAAGAATTTCTTTTTTTTTTATTACTATTTTTATTAGTGTAATTATTAACATACGCACATACGCACATACATACGCACATACATACAAAACAACACTAACAAAAATCAAGCAGAAAATGTTTGAATAAATAATATCAGAAAAGAGGGGTACAAAAGGGGAAGGGAGAAAGGAAAGGGAACAAAAAGGGGAGTAGTGAATGAAACTATTGAATAAATCAATAGATCAATTTAAATATTAAAAATAAATAAATAAAGATATATATATATACAAAAGGAGGTGAATTTATTATTGTTGTCAGTGTTATTTTTATCAACATCCTTAACACAACGAGAGATAGAGAGTGTGAATATTTAGTAAAGAATTTGCTCCCCCCAATAAAAATCAAAGGAAAGCAAAGCACAGCAAAGAAATGATATAAATGTGTCTGTAAAGGAGGTCTTTCTTTCTAAGAAAAAAAAAGAAAAGAAAAGAAAAAAGAGGGGAATTCTCAAGAACCATAAAGAATTAAGGGTGAATAGCATAAAGCATTTCATCTAGACAGGAACCAAAGACTTGCTGGCATCCACAACCACACGATTCTAATAATGCGCTTGGCTGATCACATACTACAGGTTCACAAATTGCTGCAATAGACAGACGTCTTCTTGCAGAAATATCTGCTCCAAATCCAGTGTAAGGGTCCCGAGATGTCTTCATGGCACGAGAAGGATGAGCATCACACCCAGGACATGCACAAGAGTCTCCACATCTACAAGTCACTACACGGGTCCGCTTTCCTTCTGGGTTTATCTTTTCTATTGAACAACATGGTGTCGGAACATCAATTGGTTCAATATCTGGCTTTGTCTTTACTGATGTTGGTGGTAATGATGATGGTGACGGTGATGGTGACGGTGACGGTGAAGAAGAGGAAGAAGAAGAAGAGGAAGAAGAAGAAGAGTTACATTGGTCTGTGGTGAGTTTGGCTGTGGTGGATAGATTGGTGGGATGTGTTGATGTTGTATTGGTTTGAGAGGTGGCTTTACTGGAGCAACATGGCCTTGGGACCGCAGAAACTCTCTTGTTTGCCAGATTGTCCAAGATGTCAAAGCCATTTAATTCGGTTGATGTGGTGGGTGTAATTGGTGGCGATATGCTTGGTGACAATGGTAAGGATGCTAATAATTGAATATGGACGGGTTTGATGGCGGTTATGTTGTTATCGTTGTTGGTATTGCTACTACAGCACTTCTTGGGTATTTTGGGTTTTAGTGTGTCCTGCTGGCTTGGCTTTGGTGCAATTGGACGCAGTGCCAAATGTTGTTCCTGAAGCTTTAATGTTTTCAACTCTATAAAATAAATATATTTATATAGTGTTTTTGTTTTAAATTTCTATAACCAATCATTTACCATTGCCTGTTTTTCGTTTAGCTTTGATGGCAGGTATAGTATTTACTAGGTGAACAAGACAAGCTGTCAATTAAATGGCCTGTTTTCTTTCTTCTTTATATTATTTTCATTATTTGTATTATGTAATATAGAAAAATGAAGAGTTAATGTATTCTTATCCTCATATTTATTTCATTCTTTTTTTTTACCTGTAGTATCAGCACAATTACACTTGACATGTAACTGCCTGACCACTCGTAATTCTCGACATTTTTGACATTGAGTCATTGGTCTTCCTTTCTTCTTGATTTCAATAAGAGGACGATCGACATGATTACAGTGGGATGCTCGATGTCCCTTTGTAACAAGGATTAGACTTTTTTTTATATATTGTATTGTATTTTTTTGGCCTGATTCTTAGGAGACTTTGCTTACTTTGATACAGGTTGCTAAAGAACAACAATACAAGAAAATTGACTTGAAATGAGTATAAGAAAAGAAGAAAGAAAGAAAGAAAAAAAGGTCAAAGATAATATAACACACGATAAGCCTTTTTGGTTTTATATTATCATTATTTTGAATAAGAAATAAAATTATGTATATGATGACTATTTACCGCATGACCATTTCTTGCCGTCTGCTAACATACTTTATAGGAATGAATTGAACTGAATTGAATTTCTACACAACTTGGCTCTCTCCTTATTTTCCCAGTCAATTTTTTTTTCTTTCTTTCTTTCTTTCAACCCCTACCCATTTTTCTCTCTTTCTCTCTCTCTCTAATTTTTTTAGATTTTCCCCTCTTAACCTTTTTGTTATTTTATTTATATAGCCATAAACTAAAAAAAGAAAGCTAGACAGTGTGGTTTTGCCGCCTTAACTCCTGAGGATCAATTACGTCTGTATATTGCAAGTCACTCCGTCAATTCGGCGTGAGAATTTGAAGCCATAACTACAAATTGTGTGCTCCCAGCCTTCTTTCTTCCATCTGTGTTTAAAATACTCCAAAGCACCTCACAAATATGGTGTTTTTTGTGCTATATGAATGTAACACAGATTCCTATATATGTATTACTTTTACTAAAGTCACGATATGCTTATTCATATCACTTTTGTAGCATAATTTGCATATATATATTGAAATAAGAATTGTCTGTAGAAGGCTTGGTTATACGTTTGGCTTATACTTACAGCGCCCTACTTTTTGTTTTTGTTTACAAATTGCCTATTAATATATGAGCTGTAAGAGATATATATACACACACACATACACACAGTGAGAGGTTTTATTGAATGAATGGTATATACTAGTCTAACAAATGTTAATTTAAACATTTTTATTGGTGAATTAAAGTCGTGTGTTTTAATATGTGTCGTAGTTTAAATGCTCAACGAGAGACAAAGACAGAGAAAACATTTTTGTGTCGAATAGATTATATGCCTAGAGGTTCTCTTTTTGTGTTACTTGAAAACATATATATTTTTGTATATAAAACATACACAGATATAATTTTATAATGATTATTGGTAAGAAAGGATCAAATGGTCCCATGTGGAAAATTGAGATCTGAAAAAGCTTAATGATCCGATGCTATCTGACGTTTCTTTTTTGTCTTTTTCTCCACATTAAACGCTTACTCATTTCCTCTCCCGCATCAATGGGTATCCAATGAGAAACGCATCAGACTAACCCGCATCGTAAAAAGGGATAGACAAAAATAAATAAAAAATAAAAAAATAAAAAAGCTATAACATTTATTTATTGAAGTTAGTCATTCCGACTCTTTTTCTTCCTCGGATATTTATTCTCACATTCTCCTTTTTCTCTTGCTCACTACTACTTCTTGGGTCTTCTTTTGCCACAACCATGCAATTGAGACACCTTAAACACGAGAAGGACTCTTCGTCTTCAATCGACAGAGAGTCAGTTCATGATCTTCCACTAGGTAAAAACTAAAATAAAGAAAAATAAAAAAAAATTAAGAGGCTTATGATCAATTGTCACATTGTTATAGCTATTAGTGAGCATGAGGTCAGTTTTAGTCACGGTGTTGAGCGTGAGGCGCAGGGATCTAGCTATCTAGCTTACTTTAACGTTGTCTGTGTGGTGGCCGGAACTGGTGCCCTGGGGTTACCCTACGCCCTGCGACAGGGTGGCTGGATTGGTAAGTAGTTTATTGTAATTTAAACATTCATGATTAAATCCTTGATTTTTTTATTTTTTATTTTTTATAATATATAATAAAATAATTTATTTATTTATTTATTTACTTGCTTACTTATACAAAATTTTGATCATTTTACTAGGCATTTTGATTATTGCCCTCAGTTGGCTTTTCTCCACATGTATGTTATATATATATATATATATTATATTATATATTTAGCTACTTTTACTGCTAATCTTCTCTTGGTATAAAATTTTACACGTCAAGCTTATTTATCTTTTTGTGGCTAGACTCTGGCGTAATTCTCATCAGATGCCTGTACTATAATGGTCATACTCGACTATCCTCTTACCAGGAAGTAGCCGAGGCCGCATTTGGTAAAATTGGAGGCTGGATTGCTTTCTTTTTCACAGCCATCACTTTGATCGGTGTACCTGTGCTTTACTTGCTCTTGGCCGGCCAGAATCTCCACACTGTCTTGATCGGAACCTCTGCGGAACTTACTTTTCCTATCTGGGTAATCATCTGCGCCGCTGCTGTTGCTGTCCCATTTGTCTTTTTCAAATCCATGAAAGAAGTCGGCTTCCTAAGTGCATTCGGCATGTTGGCCACCGTTATTGTGGTCCTGATTGTCGTCGTCACTGCTGCCAGAGACAGACCCAATGTAGTTAATGTTCACCATGATCCTGTCATCTGGGACCAATTCCCAATCGCTTTGAGTTCGATTGCCTTTAGTTTTGGTAAATATATATATATATATAAATTATAGATTATTTTCTTTAAAAGAAAAAAAAACAGTACTGACAAAAATCCTTATTATTATAGGTGGTAATCCAGTCTATGCTCACGTCGAGGCTGGTATGAGACAGCCAAAGCAATGGGGTCGCGTCGTAGCTGCTGGTCTCACTACTTGTGTCGGCCTCTATTTCCTCACTGCTATACCAGGCTACTTCGTCTACGGCGACCAAGCCCTGTCTCCGATCTACAACAACCTCCCCCAAGGACCCGAAAAGACCGCTTCCGCAATCATCATTACCGCGCATGTCTTACTCGCCTGCCCTATTCTTATCACATCTTTTGCTCTCGATCTCGAAAAGCTCTGCGGCATTTCGTCCTTCCACCATTCGCGCGTCGTCGAATCATTGCTTCGATTTGCTCTCCGTAGTTGTATGATCGTTGTGATCACTGTCATTGCTATCTATGTGCCCTTCTTTGGTGACTTTATGTCGCTCTTGGGTGCATTTTCCAACTGCGCTCTCATTCTTATCTTCCCTGTAATGTTCTATTTCAAGCTGACCGGTCTGCGCAACAAGTCCTGGTATGAGCTCATTCTCGGCTTTTTCACCGTACTCTTGGGTATTGTTGGTCTGATCTTTGGTACCATCTCGGCTGTCAAGGCCTTGAAAGATGATTTCAGCCAGCAATAATAAAATCACATTCGCTTTCCTACCCCTCCACTAACCCAACCTAACACAACACAACACAACACCTTCTCACACCCTCCAGCCACCATTCTTCTTATTCTTGTTACTCTTTCTTGGTGTGGTTCAATCCAGATATTAATGTACTAAATTAATGGGCCTTTTATTATTCTTTACTACTTTATTTTAGTTATATTTATACTATTTCATAACACCTTTATTTCTTTATTTCTATATACATTATCTTTTTTTATATCCCATATTTGTATTATCATTTGCTCTTCTTTATCTATTTATCTATCCATTCTTCTTTATATTGCTCTATTTTATTATTTAATGACTATAAAAATCTCCTCTATTTAATACCACCTGCGTAATAGGTTGGTTGTAAACATTCTTTATCACAAGAGCCGATTTTCACTTTGATAGTCATTGGGAGTACAAAGAAAAGAAAGAACAAAACTTTATCTTAGCTCAATATGTGTGTGTGTGTGTGTGTGTGTGTGTGGATCCTCAATATCTTGCCTTCCACAACTTCCATGACCACCTAAAAATGTAGTGTGTGTCTGTAGATCTGAGTTACAAGGCTAACCGCCTCACACATCCTTAAGCCAGCTAATTAGAGTACCTTTCTCTCTGTGTACAAAATATATAAATATAAATATAAATTTAAATCTAAATCTAAATCTAATTATATATAGATATAGATACAGATAAAATATTAGCGTACGGATAATAGACTAGTATGTTAATGATCTATTATTATTGATATTATATATATATGGATCTGGTCTATAATAGACAAAGATTCTTTTTATCTAAAATTAAGTGAATGAACCACAACCATCAAATGTGACCTCATTTTACAACCCTTTCTTTAATTCTCTGACCGCCACTCGCCCCCCTCTCCATGATCCCTTTTGTTCCACTTTAGCCCTCTTGTGTTTTGGGCTGGGGTATGCTACTGTACTTTACCTTTCTTTAATATACGTACACGCGCACAACCACAAACCTACTATATAGATATATAGATATATATAAGTAGATAGATAGATAGATAGATAGAAAGAAAGAAAGAAAGGAAGGAAGAAAAGAAAAGAAAAATACATAGATAATACAAAATTATAATTCATCATGCTTCCTCCTTTCACAAAGCGTGACATGCCTCCTCGTCAAGTCCTTACCACAGACCGCACAAAACATCGTCGCAACAGCAATTACTCCATCCAACTACCATCATCCGACTCGCTAAGCCTCGAGATGGGTCATTCGGGTTCTTCCCGTAGAGAAAAGTCTATGTGGGCCGTAAAAGACAAGGTTCTCGAACCTCATCAGTTTTTTCTCTCGACCACCTTTCAAAACTGCAAGCGTCAGTTACGCCAGGCACGCTGGCAGAAACTGCTGATGGCCGTCATCATTGGTTTTTTCATCTTGACATATTGGCTTGGTTTATTGAGCTCGAATGTCAAAGACGTGACTTTAGAGGAACAAGATCAAATCCCTATTCCATCCCAGACGCGCGATCAGCTAATTCTCTATCGCATCGTTGGTAACGATCTTCCTCCCCGACACAAGGAAGGCCAGACCCTTTCAAACCTACGCTTTATTCTCGAACACGAACCGGCATTCCCAAATACCCGTAAATTATTTGTGCTCAACCGTATTTCAGACCCTCAGAATGAAGCAACCATCATCAGGCTGTTGAACGAATACGGAGTAGAGTATATTCGGATCCCATTTGAAGAAAAGGTATATGAAAACATCGACTTTCGGCTCGAGGATTTCCCCGAGCCAGACTATCTCCACTCGGATGACTATAGACGCTTTTCAAAAGTCAAGAAATTGCGTGCCCTGGATTATACCTATCATGATAAGAATTTATACGCCATGAATAATGTAAGTTTGTTTTTTTTACTGTTGTTGTTGTTTGAGGAGCAGGAGTTCTTTACACTTCTTGTGTTGGATCTTCCCACCTCTCGGCCCCCTTTATTTCATTATTATTATTATTATTATTATTATTATTATTATTATTGGCTGGTTATCTGATGTGAACAGTAGAATGGAGGAAGAAATACGGCAATTGAACATGCACAGAGTATACCAAATGCAAAATGGGTAATGCCTTTTGATGGAAATTGCTTTTTAAGCAACAACGGATTCGCAGAGATAAAGTCCCAGTTGGACCGATTTGGTGGAGACATCAAATACTTTGTTGTGCCCATGACTCGACTCCTCAACAACACAGTCTTGCTCGACAATACAGAGGATCGACCAAAGGCCCCAGAAGAACCCCAGATTATCTTTCGCTATGATGCTACTGAAGAATATAATCTTAATATGCGATATGGTCGACGTAGTAAGGTATGTAAAGAAAAAAAATTAATTAATTAATTAATTAGAATATCATTTACACTTGTATTACAAGAATTAGAGGGGAATTTTTTGTCTTTTAAAAAGAAGAAAAAATTACGGTGAATTCCCAACAAAAGAATTAAAGAAGATAGAGATAACGGAATATTCATATAAATACTTTATAACAATAGCTTGAATTACTGTGGCGTCTGGGCGCATTGGAGAACCGTCGCCTGAATAGACCTACGGTACCTTGGGAATCGAGTGAAAGACCTTATAGTAAAGACAAGGGGAATTTCCGTACCATTGGATGGGTCTTTCGGCTGTTTTCTGGAAATCCTCAACAAGAAGAAAACAAAAAAGAGGCTTCATCAATCCGTGGATTTAACCGTCTTTTGGCTATCCAGTCTTCACTCGACAGTTTGGACGAGTCTATTGCTCGTCGTACATTTCGCCAAGACAAGCTGTTTGTGTTTGATGAAAAGGACATGGCGAAGGTGAGATATCATTACTGGGCTAATGAGCCTGATGTGGTTGCTGTTGTCGATCGTCTACAAGAACAAGCCGCGACTATGTTGCATTTTACTCAGCAGCAACTTGATCCTATGTCTGCTGCTGCTGCTGCTACTGCTGCTGACCCGCTGCAGCGCATGGATCCCCAAACAAACGATGATCAATTTCTGGCCTCGTTACCTAAAGAAGCTGGAATAGAGTACCTCGGACCACTCACTCACAACGTTACTGTACTTACATTGGCTAGCTATTTTCTTGGGGATGACCAGTATGGAAGATGTGCTGCAAACCTGATCCGAGTCCATTTTTTGAATGAATATGCGGTAGAGGATGAGGATGCCTACAGTGGTGCCCGTGAAGAACCGGACACTAGCCACCTGCTAGACTTTTTGTCAGATCAAGGCTATTCGTTCCCCAGCCTCAATCGAATTCCTCAGATAATCCGCAAGCATAACAGTAACCGGATCTTCAAGACCTCTGACCTGACCAAAACAGATGTCTCATCACTGCTGGATAGCATGCGTATCTTGCGTCGGATGCAGCTATTGACACACAAGGAATATATCAATCTTCAGGCCATCACAGCCGAGTTTCTCGAGTACCATATCACTTCTCCGACTGGTATTCATCTGGCTCAAATGGCAGATCATCGTGGAGTGTTTTATGACCTCCAGGTCACTGCATTGTCTGCGTTTGCCAATGATGTTCGCTTATTCTTGCGGGTTGCCAACAGATGTCGAATGCGTATAGGAAAGCAGTTTACGCCCGAAGGAAACCAGCCTTTCCAGAAGAGCACAGCACAAGCACGTCTCCAACAGCAGCTTTCGTCGGATTCTTTTAATATGGAAGACAAAGACCCATCCTTGGCCTCTGCTCTCAGTTGGCGTGTGTCTCTTCATTATGAAACTCTGAATTTGCAATACTGGACCGTACTGGCCAAGGGTATTCAGAATGCAGGTGTAGCCAAAGACGTCTGGCACTATACTGCAAAACATCAGGAAACGCTGTCCCACACTGTTGTGTCGCATTTGAAGCGCAATTATGGCATATTGGACAGTCTTTCTCCTGTAGATGAAGCATTTGCTCGGGCACGCTTAAGACCACTTGCATACATGGCCGAATCTGCATTTGGTAACAGCTTTGCCTCTGGAAAGTTGATTCTCACGGAAAAACAAAAGGAAGACCAGAACTGGATCAAAAATCATGTTAGAGCATTTGGTGCACGGTATTTGACAGATGTGGATCCTCAGGGTATTTTGGAAGATATGGTCAGAGAAGATGAACTCAAGGGACGAATGGGAATCCCTCCATTCTGGATGTTGGCGACTTTGAGCTCCTAAAAACACACACACACAAAACAAACCCAAATTACACACAGATGAAGCAAGTGAGTTGAGATGAAGTCTGCTTTTTTCCTCATTAGATGTCCGGTTTCCTTTCTTTCTTTTTCTTTTTCTTTTCTTTTTACTACTCCTACTACTACTACTACTACTACTACTACTACTACTTCCTTTCTTAATTGCTTGTTTCTTCCTCTTCCTCTTTTAAAAAACAAGTCGACATTACTTCTTTACTCCTTTACTTTTTTTGTTTTTTTTTTCTTGTTCCTGTTTTTATATATTCTTTTTTTTGCATGTCCTTTTATTTGTAATTCTTGTTTATTTTTCTTAGTTCATAAAAAGAAGTATCGCCTTGACTGGACTCTAGGCATGAAAGTATGTAAAAATAATAATAACAATAATAATAATAATAATAATAATAATAATAATATGAGGTAGATGAATTTGTGTGTAGGTTTAAAGTTAGAAAATAACGAAAGAAATAAGATAGAAAGAAAAGAAAGGGGGTTCTTCTTCTTTGGTTCCTTGATTGTTTGTTTTGTTTCTTTGGTTGATTCATTGGATTGTTGATCTTGTTGGTTTGTTTGCTATGCTGGGTGAGGAGTTTTTGTTGGTCGGTTGGTCGGTTGGTTGGTTGGTTGGTTGGTTGGCTGGTTGGTTGGCTGGCTGGCTGGCTGGCTGGCTTAAGATGCTCGGAGGTTAATGTCGACTTGCTTGAGTTTGTGCAAAGATCGGTTCTGCCATTGACGTAAAAGATTTGCACTCTCAAGTCCTGACTTGTACACTACACAAATGGTTCGTTCATCTTGGCCTTTTTTGCTCCCCTTTTTTTTCTTGTAAAACATATATATATTTGATACTTGCATTCTTTCTCTGTCTCGTCCAACTTTTGACTGAATTCTTGGCCAGCGCCAGCAGCGCTTGTTTGAGAATGGTCCATGATCTCTCTCAATCTTGCCTTGTATGTCTTTTGTATACATACATGTGTGTGTGTATTTAATTTTTTTTGTTGATATATACATGACATCGAATTGCATCAAATATTTTACCTTTTGCATCAAAGGCCCCAATGTATCATCTACTACTGTATCAACTAATTTAGTGCCAAATACATAGAAATAAGGACATGCTGACTGCAAATCCACGTTTGTTGGACTGGCATTGAGATTATTGCGTACTCGTCTGCCAAAAAAGCTCGGGATCTCCAAAGCAATCAGATTCCTAATCACCATCATCAGCAAAGCTAAACGGAAAACAAAAGCAAAAACTCAAACTCAAAAAGCGATCTCAAGCATCACTCACTCATTCGTTGTAGGAAGTCTATAAAATGACCGATTAGTTTTTTTTAGATGATCTTATTTTTATTTTTGACTATAAAATTACAGCAAAAAAAACCTACGTTAATTGAGCCATGGGTTTAGCCATCCAAAATGGAAGCTCAAGTTGTGTTGCTTTTTTGACCTTTATTTTTCAATATGAATACATACAATATTAATAATAATAATAATGTCAATAAGAAGGCAGTTTATCAATTTAATATGTCTCCGTGCAACATACCTCAATGCCATGCCCAGACAGATTCACTTTTGCACCCAAATCATGGTTTAATGTACAAGGTATTTTCTATACACACACACACAATGAATCAACACATTGTATTCACATTTATGTGCATTTATATATTTAAATATGTGTGTGGTGTTGGTGTGCATTGTTTAAAATGGCTTTTATTACAATATGTTCTGCCAAGATGGAATCAATGTCATAGTATTCGTTATTCTCCATTTTGACCCAAAGAGGAACAAACAAGACGCCAAGTCAGCGCGTCCCATTTTTTTTAAGAAATATAAAATAAAATAAAATAAAATAAAATAAAAGCGCGTCTTGAGGAATAATGTGGAAAAAGAAAAAAAAATTAAAAAAAAATAAAAGAAAAGAAAACTATAAGGAAGCTGTATGAATAAATTAAAAAAGAAAAAGAAAAAAAGGCCAATGAAATATAATACTTGTTTGTAAAATGTTAAATGATTAAATAAGAATGGATAATAAAGAAGTACAAGAAGAATAATATGAATAAGAAGTGTCTTGTGTATGTGTGTATGTGCTTTTTTTTGTTTTTTTTTATGATCAAAATATAATCGGTTCGTGTTCTTCTTCAAACATCGAGCGCCGTAAAGCTTGTTCGGCTCTGTTGGCTGTTGCAAGTCTCTGGTCTAGCATTCCAGATTCTGACCAACCGGGTGTTTTCTCTGCTGGTTCGTTGGTTGCAACGCTACTAAAGTCATTGTTCTCTGCCCATAGTTTAATGGCATCAAGCATGTCCATAATTTTTCTTTCGTTTCCACCAAATACATCTATAGTCATAGATAGGTAAATTTACAACAATGATGATTAATTTTAATTAATTTATATAGATAGATCAATTAATTGATTAATTGATTAATTGATTAATTAATCGATTGATTACTTGATTACTTAATTAATTATAGACTATTATTATTATTCTGCTGGCTCTTATGTGTCTCGATCCAACAAGTACATCATTTTCTTACCTTTGATAGTGTAACGTCCGTCAACAACAACGCCCTCACGTCCCATAAATTTAAAGGCTGCTACAATGGTATCGAGCATCTGCATGCTTACAGATCCACCCTTTTGTGTAGGTGCCCTCCGAACAACTTTGTGGCTCAGGGACTCGAGTAAGAGCACAAGTGCATCTCCATTACGGAAGGCGCTAGTCAATTCCACCACATGCTTGCCAGCAGGCAAGTGCTGATTGACCCACTCAATGTACTGTGCCCGAGTCCATGGTTTGGGGAAATCGGTTGCTGAGAATGACGAGTGCGATGAACTTTTATCGCTTGATGAAGAGACTCGGAGTTGTCGATGATGAGGGTCAATAAGATCTTCATCTTCGTCACCTAATACTGCCACTTTTTCTTGCTTGGTTTCGGATTTGCTTTCGGGTCTATATTTCTGGTAGAGATCTGGTACCTCGGGAATCTCACCCCCGCTCAGGTGGTGTGGGTACACTGTTACTCCAGACTCGCGAGTTTGACGGTATTGCAGTCCAACAGATGGATCGTCTTCAATCGCCATGGGTCCCAAGGTTGTTTCTTCCTCTTCCTCTAGCATTTCCATCTTAGCATCTTGCTTAGGCTTCTGTGGTTTATACATAATAACTGAAGGTGGACGAGGCCTCATTCTACGCGCAACGTCAAGTGGAATGGTAGAAACATGGTTCGAAGACATGACAGGTGCTGCAAAATAAAGAAGTTATAAACAGTTGCTCCTTTTATTTTATTTTATTTTATTTTATTTTCTTGGTATTTTGGTGTATTATTTCAACTTACCACTCAAGTCACGGGTAATAGTAGCCTTCATCAGCATTTGGATCCATGCACGCATAGAATCTTTGGCATCTGTGTAGAAAAAGAATGTTCGTTCTCGCTCGTGTTGTGCTTTAAAGCTGTACTTTCCAGCATGTATAGTTGCATCGACAATGATTCGGTATCCTCTCAAATTAATTATGCCTTTCATACGTACATCCTGACAAAATGAAAATAAGAGGAAACAAACAAACGAACATTTATTATTAATATTTTTATACATATATATATATGACAAGCGCATTTACCTTTGGTCCCTTGAAGTAAAACAGATTGGCACCTTTGAGTACAAACCAACGTTTGTTCCAAGTTCTGTAGCGATCGGACTGTTTGTAAAGCCACCCTTCATGCTCAGGCACTTTAGAATTACCATCGAGCGATGGTCGTCCAGCGACAAGCGGATCGACTGAAAGAGCAAAATCAGCCTGCTTGTCATGCTTACTTGAAATTGACTGAATTTTGTATATACAACATTTTAGGTTTGGTTATTTTTTCTTGTTAATATATAGATATGCAAATAGTGTTTGTCAAACAAATAAAAGAATAATACTTACGTGAATCGAGAAAGATCGTGAAGTATTGGGTGAACCATGAGAAGGAGTACTTTTGGAGGGTGTAGGGAAGACACCGACATCAAAGGGGTCTGTTCTAGCCTTGTTCATTGAATTGAGACGTGATGCGGGATGTTTTCCAAACAGATCTAGAGGTCTTTCATGACTTCGGACAGTTCCGGAAGAAACACTAGATTTTTTTGAGGAGGTGGTGTTGAAAGTATTGGTGCGACTGACATTTGAGCCTGAGTTCATGCTTTGGAAAGAGGGTGGCCTGACGCCTTCTCCGGACTGGAAAAGAGGTGAGAGGCGATGATTGTTGGAATCAGAGTCCCCCATGGCGCCGGCCAGCGGCGGAAGAGGTGCCTTGCGAGGATACTGATACAAACCATCACTTTCTGAAGAGTTGCTTTGAGAGAGATTGTTTGGGTACGCGCTCGGAGCTGCAGGTGGAAGAGAAGGTGGAAGAGAGTGTGGGGGTGGGGGTGGAGGTGGGATGTTTCCTGTAGACAGAGAGGTTCTCGGCAGCGGTTGGGGTTGTAAAGAAGAAGAGGACGGAGAGGAAGTTGAGGAAGACATTGCGGGTCCGTTCTGTAGGAATTTATTAGTATTACTGTTATATTTTTTGGGTCTTTTGTTTTATTTGATCTTGACTATCGGCTTACAAGGCTAGTGGACTCGTGGGTTTCTCCAATTGATTGTTTGTTTTTTAGCTTATTGATTGCGTTCATAACTTTGTAGCGCTTTCCATAGGTGGTAATCCCAAGCTCTTTTAGTGAATCGATGGTTAAATCCAGCAGGATGTCACCAGTGATTTCCTGTTCTGGAATCGAAAAAAAAGGCAATCAGTGTCACTTGTCGCCTCTTTGAATTTATGAACAATAAAGACGGATTAGATTGTTTTACCTATAAAGAGATCAGCCACCATGCCTAGGCCAACCACGATAAGCCAGTTCGCAACCTGTTCCACATCCCAGTCTTCTAATTTTTCGTCAAAGGTTAGTGCTATTGATGATGATGCTGCTGGTACTGCTGGTACTGCTGGTGCTGCTGCTGGGATGGTTGGTAGTCGACCTGCAGATTCGTCTGGTAAACTCGGGCGTCGTATGTTGGAATTAGTTGGTGCTGAGCGGGAAGATACAAGGGCAGGTGGATAATTTTGTTCTATTGGGATTTTTGGGGTTGGTAGACTTGGTTCAAATAAGCCGTCCATATCAAATGCCGAACTTGTTTTGTTGCTCTGATTGCTTCCGGTGGATGTATGCCGAGACGAGCTAGATACTCCGGAATTACTTGAAGGAGCGTGTAGCGTTTTTGGTTTGTTTGGTGAGGTGTAGCTCATTGGAAAAAGTCCAACTTCACCATTCGGGTTACGGCCCTATAAAGAATAGTAAACAGTGTAAGCTTTACTTTATAAAAAAATTGAGGTTTTGTTGTTTTTGTCATTGTTCCTGCTGTAACTGTAATATTGACGTTGGTCATGGCCTTGGACATTGTATTATTTATGGCCAATAATAAATAAATAATAATTTTACCTGCCACCAGCCATCATGGTACTTTTCATCTCTCTCGAGAACTTGAATGGGTTCTCCGATTCCGAATGCAATTTCGTCTTCATTTTCGGCTTCAAAATTATGAACGGCATAGACGATCTCGTAGTTCGTCATACTCTTCTTATTTCAGTAACAAGTTCAATGGTTATAAGAAGTAATTGTGAGGTCAATTAGCGTCGTGATGCCCTGGAAGGGATCCGGTGGTAATTAGAGGTTTGGTTGTGTGAAGAAGGAGTCAAGCCACCAAGGAGCGGAAAGGAATGAGTAGAGTGAGGTTGACACGAGAAATAGAGGAATTTTGTCAAAGACGAAGGGCAAACTTAATAGGAATGAGAAGCAAACTACTGTGCATGGCGGAGTGTGGCATGTAGTTACACAGTTATGAGCACCTTTCCTTTTCTTCGCCTACTCCACCTGCAATACACCATACTCAACTTGTAAGATAAAGAACAATAACAGACTGATGATAATGACCTAGATACAAGGTACTTTGAGATCCTAAGAGTTCAGAAATCAGTATCTCTTGCCAAGGAAACGTAATTTAATGTCTGTAGTGTAATGGTGTGGATCAAACAAGATAGTTAAACGTATGACCAAACACTGATGTAGATGAAGCATCACCTTCGGTTTTATTTCTGGTTATAGAATAATTGTTACTTTCAGATTATAGATTGGTTAGTTATATTGGGCTTTTTTTAAGAGGAATATATAAGGGGATTCGATCTCTAAGTACCATGGATTTTTGTTTAAAAAAAATTACTACCAGAATTTTCTTTCTATGTCATAGAGTGTAATATGTATACAATATAATCTATACTATAATCTGTGCTACTCTCTAGTTTTGGTGCCGCCAAATACATTCATTAACCATGCTCTTTGTTTCATGTGACTAACAGCATAGAATACATTCCGGCCAACTCGCGCCACATTTCACATTAAAATTGACTGTACAAGCCACCACTTTTTGATCGTGATACTGCATATACAATCCCACCTTGCTTTTGCACATGAAATTCTTTAAGAAGGGTTTAGGGTAAGATGAGCTAAAGAGAAATCATATGTATAGATGTTATCCTTTAAGGTTGTACGCTCTTACTCGACCGAATACTAATCAATGTCTGACATTGTCAAACATAGTCTTTTTTTATTCTTCTTTTATAATTAAATGTGTACAGAGGTCTTGTAACTTTACCTTTATGCATTACAAAGAAAAGGCTTTTGTAACATTAAACTATCAGAATATGCAAAAAAAAAATCTGTGCGTTGTATTCAAGAACACTTTGTATATCAAAAAGGAGAGAAAGGGAAAAAGAGACTTTAGTCTGTACTCCATTACCCTTCCACAGGCTTATATTGTCGATCTTTAATTCATATCGAGCAAGGAAAGAAGAAGAATAAAGAAAAGGCTTGACAATAATATCTGGTTTAACTGGTGTAATTCACGCAAGATGAGTTTACTTTCCATTTACACTGTGATATTACGGGATAATCATTTTCCAATCGTCCCAAAAAAAAAAGTCAATTGGATTTAGCTCAACTGGGTGGGAACATACGGCTACAGGCTATTCGCTGTAATTTGCTTTGTGTTGCTTAGAAAGCATTACAGGAGTTCCAACGTTGCATTCTAACCAAGTTGTATTTCTTGAAATCCTAAAATGACATTAATGACCATTTTACACATGTTAAGCCTCTCTTTACTGCAGTAAGAAGAGAAAATGCATTTCTTCTTTCTATATTGATTTTCACACAATCCACAAAAATTGGGAGTAGGTCCGTAGTAAGAATTACCTTGCACAAACTATATAAAGTTGGAACAATAAGAACCAAATTCAATCGTCTCTCTCAAAAAATTCAGAATCCATTTCTCTTGTGCTATAAAAAAAAGCTTTGTATATCTTAACATGCATGATATGTTCAAGTGTATCAATTCATTACGATACTTGTTTACAAATCTATTAACAAGCATAGACTATATCTTTTCCTTTCGATTATTCTTTTCATTTCTTTTATTACATTGGTTTTACTCTACAATATATACAGTCAATGATATGTATTTATTTTGTCCTGTTATTTGAATATCAAGCGCACGGTCCACATGCCATTGTGGGGTCTATCTAGAGATAAAGCATACTAATGTTCTTTAATGTTCTTTTCTCCACAAGAATACCTTTTTATAAAGGATTGTGTCTATGGTACATTATATGATATAGTAACAAGACATTAAATCCCAATCCGACATGATAGACAAAATGTAATGAACATGTAACCATTGAATATTTGTAATATATCTTGTTGACCTTTGTCGTGTATTTAATTATCTATAGAGTTTTCACGGCTATTGGGTACTATAGTCAAAGCTTTAAAGTGAACCAGACGTGCTTACATTGTATGGTTGTCTGCATATGCAACCACGTGTTACTGTCATGATTACACACTACTTAGTAATGCAGTAGAGGACCCCCTTGATATAACAGCTCCCTTTAATAAACTAACCTATATCAGCAAATTCGGTGTACACGGGATACTGAATTAAACAGTTAAATAGTATAAAATCAGCTTGTTATTTCTATCAAATAATAAGAGTAATATTAAGTCAAAACAGAGAATATTGCCTGTGTATATTTTCCTTTTATCTTTTATTCTACTTTATTTTTTCTATGAAGAAAAAAACTATATATTAACATTATTTAGGGCTAATTAGATGGCGTGCTACTATTTATCATAAAGATGTGAATTGTTTAAACAGCCAATAACACGCTTCTTTTTCTTTTATGTCTAGGGGACGATAGAAAGGTATGCTCAGTAACGTTTTTATTGGTAGTAATATTATTAGTATTAGTATTAGTATTAGTATTAGTAGTAACAGAACAAATACTTTATGTTATTTAATACTTGCGAAAGTCTCATGGTAAAGGTAGGCCGTATTATTTATAAAATAGAAATAATACGATTATTTTATTTTATTTTATTTTATTTTATTTTATTTTATTTTATTTTATTTTATTTTATTTTTACAACAATATGGCTTATTTGGATTTAAATACCAAAGTCTTGGGTGCTGAGCGCACATGAACGCTAGAGTAGATTTTGAATGATAGAAAGAAATTGAAGTATTTTTGATTTTGTAATTCACAAAATTGTCAGAATTACAAGTATTATACTTTTCTGTTATTTACAATAATTTGTGTTATTCTAATATCCTAAATAGAGAATCTAACTTTCTTTTTAGGAGAAATCTGCGTACCTTTGAAAATTTAACTCACAAAAAAGGGCATTTTGAGGGTGAGTATTGGAATTCTTTCTTTTTTCCCTTTTTATTTATTTTTCATTTCTGATAATTTTGATAAGTTCATCCAAAAATGTAAAAATATAGTAAAACATATTTGTAAGACGCACAATTCGAGAAAATAGGGCGCATTTTTGGGATAATTTTTTAAAAGCTTTTTTTTATATATTTAAACAAGTTGAGCATACATTATATATATATAATATTGCAAAAACGTTTAATGAGTTAATAACCTAAGAATACTTTTCTGTACTGTTTATTTGAAAAAGAAGATTCATTCATAAAGGTTAGTAACTCTTTAAAAATACGCCTTGTATTATTGAATTGAGCGCCTTACAGATCTCTTATTGCCACCAAGAGAGCAATATATCAGTAGCTTGGAATTTTAATTGAAGGTAGATCATCATTATAATTCATCAGAATACGAAATGCTGTCCTTCAACCTTTCTTTTCAAAGCTTGTGACAGAAACATGAAACGTAAACATAAAGATGACTCATCTGAGAATTCAGCAAAAGAAAAAAGGTTTTAAAGAGTAAGTAGCGAACGTATACATTGCTGATGAAAAGAAGCATACGTTATTTTCTGGAAATCCTCGCCTGCAAGTCCTCTGAATTTTATTGTCGTGGGTTAATGGTGAACCAAGAATAAAATCGCTTGCCTAGTATATTTACAGCCAAAAACTAAAGAAAAAATTATCATGGCCGTCATCTATTGGAAAGACAGATGCTCTCAAGGTAATCAAAGAATTTCCTTTTACCACGTCGTTGAACAGAAAGCAATTCAATTCTTTACGAGAACAAGTCCTTATATCTATTAACAGTGATCAAACCCTAATATTTGAAAGGAATCTGCAAAAGATTCAACCGCATAAGACGACAGCTTTAAACTTTGTCAGTACCATTAGATCAAGGATAAAAGATAGTACTTTTTGCCGTTTCAAGTATATCGATAAACGTGGATATCGCTTTATTTTATATTCTACCTATTTATTCGTTTTAAATAAAATCGGTTCAAATCGACGCTCAAGCATTTTGGAGACTAGCGAAAGAATCTGGAATTGAAGACTATCCTAAAGGCTCCAAGAACGAGGAAATTTCTAATTTTTATTACAAGCTTTTCGGTTTCCCCATAATTGGTTTTCGAGCCAGAGAGAGTCTTTCTAATGACAAAAAAGCATTCAAGTAAACCATTAACAATGACTTTTAATAGTATTTCAACATTAAACGATTAATATTAGGAACGTTGTATATTCTGATGGCTATTCAATATCATTTCTATTCTCAAGACCCACAAAGAAAAGCAATTCCAATGCCTCCCAAAAAAAAAACCTGTCGGATTTTCGGAATGAAATCAAAGATGAATGTCAAGTCTGGGGCTTGGACCATGGGACAGTAGTATTGCAGTGCAAGGAAAGCGTTTTCAAGGTTATTTGGAATTAGGATGTGATGGCTGCAAAGAACAATGGCGCTTGCTTGTCCCCGTTCCAGCGTCCTCCGGCGTCAGAACAATTACAATGAGTGTGTGTTATTGATATAACTCTTTAACACACCCTTACAGGTAGATTTAGCGATCATTTAATAGATTCATTCCATTTCTCTGATTTCAATTTTTATTTTTATTTTATCTAAAATAGGTAAGCAAACTTTTTAAACTACTACTGTAATTCGTCCAAAAAAAATTAACATCATCTAACCTAATTGTGCGCCTTGTATAGTGTGTTTTACTGTAAGAAATCTTTACGGAATCGCACGAACCAATGGGAAGTGTACCTGACAAATTGTCTCAAACAAATGAAGAAGAAAAAGGCAAAAATAACAAATAACAACAACAACAACAACAACAACAACAAAATTATCATAATTCTTAAGATTACTAATAAATCTTATTATTACTGTTATTACTGCTATTATTATATTATTATTGTTATTATTGTTTTTGGTAAAATATGTATTTAGAAATTATATTCAAAATAAGCATTTGAGATACATTATTCACAAGAAAAAGAAAAGAAACGAAAAGAAAGTGAAATATCAATAAACTACTTCTTTAGATATTAATGTAAAGAAGTGTGTAGATTAAATAATTGAATAATTAAATAAAATAAAAAAGTAAGAAAATAAAATAAAAATAAAAATAAAAATAAAATTGTGTTGACCTTTACGCTAGCTTGATATACATTTGTGGTTCCTGACCCAGGATGGTGGATCAGTGTAGCCATTAGGAGAGCGGCTGTAGCTAGTCATGTGATCTTTACCCGACTTTGCTCACGCGCCATTCTTCTCGTTTCTCTCTCTCTCTCTCTCTCTCTCTCTCTCTCTCTCTCTTCCCTTTGCTTTTCTTCTCCTTCTTATCAGACTAGTCGTCCATTCTTCCGAGAATCCCATGAAGACCCCTGTAAGGACAGTTCGGTGGATCGAAGGCGACAATTCAACACAAAATACCGAAACTCAGAGCAATTCCCAAATCCCCTCTGGAAGAGATCCCTTGCAATCTTACCTTTCAGTCCACAATCATCCATCAGCTCCAATCACTCCAGAGATGACAGTCGACGATGACTTGGAAGCCGACGAAAATGAAAATGAAAAACGGTCTAACCCAGCTTGGCCATTTGTATTTCCCCACAATTTTGCATTGACCCCACCCACTGTATCTTTAGATTCTCGTCTAGATGACGATGAAGGTGCTGAAGACAGTGATTATGATTACGACGACGAAGACGAAGACGAAGACGAAAATGCATTCAACCAACTCTACGCCCGCAATAAGTCTCTTTCCACTGCTCCACCCGAGATTGTTCATGAGCGTTTAGAATGGCAACAAATGCTTCAATCTGTCTTGATGGGCGAAGTTATAAAATCTGAAAAGAAAAGACTCTTGAGCACAGACCAATTCCAACTCCAGAAACCAATCGAAGAAATATGGCTCTCCTTGAGAGCTCTTTTACGTAACCGTGGAATCAACGAAGAACAGAAATATTTACAGGAGAGCAGAAAAGAGATTGACAGTGTGATCGATAGGGTAAACAAGTTTAAGGTTGATGACACAAGTGACCAATCGCCACTAGTCCAAGTAGCAGAAACTCTTAAAAGCGTCGATCGTATGGAGTCTTTATACGCTACCCGAGCCGACACAATGGCAGCACATCCCAAATATGGAGAACCAGCTTTTCAAGTAAGGCTCGATGCTCTAAATGCCTGGTATACCATTACCCGTAGTCTTCAGATGCAACTCAAGATCCTCAGGGACTGGACAGGCTCAGAAGACCTTCAGATCGCAAGAAAACAAGTTGATCTCGACGACACATCTCCAATGTCTTCCTTCCTTCATGTCAGACGTCACAATGATCCATCTTTTCTTGAGCGTATCTTAAAGGAGTCTGCTCTTCAAGACACTTTTGACAAACGTACCTTATCTGCCCTTAATTGTCTTTTGTTGAAATCAAAACAAACAATGGTAGAGAATAGCAGTCTTTTCCAGGAAATGAACATGCCGCCATTTATTGCCCAGTTACGTCAACTTGCCCATTTTCCTATTTCGCTCGTAGAAGAAGCCCTCAAACTACGCCTGGAATACAAAGACCGTCTCAGCGAAACTCCAAGTCAAATGGTAGATGCGATGATGGAAGATTATCGTGGACTACTCGCACTCGCATGTCGAGTCAAGCGCCAACATGAGGAACTTATATCTCCTGCTCCAGGGTGGGAGTTTAAGGACTCTGAGTGTCTTGATTTAGCATATAACAATGTTCTTATGGAATCGCTTCGATTCTACTTCAAACTTATTGCCTGGAAACTCGACATTGAAAAGGAAAATAGTCTGAGGATTTGTGAAGTTATGGAGAAGGAATGGGAGTTTCTTTTGAGTACGATTTGCTGTGTCGTTAATGAAGCCTTTGATGAGTGCGCTGAACATTTCTGGTAAGTATTCAATTACAAAAAAAACGTGTGTTTCATGTCTCAGTCATGAGAAAGAATCTTATTTTCAATAGCCATTTGACAGAACGTCAGTTGGCTGATGTGATGGAGGACTACATCACAAGCCTTGAGGCTCCACTCGAAACTCTCGATAATGGCGTCGAATCTGGCTACACAAAAATTCTGCACACTATGCGTATGCGTGCTAGAAAACTCCTCCAGTTTTCAAAGCAAGTATCTAAAAAAAATTAATGGTGTGGATAATCAAATAGATGGCTTGTTCTGACTGTTTTTATAGATTTTTTATGAGCCAGTTCGAGAATTCTGCAGAGTACTTGGTCGAGACTGAGAGCTCTGATGATTTTTCTCATTGTCTTGTAAGCACTGGGCATTTCCTTGCTTATACAGGCACTTTTGAGGAAGATCGAGTATATGTAATTGCTTCTCCATCCCTTTATGGCCGCGAGCACCAGATTCAACCCATTTTACATTCTCAGTTTTCCCACGAAAAAAGTCCTTTAGGAACCCCAGGACCCGGGATGAATAAGTTAACAGAAGAGTTTGGAGATTACATAATTCTCTTGTCCCCTTGGCAAAATATCATTTGGACTGGAGAGATCGTCAATGTCCCTATCCCATCTATTCCGGTTGGTCTCAAAGCACGTCGTGCACGGTTGATTACAGGAGATGCCAGATTCTTAAGTATTGCCAAGACATCCTTTGGAGAAGCTGTCAAGACCTCTGGAGTCCAGGTTATTCATGAACAGCGAGCACATCTTCCAAAACTCAATAGACAGTTGGCCAAAATCAAGTCAACCGTATTTAAACTTGCTCAAGTTACTATTTCGAGCGTGTGCACCATCAGACAAAAAACTCTATCATTTGGATGTCAAGAATTAATTGAAGAGTGTTTTAGCTTTGCAAGTGATTTTGGCGTCCGAAGTGCAAAGTTTCTTGACATGTCAGCTCGCCTTCAGCTGGATCTCAAACTAGTTCAGTTAGCTAACAGCTGGATTTGCTTTATTACTGACGACTGTATACCGACAGACCGTAAAACTTTCAGATGGGCTGTGGCTGCTCTTGAGTTTGGTCATTTTATGACTCGTGGTGCAAGCATTCTGTCTCTGAATGAAAATGAATTCGCTACTCTTCAAAGCAAGGTTGCGCACTGCATTGCACTACTTATATCCCACTTTGATGTACTTGGCACTAGATGGACACATGAACTCAAAGAAGAACAGCAAAGGAAACGAGGTGCAGCTACGAAACGGACATCGTATAGTATCAATAAACGAACAGATAGTAAAGAATCTATCATGACAAGCTCAACATTTGGATCTGCTGCCGACAACACAATGCTAGCCAACAGTGTTATTTATATCAGAGATGCGTGGATGCAAAAGATCATTGATATTGAAACAAAGCGAACAGAGAATGAGCAGGAATGCAAACTTGTTGGTAAAGTCTTGGACGACCAAAAGCCTGAAGACCAGTCCCTTGTCTTTCTTGCACCATCATCCTCCAATCTCTCTTTCAGGTGGCAGCAAGGACGGTTTATCGGCGCAGGCACCTTTGGATCAGTTTATCTTGCGATTAATCTCGATACATCCAGTGTAATGGCTGTTAAAGAGATCAGGTTCCCTGACTCTAGTTCACTTTCGGCACTCCACAAGGCAATTAAAGAAGAAATGAAGGTGATGGAAATGCTAAACCATCGAAATATTGTACAATATTATGGAATGGTAAGCTGTTTGTTATCTAAAATGTGATACAGGTACTAATATTCAAATAGGAAGTACATCGTGATAGAGTTTTCATATTTATGGAATATTGTGAGAACGGAAGTTTAGGCACTCTTCTAGAAAATGGTGGTCGTATCGAAGATGAGCTATATATTGTCAGTTATGCCCACCAGCTGCTTAGTGGACTGGCATATTTGCATGGAAACAATGTAGTCCATCGTGATATAAAGCCTGATAGTAAGTCTGGTGTTACAATAAGAGAATATGAATTATGTGAACTCACGGATTTTTTACTATTAGATATTCTTATAGATTACCAAGGCCAATTAAAGCTGACTGATTTTGGTGCTTCCAAGATTCTTGCCCAAGGACAAAAGACAATGGGAAAGACTACAGTAAACATGAATGCGAATAGTTTAGCTGGTACTCCTATGTACATGGTAAGAAATCATGTACACCCATCCCGCTTCTATATTAAATATGGCTTTCATTCACTAATTTTTTTATTTTTATGTTTTTTTTTTAAAAAAAAAGGCACCCGAGGTTATTACAGGTGGTGATACTGGTCGTAAAGGATCTATGGATATTTGGTCTCTTGGATGCTGTATCGTACAAATGGCAACTGGCCGACGCCCTTGGAGCACATTAGAAAACGAATGGTCTGTCATGTATCATGTCGTTACTGGTCATCCGCCTTTGCCGGATGTATCCCAATTATCTACCCTTGGTATTGATTTTCTGAAAAAGTGTTTTACTCGTAACCCAAATAAGCGCCCTTCTGCTGACGAGCTACTCTCTCACCCATGGATTGTTGAATATCTCGACACAAATAATGGAGAAGACCAGCAACTTCCGGAAGACGAATACGTAGACAACATAGGCACTGGACATTCAATGCACAACTCTGTGGATGTCTTTGAACGCCAGATGAGCGATAATGGACTACAGCGCTCCATTAAATCAATACACACATTCTCTGAGCCTGTCCTTGTCAGAAGTATCCTTAACACATTTTCAGGGGACCTCATCAGTGGTACTGAGATGACTACAGAAGAGGCACAGTCCTACTTTAGAACCCTTGCAGATGTATCCGAAGTTAGCGAAGACCCGATCATTAGCTCAAATCGTTCTGTTGATTCATTCCCTCGATCCTTACCGCGCTCCATCAGTAGCACTGGGATTACTGCAGAAGACACGCAATCTTACTTTAGGAAACTTACAGATGTATCCGAAACTAGTGAAGAACCAATTATTAGCTCTAATCGTTCTGTTGATTCATTCCCTCGCTCCTTACCACGCTCCATCAATAGCACGGGAATTACTGCAGAAGACACACAATCATACTTTAGGGAATTTGCAGATGTATCCGAAGCTAGTGCAGAACCGATTATTAGCTCAAATCGTTCTGTCGACTCATTCCCTGGATCCTTACCACGCTCCGTCGGTGGTAGTTTAAGAAGTCTAGGCGATGAAGATGATATCTTCAACAGACCTCTTTCCCCGACGTGATAAATCAAGAAAAAAAATCAAGGCCAAAAAAAAGATATCGAGAAAAAAAAACAAGAAACCTCATAAGCGTCAAGACTTATGTACTTTTCTTTACCTGTACAGCGGACACTTTGCCATCGAATATTACTCAATCTCGGCATCATATATTATTTTCTTGTCCTCAACACATACTTGAGCTGTTTCGTCCTTTTGATATTATTGCATTCTCCTAACCCAATATTGTACTCTCTATCTCTCTCTCTGTTTCTCTCCCTCTGTTTCTCTCTCTGTTTCTCTCGTGCCATACTTTCTACTATCTTTTAATGTACTGTAAATGAACATTTATAACATTTCAATTTAGTTTTATACAACAGTAATAATATATATTTGTATTGACCCAAGAGTAAATAAATTAACTGTCTACAGAATATTTACAACACCAAGAATGAACATCATATATATATAAGATCATTTCCATCTGTTACTTTGATATTTACTTTGCTTTACGTTTATTTTATATATATATATATATATAGGAGAGACATTAACTTCTGAAAGTTATTCTTCTTTTGCTCCTTATATGAAAAAGTTATACACTTATGACTGTAATGCCCTTTAGTTTTTTTTTAAAATTTAGACAACCTTTATTCTCTAGAAAAAGCCAATACACTACCTTGTGGTCTGTTTTAAACCTAAAGACGAACAATGCACTTGGCCACATCTCTCGTAGCATACGAATCTGAGGCTTACAGGTAGACTATTCCTTTAGAGAACCATGTATTTAATTCCCTGCTCTCAACGCATTAACAATCACACTAAAGAAGGTTAGCCTTAACCTTTTGTTAACCGCATAAATTATTAACATATTGAACCTGCCTCCGCGGTTCTTCACTAAGAGCATCTTTAGTAGTATCTTTTAAATTCCGTTTTTTCCTTAATTAAAGGCTATTAGAAAAATCATCTTCAGCAGTAGCATTTCTAACAGCAGGTATCTTATTGCCCCATTATTTTTATGACCTTAAGTATGGAGACACATGCTCAATTCTAAAACAATGATTTTGCGTTTTAATTGTTTTTTTTAAATCGAATAATATTATATAACAACGCTTAGAAAAACCTCCGAAAATTATAATACTACAAAGTTGATTATCTTTAAAGCATTTAGCTCGTATTTTTTTATATTATAGATTAGTGGCAAAGGTAAATGTCTAATAAAATGGTCCTAGAAATAAAAAGATGAATAAAATTACTAGTGAAAAAGACTATATTTGATCGTGTAATATTCAAATGTTCATTTTTTAATGTACCTGAGATTTGACCCTCCATTTTTGGACCGTGTTCAAGCGTTTGTGTGGCTTGTCAACGTTTAATATATTGAAATGGGAGATGCCTCTGTTGTGGATGGTCTAATGCCATTTACGGAAAGTAAAAGCCGTCACTGCTCCCATAGATCTTCCATAGTACTAAATTCAAACTCGCCGTAGGAGGAAATAAGGAGATGTCTTATTCAAACTCTTCGTAGGAGAAAATAAAGATACTTATTTATTAGGAAGAATGCTGGCTTTATTGAGATGTATTTCGTAGTGGCAATATATGGTAGAGTCCAAAAAGGCTTATGTCATATCATTCTATCAGTGACCCTCGTCACAGTACAACATGATAAATTTCAGAAGTTCCATCTATTTCAATCTTCTATTTTATTGGTCGTAATGTTATAGAGTACCAAGACTTTGCACTACCCGGTTGTTGGATTTATCTTACTCTATTAATTAATTTGCTCAAGAAAATATGATGTGTGAGAATGTTCCGCTTGAATATTTACACGACTTTGATAATAATCTTGTTTGAATTTGGGCAAATCCAGTCTTTGTATTTTAAAGGAAAAAATTATGAATATATAAATCTATAGTATTAACATCTATATTTTTATGTTGGCTTTGATCACTCTAAACCAAGCCGGCTTGGAATTATTGTTTTTGGGTTTCTTGCTTTTTTTGGTCGAAATGTGATGGGGATATGTAGTTTTGGTGTGTCCTCTTTACTGGGAGTTGGAAGAGTTGGAAGAGTTGGCATCGTTAGAGGCGTTGTTCTGGTCGTTCTGGGCAGCACGGTTCTTGTAGACCAACTCGAACAACTTGAGGGAGCTGCTCTGGAGCTCATCGATCTTGGCCTTAAGCTCCTCGGGCTTGACAGACTCGTCACCAGACTGGGCCTTCATGGCCTCAACACGGAGAGAGACGATCTTCTCCTTGAGCTTCTCGGCTTCAGACTTGTCGAGCTGCTCCTTGAAGTCATCCATGGCCTTCTCGGTCTCGGTCATGACAGAGTCAGCACGGTTGGCCATCTCAATGGTCTCACGACGAGCACGATCACTCTCAGCATTGGCCTCAGCCTGGCTGATCATGTTCTCGATCTCATCACTGCTCAAACCGGAAGAGGCGGCAATGGTCACTAGAAAAAAAGTAAAAATATTAATTTCCAATTCTTTAAAACAAAGACTTCGCCAAACTTTCTTTCTACCAAATACTGCCCCAGGCGCAAACGTACACACCCACCCACATGCACGAAATATATCTAACACATTTCACTATACTTACTGGACTGATCACGGTTGGTGGCCTTGTCCTTGGCACTGACGTTGACAATACCATCAGCATCAATGTCGAACTCGACCTGAATCTGGGGGACACCCTTGGGAGCAGGGGGGACACCAGTCTATTAAGAAAGAGAGAGAGAGAGAATACAGCAATTGAGACTTATGCAAATATAACACAGCTTTTACTTTATCGCCAAACTTACGAGGTTAAAGTCACCCAACAGCTTGTTGTCACGGCACAACTCACGCTCACCCTGGAAGACGCGGACAGAGACCTGAGTCTGACCATCAGCGGCAGTAGAGAAGACCTGGGCCTTCTTGGTGGGGATGGTAGTGTTACGGTTGATGAGACGGGTGAAGACACCACCAAGGGTCTCGATACCGAGGGAGAGGGGAGTGACATCCAAAAGGAGGATATCGGTGACGGAACCAGCCAAGACACCACCCTGGATAGCAGCACCCATGGCAACGGCCTCGTCGGGGTTGACAGACTTGCTGGGCTCACGGCCAAAGACGCCCTTGACGGTCTCGATGACCTTGGGCATACGGCTCATACCACCAACAAGAATAACATCGCCAATATCCTTGGTGGTCACACCAGCATCCTTAATAGCCTTCTCGCAGGGGGAGATGGTACGGTGGACGAGATCGCCAACAATGGTCTCGAACTTGGCACGAGTCAACTTGGTGTTGATGTGCTTGGGGCCAGAGGCATCGGCGGTGATGTAAGGAAGGTTGATGTCAGTTTGGACAGTAGAAGACAACTCAATCTTGGCCTTCTCGCAAGCTTCACGGACACGCTGAATGGCCATGCGGTCATTGGAGAGATCAAGACCGGACTCCTTCTTGAAGTCTTCGAGGACCCAGCGGACGAGGTGGGAGTCAAAGTCCTCACCACCGAGAGCAGTGTCACCGTTGGTAGACTTGACCTCAAACACACCATTCTGGATTTCGAGAACAGAGATATCAAAGGTTCCACCTCCGAGATCGTAGACAGCAATGGTTCTGTCCTCGGACTTGTCCAAACCGTAGGCAAGGGCAGCGGCAGTAGGCTCGTTGATGACACGGAGGACATCAAGACCAGCAATCTTACCAGCATCCTTGGTGGCTTGACGCTGGGAATCGTTGAAGTAAGCGGGAACGGTAACAACTGCGTGGTTGGCCTTCTTGCCCAAGAAACCTTCGGCGGTCTCCTTCATCTTGCCCAACACAAAGGCACCAATCTGGGAAGGAGAGTACTTCTTACCCTGAGCCTCAACCCAGGCATCACCGTTGGTGTGGGGGATGATCTTGTAGGACACAGCCTTCAAGTCAGCCTGGACGGTAGAATCCTTGAACTGACGACCGATCAAACGCTTGGTGGCGTAGACAGTGTTCTGGGAATTGACGACAGCCTGGTGATAGAAATATTTTGCGTCAAATTGTATTGCCCTGACCCTTTAATTTTTTTTTGTATTTCTTACCTGACGCTTAGCGGCCTGACCAACCAACAATTCACCGTCCTTGGTGAAGGCAACGATGGATGGGGTAGTACGAGCACCCTCGGCGTTCTCGATAACGCGGGGGTTCTTGCCCTCCATGACGGAAACGCAGGAGTTGGTGGTTCCCAAGTCAATACCAATAACAGGTCCGTTAATCTTGGAGCTGTAAGGGCGAGCCAAAGTGGCTACAACGCCAGACTAGTGTGTGTAAGATTTATGTGTAAGATTTATGTGTGTTGTATGTGATGTGTGCGATGTGTTGATGACTTACGTTGCGAGCAAGCGAGGGGATAGCACGCGAGCGGGAGAGCTGAGCCAAATTGTACATGGTGTAAGAGGAAGAGGTGAAGCAAAGAAACTTGACAAGACAAGTATTAAATTGCCGGGGTAGCCCGCCTAACGGGAACGTCTGAGTATTCATTGAATCAGCGCGCCGTCGAAAAATTTTCCGTTCAAACGGCTGAGTCATAGACAAAAACCAACTCTGTCCATTCAATCGTCATTGCCTCTTTTTTTTGTCTGGCTTCAAAACCCTCCATTTGTTTCCCACAACTGTAACAATAAAAATAAAAAAGGCTGTAGGTAATTTTATGAATTGAACAAAACAATATGTAAAATGAAGTATAGAAAAAAAATAGTATAAGTGATTTTAATTTAGATAAGATCAGCAAACTTCTTGACCAATTTCTGAAGGTCAACAGCTCTCAGGGCACTGGTCTCCAGAACTTCTTCATGGTTAGCCTTATAGCCCTCAATGTCAATCTCGGTATCCTCCTCGGTAGACAATCCCAACTCGACTAGAACCTCCTTCTTAGCATCCTTTCCGCGTGCAACTACCACAGCGTTGGTAACCAAACTGATACCGAGAACCTTTATACCACAGTGGCGGGCAACGATGGCTTCGGGCACAGTCGACATACCTACCACATCAGCACCAATTGAAGCCAAGTAACGGGCCTCGACACGGGTCTCATAACTAGGACCAGCCACGAATGCATAGACACCTTCACGGATATCATCTTGCTTGATGCCAATCTCGAGGGCAGCCTTGAAGGCAATCTTACGGAGATTGTAGGTATAGGTGTCCGAAACAGGGGGGAAACGAGGACCAAAGGAATCAAAGTTATGCCCGATCAAAGGGTTGTTTCCGGCCAGACCAGGCAAGGACAGATGGTCATTGAGGATCATAAGATCACCAACCTTGTGTTCAGGGTTGAGGGATCCGCAAGCATTGGTCACAACTAAGGTCTCTACACCCAACAGCTTCATCACGCGCACGGGTAAGGTGCACTGCTGAAGATTGTGTCCCTCGTAAAAGTGGAATCGACCACACATGAATACGGTTGGTTTACGGGACTCTCCCAGGTGTCCAAATACCAATTTACCCGCATGACCCACAACTACCAACAAAAAGAACAGAGACGAAAACCTGTGTCTTAGCTGCAAGATTCCTTATCTCGAGGATTTAATCACTATAATTACCAGTGCTAGAGACAAAGCCGGGAATTGTCTCATATGGGAACTCAACCTTGGTTGATTGGTCAATTGTGTCAACCAAACCGCCGAGTCCGGAACCACAAATGATACCAAATTTAACGGTCTGAAACTCTTTGGGAACCAAATTCTTCAGGTAATTGGCACTGGTTTCATAGGTTTCTTGGGTGATGGTCATTGTGAGGAATGGAGATGGGTAGAGTAAAGAGACGAGAAAGAAAGAAAAAACAAGGTTTGTGGGTAAGAAGAAAGAGACGCGTTGACCCTTTTTGTGGTTTTGTGCTGTAACTCCCTATTTTATTTTGCTATATAAATAAAAAAATAGCTCCTGCGGAGCCATCAAAGGAGTGTCATTTGTACCTGTATATATGCGAGTATATGTGTGTGTGTGTTGCGTGTGACTTTTTGTGGCTGTCCAATGGCATGTCTATCATTAACAGGACAAGCGTTTATGGTCCTACAAATCAAGGTATCTGCATTCGACTGTCCTACTGATTATACATTACCACAGAATGTTAAGATAGCAGCTAGTCTGGGATAGCCCTCAAATATACCCACCGTGGACTTTTACTACTTTGAACATTAAGCACAATGTTAACCGCTAGAAAATACTAATTGCACTGAACTAAACATCAAAATAAAAGGTAAAAATAAAAGGCATGAAAGTTTTAATGTTTAATAAAAAAAAAGTATATTTTACTAGGTATTGTAATATGGCTTTCAAGGTTCCTAAAGATACGGCCAAAATATATATGCTTTTACACAAAAATAAGGTGTAGATTAATCAAAACAGCTGGATACATATTGTAGTGGCACAAACTTAGTAGCAGACATGGGTGCACTTTATTTTATTCTTATTCTTACTCTTTCTCTCTCTCTCTTCCTTCTTTATCACACATGTCTTTCTTATCAAATCACAATAAACAGCGATCCTAGGGAGACGACATTTTCAGGATGGGAGACGACGTTTTGACTTTACCGGACTAATTGATTGTGACTATCTGTCCGGGGCCCGATGTCTTCTCTCCAATCCTTCAGGGCAAAACGGTGTGTCCTGAAATTCTTAATTCAATATTTGATTATAAAACCTTCTTTTCTATTATTTACTCATCTCGTAAGAACTTACTAATCAAATGTATTAGAGAATAATGTTTTTCTCGGAGATATCAAAGACATTACTTTGCTCATTGCAGATTAGCAATTAGAAATCATGATGTTAATAAGTACTTTCTAGAATTTACTTCAATATGAACCCTATCAATAAAGAAATCCGTTTTTTTAATGGAAAAGAACATTTTCCTGTCCAACAACCTCTCCCCATCCCACCAGTTAATGGTTATAATGACGTGCAGCTGGCAATTGCAAAGATGCAAGAATATGCCCTCGCCAACAACTTCGCACTTGTCATCAAAGATGGTAAACCAACTCGAGTTTACTTGAAGTGTTCTAAGGGTGGTCACTATAAAAACACCCGAAAGATTGACGACAACGACCGTAAGAAAATTCCTTCTAGTGGAATGATTGGGTGCCCGTATCTCCTTAAGGTATCCTACAAGAAGGCAGCCAAAGGATATTTTCTCTTGAAGGCCACTCATGAGATCGAAGCCTTCCACAACCATCCCCTTGACGATGAATGTATGGAGTCTATTTTGAAGGGCAGACTCTCAAGAGTTACAACAGAAGATTCTATCATGATAACAAAGCTTATCGAGACAAATACCAAGACTCGTGAGATTCAAAAAGCAATCAATGACGAAGCATACCCTGGCCATAAGTTGTACGTTAAAGACATTGATAACATGAAGGCAGCATATGCTCGTGTTTCTGCTCCTACTCTTCAGGATGATGGAACAAAGCTCATCAAAGCTATGGAGTCGAAGGGTTACCAAGTTCGCTATGAGACTAATAAGAGTGGGTGCCTCGAGAGAATCCTGTTTAGTCACCCCAAAATTTTGGAAAGAGCCCAGAAACTCTCCGAAGTTATGGTGGTGGATGCAACATACTCGACAAACAACTTGGGAATGCCTCTTATTTGCATCGAGGGTGTTCACAACCTTGGAGGGGAAACCTTAAAATCTTTTCCAATTGCATTTGCCTGGGTCTCCAATGAGCAAACCGGTTCTTACGTTTGGTTTTTGGAACAAATCAAGGCACTTGTTTTTGAGAACAAGCAATCAACCACTCTGTTTGTAACAGACAAGTGTTCTGCTTTAATGAATGCACTTGACACTGTTTTCCCAGAAAACAAGAAGCTTTTGTGCTACTGGCATATGCTGAACAGTTTGGAGAAAGCTTTCTCTGGGAAAACGAAGTCCGTAGCCGAGAAAGAAGAGCTTATGGATCATGTAAGCCGCATGATCCATAGTAGAACTAAGGTGGAGTTCAACTTGGCTCTCCTAAAGTTTAACGACGCTTGTGCTGGGCTAGAAGTAGATGATGGCAAGGCCAGAGCACCGGCATCAACCTACTTCTCCGAAAGGTGGTTGAATTGCAAAGATAAGTGGGCAGGGTATATCACTAGCAAGCTTATGCATTTCGGGTGTACCACCACTCAGCGAGTAGAAAGTGCTCATCAAGCTTTTAAGAGAGGCATCTCTGCTATTTCTTCTCTGGGGTTGGCCTTTGAGAGTGTGGCCAAATACATTGAAAGGCTAGAGATGGATTTCCGAGCAACAAGGATAAGAGAAACGAACACGATCGATGTTCTTGTTGGACGAAACCAATGTCTCTCAAACCTCTTCATGAAGGTGTCAAAGCGAGCGTTGCTTGTACTTGACCAGGAGCTCCGTTTACCAGAAGATGATGAGAAGTGCTATTGCATGAACAAAGTCCAATATGGCCTACCTTGTCACCATACCCTACCAGTAGAAAGGGATCTTAAAATCTCTGATCTACCAGATAGATGGGTTATTGATGCTAGAAAGGAAGACAAGGCATGGAATCAGTCAAATATGCAAGTTCCTGTCATCGAAAAACCCGAGGAGTGGATGAGTGAAATCATTAAGCTTGAAGCTTTATTCCGCTCTTGCGAAGGCAGCCAGCAAGTTGCTGATCTTTTAAAAAAAGTGAAAAAAGCTGTAAATGACTTTGATGGCAAAAATGGTCATTCTCCTATCAAACTGCAAGCGCCAGAGAACGTCAAGTATCCAGGAAGACGCAAAGGCAGCAGACGTCCTAAATACTTGCCAAAGGACTTTGGTCGCCCAATGTGGAGAAAGACAAGTATCTTGGCTGGAACTGTAAGTTTCGTGATTTACTTATATTAAACATAGGACAAAACTAATTATCTTAATGGAATTATAGGCCGGGATTAAGGCAATGTACCGACGAAAGGTTACAAAGATGGTTGAAAAGAGTTTATCTGGCCTTAAGGTCACAAGAAAACAAAACAAAAATATTAAAAAAATCAAAAAAGAGCCTCTCGACTCAGGTAAGATGCGTTTTTAATTTAAAATTTAATTGAGTTTATGAGAAGAACTCTTGTCTTATATATACACAACTTTCTTAGTCAATGCTACCAAAAACAAAACAAAACAAATTGAAAAGGAGCCTCTCGACCCAGGTAAAATGCGCTATTATTTTACAATGTGATTGAATTCATTAAAAGTAATCTAATACTAATACTAATATTCGTTTTAGTCGATGCCACCAAAAACAAAACAAAACAAGTAAAACAATAGCCTCTCGACCTAGGTAATATTCTTTCTTATTTTACAGTGTAATTGAATCCATAAAGAGAAATATCGTCTTATACTTATATACTTTTTAGTCGATGCCCCCCAAAAAAATGGGTTCAAAAGACCCGCCACCGCCTTAGAAGATTACCAGTATGATAATCGCACCTCTGTTGGCAAGAGGGTCAAATTCCAGCCCGGTTTTCCTGTCTCTCATGAGATAATCGATGATGTCAAGGGTGGGTTTAGCCCTACTGCTGACGGATGGTGTGGTTTTCGAGTCCTTGCCCACTTGATCTACAAAGATCAAAATAAGTTTCCACTTGTAAAAAGGGATATGCTAGCCGCCCTGCCGAAATACAAAACATTGTACGCAAATACTTTTGGCACTGACACAAGCCAACTAGAAAAAATTATTCAACATGGTTCTCAACTCGATTATAGCAACACCAGCAACACCAACACCAACACCAACACCAACTTCATCCCAGTATGTTCAGATGCCAGTATGTGGTTTAACACACCCGACTGTGCTCAACTAGCTGCGGACACATATACACGACCAGTCTGCGTCTGCTCAGACAGCCCCAACACCCCCTCAACAACCTTTCTTCCATTCGCCCTTCCCAACAACAAAACCAAACAACGACAACCTCTGATTTTTAATCATGTTAACAGTAATCACTGGACAACAGTTGACCTTTCCCATAATATCTCTAGAAAATTGCCAACCGTTCCCGAATTATTTTTTTTAGGTTATGCCAGGAATAAGATTGATGATAACTTTGATACTTACTGGAATAAGCTCAAAGAATTTAATAAGCATGACCGCAGAAATGCTATGCTCTCTCTCCATTCACAGCGAGATGAACCAATTGATCTTACTCCAAAATAATTTCTTTTCAATATTCTTTTCTATTTTTTTACTCTTTTAATTATACTTTATTACCTATATTTTATTAGCTAGACAATCTTTTTTAAATCTTTATAAATCTTATCAATTTGTTTCTTTGCGTCAACATAAGCTATCTATCACTTGTGGGTTAAATGACTCTCCGCTCTGTTTTTTCCTAGAGATCATTCGTGGGAAGTACTTTACCCTTCAAGTTACACTTATATCCAGCGAATTAAAAAGCATAAATGTCGGATGGTGTTACACAGATCGAGCCAAACTATCTTCAAATATGTTATATTATGCATTTACATCTATCTATTTCATCAATTCAAGCGCTGGCTCTCTATAACTTTGGATCCAAGTAGTATATAGATATATGTATGTATGTTAGGAGTTTTAGTTGAATTGAAAAGGTCGATCATGAGAAAACTAACGTAATATCTCAAAAATTTGCATTTTTTCAATAAAATAAAATATTGTATTTGTTGTGGTGGTTGAAGTTGAAGAAGTTTTTAAGAGGAAGAATTGAAGATTTGAGATTAGGAACAAAGATTCGTGAGAACTTGTGTAGATTTTGTTTATTGAGAAAAGATTTTGTATCAAAGTTTGACCAGGTTCCTACACTGAACTACTACTGCTATTTATATTATTTTGGATCGGGAAAATTATATGACTGGGGTCAGGTAATCGATTCTATCTGAGCCTTAATCAGAGCAACGTGATCTTGGGATAATTAATGTATGGTTTATTATATAAATGTGTGTAGTCCCAATGAAGTATTAACATCGAAAGTAAATGTGTTTATGAGTTATAATTATGCTTTTAATAATCTACCGATGTATCCCATATTATGGTGATATCATCATATGAAATATAATCACTATCATGCATACTAAACCTGTGTGTTAAATAATAAAGTAATCGGTAGACACCTTTGACTGGAATAGCTGAGGCCTTATATTATTTCCTTCAGACTTATTCTCAATTACAGCAGTAGTCAATACTCATTTACAACAGTATTTGCTTATAGAATTACTTTTTTCTCATTTGTTTTCTATGAAACTTTTACTGAATTCATATATTATCTGAATATATGTAATTAAAAACTTTTTTTGGTCCTTTATAAATATTTTTTAATTTTTTGTATTTTTGATAAAATATCTCGTGTACATGTTGTGAGGAAATGATAGAAAGAGTTTTTACAGAAGAAATAAAAATAAAAAATAAAAACATGAATTTTGTAAAAATATATTAGCTTAACTGCTATGTAAACTTTCTTAGGCATAAAATGCTTCATTACCTTTATATCTATTATGAAAGTTTTTGAAAAAAAATACAAATTATATGGATTATAATCTGTGGTGATCCAGACACTCAGATGTTGGATTTATCACATATAAGAACATATTCATATTGGGATAGCATAGTAGCTATTATCTTGTCAGTATAAAATATATATAAATGATTAAGTAATCAGCCCAATAATTATTACAGTTAGTACTGTAGATAATATCTTAAAGATTGTTAAGATAATTATATCATACTGCTGGGTAAACTGTGTCAGATTGATATGGAGCTAATTTAGTAAGAAGTCCTAAAGCTCTAATATAAAAGAGAAAAGAATAACTAAGAGCTAAAAAAGTACAATTTATGACTTGATATCATAATTGTAACACTGACACTAGTTAAGCAGTAAACACACTCTAATAACCAAATATAATAAAGGAAGAAAGCCTTAAGAAACTAAGACATAATGACAAGAGCAGATTGTGTTTTCTTATAAAAAGGGACACTTTTTATTTATGAATAAAGACAACTGATATACAGTCTCAAAGTATTTCTATACGTCTCTATTATCAAATATTTTATTTTTCTATTGTTTCATACCTGAAATACCACATAATCTTTTTCACTTAAATCACATAAAATGAAAATATATGATTTATACCTCAAGTTAAATCGTGAAAATATTACTCATTAGCAACAGTAAGTATGTGATTTGTTAATGGGACCCAAATATATCGTATATCTTACAAATACTTGACTCTAGCTACCATTTTTATGCAATAATTTTATACTATTTTTGCTTTTTTACCATATAAAATATATAAGAATTACAAAAAAAGTAAGCATATTAGTGTCTAGTTATTAATAATAATTCTAATTGACTTGGAATTTGTCTAAGATATGTTTTTTAAATGTAAACTATATTTGTTTTATAATTATTAGATACATTTTTTAAAATATGCGAAATTTATTAATATTATATTTATCCTCAGATGTTTTTGCGACTCATTTTTTCTTTTTTGAAGAAGATTTAGCAGTTTTTATTAGTTTTTATCTTAAATAAATATCAAAAAGAGATAATATTTATTACATTAAAAAATATAATAACCTTATTATAGTATTTAATAAAGAAATTCAAATTATAAAGGCTTTATTTTTAACAGACGAGATATGAAAAGTCTTGACTTTTGGGAGACGATGTTTCCAGGTGAGAGACGACATTTTGACTAGATTCTAAACTCAGCCATATAAAGATGGGAGACAACCTTTTGGTCAAAGTATAAACTCCGACAAATAGGTGTGGGAGACGATGTTTTCAGGGTGGGAGACAACATTTTTTTATTAGGGTATACTGTCTTAAAGTAGCATGATAGGCATTCATTTTATTATTATATATATATATAAAATAATGCATGAATATATTGTATATATATATGTATAAAATTATATACTTACTATGATGCTTTTACATTTAGCCAAATTCATTATCTTGTCTTGCATTAAAGTATCTTTATTATGATAAGTATGAATCCTTAGGGACCAGATGTAGTTATTTGATGCCGGAAAGCAAGTCATGATTTGTAGTCCGGTTGTTATGTATGAGGTAAAAATAAGATATAAAATAAAACAAGTGCAGACGAGAGTACGGTGAGACTTTGTTTTATTAGAAGAAGTAAAAGAATCAGAAAAGAGATGCTGTTCTATTGCTATTAGTATTGTGCGTTTATATAGACATTGTATTTAGCTTGGTGATGATATGATGATATCATGTAATGTCTGTTTCTCTACCATTATCTTCTATGATTTAGTTCTTATGTTTTTAGTGTTATTGACTAGAGTCTTAGTATTTGTCTTAGTATGTTCTTTACGTAATTTCCTTGTATAAAGGAAGGTATATCTTTTAGTATCGTTACTAGTTGTCGGTAACTCAATGTACGTATTTATTGAGTGTCTGTACTTTTAATTTAAATCTACGATTATGTTGGATACAACACCGGTAAAATCAAAATGTTGTCTCCAACCTGAAAACGTCATCTCCCATCTGGAAACGTCGTCCCCCTAGGATTAGTGAATTAGTATAAATATCAATAGCAACTGTTCATAATAAAATCATCTTTTATCTACTATATTATTTTGTCTGTTTGATTGTACTTCTTTAAGTATACTTCCTTATTATCAAGTATACTTCTTTGCCTGTTTTATATTGCTTGGAAATTGCTTTGTTTACTTTGCGCAGTCTAACAAAAATATGAATTGGAGAGATGGCCGAGTTGGTCTAAGGCGTCACGTTAAGGCCGTGATCTCTTCGGAGGCGTGGGTTCGAATCCCACTCTCTTCAATACCTTTTACTTTTTTACGTGAGTTGAATTTTTGTCGTGCCCTGTCGGACATTATTTTGATGAATCCGTAAAATCTGAAGATAGTTAACTGCAGTACTTCTTTATGCGCAGTAATATCTTCCTGAGCATTAACCGCAGTATAATGACTATTTCTTTAATTAAATATAAATAATAACTACTGCGGATAATGCGCAGTATTAGTTTAGAAAACTATATAAGACAATTCAATTCATATTAATAAAAGGTATCTTTTATCCTCTCTTTGATTTTACGTATACTCCTTGATCCCCAGTGGGTTTGACCTTTTGACTTTGTTATAGTAAAAGGAAGACCAACCCAGATCGGGAACGACAGCCCTAATACTTGTTTGTTAATTAGGTCAACTATTACATTGTCTTCAATTCTCAACTGAATATACCTTTCGATTCCTTTTTTTTTAAAAAAAAAAAGTTGTAGTCGTAGTTAGAGTATGCGAGAGTATTGTCTATAGATTATATATTGTTATTATATCAAAGCTAGATTTAACTGATTTATTAATTATTATTTTTTATTGTTTTGCTGTTGCATAAACTGTATAGCCTTTTCAGTATAATAGATGAATGAAAAAGCAAATTAACAGTAATATTTCTATTATTTTTATTTTTATTATTAAAGTATTATAATAAGAAGATGTTCTCGAGATATCTTTTTAAAAAAGAGGAGTTTGTTAGTATTATATTATCCGAATAAAAAAAAACCAAAATACTTGATATCCAGCTACTTACTAATCATGTTTCATAGCTTACTATACAATCATAAACACGTACACGTACACGTACATGTACACGCACATAAACATAAGCGTAAGCGTAAGCATCTATACATACACCAACACATGATTTACCTTATCAATTTTTTTTGTTGTTGTTGTTGCTTTTTTAAACAAGCGATATAGATTAATATATTTCTGACTGTAATTCCGCTAGAACCTCCCTTGCAAAGAATATACTGAACTACCAAGCATTTCAAGTCAGCGTTTAATATTATTATTATTTTTATAAAAATTCAAAATGATATACAATATGCATTTACTAAAAGCAATTAGCTTTACACACACACACACGGTAAATATATTGCGATAAAGTCTATTAAAATTTGATCATATCTGATTTCTTTTAACTGTTACTCTTATTGTTATTTTCTGACTTTACTTTATAGTGTACCACGATGTACAGAGGGCGATCCATTCAAGCATGACAGTGTAACTAGGAGATAAAGGCTTTTTTCTTTTTTCTCTTTTGGCGTTGATACTCAATGCAATTTTTTTTTTAAAAAAATAATAATAAATAAATGAAATCGAATTATCCAATCGGATCCAAAATATACCGTGTTCGATTGTCAATATCAGAAACGAGACACGATTTATACATCTATTTATTTATTTATTTATCTATCTACTTATCTACTTATCTATTTATCTTTAATGCTGCTATGGATTCACAAAGACCAACAGAATATTAAGTAATGATATGTAAGTCCAGCCAACTGTTTTATAGTCATATTTGTGTTTGTAATATTTAGAAACAAAGAATAAAGTACTAGAGATTGGTTGTTCAGGACTTCAAAATGCCTGCATAGAAACACATATTTTTGAAACTACAAAATAAAATAAATTAATATAAATATATATTGATATTTTTGGGATTAAAATGCCAATTGAAAGTAAAGTTACTGTCTTTGCCAAGAAAAATAATTGCATTTTGCTATTTTTATATACATACATTTTCATAAACTTAATGACTATACTACCCTAATATTCCAATAGAATCTGTATAAGCTAAACAGCCATTAGAGTGCACTATTGCAAGTCATAGAACTCACAAAACATAGACAAATCTAAAGAAGAAGGAGAAAGGTATTAAAATATCTTCTAAGCGAATATTCAAGCATAATTCTACGCCTAATAAATATATCACAGTACAACAGTCAAAGATTAAAACAATTACGGAATTTATGAATTACATAATCGGTATTTTGAGGTCTCTTTCTTTTCATTCTTGGTACCCAGTATTCGTAACAATTTATGTACACACAAAAGGAAAAAGGAAAAAGAAAATGGGATTGTTGTACACAAGATATATGTTCAACCATCAAGAAGAAGAAGAAGAAAAAAAGACCAGAACCAAAAAGTTGGAGACAGCCTTTTAAGCCGGATACCGAAATACAAAGTGTAACGAATTTCAGGTATATTTTTGAATTTACTTTTATAAGAAATTTGTTAGCAGTAGCCGCACAAAGAGTCAGGTGCAACGTTATGCACTACCCACCCTTTTGTCCTTAGCCCTTTTTTTTCTGGTCTTTGCCACACTTCTGTCCCTCCCCCCACAATTTTTTTCTCCTTCTTCTTCTCCTGCCCCCCAAAAAACCTCTCCTGACTTGTGTACCAGTTGCATATATTGATTGCACAGACGTATGCCATGTCATGCTATGTCATGTCATGCCAGATGAACAAGCGAGCACAAAATATATATATTTTTTTTTAAAAAAAAGTTTAAAGATTTCCTGTTGCGAAAAATAAAATATTTTATACAGTCGCACGCCAAATGGCAACTATTGACAGCTAAGCTTATTCAGTAATACAGATCGACATGTTAAAATTCTATGCTACCTCTATGCTACTTCTTTTCTTATTCTTTTTCTTGTATGCTTTTGTTGACAATATATAGATATAGATATAGATATAGATATAGATATAGATATAGATATATATATATATATATATATATATATAATGTATTGTATTTTATTGGATATGTAGTACACTCTGTGCTTGTTTTGTATGAGGGTGTATGGGTGTGGGTGAGATTTTACATGGTTTGAAAGAAAAAGGTTAGATAGTAATAGTAATAGTAATAGTAATAATAATAATAATAATAATATAAAAGTATGATTCCGGATAAAAGGAATTCAAACAATAAAAGGAGGATAATAGTAGTAAAGGGTGTACGATAATAATAATAGTAATAGTAATAATAGTGATAATAATAATAAAAGGGTTGATGTAAAGAAAGTTTTTTTTTAAAAGAAAAAAAGGCAGAAAAATATATTATGAAACTTTCTATACACTCTGTTGGTTTACAAGGTTAGGCACGGCATTGTATTTTCTTGGTCCGTAAGGGGTTGTTGGTGTTGTGGGGGAAAATGCGCTTGTCTGGGATGCGGCAGAAGAGAGAGTCGGGGTGCCGTGGGGGAAATATGAGTTTTGGGGGTGGTCATGGGCAGGAGACTGTACAGACCCTGAAGAGTGGAACCGGTTACGAGTCCATTCGGCTGTAGTAGAGTCCATTGGGATCTGAATATTCAGGTTGCTGTTGTGGTGAGCCTGAGCCTGAGCCTGAGAAAGGTGGGACATTTTTGAATTATCGTGATCATTATTGTTTGAGTTTGGGTTGTTTCCTTGGTGATGGTGGTGTTGTTGTTGTTGTTGTTGTTGCTGCTGCTGCTGCTGCTGCTGTTGTTGTTGGTGATGTTGTTGGTGGTGTTGGTGTTGGTTGACATACTCGCCAGGGTACATGTCGGGAGAAGAAGAGTCTTGAGGTGTTTCAGGCATGGAATGAACCATATATGGATGAGATGCCTGGGAAGGGTGAGGATGAGGCTGTTGTTGATTCTGGTGTTGAGAATGGGGATGTTGTTGCTGCTGTTGTTGGTGGGGATAGGGAGATGGAGTGCTTGGGTGGTGAGATGGGGTATGAGGACCATTGTTCATCATCACACCATTATGAGGAAGAGGAGGCGCAAAATGAGGATAGTTGGAATAGTAAGGGTAGCCGCCAGCAGATGAGTTGTATTCAGCAGGCATCATTCCGGGGGGTGTCATCGGAGGTCTCGGGAAAGGTGTGGTGAATCTTTGCTGTTGCTCATCGGACTGGGATTGTGGCGAGAGTTGGGGACCGTCGTTACTTACTGGACCTGTTCCAGCGGTTGCTGATGCTGTTGACTGAATAGAGTTGTGTCTCTCCTGGCTATCGGCGTAATGGCCCGGGCTACGACCACGGACTACAAGTGGGGCTGACTGACACGACGCGATTTTGATTTTTTGGCCATCGTCTGCTGTCAAGGCATACATATCCACCAGACACACATAGTATTGCTGGGCTGCTCTTCTCTTGCCGTTATTTGCAGTCGCAGTCTTAAACTGGATACGTTCAAAAGTCGCAATGTTCTGGTTGGCTCCAACTGTGCTCATGCCAAGGTTTCCGCCGGCCGTGATGGCCTTGGCCTCAGGCTTGATTTGTGGGCCCTTGTCGCGCTTTGGGGTGTGTTGGATTAGCTCGATTTCCTTTTCGCTGTTTGAGACGCGAGCAGAGATACCGAGGTAGAAACGCTCAATTTGGCTAAAAGTTCCGTCTTCCTTTTGTACAAGGCACTGCGGCTCGGTGTCGGCGTAGTAATGGTTGAGTCCCTGAATGGAAAACGCTCCACTAACTTGGAAGTAGTTGCGGCGGTAGCAAGTCCAGTCGTTGTAGAACAGGAAAAATCCTCTGTCCATCTTTGCCTGGATACGAGGAACCATTCTAGATAATGATAATAGTAATGATGGTGTTAGTTATTATTATTATTATTATTATTAACTTGATACTTGTTTATTTGTAGTTGTAGCTTTAAGCCTTACTATTATTGATACCACTACCACTAGTAATAATAGCTACAAATCGTATATATTGCAAAACTTACAATGTGGTTCGGTCCAAAGCATAAAGATTGTCGAAAGGTTTGGTGGAGCTAAAAACCGGGCCGGCTTCGGCGGGACACAAGGAATCGTTCCGAGATCTTTTTCTTGCAAGAGCGATGGGGGGATAAGGTCCGGCGTGGAAAGATGATGTTGCGTAGGATTGTCGTGACATCTTTGTAGGAGATGGCAGGACATCATGGCTCACGGAGTTTGGACGGGGAGTCCCAGGTTGAGAAAGAGCCATCATACTGCAATAAAAGCAACCAAAAATAAGAATAATTATAAATATCATGTTTCAAATATATATATACATAATTAAGGTTTATATTATATTATATATTATAATATAATTGATGCCTTACCCAGGAAGTCTTGGATCAGATTCAACTCTGTTGGGAGGGACATAGCCTGATGTGATAGGTAGATACTGATGACTACAAGCCGAGAAATATTAGCAAAAAAATTATTACAATACCATAAACTATAGTATATTGTGTTGCCACCTATTTTCATATGACACTGCAAAGGGGCGATTTTTTTTGATGGGGGTCGCACCAGTTGCACGAAATATCAACAGGAACGCATAATTGACAGCAATAGTTGTATTTGTGTATATACTTACATTGGTGGATGCATGGGGCTTGCCTGGGCAAAGGAGTGGCTGTAAGGATGTCCCATGGTTGGGAGTGGCGAATACTGTTGCATCGAGTGAGGGGCGCCAGATACGATTGCTGGGCCATCTGATTGTGGTGGACCTTGCTGCAGAGGAGATTGAGAAATTTGCCACTCTTTGGCTTCGTGAGAGGGGTTCATGGTTTTGTGTAATAGTTGAATAGAGTAGAAACAAGAAAGAGAAAGAGAGAAAGAGAGAAAGAGAAGAGAGAGAAGAGAGAGAAGAATTAGAAGCATAGGATGGAAATCTTATATGGCCACAAAGTGATATCGGGAACTGAAAAGACCAATAATAAGGTTGAGGGGCAGAGAGAGAGAGAAAGAGAGAGAGAGAACCCGTTTGGACAGAGACTTTGCTTCTACAGTGAGAGATCAAGGCCTTGAAAGAAGTCTGCACAACCCATTTAATTTTTTGTTTCTACCTTTCTCTCTATATTTTTCTTGTATTTCCGCTTCTCCAGAGATCTGCACCAAGTGAAACAAAGCGACTTTCTTTGTGTACCTTTCTGCTATTTCACCTTGACTGCAGAGAATACACTACAGTATCAAAAGGGCGGGGCCATCTCTTCTGAGTCTGGAAGCAATTTAGGCTCTGTGAAACATTTTAATATATAATTTTTGATTTATTTTTATTTTTATTTTTTAAATATATACAACACACTATACTAACACTTATTAATATATATATATATTATATTATATATATATAAATTTAAAGATTTTATAGATGTATAGATGCTCACTTTATTTCTTTTTTGTTCTAGTCCTGATGGTCAATAGATGGTTATTGATCATTTCTGATCCTAAACACACCAGGGACTCAGTTTTTACTTAGTTATTCAAACAAACTTAAATTAGTAACCATAGTAACCATATAAATAAGTAAATAAATATATCTTAATAGATTACAATAGTTGATTGACTGCAATGATTATATAAATCACAATATAAAAAGACAACGAAATCATATATAAAAGAAAAAAAATCCTTATTTTTCCCATAGATACCATGCGGCGTTTATTTGGTCGGCGCACCCATGTATCACATTTGTTTGAGCTAAAGTAAAGTGAACGCACGCGCCAAACAAAGCAATACCAACCCAACTTGGTAAAGCCATAGTTCTCCGCTTAGTAAGAGATCTTGTCTCAGCCTCTCGGGCTTTCAAATTTCCATACACACAGAAAAGACAAAAAAAACTCCCTCTCTCTCCCTTCATTGCTTGTGAATCGATGAAATATTTTTATATATAAAGAATATATAAATATCAGCGTATACCGTCTGTGCGTACCTCGTACAGCGCTTTGAACCCTATGTAACCATTGGAACAGAAGAATTTTTTTTCTTCTGGTCGTTGTTGTTGCAATTGATAGACCTTGTTTTATTTTCACCTTTTATATATATAATATATAAAGAAGCAATAACAGTCAACAGCAGCAATAATAGCATTTAACCAAAATGCGCGTGACGATTATATATATAGTCTCTTTTTTTAAAAAAATTAAATCTTTCAATAGTTTTAAGAATCGCGCGCTGATTTTTACCGTCTTCCCCGAAAGAAAGAAGATAGTAATAGTAATATAGATATCTATATACACTGATATAAATATATAAAAGTAGATATATAATTTGGTACTAATCGCACTCAAAGGCTTGTTCAAAGATATCTCTTAATATCAGTATCATTAATTAGAAATCTGAATATAAATATAATAATTTAATTCTATGCAAGCAAGGATTATAGGAGTTTTTTTTTTTTTTTTTACTAATTTCTCTGCACCAAACTAATGGATTCTTTCTTTTTGCCCTAATAATTTCAATATTAATTTTTATATATATATATTTTAAAAAAATTGCTGAATTTGTTTTTGATGACCTGTGATTTTCTCAAGATTTCAAGGCTATTTTCTATTTTTCATAGCTATTATAATATCGATTAAATAGAGCTGATGCAATCTGTATTAATATTGATGTTCATCGTTGCTTAGATCTTTAATGATTTTCTTTTTACGTGTTTATTTCCATAGTATCAACTTTATGTATTTTATGTATTTTATATAATCTCGTAATATAGAGACAATTTATACATGTACTATTCTGAGCCTTCTTTATTTTTTATTTTTTTATTTATTTATTTATTTATTTTAAATACTCAGAAAAGAGAAGCGCCGTTAAGCTATTTCCATTTGGAGCAAAAAGTCTTCTCATCTCATTGGAATCTCAGTCAAAATGATTTCTATAGGTGGGACGAAAAGTACCAGGCCTTTTTTTTTTCTTTTTTTTTTGTTCCGTCGTTACCCTTCATCACCCCACCCACACACGCTCACATCTACATCAACACTTACATCTACACTTACCCACAACTCATAAGCCTTTTCTTGTATGTCAATTTACACCAAATACTACAATAAGCTACATTATACTACACTACATTGTTGTCATGGAAACATACCTTTTTTTGTTAATACTTTTTTATCAATATTTTCTATTACTTGAACCAATGGCGTCATTGAAAACCATCTTTACTACAAATATACTATATATCATCACAAGACCTCCCCTTCCCACTCCCACTCCCACCTCCCCCCAAAATTATATATATATGTAAATATACATATACATACACATATATACTTGTATAAAAACCATACTCAAGGCTGTATTTGGCAATAAATGTGTATATATTTATATAAATATTAGAAAACTATTCTTGCAAGTTTAGGACCAATAAAAGGCAACTGTTTCAAAACGCCAAAGATAGTGGGGAACGAATTACTATTGAGAGAAAGAAAAACAAAACAAAAAACCAAAAAAAAAGAGAAAATATGAGTAACATTAACCCACATTATATATCTGCTTATCTATATATTTATCTTTACTAAATTTATTATGTTGATCCTTTATTGTGTTCTATTTCTCTCTTTCGTTTCTACGTTTATTTTTACCTAAATAATTTCAGGCACCCACAGAGTTCAAGCAGAAATCCGATCAAAGGAAACTTGACTAGGATCAAAAAAATTCCGCTTAAAAATAAAATCGATCCAAGCCATCTATCGGATCGTCTAAAATATTCAAATGCTCCTCTGGGACCAATCGTCGTTATAATCCCCAGTACAATCATTAACTATTTTTTTTTAAAAAAAAAGCACCACTAAAGTATTAGAAACTTCTCTCTTTTTTTTTAAAGAAAGAAAAGAAAAAAAAAAACCTATTTCTTGCTTACATTTCCGCAGGCCATCAGCGCAACATCAAGCATGAGCATTACTCCCATTGCCATGAACAATGCACCACATCCTGTCAAGCCTACTCCAATTTCTAACAACCAAAAAATAAATCACAAGTGTAAAGTTATAGACAGATTCAGGTTTGACTAAAAATCATGCTATTACTCTGTGTATCGTTTAACCACATCTGTATATAATAATAATAGTAATAAAAAGAAACCAAAAAAAAAAAACAAAAACAAAAATTGTTTGTGCGTTTGTGCGTCTACGTCTACGTGTACGCGTGTGTTGCGTGTAATATTAATTTTCGGTATTATTTATTTATCTGTGCATGCATACTTTCATGTATGTAGACAATTAAAAACAAATAAAGCAAAACCAAAAAAAAAAGTTCAAGTGTTGGCTCTTATTGGCCTGTGTTTTCAACTATCAAATAAAATTGCATTACATTGAGGATAGATGTTTTGAATGGTTACTTTAATAATAATAATTATATTGACAATTAGATTAACCAATATCCAGGGGTTTGAATGATAATGAGCTCCTAACAATTTTACATACTTTAGCATTGGTAAATAAATAAGTAAAAATTACGCTTTTATATATAAAGAAAGAAAAAAAGTAACTGCTGCAGATGCTCGAATATCTAATTTTTAAAAGGTGCGGAGCATATGTTTTACAAATCCATATACATATAAGTAAATATTGTACTCGGAAAATTTAAAACTTAATAAGTATGGGAATGTTTTCTTATGTTAGTAAATATTGCAAGACAGTTACTTTTCTGGCTGCATTTAAATACTGTGTATGTCCTAATGGCGTACATTAAATAATCATCTTTCTATTTATTCGGGGATAATAGCTGGCAATGAATAAACAATACTAATGGAAAAAGTCTGTATGACCTTCCAAAAATAATATGCGGGGTTCTTAATGAGTATGTCGCTCAATAAAAATTAAAAAAGTGGGATCTCGTTCAAAATATTTCTTCTTTTTGTTAAATGTAATAAAATTCTGCTTATTCCTCCCTCATCGTAAATAAACAGCTTGGTTCCTTGCTACACTTCACAGCAAACATAACGTTTTCTTAAGCATAATTTAATACGATTAATTCTTAGGACAATATTTAGGGTGAATAATACGTTTGGATTTGCCTCTATCCCATGAGATTTCATATACACTATATCTTCACTAATGTCTCGCACATAAAAAAAAAGTATAGGCAGATGAAGATTGATTTTATTGATTGCAGCTCGTTTTGAACATTCTTTTATATATATATATATATAAATCTGTATGTGTATCAGTAAACGCAAATAGCCAAAAGAAAAAAAGTTTAGGCACTTATTTTCTTTCTCTCTTGTACTTTTATAAATAAAGATCCAGCCAGTAAGGTCTAATATAGGAAGAAAGGAACTCCCTCTAAAGAACATGTTGAGGAGGAGCCATGTAATTCTTGCTATTGCCATAAAAGGCTCCATATTGCTTGTTTGCAGCACATTTTGTTTTTAAGATAAATATATGATAATAGTAGGTAGTAATGGCACTTGGAAGTTACCGTGAATGACACAAGTTAAGAGCATAAACTAATCGCTCTGTAATTGGAATAGCAGGTTCAGTCCAGAGAGTTTAGGATCGGTGATAGTGCGCCACTGTGAATTTTAATTACAAGAATGACTATTTTCCCGTAGTGGTGGTTTATCCTATAGAATCCTCTGTTTGCGTGATTTTCACTATCTTTCTTTTTTATCTCTATTTATAATTCTATAGGACTATCAAGTACCCAGGGCATTGTTCAGTTGATTACATGACGTAGATTATGTAGTGTTTACTTTTTCTCTATTTATTTACGTATATCATCCAGTTGGGTGTACAGCTATTTGTATATCTCTATCTATGTATATCTATTAATTAAAAGAAGGTTAAAAAATGAAAGCACTAATTAGGTTTATCAAGATGGGAAAAAATCATTTAATTATAGAACAACTCACTTTCGTAATAATGATAATCATCTTTCTCTTTTAGAAGCAAAGAACAAAAAGGAAGCTCTTTATACATCACTCCCTACTTTTCTTCTTCTTTTGGTTTATCTACCACCACAATATTAAATGTTTAATCCGAACACCGGAAAGTCAAACCCTCTTTCCACCCCCTTCTTCTTCTTCTTCTTTGTTCACTTAATACTGTGCATAGTGTTACCTTGCCATTTAATATACACATCTATTTATCTATTTAGAACTTGTGTAATATGAAAAAGAGTCTGGTGAGCCGAGACTTGTTGTCTATACACAAAGAGGAGCTTTTCAACTTTGTTGTATCGTGGTATGGATCACAGATAACAATAGAAAGTAAAATAGACCAAAGAATTTCAAGCACTTTTACACCTCTCCCTATTGTATGTTATGTATTCTTCTATGCACTCATCAATCAACCAATCGATTCACCCATATATTTTATCTTATTTGATCTTATTTCTTGTGTATCTAGAAAATACCTTTTTCTTCTTCGTTTTTGCTTCTTGTTGGACAAAGTTTGACTTTTTTAGTTTACTTTTGTATAGCTTAAATGCATTAATTCCGTGTAACACGGCGTTTTGAAAATGAAAGTGAAACATAAATATATTGTACATCTTGCGTTACCATAGCAACCCGATGTGTAGTTTTTTTTTAAATAGTCTAAATAGCATCTTATTTTCTTTATTGTTTTATTATGCTGTGATTGCATCTGTACTGTCAATTGTGTTTTTGCGTTGTCCAAGCAAAGAAGAATAGAGTTCATCTGTCATCTCCTCATGCCAGGTACCAGCTGGTATCGGAGCCATGAAGTTTTGGAGCTTCTCATGAACATTAAATCTAAGACAGCCACAAAACATATAAGCATTTCATTTTGTTGACAGGATGGACCCTAATTCAAAAATAATAATCATGGACTTACCGTAGTTTTCGGCCCTTGCTTGCCTTGTGATCTACAACCTTGTTCTTCTTCTTTATATCAGCCTGTTTGCGAGCAGCCCATCGCATACCCATTGCAATAGGATCCTCTGTATCAATCATACGGGACTCAATCAATTCACGAAGCTGTTGCTGGTAGAAATCATTGTCGTCAAAGATCTCGGGATCATAAGCGTTCAAGTGACGATCGACCTTTTCTCCACTCTGCTCTTCTTCTATCGGCTCAGGCTAAAATATTTTAGATTGTTAGTAATATATATATATATTTGACCACATTAACACTAAACTAATTAGTAGAAATCTCTACAAACCTTGCCAAGAATTTTGTATTCTGCTCTTTGAAGTTGTGTTCGCTTCACCAAAGTTTCTGAGTCGGCAAGGGTATTATCGATTTGTGTCATGATGCTCTAAAGCACACACACAATAAGCTTTACTAAATATACATATAATTTTATATATCTATCTAGAAACTTACTTGATCAAACGCTTTGAACTTTTTGTTTAAACGGGCACTTGATGCAGCTTGCACCTTGTTACCCCATTTCTCCAAAGTGGAGTTACGGAAGGGAACAAATCTAAAAAAAAATGTTAATGTTTTGCTATTTTTTCTTACTGTTTGGTATATTTAATATAATTCATTAACCTACACGTCATTAATCTGTGAAATATCCTGCCAGAGCTTCTCAATATATTCATCATCATCATCATCAAGGTGTCTCTTCCTGCTGTTCCAATCACACTCGTCAAGGTCAACTGTGCCATTATCCGACAGCAAACTTGTACGCAGATCCATAATTTCATCAATGACTTCTCTCAAAACTTCCTTGGCACTATCAAGATCGCCTTCAATACCCTCTTCCTTTGCCAAAATTTCAGGCCATGTATCATGCTAAAAAACCAAAAAACAACAACAAAATAAAAGCATTACTAAAGACCATTCAAAAATAACAAGAACAACAATTTACTACATATTTGCAGACAGGCCGTACCTGAGGAAGCTGATTGGCGATCTCTACAAGCTTTTGAGCACGAATGCGACTCTCAAGGAAGTTATCCCACAATTGCTGATAAAACAAAATAAAAACAAAATTATAAGATGTATGTATGTACGTATGAATTAATTAATTATGTACTTGATCCATAATTATCATTTTTATGATTTAGTAATAAACTGAAAAAAAGGGTGTCTTACCAATTGCTGTTTAACATGTTGACCTTTTTCAATATCACTTTGTGCACTTTTTGACATTTGCGAAATCATCTCCCTAAAATAAAGCAATAAGTTTCTCTCTCTCTCTCTCTCTCTTACTCTATTTTTTATCTATTCTTCTCTTTTTCCTTTAATTCTTTAATAATTCATTTTAAAGCTTACTTTTCATCCTCTTCGATTTTACGGAGTTCATCCTTGATTCCGGTATTTTCTTCCTGTTCTCCCTCATCCTCATCCTCATCGCTGTCGTCTTCAACCTCACCAAAGGCCTCAACTTCTTCACGATCTTCACCGTCATTATCGTCCTCGCTACCGCTTATGGCATCCTCATCTGCAGATTCCTGGTCTTCACCAGATACACCCTGCCATTCGTTGTCAGACTGTTCTTCTTCGTCATTAGAAGAGTAAATGTCTTTACGGCTGGCTCTCTTTCCGGAGTAGCGGGGATCGTCCATTAAGAATTGCTGGTTTCTAAGGGAACTTTTGCCTACTTTCAAGTAGTGATCCCGGGTTCCTTTTTCTTTTTCTTCATCAACTTCGGCATCGCTTTCTTGGTTAACTCGGTCATTCAAAGGTCCGTCGAGATCTTCGGGATCATAATCTACAGTAAAGAATGATGTGGTGTTGGCGGGAATTGTACGCAAATAAAAATTTCTTGAAACGTTGTATTGACGGTTTTCAAGAGAACAGGGGAGAAAGAGGGTAATGCTTACCCTTTGGTGCAGTTGTGTCAAGATCAGCAATTTGATCTGCGAGCGATTTCTCTGTAATAATTATTTACAATTTTTCTTATATTAATAAAATATTAAAAATATATGTATACAGAGGAGAGAAGGATGTTTAATTGGTCATGTTAAATTAGCTTACTAGGTGCCATAGTCTTGAAGTGTATAATAGTAGATTACAGGCAATTTTTTTGATTCAGCTTCATACAGCATCAAAAGTGGCTTTGATGTGACAGCTTCTCATTTGTGATAGGATTTAAAACACCGAAACAATGGCCACTGCCAAAAAATAGAAAAAATAAGAAAAATCTTAAAGTCATTACTATTGTTTTTTCTTTGTTTTTAGTCAAAGAAATTTTCAGTTGTATATTTAGTTTAATAAAGTAAATGATACAAAAAATACAAAAGTATAACTAAGGACTTTGAGAAGATATACTTGAATTGGCTGTTTCAAAATTTGTTTTATCATGCATTTTTTAAAGAAGTATAATCTGAACTTTAATTCTGAGATTCAAAATGCCAGATGCTTAAATAAAATAAAAGGGTATTGATTGAGATATTTTCTTGAAGCAGAACAACAGTAAGAATTGCGTTTAGTATTAATATTGTTAAGAGTACTTGATTATTATGTTTTTTTTTGACAGTTCGAGCGAGTCAGGGTGAGTTGTCCTGGGAATAAACATTATTAATGGAAACTGATCTGCAAGTTTATGCTATGATACTAATGTCGAATTAATGCTGACAAAAATAAATCAAATGAAATGAAAATGAAATAGAAAAATCACATTCTTTTTATTCTTTTTATTTTATGATCCAATAAACATTTTTGCTTTCTATTCTCTTAATATAAAGTTGAAATGCTTGGAAGCTGAATCGTGATTTATAATAGAGAAAAGACTATAGATATATATACATCATGAAATAGAAATAGGAATAGAATAAAGTAAGTGTACATTAATTACTATGATTATTATGAATTTTCTAGTAAATTTTAGAGTCAAATCTTCTCATTACCAACTTACATATAATTATTCTTCCTTTTATTCTTGTTCGTTTGACTGACATAATTACACATGGATCTTGCCTATTATTCTCTCTCTTTTTTTAAAAAGAAAACACTATAGGATCTTTGTTGGGGGTAAAAAGGAAATCAGGTTAGCCAACGTGGGTTAATTTGTACTCGTGAAACCAAATTTTCTCGCGACCCAATCTTCCATTTACAGATTTTTCTTTGCTTGTTTAATGGTCAAATTGGACAGTGATCCGAGCACAAATCCTTTTAAGAAATAAAGAGTAAAATAAAAATCAGAAAATACACATATAGCTTGTACCGTTTTTTATTTACTACCTTGTACTAGGCCCACAAATTTTAATTTTTTGCTTTATTGCTTCCATAATCCTACAAGCACATAAAGCTCCAAATGAAATTAAATTGGATTCAGTAGTAGAACTCGACTCACCAAAGGTTTTTCCGTACGCACAGCAATGGTTTTACTTATTACTATTGTTATCTCTCTTTATCTCTCACTCACTTCACCCCTCCTACTTCTTTTTTTGTTTGGTATTTGCAAAGTACCTCACTTGCTCACGTGATTACTCAACAATTGAAAAAGTTGTCCAACAAAAAACCAACGAAGAAAATATTAAGATTCTGGAGTCTTACAATACCTGCAATTAAGCTGGGGAGCAGCATTGTTTGTTTGTTTGTTCTTAGACTTTTAGGATAATAATATTTGAATTGTACTGCAGTGTGTTTAGTTGGGGTATATAGATCAGTAAATCTACTATTTATTAGTATTACAAGTAGTTGTACTTTATTGACAAAGTCATAGTATTAATATAGATGTCTCCATATATTAAGCTTCTGTGTTTGTCTAAATTTGTTACACTGAAAAGTCTTGAATCGCATTATTATTCGTATTCTTACTCACCAACAAAATTGGCGTTATGCAGTAAGAAGGACAAAAATATCCAACTTAGGGTTGTTTTATTGCTCTCAAACAAGAAATATTGCCCCAGGATTATTGTAGAAAAAGAAAAAGAAAAAGAAAAAATTAGTTAATTTACTGCTATTCTTAATAATAGTAAAAACCGGAAATAGTTCCAACTTGGAGGATTAGGTCGGGCTAAGTGTAACTGAAACCAGTTAAGAAAAAACAAGTACAAAATGCACATGAAAATCGAGAAAGATGTCTTGGAGAAAGATAAAAGAAGAGGAGACATAGAGGTCTAGCATAGGTTATACATTAGTCATAAAATCCTGATCGGCGGCCCTCGGATCGCAGTTTTAGCTTTTAGCTCAATCTCATCGTCTCATGCTAGACAACCACAATAAAATAAAATAAAATAAAATAAAATAAAATAAAATAGTTCGTAGACTCAAATAACCAACCAAGAGGATTATAGTGGCACCACATAAATGAATTAAGCAAACCAAGAAACGCTTATCACTATAACATATATAACATATATATATATATATATACCTATTTCTTTACTCGTTTGTCAGTTATCTTTCATTACTTTCATTTACACTCACTTTCCCCCTCACACTCACTCCTACCAACCAACCAACCAACCAACCAAATGTCAAAAAACGACCAGAAACTGGCCGGTTTCGATAATATATGGCTTCAATTGGATCATCCTCAGCGACTCATGAATGTCTTCAGTCTTTGGGTATTCAAGCATGAACTCGAAGTTGAAGCAGTCAGCGAAAGCCTGGAAAAGCTCTGCAAAGAATACCCTCGATTTACCGAAATACCAATCAACGGCAGCTCATTTCACACCGCAACTTGGGCAAAAGCTGATCCCTGGTGCCCAGTCATGAACATCAAAAGACACACCCTCGAAAAACCTACAGAAGAATGTCTCAAGGCCTACATGAGCGAAGAAATTATCAAACCATTCGACCCCGAAAGACCATTATGGCAACTGCACATGATTTCTGGACTGGAGAACGGCAAGGCTGCTGTGTACTGGAAAGCACATCACGCCTTATCCGACGGCGAAGGATTTATCAGAAGTTTACTTGCTGTAACCTCGTTTGGCGGCAAAGAAGATCAGCCAAAGCTTGTAACTCACGCCAGAAAAACCAACCTGTTGACCAAGTCTGCACCAGTGTACCCCATTACCGATCACACTCTGTCGGTTCAACTCATCAAAGACATGGCCAATTTCCTCATTCTCTGGCTCTCATTCTGGCTTCATGTCATATTCGTAAAGCTGTACTCGATCTGGATTATTGTGGAGCACGATGTCCGTATGGGCTTGGTGTGCCTTTTGCCCCTTCATCGTCACGATCTCTACTATTCTGGAATCCAAAAAAACCAAAAAGAAATCTCCTGGTCTGAATCGATTACTCTCGATGATGTCCGAATCGTCCGAGAGGCCTTCCACGGAACAGTCAATGACATAATGATCGTAGTAGTAACAAGAGCCATCAAGTCCTATATCGAATCCTTTGGCACACGCAAAGACAACTATGCTAGAATGCTGATTCCTCTGTCTCTTCGCCAACCCGACGACTGGAGTACTCGTAATGTGGTCAGTGGAACATGGGGCTGGTTCTCGATGAAGGATCTCGACACACGTTCATTAGTAAAACAAGTCCAGCGAGAAATGACAGCCATCAAGACCTCCTATTTCCCTACAGCCTATTATCAGTTTATGCAGAGCGTCATGGGCTCTATCCCTGGTATTCTCCCTCCTCTTCAAGTCGTAGACTTGTACGCAGACATTCCTCATGCCGTATTCACCAATGTACCCGGCCCAACAACCCCTATCACATTTGGTGGCCAACAAGTCGAAGAATTCCGTCTCTGCAGCCCACTTTCTGGAAAAGGAAGTCTTGGTATCGGCCTTTCATCATACTGTGGAAAGCTCGCCATTACCACCCAGTCCGACAGTCACCCCGAATACCCTCATCTTGCAGATAGTATTTGCAAGCGATTTGTGAAAGAGTTTGACCTTCTTCTTGCGGAGGCCAAAGATGAGTTGGCCCGTAAGCCCGAACTCAAACCTATTTCATAGAAACTATACGCATTAATTATTTAACCATCATACATTTTTTAATATATATAATATATATATATATGTACATATATTATATTATATATATAAAATAAATAAACATCCTGAGAATTTTCATTTTATTATTATTATTATTAAAGAAATATACAAATACAAAATAATCAGATATCTCTGTATAATATCAACAATACTGATAGAAAAAAATTGAGAGAAAAAGAGAAAGGGTATGATATGGTTTGTAAGGAATGGTAAAGATATATATATATATATAAAGGCTAATATATATATCCCGGCCGAAATATAAGACCAAAAAAGCAGACTGAGTATAACTTTGATTCTAACCGAAAGTGGTTAAAATATAGTAGATAGTTATAAAGCAAAAAGTTTATTTAAAAGAAAGTGTATATATAAAGAGTGCGAATGCGAGAGCAAGTAAATGAGTAAATGAGTAAAGTGAGTGGGGTGAATAAAGTGAATGGAGTGAGTAAGATGAATAGAGTGAGTGGAGTGAGTAGAATGAGTGAAGTGGGTGAAGTGGATGAAGTGGATGAATGGAGTGAGTGGAATGAGTGCTTGTATATATATAAAGAAAGGTAGAGAAATAGAGGGAAAGCGAGAGAGCAAAAAATGAATAAATAGATAAGTAATTAAGTAAGTAAGGAAAGATGTCAAGAGGTAAATAGGTAAAGAAGAAGCATTATTATGTTTTTATGTTATGGGCAAAGTATTGGTAAAGATTGGCATAGTGTGTTTTGCATCGACGAAGACCACTCGTTTCTCCAGAAAGAGAATGACGGGTATTCCCCAATTGGCTTTCAAAGAAAGGTGTGTATGAACTACTGCTTCTGCTGCTGCTATTACTTTCACTGATACTATCATCATTGGGTTGGGCAGATTCTGTCTTGTCGTTTGTCGAGTTAGAGATAGACTGTCTTGGGATTGTCTCTGAAGTGTGCAAAGTACTAATGGCCGATTGAGACGAGCTGCGAGTGTTTGATGATAATAACAGTGCAGAATGTCTTTGAGCAATAGGCTTTATCTGGGTCAAGCTTTGTCGATGCCACATATTCCATGTCATTCGGTTGACTCTAAAGCCGACCTTTATGTATTTGTTGAACTTGGAAATAGCTAATTATATGGAGGCTGTTAGTATATATAGAGTTTTTTGTTCACGTATTAAAGAAATAAAGATGTCTTTTCTCTCTCTCTGTCTGTTTCTACCTGGCCACAAGAAGAGTAGTCTTCCACGTTGGTTTGGAATCCGAAGTCGTAGGTATCGAGTAGGTATGTTGTATCTGCTGTCAACAATCGTAATCTTCATTTCAAAATAAAGTAAAATAAAACATAAAAGAGTTCTAAAGAAAGCATAAAAAGCTATGCGATTCTTTTTTTTTATATATGTTTAATTGATGGGGGCTTAAATTCTACAAATGCTCTTTTTTTTTGGGGTTAGGATTCATATGTAACAGTGCAGGGCTGTAGAACAACCTATACATGTCTCCCACAGCTATGATTGCATCAATGTTTCCCTAAATAGGAGCTACAAACTTGACCGTTTAATGTAAGCTTTTTTGTCTCTAAGTCACAATCATCTTTACAACCCCACATAGTAAAAAGACTGGAATTCAAAAAATGAATTAAATAATGATACTATAATCAATTAAACTCTTGCAGAAAATAATAAAACAAATCGTATATGTGTTAGATATGCTGTCCAACAAAAAATAAAGCAAGTGTATTGGGGTATATTTGGTATTCCATGTTTCATAGCACAAAGCAGGCGTCTTACTCCTTCAAATGACAAATATTAATAATAGCATATGAATTCTATTGATCCATTGATCTATTGATATATTGACACCAAAAAACCAAATATCTTAATACCCCCCCTCATGTCTATAAAAGATCATTATTACTCCTTTTTAACGTTCTAATAAAAATAAATAGGCAGAAGAATTTGAATACTATAAAACCAATCCTTAATAAAATTATATACAAGTTCAGTACAAATATTTGAAAAGAAGAAGAAGAAAAAAAAAGTCTCGGTACTTTTGTAATGATGAAACCCAAAAGAACAAGTTATCTCTGCTAGGGTCTCAATTACCATGCTCAAAAGGCTTGATTGGATCAGAACCCAAGACATACGTACATACGTATATGCATACATAAAACCAAAACAATTCTTGTACCAAAGAGCCACGGACTTATTGCTATGATTTTTAAATAAAATAAAAAAATTAATAATAATAAGAGCATGGAGTTATACTGCCACACACACCTTTTTACTCATTCGTCCCGTTTCCGAGCCAGCCCAGATAGCGATACCAACAAACACAAGTAAGACATGTAGAATTCCGATAGCAAAAATAACGAAAGAAGAAGAAGAGAGGGAGACTGAACAGTTCCTCGGATACCTTTCTCTCTCTCTCTCTATCTTTATTTGAACACAACACTCTTGAATCTAGAGCAATTACAAAATAAGCAAAATATATATACATATATATATATATTGAAGCACACATATCAATGCCGGCAGACGATATTAGCCTAAGTGCCTCCTGGACAGACCTTGGAGAAGCTCTTAGAGAGAGTGCATCCGAGATCAGTCCTGCAGCACTTATCTCCGAATACGAAAATAATCCTTTGTTCGTAAATGATGAACATGTATGGCATAATAAACTTTTAGAAGATCCTCATTTGGAATAGACTAACATAAATATATATATATTCTAAAAAGTCCATACTATATGACAGATCAGAACACCCCTCTAGTCCATCTTCTGAAGAAGAATGGATGGACGTACAACGCACTGAAAAAGGCTCACTCGAGGCCATCAGTTTGTCCCAAAGAATAGACATAGAGTTGAATGATCCGCCCAAAGAGAGGCCAAGCGATGAATCTCAAAACAGCAGATTCTTTAGAGCAACATCTACTGTTGAACAGCTATTCGAATCAACCACAATAAGTTCAAGTATCTGGAACGTCTTTTCTATCCCAATTGTCACCAAAACACCATCGGCTTGGTACACTCGACCAGCCACCTTTCCCGATCTTCTAAACTCGCAAGATTTTGGTCCAGATAAATCCAAACTAAAAGACCTCGAGAAACTAGGCAACACACAAACATCCCTAACATCTCCGTCTTCTCCCTATTCTATTCAGCTAGCTTCAGATGGACGTTCGTTCACGCGTGAACAACAGCCCGTTACAGCAAAAGCATCAGCAATGACACCACCACCACCCACAACACCAACCATGACACCGACATTGTGGGCAGTCAGAGGCATGCCTGGTGCATTTCCTTGGGGTTGAAATAATAATAATAATAATAAAAATAACTATAGACGTCAAGTGTCCCTTGTATATTTTGGCACTAACTATAGCTAGAGTAGCTTATTATGTTATTTCTTCTATCCTATTTTTTTTAAAAATAATTTTACAAAGACAAAATGTAAAGTCTTTTATATGTCTGTATGTACGTGTGTGTATATGATTGCGGCTTTAAAAGATGCGTTTTTAGTTTAATAAACGCAAAAAAAAAATGACTTTCTCAAACACGTCTCACTTAGTGCACACTCTGGCAACATTACAAAGAAAGCTACTCTCCAAAAGAAGGTAAAAAGAAGAAGAAGAGGAAGAAGAAGGGAGAGTGGAATCATGTTTGGTGTGCTATACTCCTTATGCTGCCAGCCTATCAATAACAGCCTGTAATTCCTCCTCACCGTACACTCTAAAGTGACGTCCGGGTGTAACAGATGCCAGTTGGACATTAGCCTTGTTAAGCTTCTCCTCCATCACAGACTTCAGGACAGTAAGTGAAAGGGTCTCGGCCTCTTGAAGGGTCATGGACTATTTCACAAAATATACAAAATAATATATATACACACATATATCAATATTTTCTCCCTACGCACAAACACCCACATACACACACACATACACGCGTATATATGTGTGTATACATGGTTGTTTCTTTTAAATAAAGATCCATTCAAATTTACCATGTGGTATTCCTTCTGCAACTCTGTCTGTGCACCTTCGGAACCAGATCCAATAGCTTTTGCTTGGTAGCTCATAAATGTACCAGAAGGATCAGCGTGGAACCTAGATTACCATTTATTATTTTGTTAGCTATCTATATACTCTTGTTCCCTGTTTCTCTTTTCATCTTTTTTCTTTTCATCCCAATGCGTGTATACAGTAAATAATGATCGTGGTAATAGAAAGGTTTATGGCTTACAGCTGAGGACCCTTTTCATCGATACCGGCGATAAGCAATGCAACACCGAATGGTCGACTCTAAAGCCCATCAACATGACAATTAATATTTCTTCCATCACTACTCCATTACCTAACTTTCACACACATATATTATCAAAATCTACAAAAAAGAAAGAAGACTTACCATGATAGAGTCTTCACCATCAGCACCCTCACCGAATCTTAATGCCAGATCACACACACTCTGGGTTACACTCTCAACCTTGAGACTCTCTTCATATGTAAAACGATGGTTCTGTAGCATGAATTTAGCTTGGTTTGACATCTTTTTTTTTGCTTGGTCATACAAAATAAGCATAACAGTCTTTACCTGTGCAGCAACACGGGCGTGCTCAATCATTGTTCTAGCGTCAGCAGTCATTCCACTGACAGCACATCCCAGATGTACATCGATTTCCATAACCTTTTCAATAGAGCTGGCCTCTAACAATGTAGAGGACACTCGCTTCTCAACTGCAAGAATAACACCTTCCGAGGTTTGAATGCCAATGGCTGTTGTACCGAGCTATGTTAATCATTATTAGTTATTAGTCTTTTTTTATACATTTTTATTGAATCATTACTATATATATATATAAAGGTGCCTGAGAGACACATATTATTTTTTCTTTTTCTCTCTCTCTTTTTCTGTACTGATCCATTTTATTTCGGTCGACGTGAAATGTGATTTATTACCTTGATGGCTTCAATGGCATACTCGACTTGGAAAAGGCGTCCCTCAGGAGAAAAGGTATTGACACCACGATCGTATTCAGAGCGCGTCAAAAACATGGTATAGAAGCGATAAAGGTGAGAAGGAAATCGCCAGGTGCACGTAAGCGACCTTGAGGGCCGCAGTTGAACCTCCGAAGACAAACGTGACGTAGCGAATGTAAGCGTAAGCAGGTCTCTGCTATAGGATTTGGCTTCTTGATATATATACATTTTTTGTAACAGGTACCCATATACGCACAACCACACGAGTGGTACTCAGTAAATTTGACTTTATTTGGATTTTTTTGAAATACATAAATAAAAAGGGTTTATATAAAGGTATCAAAGACAGATATATTAATAGCACTCATTCAGTGTATACAAAAGTCTAATTATATTTTTGATAATATTTTACTGCGAATAACATATATATATATATTGGTTTTTGGTAACCAAAGTAAAAGGGACAGTATAAATTCTTTGGATATATATATATATGTGTGTGTGTGTGTGCACTATCTTTTGCTGTTGAAATTTTATTAAGATTTTTATCAATTCTTGCTTTGAATTTGCTATGGTTTGCACCCGACTTATTGACCGTAAATACAAGTATTATCATTGCATATCTCTTCGGTGTCCTTAAATGGCTCTCACTCAAATCTGATTTAAGCTTTATTTATTCCCAAGCTATCATATACACACACACAACATAATATAATATAATATAATATAATAGACAGTTGTTAAAGAATCAATAGATCGATTTAAAGAGATTCATAATTGACCTCCCCCCTTTGCCTGCTACAAATAATACACACATATATATATATTTACATCGGCGATACATCGGTAACCTTTTATCTTTTTAGCTTTATCACTTGGGATAAAATGTACATATAATAAATATTGAGTAAAATGTCTTAAACCACTAAATCATCATCATCATCATAATTTACGGATAAAATTCAAAATAAAATCTTTCTATGTTTTTCGTTAATCTGTATCGGATATTCATTAACCATGGTCTTGAAAGAACAATTTTATTGGTGTAGACTCAAACTGAACAACAAATATTCTAAAACATATCAGCTTGAAAAAAGAAAAGAAAGAAAAAGAACTACATGGTAATAGATCAGTAAACTCTAATGCATCATGCTATATTCGTGCAGAAATAAGTGTCTATTGATGCACCATGGAATACACAAATATATCAAATGCTTGCATTTTGTTAATGTCCCGTAAACAAAATTTGCACTTTGAATTGTCGAGATTAGAATATGGTGGGTTTAATGAATATCCGAGACATCTTGGAGAGGAGCTATTTGATTTTCCTCTTGGTGGAGTTGTGGTTGGCTACCCAAAACTGACAGTGGGTGACACATTTGTTAATAGGTTTCTAAGCAATATTGAATAATAATAATCATTATTATCAGAATCGTCTTGATACCCAATGTCCCTGTTTCATGTTCCTATGACGAAAATACAATACCAAAAAAAAGGGGGTTTAACAGGAGTTCTTTTTTTTTCGTGGAGATCCTAACCAGATGAACACACTCAACCTATAGCCAATCACACGTGAGCCGCTCGCTAGCACGTATATAAAAAGGCAGAACAAAAAAAACTCTTTTTTTGTTTGGTTTATACAAGTCTTGAACATCTCTTTACACATCCTTATCATTATATATATATATATATATATTTAAAAAGAAGATGTTAGAATATCTTGCTCCAGAAATCATAGCCCATATTGCCGACTATCTTCCCGAACAATCGGCCGGAGAACTAGCTCAAACATGCCAATCTTGCTACAATGCTGTCTTGCCTCGGATCTGGCAGCAACTATCGATTGTTGAGCCAGAACATCTGTCTCGTATTGCACACCGTCTGCAGAGCAACAGATCATGGAACCAGAATGCAATCAGATTTGTTCGAAGTGTAAATTTTTCAAAAAAGAACAACCTGCTTCATTCGATCTATCCATCACACTTGGCTGCCATTCTTGGCTACACGATTTCTGGCCTTGACGACGATACCCGAGCAGCACACAGACCAGAATCACTGATCCCAAGAAAAAATCAACCCATGGACGACTTTGCCCGCAACCTACTCATATTGTTTCCTAATATTTCAAACTTGGATCTAGAATGCGATCTGATGCTCTCAAGCTTTTGCTGTGGAACAGGAGCCACCAAAGACCAAGGTCAACCAAGACATGATTCTCCGTATGGATTCAATGGTGCCCTGAGACTACGAGATTATACCACCGGAAACACCGCTCTTTTGAGAGCCATGTTGGACTATTTCCCTAATATCCAGGAACTGACCTTGGAAGGTTCCCGGATTGTATCGATCTGTGACGACATTGATGCTTCTATTCTTTCAAAACAAGACATCATTGCTTTGACCTCTTTTGACTCAAGAATGCTCGGTCGACTATCACTGAGCTATTTAAGCCACACAATACCCTTATCATACTATCAGTCACTGTTTTTGTGCTTACCAGAATTATATGATCTCTCGCTAGAATGGTTCTATCCTCCTACAAAAGAATACTATATAGCTCTCTCAAGGCTTATCCAAAATACCTTTTCTTTAACTCCAGGATCTGTTAATACTTCCAAAAATTCTTATAAAGTACGATTTACCTATCGATCAAACAAATAATCCTTTTATATGTATATATATATATATTTTTCAAAAATAAAAATAAAATAAAAATATTTACACACTATATCATATATATATAAAACTTTCTTCTTTCTCGATCTCACATAAGGAAACTTAAGCTGTGTTTTAAACCCACTTCTTGAAAGGATTCAAGTCACGCAAGCAGTCCGAAAATTATTTGTGAAAAATAGCAAAAAAATGAAAGTTGATACCGCTTTGTACCAAGCAAACATATACAAATGGAAGTGCATCGCTGTCGTTTCGTGGAATACCAACCTGCGGCCATCAATGCGCTCAACTTCACACCCCCTACTGCAAAGCAGACACGCTTGGCTGTAGGCAGAGCCAATGGAAATATCGAAATCTGGGATCCAGCTCAACGTTACCGTCTCGAGAAAACCATCCCAGGTGGTAAAGATCTTTCCGTAGAAACCCTTGTGTGGGCACATCAGTCGATCGTAGTCGATCAGGATCAGGACGATGAACCCGAAGAAATCGAACACGAGCTTGAACAATTGCTTGCCGCTCCCCCACGTCTTTTCTCGTCTGGACTAAACCCTTATATTATCGAATGGGACACAACATCACTCACGGCTAAAGTGAGTAAGGGAGAAAGAAAGAAAGAAAAATAGAAAGTGACGGAATGGATAAGAAAATGCAGAGATAAGAGTATTTTTTTTTCTGATAAGAAAATTACAGAAATCTGTTGATTCGAACGGTGGTGCTGTCTGGTGTTTGGCTGTCAACAGCACAGGTACTAGACTTGCAGCTGGTTGTGAAGACGGCTGTATTAGATTGTTTAACATATCCGACGGTTCCCTCGAGTACATGCGTAGCTTCGAATCACAAAAAGGTATATATATAATAGTGCCTTTTGCATAAATATTGCGGAAAAATATAAATAAGCTACTACTACTACTACTACTACTACTACTACTACTACTACTACTGATACTGTTGTTACTGCTGCTGTTGCTGTTGCTACTACTACTACTACTACTACTTTGTTATTATAATCATTGCCACTTTTCTTATTCTAACAAAATAATAATGCTGTATTTTCAGGCCGTATTTTATCTGTTGCATGGTCACCCGAGGATGATTTTATTGTGTCGGGAGGATCGGATAGTTCGATCCGTATTTGGAATGTAGTTACAGGAAGAGCTGCTCAACGTATGACGGTCAATAAGGTCAAAAATGACCACACATTGGTATGGACCGTAGCGGTCTTGAAGGATAAGACTGTCGTTTCTGGTGATTCACTTGGAAATTTGATGTTCTGGGATGCCGAGCGTGGTACTTTGAAGCAGTCTCACAAGGCACACGGTGCCGATATTTTGTCGGTTGTGACCTCGCGTTCCGGCGACCAGGTCTTCTCGGCAGGTGTTGATCGCAAGCTGAACTGTTTCCGCAAAGTACAACAGCAAAGAAACAACAAAAATACCTCCACAGCAGGTAACTGGGTAAACATTGGAAGCCGTCGATACCATTGGCACGATATCAGAGCCCTTGCTCTGGACGATCGTCCGTCAGTTAACTCGATCGTATCTGGTGGTGTTGATGTCGAGCTTGTCGCATGCCCGGCTGCCGAATTCCCACAATTGATCCAAAACAGACTTCCTCCTTTCCCTCACAAATATCTCATTGCATTATCAAGATCACAGAAACTGATCATGTCAACCTTCTTCAACTCCGTTTCTCTCTGGCAATTGGGCAAAGGTAAAAAAAGAAGCAAAAAACAAAATACAAGGGCTTTTGGATTTGTGTCGATCAAGCCAAGTAAATTTAAACTAAATCTAACTATAATTTCTTTTAAAAAAATATTAGCTGGACCTCTTGATTCAACCACAAAGTATCATAACGATCTTCCCCAGATGCTGGAGCCTCACCAACTGGTTCTTGATTTACAATTGAAGCCCGACTGCAATATCACATCAAGTGCTTTGTCAGAAAATGCAGAATGGATTTCAGTAGCTGACATAGAGAACGTCCGTCTCTTTCATGTCACAAAATCGGTAAGTACCAAGAGAAAAAAGAAAGAGGGGAGGGAGGGACTGACAAAAATTATATACATGAACAAGATGTTTATATTAAATGCATATCTTTTAGGATACCACTCCTGGTCAGTTAAATGTGAAAAAGGATCGGGCGTTCGAAAGTGCATTAAACGAGTACCTCCAGAAACACAACGCAAGTTCTGGAGCACATCATGTTCTTTTCACACCTGGATCTGATAAATTGATTGTTGTGACAGCGGAGTCTCGGATTCTCATCATCGATCTCCTCGGTTGGAAGGAGGGTTCATTTGAAATTCTCAGAGAGTTTGGACACCACCGGGGACTCGACAACGAAGGTCGCAGCACGGATAAATCAAAGGTTGCAACAGTGATTTCATTGGCAGTAAGTGCCGATGGCCAGTGGCTTTCCACAGCAGACGACGATAACCGCATTCATGTATTCAATTTAGACAGCTTAAAGGTACGTTTAATGAGTCGCTAGTTAAACACACAACTGTAATGGGATATAATATAATATGCTTACATTGGCTGTTTATTTTTCTTATATGTAATTAGCATCACATCAAACTTCCCAAATCATCCATTCCTCATACAGCACTTTCGTTCAATGACTTCCGGCCAAATGAGCTCTGTGTCGCTTTGGCATCAAACGAGTTTTATATTTATAATGTCGAGACCAAGCGCTTAACAGATTGGTCCAAAGCACACACTGACCAATCTGGTAGCAAGCTGGTTGAACAACGTGATAGAATCCGCGGTATGACATACAATCCCGAATGTCCCGACAAAATGATTCTTTACGGCAGCACCTACCTTGCTCAAGTAAAACTGAGTGACACTGCTACTTCTACTACTGAAAAATCTGCGAAACATCAAAAGCGCAAGTTTAACGAAGACACATTGAAGGAGGCAGATGAACAAAATAAAGATAATACTGAAGCAAAAAAGAAGGGATCCATGGATGTACATATTGCACACAAATATCAGCAAATCCTTTATTGTGGTTTCCTGGACCACAATTCTATGGTGATGATCGAACGACCGAAATTCAGCGTACTCGAGAAATTGCCACCATCCTACTACAAAGCACAGTTTGGTACCTAATAGATCTTTCTCTCTCTATCTTTTTTCTTTATAACAATAAATCCCACACACACACACACATACAAAAATACACACAAAAGTATTATGTAAAAAAAAAAAAAACAATCAAAAAAGGAAAGAAAAGGAAGCTCTATAAAAGGATAGTCAATTTGCTGACAAACTCGGGATTTGCTTGCTCCATTGCCGTTTTGCCATCTTCATCACGTAAAGAGATATCACACTGATGATTGTGTAATATTTTGGCTGTCTCCAATTGCTCGGAGATGTAGGCTATAATTTATATATATATATATAAATGATGGTGAATTTTTTTTTCTTTTAGCTTTCATCATAAACATACCATAATGCAGAGGTGTTTCCAATGTATTTGCCTAACCAACAATCGAAATCAAAGTTAAAATCATAACTATAATTGGGATCATAAAAATATGAGTATATAGATATGGATATATTACCTGAGCATTGATATTCGCACCAAGTTCAATTAATGCTTCTGCCATGTCAGGGAAACCTCGGTCACATGCATGGTGTAATGGAGTCAGGCCCTAAATATAAAGATATATACATTTTCATAAGTCCCAAGTTTTTGTTTTTGTTTTTGTTTTTGTTTTTTTTAAAAAAAAGGCAAGAGACTCCAAATATTACCTCGTCGTCTTTACTATTAACAGAATCGTTGTACTTTGTTACTCGCTCGCGGACCTTCTCCACATCACCAGCACATGTCAGGCTGAACAGATCCTCCTCTACTATTTCTTCAGTATCATAGGACAATGTGCTTACAGAAGTTCCAAAACCTCTTGTCTCTTCCTAAAACCAATATATAAGTATATATATATATATTAATTAATATTACAGAACAATTATTCACACAGACAAGACGATACAATTTATTCCCACATTTCTTTTTTTTTTTTAAAAAAAAAAACCTTAGTGCAAGACTTACATCAACTCCTTCATATTTGTATTCTCCCGCGCGGGACCACCCGACTTTTAGGGATTCTACGAAAGAAACATAGCCTTCCTTGGCCTCATTTGCGGGCATTCCATAGATTGATTTCCAGGCATCCCATTTTGCGCGTGCGACGAATTCAAACAAATTTGGTTTAGGGCCATTGCAATCACCAATAATCACTTGCTTAAACAGGGCATACAACTAAAAGAAAATCTGTGTAAGTTGGTGATTATGATATTTTTTGTGTGTGTATGTGTAAGAAAGACTAATCGACCTTTAACTTGTTGTCATTTGAAATAGAGATCTTCTCATGTGTGCTGAGATAAATGTAAGCTGATTCAAACCAGTCATCAAGTTGTGCAGACTCCATGATGTAACAATAGATAAAATGGATGAAAATCACGAACCCAACACTCCGCTGGGAACAAAGCAGCAGCAGCATCAGCAGCAGCAGCAGCATCTTTATAAGCCACTTGGCTCCATCTATTTGACAGCTGTCGCACGATAATCTTATTTTGTACCCCTCCTTTTTGTTCTCTTCTTTTTTCTTTCTTTAGTTCTTTTTCTCTATTTGCTTCTAGATGGCCAGCTTTTTGTTGTATTCTTTCCTCAGCCTTTTGTCGACTCCCTTTGGTAGCGTTAAGCCAGTCTCTAGGGCTGCTGTCTCTTTTACGGGTGGAAAGGACTCTATGTTGGCCCTGCACCGTATTAAAGACAGTGGATCGACTGTGGCTGTCCTGGTCACCTTTTGTCCTCCATCAGGAACACCTTTTAGAGCACATCCTCTGACTGTTATCAAGCAACAAGCTGAGGCCCTTGGTATTCCTCATGTTGTCTGCACAGTCGATGGACCTGACTACCTGGCTAGCTACAGATCAGAGATTGTTCGTATTGGCAAAGAGTTTTCTGTCGATGCATTGGTAACAGGTACAGTTTATTTGTCAATTTAATGAAATAAAAAGTGTTCAGAGTCAACCAAAAAAAAAAGGATTGAACGCGTCTGATTCGATGATACTTGATAGGTGACATTATGCCTGTGTGCAGCGATTTTATGGAAAGAGCCGTCCAGACTACTGGAGTATCACTTGTGCGTCCACTGTGGATGGTTCCCAGAGACGAGCTCCTGGCCGATATGTGGGCCCGTAATTTCAATATAATCATTTCATGCGTCAACTCTACCAAACTTGGCCTATCAGATGAAGAGTGCGCAGGATGTATTGGAAAGCAGTTTACAAAAGAATGGCTCAAGAAATTATGCTCCAAGAATGCAAAGGTTGATGCGGCAGGTGAATTGGGTGAATTTCACACAATGGTACTTGATTCTCCTCTTTTCCGCTACAAGGTTGAAGTTGAGGGAACTTGTGGTCAAGACAATAGTTATCTCTTTCTCCAGATAGACTCCACGCGTCTTGTCCTAAAATGATCTAAATAGTACTCATAATAATAAATACCCACATCACCAAATTATATATCACCATACCATAATATACCATATCTCAGTAGAGTTGCAATTGTGATGATATATACAGTCATTCCAACAAGCAATGTCGTTGACGAGAATGGAGCCCCTGAGCCCATGAAGTATATTATCAATCAGGATGAGTTTATTGTCGAGGCAATTGCGACTCATAGTGAATACTTGAAAAATGTGACCTTCAGTGAATTTTCATCCGCTTGCCCGATGCAGATAGATAGACCAAAAGATGATGACATTCGTATGAAAGAGGCAAATGTTAAACGTGATTCTGTGTACTATACTTTCCAGGACAAGGTTAGATTTTTCTGATCTGAAGATTGAAAAGTGTATGAGTACGTCAGCTGCAGCAAAACAATTGGGCATACACGTTCGAACGGCGCAGAGATGGGTGAAGCAGTATAACATGTGCCCTGACAACATATTTGTCAATTGTAACAGAGTTGGTCGCAAGTGTATTCTTACTGAAGAGCATAAAAATGTAGTTATCAACTTCATTGATACTAATCCCTCTGCCACTGTTGTTGAAGAGACAGAGCATTTATTGAAACGATTGAGTGATCTTAAAGTTTCACGCAGAACTGTTTATAACTTTATGAGAAACAAACGCAACCTTTCGTTGAAAAAAGCAGATTTCCATTCTATTGGAAGAAATAGCCCAGCAAAGATTGAGAAACGGTTCGACTGGGTTCGTAAATGGGAAAATACAGACATGAACTTCCTGACGAATTGCGTGTTTCTTGACGAGTCTGCTTTTGATATCAATATGAAGCGCTCTAGGGCTTGGACCCAAAAAGGAACGCGTGCCATTTTTACCAGGCCTATAACGAGAGTAAACACAGCGCCTATTTTGGGTGATATCTATGCCTCAGGTTTGATCACAGTTGGCGTACGAAAACCAAGACCTACTAAGAAGAGAAAGGCTGATGGGTATATAAGTTCAGGAACTGTAACGAGTCATTAAATTAGTTTCTTAAAAATGACTCTAGATGAAATGGACAGACATCCACATATGAAAGGTCACTATATAGTTATGGATAATGCACCCATTCACAAACATGAGAACATAAAGAAGTATATTGAATATTGAGGATATAAATGTGTGTATCTTCCTACTTACTCTCCTGAGCTTAACCCAATTGAACAATTCTGGGCAGTTGTAAAGAGTAAGGTTAAACGTCATTGGTTTCTGCAGAAAGATACTTTGTCCAAAAGGATTACAGAAGCCTGTAATAGTGTGAAGCAAAGTTATTTTAAAGGATTCGTCTCGCATTCTTACAATTGCTGGGACAAATGCCGAAACAAAGAACTCATGTAAATGGTCTCAACAATACAGCGATTAAACAAAAAAAAAAGAGAGAACGATCATAAAGTAAGGCAGGCAAATTAGGACCCCCACCCCCCATTATTAAGACGTGAAGAAGTGTTGTAGTTGCTCAGAGTATCTGTTTGTCGTGATGAGCAGAATTGACGTCGCTGCCAACGCAAGATGTACATTTTGCTGAAGCGACAGCTTCTATTTTTCTTGTTTCAAATAAGTCTGAAGGTTAAAGAAAGCTTGAGCCAAATCAAAGCTGTCAATCACTAAACGATCAGAACCAGGGTGAAGAAATATGATATCCCCAACAGAGAGTCCTTCATCGCAAAGACGCTTTTGCTTGGTTGATGGGGAATTGTCCATTGAGTTTTGGGAGGTGTCATTACCGTGGCATTCTACATTGGCAGATTTACCATCTAAGTCATCTTGAATGCACTGTTGGCGTTGTGGGGGCAGGTAATCATAGTGCACAGTTCGAAAATGGTCTGATAAGTCATTCAAATTACTATGATGGTCGGTACAGCATGGGCAGGCAAAAAGATCTATCACGGATCCAGTGTTTGAATCATTAGAACGATGCCGCAATTACAGGTGTTTTTTTGTTGTTGTTGTATCGATGGGTCAATTTCAAACGAGCAGGGAATACATATCCGTAGCCATCTCGAAGGTAGTTGCGCAGTTTTCTTGGTGTGCTGAATACATGGGTGCAATCATTGCTATCGAAGCAGCGATTAATAAGGTACACATATTGCTTTGCACCAGACATCACGAAAGTAGGTAAACAGAAAGTGTTTGGAGAAAGGCAAAGAGGAGGGTGAGGTATTCAGGATTGATTTTGGGTTAGTATCTCAATAATGGGAAAAGTAGATACTGTGAGAGTGTTGTTTATTAGGGAGGTTTGTGCAATTTTGCTTTACCAATCTCTTTTCCAATGTACTAGTATGGGTAGAAATGTCTTCCCAATCTTCTGAAGTTTCATTTTGGAGAACCTTACGGACAGCCTGGCAGGACAGCCTGGATAGCGTGTACCCTAAGTTTAAGGGGACGGCATTTCTTGGTGAGGGGCGACATTTTTATTCTACCGGAACACAAAACGTGGTCCTTTTTTTTTGGCATAAAATAACTATATCTGGCTCCTAAAGATACAGAATATTTGAATAAAGACATTCTTTTGTACTTTTCAGAAAAAGAGCGGATGAGGACTACTTACCAGCTGGTACTGTCTGACTGGGAATATAAGTTGGTTAAAGAAAGAGAAGGACATGATACGCGTAAGCAGGTCAATAAATAGTAAGATATCAAACAAGATTGCGTCACAATCTAATGGGAACCACCATCTTCGAAGTTCTCTTTTTTTTTCTCACAACACCATTGCTGTTTACAACTTAGATAAGGTAATTCTAATAAATTTTCCGTATAGCAAATGATATTATACATGCTCTTCATTCTTCTTGCTTTGCAGGATATGTTTTCCCCGTATTCGTAGGGTGCTGGTGTAGATTTTGAGTGGTCATTAATTGGTTGCTACTTTGAATTGCTGATATATTGTCCATCATACACTGAAGACTGATCATTGAAAATAGTGCTGTTGGGTTGGTTATTCATTTGAGGCTGGATAAATAGAAATATGATTATGTATAATATATCAACAAAATTATTAATAAAGCCTTAGAAAACTTGGAGTAGTAATTTATTAATTAAGGCAAAGATATAATTACAGTTTTTTATGAGAATGCTTGGTTTGTTATAATGTATTTCTTTGTATTAACTTTAGTACTCTTTATATACTTTTTTTTCAAAAAAGCACTGCCAATATTTAAAATGCTGCTGCAAACTACCTGATTGTTATGTAAGTTTCAAAATCAGACACTGTAGTAAACAAGGGGGAGGGGGCTGAACATGATGTACATTCTCAAAATGATCAAGAAAATTTCTCGATACAGTACTTTTGGGATCCACGATAATATTTCCTTGCAGAATATACTCGCAAGTAAAATATACAAAGGTCAATTTCAGGATAGTAGGATGAGACCACAGCCATTTGAGTGTAATGGCTGATTTCATAGCTAGAAGAATCTTGGTTGATTTGTACATTATTCGCTTTATTCTATTCGTCCGATAATTAAAATATATTTAGCTAAGCTATCCGGTCCTCCGGCTGCGTTCTTATCATAAAGGACCCTATTGATATACGTCAGAAATAACACACGGCTAAATAAAGCTAAATAAAACCTAAAAAGGTAAAAAGGTAAAAAAAAAGGGTAAAATTACATTGCAATATGTCAAGTTAAGATTGGATTGGGATTGAGTAAAATAATAAAGGAAGATTGGAAAGTTCATTAACTTTCACCAAGTAAGGTGCTTAAATGATGTCTACAAAGTGTATTATGCATATCCACTATATTTATCGGTGATGTGATTAAAGGGGCAGATAAAAAATATTTTGACATAAAGTAAAATTGTAGAATTTTGATTGTTTGCAACATAGGAACATCGTGAAAACAAAGGGACTAATATGGATACCTAGATAAATAAGTACAAAGATATTTACCCAATAGTCTCTATAGTCTCTATAGTCTCTATAGTCTTTGAATTGGACGGTCAATGTGAATAATTTATTTGTTCAGATCTGGTAGTAGCTTTTACCAACAAGAGTAAAAACAACAAAGTAATATCTTAGGAATGTATAGTATAAAACGATTATTTGGGCTTATTGTATTAAAGGAATATACTACTCCGGCTATTGGGAGTACGCTTAGGATACACATTCTTATTATTAAATAGCTCTTTCTTTTATATTAGGATATAAAAGAATAAGCACAAGGGAATGCATTGATTTTTAAGCTTGGAATCTTACAAGCCTTACTTATCTCATGATTATTATTATATTTTTGGTAGCCTGTATGATCCAAGAATAATTGACTTGATTTTAATATAATTTATCAGTTGATATCCTTATTCTACTCTGTTGGAACTTGCACACAAATCAATCGATCGTTATTTACAAATGTACCATGTACCAGCATCATCAAGCGACTGACTAAAACAAACGATCATTATGTTGTAATAAATTCAATCAGAATGCTGACCTTTTGGTTCTTATGAGAAGGATTGCATGATGACAGATGATCTATTTTATTATTATCATTCTCATTGCTCATAGATTTTGAGTTGTATTAGACATGTAGCCATACTTACCTATATATTTATTTTATTGCTGATGTCAGTTGGCTTCTAAGGATCAAATATAGCCTAGAGGGAGAAGAGAGGGGGATCCCGGCTGTGATGTATACAGTGATACAATCACATTCTGTTCCCAACACAAATATATATATATATGGAAAAATCAAATGCATACTAGTGCTTCTTTAACCAAAAAAAAAACAATTATAAAAGGGCACTTTCAAGGCAGTCATTAAAAGTACATTGGTTGTCTTGTCATAAAACCCAATACCTAGTAGAGTATTAAAAACTTAACTTTAAGATAATAATAATATTTTGGAGAGGATCGCCAAAGTCTTTCATCTTTGATATTTTATATCGTATTAAACAACCAAAAAAAATTGATGCAACAGTGAATTTCAAGAAGATATATATAGAAGGGGGGTAGTTGCTATGTAAATAACAAGCCATTGTGAGTATACATATTCTTTAAACTTTCTTCATGATTTCGGTAAAGCAGGGCATGGGTGTGCTCTTTATTTCTGTATTCTTTAATTTTGTAGCAGCAGGGTTGTCATGCCAAGATACACCTTACCACACCACCCCCACTATTCTCCTTCTTCTCTTTGGATTGGTCCAAGAACAATAAAATACAGAAAAAGTCGCACAAGCGGGATTGATCTGAGAAAGATAGAGAGGGATTGGTTGTTGTTGCGGTTGTGGTTTTGATACAAAGATCCTATATGGTCTCCTTTATGTTTTGTTGTACTCCTCGAGAAAGGGAGTATAATGGCGAGTATTTGCCTTGTAATTCACGTGCCAATTCAATAGAAGTTAAATATATGAAGAAGAGTATATATTAAAAAAAAGAACAAGTGTATAGTCTTTCTTTCTTTCTCTCTTCTTTGCTTCAAAAAAAAAAAAGGTCAAAAAGCAAGTAGAATTATATTTCTTTTTAGGTTATAGTTGTGGAGACTTTGTTGTATCACATCCTGAGAGTACAATAGAATAGTAAAAGGGGAATTGCCTACACCGGAAAAAAAAGGGAGATCATCAGACATGGATATCCGGAAAGTGCCATTTTACTCGAACTTCTTGTTAGTTAGTCCACGGGTCTCTTACACACAGTCTGTCCACATGAGTGCACCAACAAAGGGAAGGAGAGAGAGAGAGAAGGGGGGAAGATCAGACTTACAATGGCATTTACCAAGCCGTACTAAGCAACAAGAAAAAAATTATTAAAAAAAAATAACCCTTTTTTTTTCTTTTTCTTATTCACCCTTCCCCCCCTCTTTCTCTCTTTCTCTTTCTTTCTCTTTGATCAAAGGTTGTGGCTACACTGTCACTGATCCTTCTCTTCTTCTTTAACGCCCTTTGATATATGAATATTTAATGTTCCCTTTATCCGACTCTTCTTTTATATCCAGCACAAAAAGGCCAAGAGCAGATAGTGGTCATGGACCAAGTATGGCTACCAACCTAAATATACCGTCGTGGCCAACCCCCACCAACACACCTTCCACGCCACCAAAGAACTCCTTTCCTATAACCCACAACAGTATTTCGTTTACCGAAGAATCAATCAAAGACAACATGTCCCTTCAGTCAGCATATTCTGGAGAGTCATCTGGCCGGCCATCCCTTGCAGGCTCCTCCAGTATGTCTGTGCGAGTGCAGCGGTTCCATTTTGGCACACCTGGATCGTACTATTATCGCTCATCATCCACACCCTCACTCGCTCCCGACACATATTTTTCGAACACAAGTCACATATCACATGGCTCCGAGAGACCGAGCTCATGGACCAAACTACGCACAAAGGCACAGAGTATCAGAAGTGGACAGAGCAGTCGGCAGACCCATCGATCATGGCGTCTAAGGCGAGTTAGTTTGCTGATGGATCAACATTTGCCAGATTTTGAAACCCAGGTCTTCTGTCCCACATGTGAGAAATGGATCCAGTCTCGAATTCGCTACCGTTTAGGGTCCATGGCATGGCTTGTGTTCTTTATATTGTGAGTAATCTGTCTATGATAACAGACAAGATATATATATATATATATATACAATTCTTTCTTTCTTTAAATTCTAATTGCTTGTTTCAAAAATCATCATAATCATTAACAACAACACCAACACCAATAAGACTAATGTGTACAGTCTTTTTGTTTTGGGTTCCATTTTACGTAAAATATTTTAAAGGTAATTTGAGTTATCGGCAAGTTAATAAAACCAAGAAGTATATAATGATATTGAATACTTTATTTTATTTTTTTAAATTTATTTGTTTGTTTGTTTGTTTGTTTATTCCCAAGATGTCGTCCATTACTGCCCAGCATGCGGAACAAAGATAGGCAGACACTCGAGGATTTGATTGATTTGCTTGGATACTTCAATGCAAGAAGCATACTTTGCAGAACCTGTATTTCGAATGCTTAGCCATGAAACCATCCTTTAACTGATGAAAACAACAAGAACAACAAAAAGGGCCTGCTTACACATACAAAAAAGAGACAGAGAGAAAATGATGTATATATATATATATATATATATATATATATATATTTCAATGTGTATTATGCTACAGATAGAGAAATGTAAACATTTAGTCTGATCACACTTGTCAGATAGATCATAATCATAATAATTCCTACCCCCTCCCCTTTATTTTTCATTTTGTGTGGCGAAAACGCCAATATTCGCAAAATGGAAATTATAATAGTCTATTTAATTGATAACAATGACAATGACAATAACAATAGCAATAGCAATAATATTATTAATACTTTATTTAATATATAAATATAAATATAAATATATATAACTACCACGTTTAATAATCTTGTAACCCAAGAGATACCTGTAATCTACCAATAGCAAAAATCCTCTAACGTGGGTCTGGTTCAATTGCTTTACTTTTTTGTTGTTGTCGTTGTTGTTGTTGTATTTTGTTTTGCTTAGTATTGGATTCCGATAATTGATTTTCCATGTCAATCAAAAGAAAATGACTATCAACCTTCATATTGCCTTTAATGGAAATCACTAGAGAAGCTCTATGCAGATCTACAGGTTACGATATGTGTTTATTTGATAAAGAAGTATAATACTTGCATCTTTTCGTTATGTTTCTATTACTCTTGAATAAATAAAGAACCAAACGCTAAACTGTAATGCTAGTAATGATAACAATCAGATTCTGCTTGAATAATAATTTCTATACTTGTCCTTTTGTGTATATATATATTACTCTATAGAAACCTTTGCTATTCTTAGAGAGAATTGCCTGTTGAATGCCTAAACAATAAAAAGAAAAAGAGTTTGTTACTGAATATGTGATACACAATTAATAAATATATATTTTCAGATTGTGTACGCCCTCTTATTGGCCAAAAAAAAAGGCCAATAAACTGTCTGAGATCCACATAGAATTGCGGAAAACAAAAATCTGTTCATATATGACAGAATGTCTTTTATTTGTTTTATGTTTTATACAATCCTTTTTTGGCAGCTAATAAACACTACTTGTATACACTATACTTGCAGCAATAATATAAATAAATAAGCAAGAGCTGGGCCCAGTCCGTTCTACAGTGATACAGAAATAGAAGAAGAAGAGAGAGAAAAAAGAAGATCTTGGCTATTATCATACTAAAGTGGTACTGTATATCATGCATTGCATTTTTCATTTCATTTCAATCTAATAAAAAATTGAAACAATTCTAAAAAAGCTTTAGTTGGCTAGTAACAGCCCTAACAAAATTCAAAATATCTTGCCGATATTTGTCCAAATACATCATCTTGGATAATTTGTTTGGCTATTTAAATATCCATGGTAATAAAACAAAGACAGTCCCCAGGGGTTCTATGCCTGATTATGTAATAGAAAAATAAAGTATAATTTGCATTGATAGAATTTATATATAAAACCAAAAACCAAAAAAAAAAAAACTAACTAAAAATGAACATGTTTTAGTAAAGGTAATAAAGAAATGTATGAATTATAGCTTGGTTTTTATTGACAGCTCTTATTAGATCGCTATGTTTGTAAATGTACAATGTGCTATATTATATATATATATATATAAAATGCTTTGCCTTGGATCAAAAATATATATATTTCCTCCTTGGAAACAGCTTAATATTTGAGGGTTTGGAATTTTATAGATGTATATATTATATCAATTCAAGCTTTGAATATGTACAGAATACAACTACCGTTTAACAAACGGTAAGGACTAGCTGATATTGCAGCAAGAGTAATACTTGCAATAAAGAAACTCTTTATACTATCTAATCAATTGTCGAAATGGAAGACTAGACTTGGTTTAATTTTCCTGCCACAAAAAATATCTCGGAACAAAGGGCCTATTATCTTTATAGTATCATTCTGTTATTATTATTGCGATTTACGAATGTTTCTCTTTTTGATTCATTTCATTCAATCATATTACCCACAGTACAGTAGGAGGCTTATTTTGTGTAGGTGTTTGTGAATCAGCCAGGTAACAAGCCTTTTTTCGTTCTTTATCTTTTCGATCGGGATACAAGGGCTTAATAGTTACTTTACTTAGTATCTTGTGGATAAGCCAAGAATTGTTTTATTTAGGTAAACCATTCTTGCTGCAGTATTGATATCAATCAATCGAATGCTTATTCTCTTGACAGTTATTTTCAGAGTTTCTATACTTGACCCAAACCTTGTTTAATTGGCTAGATCCGGAGATCCCGGTGAATATGATTTCAAAATAAAGCGATGCGAGTATAAAGATAATATTAATGAGCCGGAACTGACCTATCCAAGCCAACACTCATACATATATACATATATAGATGTACATAGATATTGGTTTTTATCTTGTTCAGGGAATTCACTCGGGAACCTAAATTCCATTCGACCTTAATATTTTAATTATTTATTTATTTTTCCATTTGTTGGCAATACAATATACTATATATATAAAATACATATATAAATATCATATATAGAAAGAAATCAAGAAGAGCATGTCAAAGTGTACAAATTTATGACACTCTTTTATATATGTATATATATAAATAAATAAATTCGATGCCGAATGTAAAAGATGACATTTGCAAAGAAGCTACATCTTGAACATGACTGATGAAGATGGGGTCATACAAAATACTTTAAAAATAAAATAAAATAAACATAATTAATGTGGTATGTTTTATTATTAAAATAAATAAATAAAATAAAAAAAGGGGTGCAAGCGGGCTAAGGTTGGGTGACAGCCAGTACAGCCCTGGGTGTCTTCCGCTTGTGTGCTTCCGAGTCCACATCCAGAACACTTTTACTTACCTTCCAAAAAGAAAATGGTTGTCGACGTCATTCTTTGCCCTTTCTATTTTTTTTTCTCTCTCCTCCTATCCCTTTTGCCTTCTCTCCGACATAGATCGTTTTATGATGTCTTGGCTGAGATAGAAGTTAATAGGAAGGGGTTAAAGGGGATACTATTATTATCTGAAGGAGGAGGGGGAGGAAGATGATACAAGGATATAAGTTTTGCATTACAAAAATATAAAAAAACCCAATTTCTTATTCTTCTTCTTTTCTTTAATAAAAGATCAAGTACTATTATAGAATTAGGCCGAGAATACAAGACCTGAAGCAAAAATAGACATATTTTTTCTAGCGTACGAACCTAAAAGATTTTTGAAGCCAAAAAGGGCTGCTTGGTTTGGTTCCACGTCTTTGTATATGGATCGGCCCATTGGCGACAGGCGAAGAAGAGCCAAAGCGCCACACCACGTGCAAGACGCGCCCATAAAAGAAGGCACAGGGAGAGACAGACACACACATACACAGAGAGAGAGAGAGAGAGAGAAAGGGGGGGTGATAGGATGATATGAGATGAGCTTACCTGGGCCGGGAAGGAATAAAAATAGACTCTCTATAAAAATATATATATAAAAAAAAGGACCGCTAAATTTGTACCTTACTGGGGCGATCTTTGCATGCTTTTATTTTGACGGCCGCCCCGACGCTAATAAATGGCCCAGAAGAAGCTGGCCAAGCTCCTTTCCTTCTCTCTCTCACTCTCTCACATTCACTCTCTTTCTCTTCAATAATGGTCGTCGTCAAGAACATTTGCTGCATTGGTGCCGGTTATGTCGGTAAGTACTCTCACCCGAGTTCCTCGGGCCAGAAATGACTTTATTTCTTTCTTTGGGCTAAAGTCAATTGTTGATTGATAGGTGGTCCCACCTGTGCTGTCATTGCCTACAAGTGCCATGATATCAAGGTCACCATTGTCGACATCAACCCTGAGCGTATCGCCGCCTGGAACTCTAGCAAATTGCCCATCTATGAGCCCGGACTTGACGAGATTGTGTTTGAGCGCAGAGGCAAGAACTTGTTCTTCTCCACTGACGTCGATGCCACCATCCAAGAGGCCGACCTTATCTTCGTCTCCGTAAACACACCCACCAAGAAGACTGGTCTTGGTGCTGGTATGGCTGCTGATCTTGCGTAAGTATTATGAGGAATAAGAATAGTATCCAGGCATTAAGGAATAAGAGAGTGTTTATTATGATTTATTTCTCTTTGCTGACAACCGATTATGTATGTGTTTTCTTTTTCTTTTTGTTCAGTTACATCGAGAGTGCCACCAGACGTATTGCCGAAGTTGCCACCAGCCCCAAGATTGTGGTTGAAAAGTCTACTGTGCCCTGTCGTACTGCCCAGAGCATGCGCACCATCCTCGAGGCCAACTCCACCAATGAGATCCATTTCGATATCCTCTCCAACCCCGAATTCTTGGCTGAGGGTACTGCCATCAAGGATCTCTTGAGCCCTGACCGTGTTCTCATTGGTGCTCTCCAGACCAAGGAAGGTTTGGCTGCCCAGGAGGCTCTCGTGAATGTCTATACCAACTGGGTCCCCAAGGAGCGTGTCATCACCACCAACCTGTGGTCCTCAGAGCTCACCAAGTTGGTAAGTTTTTCTTTTATTATTATTGATGAATTTTAAGGGTGGAATATATCTACATAAAAAAAAGGGGGCGTTCGCTTATGTGATATTTATATATATATATATGTATAAACGAAATCATAGGCTGCCAATGCTCTCTTGGCTCAGCGTATCTCTTCCATCAACGCCTTGTCTGCTATCTGTGAGGCTACCGGCGCTGATGTCGATGAGGTTGCCTATGCTTGTGGTCTTGATAGCCGTCTTGGCCCCAAGTTCCTCAAGGCCTCAGTCGGCTTTGGTGGTTCTTGCTTCCAGAAGGATATCCTCAACCTTGTCTACCTCTCTCACCAGCTCAACCTTCCCGAGGTTGCTGACTACTGGAAGCAGGTCGTGACCATGAACGAATACCAGAAGAAGCGTTTCGTACGCACAATCATTTCCACCCTTTTCAACACCATCACCAACAAGAAGATCGCCGTTCTCGGCTTTGCCTTCAAGAAGGACACTGGCGATACCCGTGAATCTGCTGCCATTACTCTTATTAAGGACTTTATTGATGAACGTGCCCAGGTTGCCATTTATGATCCCAAGGTCTCTTCTGAGCAGATCTTCATGGATCTGTGCGAGCCCGGTGTTGTTGATACCCGCAAGCAGGTCGAGAAGCAGATCCAGATTTGTTCAAGTGCTTATGAGGCAGCAAAGGATGCCGATGCTGTTGTCATCGTAACCGAGTGGGACGAGTTCCGTGACGATCAGCTCGACTATGAGCGTATCTACAAGAACATGCACAAGCCCGCCTTCCTGTTTGATGGTCGTCTGTTGGTCGATGCTGCTAAGCTCCGCAAGATCGGTTTCAAGGTCAATGTGATTGGCAAGAACGAGCTTGCTGGAACTGCCTAAGCCAAAACAGATAAACTCCGTCCTTTCCCCCGTTCCCAGAAAAAAAAACCAAAAAAAAAAAACACGCACAGAGAGAAATGATTTGCCCATCATTCAAACATCATCAACCCTTCTTCCTTTTTGTTAAATTTTTTTTTCTTGTTGTGTATTTATTTCTCATCAATTCCTTATTTCTCGACTTCAAATGTCACCATTCCACAAGCTCAAAAACACACATCAAACGACGAAAAGTCCTATATATTTCTTCTTTTTTTCTCTTATCTCCCAAACCTTGTTATTCAAATCTTGGAATAAAAATATCAATTAAAGCATCCGAGTTCATTCAAATGTGTGCTACACCGCTCCTTGAAAATATATATATATAAGAAAAAGAAAAGATTCAAATAGGGCGGGCGGGGTGATCAAACTGCAATAAAAGATCCGCTCTCCTCCTCCCTCTTTATGTCTTTGTTCATTCTGGTCGTTCTTCCAGGGGGGTGATGATGATGGAATAGTTTTTTTTTAGTTGGGTTAATTTTGATATCATTTTCTTGAATTTCAGAAAGAAAGAAAAAAAACTCCCAAAATATCCCGGTCAAATTTGTATACAAAATAAAATAAAGTCTATCTACTACATAAAACTTTAGATGATCCTCATTATCCTATTTGAGGTGAATACCCGACAATTTTCTTGAAAGAAATAAAATATTGTCTCTCTCTTTTTTTAAGCAGATAAATATTCTTAATATTTATTTTCCCTTATCTTTTGTGTACTCTACCACTGATTCATTCACTGATTCATTCATGCATGCGTGCATTTTGGGTCAATCTGAACTGTCTTCTGTGTGCCTCAAAACACACATATTCCCGATGCCTGCTATACAGTTACGATCAAGATGTATGCCAAAATACTAAGCTTTTTTTCTCTCTTGTTAATATTACTATTATTGCTAGTCTCGTCTAGTCTAGTTGTGCGACAAAGAATATAAGCTAAAAAAAACCTGGAATATTTTTAAATTACTTTTTCTCTTATTTTTGCTTCTCTTCTTGAATCAAGAAATCTATATATATATATATTCGAAAAAGCTGTAATATTAAATATCAAATATTTTAAACAAGGGTTTCAATATAGGGTACTAAATTTCAATCTTTTAACAAAGTACTACTACCAAAGATACCTAAGCTTGATCTATTGGACTTGCTAGTTATAGCAGAAATACATAGCTTTCCGTGTCACCAATTAAACATATATTTATACGTTTATTTTGAATATTATAAATTGTTTTTATTAATGCAAAATTATATATGTTACTATCAACATAAAAGAAAAGCTATATATATATATTGGTTAAATTAATGAAAGGTATTTATTCAAAATACGGTATCTACACAACTCAGCACTTCTTGGCGTCCAATTTTTTCTCAAGATGAGGCACCGAATAGGAGTTGGAATAGCAATGGAACAGGATAGACCGCAAGGAAACCAATACCTTTTTTTTTTTCGTTTTTCACCAAAACAAAACAAAACAAAAAAATAAAGATGTTAACAAACTTGATTGATAAGATGATTTTATATCGAATTCTAAAGAAAACGTTTTTTTTTTTTCATTTCTTTACCAGCATAGACAATCAGTTTGGTCACAATATCAATGTCATAACGCAAAGGCTCGTCGTCAGAAATATCTTCTTCAGGAACCTTTTCGTCAAGCTCACGTCCTTTACGATTATGACATTGTTTAGCCTCTGCTACTCTACGTTCATGTAGATCTATTGGAGACTGCATCCCAACATGGTCTGACTCGGCCATCGAACTTGTCAGACCACGCAAATCAAGTACTGATGGAATAGGATGAATGCTTTCACTCTTGAGACTCTTGTAATATCTATTTTCAAAATAAAGTAAGAAATCATACCAACCTTTTCTTTTCTTGTATATACTTTACCTCGCACCAATTTCAAATTTACGATGTGGAAGGTTAAATGCCCTGTAAATAGGAGGCAATATTACATAGCACGCTTTCTTACAGGCCATTCTCCAAACAAACAGCACAGATACTCCCAAAACCATCTTTAGAAGAACAATCAAACCAGCCTTCAGACCAGTCTGTTGAGTAGCAGTGGATGTCAGAGACATGACACATATATCAGTGTGTTGGCATAGCCAGCTTCCAGGAAACAGACCGATCAATACACCCATAAAGCACACACTGACGAATAAACCATTAAATTAGTTATCCAACCCATTTTACATATATACTCATCATTTACCTATCCTCAAAACACGGACATCTCTCAAGAGGGTCAGGACTATACAGAAAGAAAGCAAGAAATGTTTAGTTTTTAGAGCCTTTTCCTTTTTTTAATAATATATATATATATATATACTTTTACTTCTTTCTAAAGTACACCTTGTTAATCAAGTCACAATAATCAACTTACTGGATCCCAACAAGTGATAGAAAGAGAGGAATTGTAAGAAATACTGTGGAAGAAAAAAAAAAGGCATAAATAAATATATATATATATATATATATAAAGAAGATACAGTGTGATATAATATTAACTTACCCCAGTAACCATCATCAGTAAAAAGAGAGTCGAATTCAGCTCTAAAAGTCCACTGGGTCCAGTAGAGTGCATAAGCCAAGATAGTACCGCCAACAACATCTGATAACCGATATTGAGCATTTCTTGATATGAGGATAGGTATTCTGTTTTGTCTGTGTACCTACCTGTCAAACTATGCATCCCACAGTAAAGTCTACCAAGTACTACACTGGCAACATATACTGCACAGCTAGCCACGCACACCATACGAGCAGTTGATTCTGGTGCAAATGTATCACATGAAACTGCAAACAAATATAACCCTACAGAGACTGAATTTGTTGCATGTGTTGAAGGGAATCCATATTCAAGTGCAACTGATGAAGACATCGACAGACGATGAACAGGAGGTGAAAGGGGACGAGGTAAGCACATAAAATCCTATTGACCATACACACACAAACGTATATATATATATATATATATGAATATAAAGACACGCACATCCAATTGTCAGTTTTGTTATTGACAACAAGCGTCTGACTCTTTCATTCTTTTTTGCTTATCACCTTTATAAAGCCAGACCAAAATACTCCTGCTGCTGTCAGGCATGCAACCCTATCCAAGTCATACATAGCATATCAGATTACCAAGGTACAAGAAATAATATATATATATTTACCCTCTACCAAGCTCAGCATTAGCAAACCAGATGATAATGGGCAAGAATATCATAAAAAATGTGTGTGTACCGAGATTAGCAGTCCAGAGAAAGTAAGCATCCCACCATGGAGTTCTGATGCGTTTCTAGGATGAGATGAAGAAGGAATGATTAAAAGAAGAAAAAAGAAATACATAAAGAAGTGTCGGACTGCTTACCTGGATAGCTGCAAGTACAGGTGTTTCTGCACGTACTAGAGGTAAGAGAGCTCGGCGCATCTTAGCCCGAAGTGGATCAAGTGCTCTGTCATAGAGTTTTCCGTCAAGAGTTCCGGCATCAACACTATCGATCGACTTGCTCGTCTTTGCCATAAGTAAACTTTTTATATATATAAATATTTATTATTATTATTATTATTTATTTATTTTAGGAGAGAATAAAATAAAAAAGAAAGAGCAAAATGGAGTTATCTTTATTTGGAATTATCTATTTGTGATACAACCTTTGTAAGTGAATAAGCGTACTTGAAGAGGTTTCTTTTCTTTTTTTTCTTTTTTTTTCTGTGCGTATGTGCGTGTACAACCATATTCCCAAAATAAGGTGTCGGAGTAGCAAGAGCCATAAGTCGCCTTTTATGGACTACATGTTCAAGTGAATAATGGTAAAGGTATATATATATATATATTATAACGTCTTTCTATGTCTTGCGCACTGTGGTATTTAGGCGATTCAATAATAGCTTGGGAATAAATGAAATTAATTTTCTTTTGGTAAAAGTAATCCCCCTAAATATGAAGGGGAAAAAGAAGAAATATATATATATATAAAGAGGTATCCCACAAGGCATGACAGGAGAGGTAGTCAGTGTGAAAGTAAGAAAGCATCGAGAAAAGAAAACCTATACCAAAGCAATCAATACAGCTGGCAAGAAAGAATACAGCAGGTAGAAATAACATAAAAAGATTCTTATTCAGAGTAAATACATCTGTCTACACTCTAATATAACAACCCCTTTGTCCACAGATCACAAAATATAGTAATAGCACATGGGAGGGTTCTGGGGTCATGTAGTTTTACTTGGGATCTCACTTGTCGAAATTAACATACACAAAAAGCAATAATAGTTAATAGTTAATACGGGTAAATGCTTTGAACCGTTGGTATGCCATGGTGCAGTAATTAAATGATCGATTTACAAAATTCAAGAGTTGTACGGTATGTTGGATTTTAATAACAAATTAGAGGAGTAGCTAAGCGTCTTATCCAAAGGGACAGACAGAATGTCAGAACGCATGTCATTCCGCCACTATGGAATCTTCAATCGCATAGGCATCACCAATTACAACCTATGACTGACTTTGTGATTATGTCTTTTATTATTAAACGCTTCAGCAGATTGTTTTTTTTTTTGGTTTGCTTTGTTCGCTTCTAAACACCTTCAAAAAGGAATGTGGAACGTTGATGTCATTATTCCAAAAACAAAAAGCAGCTTGAATGAAAGCATAAAGTTTTCTCTGCCCAATTCCGACATTTCTTGGAAATTGTTCGGCAATGGTTGATGCTACACAACATACGGTCTTCTTATCACTTTAGATTGTGTGGACCTTGATGGAATCAATCATAATTAGGTGTACAGATTGGGAAAAATGTCTTTGACAACACTTTGCTTCCTTTTTTGCTGTACTTTTGATCTTTCCTAATTTTCAATTTCAAAGGCCGTAAATTGTATGCATCTACTAATAAATACAAGAAAAAAAAATGAAATCATAAATGTAAGCGTAAATATGTGTAGCATAAATAATGCACTAAGTGTGGCAAAGCAGTTTCTCTTTCGTTGGTCTTGAGATATTATGCTCTATAATGTACTATGCTGTAATGTCTACATACTATGTTTCATCTTGTATCTTTTTGTATATGTACTTTGGTAGCCCATTCCTTTACAAGGCATATGCATAAATAGACATACTGCACTGTATAATATCAAACGTTGAAATATATCCCTTTTAATATCAATTCTCCTGAAGGAGGAGTTACTTCTTATTTTTCCAGGCATGAATCCCACCCAAATCATTGAACCCAGTTACATTTCTTTGAAAGATCAGTATAGTTCACGTGACCAAAAGAAGACCAAATCAAGTAAAAAAAAAGTCACGTTAAAGAGAGAGAGAGAGAGTTTGGGATTTTAGCAAGTAAAGAAAATAAAAGTTCTATCTCCGCTAATTTTATCTTCTAAATCTGGCAGCCAGAAAAAAATAAATATATTAAAGGTTTATCGATCCGTTACGGACAGTCAGGATATATATATATATATTTATATTTATATTTATCATATTTTTAACTGGTGTAGCTATTGCAGCAAACATGAGGACATCATGCTCGTGCATGCCCTGTTTTTTGCTGTTGTTTTTAAAAGTGAAATAGATATACTTGATAATCGATAGACACATTAATTAACACACAACAAGGACAAGAATGATTGTAATATATTTTGGCCTATCTTTAAACAATCACACTAGGTGTTAATAATAAGATAGTTATCTCCAACATCTTGATTGTAATTGCATTTTCTACAATAAAAGTCACTAATGCTACCATTGTCAGTAAAATTATAAGCTATCTTTGAATTTTTTTTTTCTTTTTGTATATATATATTTATCAAAGCCACATTTGTTATGTCACCAGTCTTTTATACAAACTTGTATACGGTGAAATGTTGGCTGAAGGTACAAAGGGTTGATATAAGAATATACATATAATTCATATTCTAAATATTCGAGGAGGCAGAATTTATGTCTGGGGAACGAAGAATACAAAATTCACAATTGTATTTTTATTATAGATTTTCTCCCGAAAGATCAGTTAGATTCGATGCTTCCGACGATTTACTGATAAGATATCCTTCTTTTTTTTCTTTCTTTCTTAGAAATAATTCAAATCCCGAATATTTGTCTTTATATTGAAGCAATAATTTTTCAGTTTTGTTCTCTTTATCTCTTCTCATGAACGTCAAAGCAGTCTTCCAGGTCGCCAGTCTTGTACGCACCGCTACTCCTGCTCGCAATGCATATGCGGGTCTGGTGTGCCAGAAGCGCTTGATGTCAGGACAGTCGAGCGATGCCGACCACGCCCACCGTCGTTCATTTTCCACCACCACAGCATCACCCTCAGTCGTAGTGGATCAGGCTTTTGATTATTCTCTTCCACCACCACCACCAACCCTCCTTAAACCCCTGCCAATGATCGACTTTTTTGCAACCCAAAAACCTAAACCCTCTTATTGCTTCAGTCACGGGGCATCCGGACATGCCAAACGTGGCAGACAGACCAAAACCATCCAAGACAACTACTACAAGAGTCGCCAAGTAGGAGAAGATGCCTTGTTCCTGCGCCATGATGCTATTGGAGTGGCTGATGGCGTGGGAGGATGGTCGGAAAACACACCTGGTAAGATATCTGGGAAATTCAATTACAGAAATAGAAATAGAAAAAAAAAACTTTTTCATTATATGAGAGAGACGGGAACAGATCTTCTTGTTGATTGTGAAACCAAGCGGAAAATCAAATGCATGTCACTCACGGACCTCTTGCTATCTAAAGGTTCCAGTCCGGCTCTCTATTCGCGCAAATTGATGCACCATGCCTTTCTTGAAATGGAGCGATTTGACAACCTCGAAGATCCTCATTTCTGTAGACACGCCGAAGCAAACCCAGTCGAAGTCCTCCAGGCTACTTACGACCACAGCATGCGCGAGGCACACCGCGAGAACCTCATTGGATCTTCTACCGCCTGTCTGGCCATACTGCGTGCTGATGAAGTTCGTGTAGCCAACCTTGGAGACTGCGGCATTTCGATCATTCGCAACAACAGCTACATCTTCCGCAGTGAAGAACAACAGCACTCCTTCAACTACCCTTTCCAACTCGGCACTCGTTCCAGGGACAGACCCAAGCATGCACAGGTAAGAAAGTCACTTTGGTCAAATCTGCAATCTGATGAAGTTTATTAACTTTTTTTTCTTTTTCTTTTTTTTAGTCTTTTAACGTAAAAGTTCAAAAGGGCGACATCATCATTATGGGGTCTGACGGTCTTTTCGACAATGTATTCGACAGCGAAATTCTTGCCACTGTCCGCAAACACGTTTCGTCCTATATCATTCCTGGAAACGAACACAGACCTGCCCGTGTTATGGAGTTTGATCCTCAAGGTCTTTCTGATGTCCTTGCCAAACAAGCATTAGATGCAAGCGAGGATAAACGCCACATTGACTCTCCATTCCAAAGACGTGCCATGAATAGCGGCTTCTATTTCCAAGGAGGAAAGGCTGATGATATTAGTGTCGTTGTAGCAGTCGTCCAGGACAGCGAAGACTCTCCAGACCGTCGCCTTTAAGCAAATCCTTACATTCATTCATTCATTCATTCATTCATTCACAACATGCATACGTACATTCTATCAATTCATTCATCTTCCACACTCTGAATCTGCACTACAACAACTATGCAGACTGTATATAATTATAGCACTAGAATACTACTTTACTTCATTAGACATAAAAAAAAGAAACATTCATTCATTCATTTACTTGCATACTTCATATTCAGTTTTGTCTATCTTTACATCAGCAAAATATCTACACAGACACAGACACATTAGGCATTTTTATTATTCACTTCTTTAATGGTTTTCTTCCAAAGAATAAAACGATAATACTATAATACAATCTAAGCGACTCCAATTTTTGTAATTTCTTATCTAAGGTTTCTTTTTTTTGATTCTATAAAAGGAATTGTTGATGGAGACAATATAGCCCTTTTGGGATATGCACATGGAAGGGGAGTAATTATAGATTATAAGATTATATTTGTCTGTCTGTTGCTTTTTTATTGAAAATAATATATGTAGTTTTATGTAGTTTTCTCTCAATAACCTATTTAGCATTCTTATCTAATGGCATTCTTGACCAGAATCTTTGTTGTATCAATGCTTTCTTGAAGGGTTCTTCCAGACTAGTAGAGCTACTGCTGACCAGGACTCCCTTATCTTCTGCGTATGATTTACTAGAGGAAGGGACCTTAACTCTAGCAGCTTTAAGGAGCTCAACTCCAGCTCCAGTTGCAGCAAGGGGTTTGCCATGGCGGAAAGTGTCCAGCACAAAACTAAGGGGCTCTTCATAGGGGAACTGGCTGACGTTATCCATCAGAGTCTCAATAGCTTTTTTACCGCCTGGTACATATGCAGCATCAAACAAGACGGAAGCCGTGGTAGTGTAGGTCTGGGTGATATTCAAGCCATCTTGATCGCCAAGCGCAAGACCAACATATTGTACGTAGGCACCTTCCTTATCCAAGTAATCATACATCTTCTTTGCATCGCTAGTGTCAGTTCCAGGGGCAGTAAGAATAGCGACTGTGCGGGTACGGATATTCTTGGCTTTTGGATACTGATCAATCGAAAGACCTTCTGAGGTCTGGTTGGAGTTCTTATACTTATTGGCCGGTTCTTCAACACCAACACCACTGGCTACACGGACTGCCAGATTGTTGTCAACATGGTTTAGGATCTCAATCATCCGCTTGCGAACGTCCAACGACTTGGACTTTCCGATCTCAAAGCGAGCACCATCTACCAGCTGTTGTTGTTCAGGAGGTGTAAGACTGTTCCAGAACAGCTGGGCCTGACTGTAGTGATCAAAGAACTTGGCACTCTTGCCACGTTCCTTGCGGCCTTCGACCATCTCTGGGTATTCAATATAGCCGCCATCCTTTGCGTCAACCATCGATGGAGTATCGGCTTGGAGTCCATTGGGCGAGTAGGCGACCTTGCCTTTGAAAATATTGAACTGCATCTGGCCATCACGCTGGCTGTTGTGAACAGGATTAATGGGACGGTTGATGGGGAGCTGCATGTAATTGACCCCGCCCATGCGATTGATTTGGGTATCGAGATAACTGAACAGGCGACCCTGAAGGAGTGGGTCGTTGGTGAATCCGATGCCTCGGACAACATGGCCCAGGTGGAATGTCACTTGCTCGGTCTCGGAAAAGAAGTTCTCTACGTTTCGGTTGAGGGTCATCTTGCCGAGAGGCTTAAAAGGCACGAGAGACTCGGGAATAAGCTTGGTAGGATCCAAGAGGTCAAAGTCGAATTTGTCTTCGTCTTCTTCTTGGACAATCTGTACACCAAACTCATACTCTGGGTAATCTCCTCTATTGATAGCATCGTAGAGATCATTACGGTGGAAATCACTATCCTTTCCTGCAATCTTCTGAGCTTCGTCCTAATAACAGACAACGTATTTATAAACATTACAAACATTTGATGAAAAGTGTTTATGTAGTTCTTACCCAGACAAGATTTGAAAGTCCTTGAAGAGGCTTCCAAATAAATTTGGCAAACACAGACTTTCCCTCTTCATTAACCAAACGGAAGCTTAAGGACATATATAAATATAAATATAAATAAACCAATCAATACATTATAGGCCTTTGACTTTTGTGTTGTTGTTGTTGTTGCTTATATATAAGGTACTTACGTGTGAACACCAAAACCTTCTACTTGTCGGAAACTTCTAGGAATACCACGGCCAGACAATGCCCAAAGGACGGTGTGAATTGTTGCAGGCTCGGATGCAAAAAAATCATAAGCTGTTTCATGTGCTGTACCAGCTTGAGGAACATCGGTATTTGGTTGAGGCTTTCCAGCATGGATCAGGTCAGGAAACTTGATGGCATCTAAACATCACACACAGTACATCAGTAAATCAGTACATTATCACACCATCACACCATCACACCTTTTAAAGCCTAGTGCGTTTACCTTGTACAAAGAATGGTGCAATAATATTCCCCACTAAAAAAAATATGCATTGATTAATTATGTTTCAAATTACGGATGTAGTGCTAAAAAATACTCACCAAGATCCCAAAGACCTTCTTCTGTGTAAAATCGAGTTGCGAACCCACGGACATCACGGACGGTATCAGCAGAGCCCTTTGAGCCGAGTACGGTAGAGAAACGGACAAAGACTGGTGTCTTGGTACCTGGGGTTCTCAAGAACTTTGCGGCAGTCAAGTCTGACCAGTCTTCGTAGGTCTCAAAGTAACCATGGGCACCTACACCTCGTGCATGGACTACGCGCTCTGGGATCCTTTATTCATTTAAATTATTATTGTTTTTTTAAAAAAAAACAAATAGCAATGTCATTAGTACACTTATTAAAGAGAAGATGCGTAGGTAGTCAGTTAAATTCTCTTCTTTCTTTCTCTCTCTTTACCTCTCATGATCTATTTAAATGCAACAAGTCAGTTGAATGTTTGAAGGGTTCTGCAACATAAATACAAGGAACGAATACTTACCAAAATGCATGACCTTCTCACGCATCATAAAATCCTCCATAAGAGTAGGTCCACGAAGTCCAGCCTTCAGACTGTCTGTATTATTGATCTTTGTACCAAACATGGTAGTTTCCTGGGTTCCGGCATCATTAACAGAGTATTGTTCCAGCTGCTCAAGTTTTGCATCCTGTCCACCACCTTCTGTCATTCTCTTGTGAAATGGACACTGGGCTGTCACTCCAGAAGATAAGACACCAAAGACCAGAGTAATTGCATATCCAATAGTATATGCTTTCATAGTAGTGCAAGAGTAGAGAAGATGGAAGAAAAGTAGGGATTATGTTTTGACCCGAAAGAAATGACACGGTATTTATATGAAAGCGGACAATAGTATGAAATGATTTGTAAAGTGTTGTCTATTTGATACAAAAATATATAATTATTTCGGCCGTCAATAAAGGAGAAAAAAAATAACAGTAAATATCCCATGGAAAAATAGTACAGCCAAAGAAGAAGAAGAAAAATGACCTATGTACTTCTTTTGATTTTCACTAACCTCAACCAAAACAATTAAACAGGTGTATTTTCTACACATACATATACATAAACATACGCCCACAAACATAAACATATACATACATGCGTATATATTGATCAGTTTTGAATACATCTTTGCAGTGCGCCAAGTCAATAAGGTTCGTCCACCGTTGCAATCTACGTATGATCTATTGTGTTAATGTTAATAATTTGTCTTCCATTGCATTGATTTGATAATATCAACTTTGATATGACCTCAGTTCAATGTCATCAAGAATTTACCCTTTTTTCACTTTCATTTACAACCCGAGACAATTGAATTCAAGGTCGGCCAATAGAAACCTATCCTTGGATTACTAAGTAACAACTACAGTACCGTGAATCTGTACTCTCGGTACCTGAGGCTACTTGACAACAACAAAATCACCTGCTTTCTTTCAATAATTGTACAACCTCAAATCACAACCTAAAAGTGAGATAGATATCTATCAGATTTCTCAAAGACCGGGTCTCATAGCATGTTTACTAGAAGGTGTTTGTTAAAACGAAGGATTTAATTGTTAACCGACTAGGTCTCTATTTGTAAACGTTATGACTTGCAGATCCAACCTCAAAGAAATTTAATATTACTACAGTATGTTGATACTATATGGTCTAAGCATATTTACACTTATACGTAAAAAGTACAAATATCATATAATACTACTATTAATCATGCCATGTACTTGTTACATAGAATGCAAATTGGTGTACTGTTTCTTTTGATAAGAATATACTAGTCAGAGCACTCTTAAGGCTGTTAATAATAATAAAAAAATACAAAAATTTATCACTAATATCAATGGGTTTAACAATGTCATTAGCTATATGTGTACACAAAGACACGGACCAGAAGAAATTTTGGTGCGACGACCACAAGCGCGGTGCTTTCATGGGAGGAGAGCGATATTATTGTGGCCATATAAGGCGAAAAGAACATCCGTATAGTTGAAATTTGTGGACCGAGGATGTACTAGGCACAAAAATATATATATATACGGAATTGAATAAACTTTGCCTCAACAAACAATATGGATAGTTTGTATACCAATAAATAAACAAATAAAGGCTTTCAGAATTTACCTTTTACTACCGCGTTAGCCTAGGATAAATAATGTCTGACCGGACAATGTACTTTAGGATAATGAATTATTTGTTTTTAACAGCCAAAAAAAGCATTTTCGCAATGTTTGGCCTAAAGAATAACGAGAGAACAATTTATTCTTATCGAAGCGAAGAAAAAAAAACACACGGACAACTTTGCTTAATCCATTTTTTTTATTACTAAATTCATAATATTTTTAATATACAAATCATATCTGCAAATATAAAAGTGCAGTTGACATAATAAATATTCTGATAATAGCACATGAGCACAACAAGGTTATTATCATATATGCACCTCTTAAAGAAAAAGTCAATATGAGATATCATGTTACTCTCTTTTAAAAGAATACTGAAAAAAATTTATATTAATTTATCTCATCTTTGGATTGTCAAACATGACTTTTGAATCATTTAACAATACCACAGAAAAAAAAACAAATTTGAAGGCGATTTAAAGTATATTTTCAAAAGCAATTCTAGAAGACTTGTTGCGTAAAACTTGCTTTTTTGACCCTTTACTTCTATGGATAATTATTTATCACTATTCTTTTGTGGATTTAAAAGCTTTATTCACACACCGAAGTATATTTTTTCTACATTTCATAATTGTATTTATATTAGATAATACACCACAAACTCTTTTGTCCAATTAACAATCGTTGTCTTCATTTATAACATGATTCTACCAATCGGTGTCTACACCGCCAAAAAAAAAACTGCTGGTTTTTGACAAAAGTTATAGTCTCTTTGAGATTACTCGTATATTTTTTCTTTCTACTGTGTCCCCTACAGCGAATATTGTATCTGCAGTATCAATTAATCAGTTTCAGTTTCAAATTAATAGTAAAATCAATTTAAGTAAAACATGTTTAAAGTTAGTATGTATTTTTTTTTGTATTAAAAAAATGAAGCTATATTTTACTTGTACCTCTTGATCACAGTATCCCAAGTATCGCTCAAATGCCTGATTTCCTTCTCTTTTTTTTTTAAGAAACCGTATTACTGCCGTTTAGGAAAGCCTGGAATAAAGTTATAGTATTCTTTAACATACCATTGAGAGTAATAACTTCAGCTGGTAGTATATATATATACAATCTGATTACTAGAATACTGAGGTACAAGTATATTATATTTACTTTGTGTTTAATTTTTACTTGATATGTACAGATGGCATTTCTTTGCTTTAGTTTTCCATAATTAACGAGTAAGCATGAAGGCTTTTGGAATCCCTGTTATGGAAAGTATATTCTTGGCACAATATATACTGAGGTAGACTTTCTTTGATCTCCGTATTCATAGAAGTGAAGCAAAATATATTTTTACTTTACTTAATTCTTGGGACGGAAGGAGTCTGTATAACCCAGCTAGGAAACACAACGGTTTCACCAGATATCAAACTTCCTTCAGACAATTGCCTAAACACAGTAGTGTATGCTTCTAGGCCCAAAGCTTGTCGGTCTTGCACAATCTTTTAAAAAATTATAGTATAGTTTCAGGTGGAGGGCAATGTTACACTGGCCCAAGAGTGAATATCGCAAGTTCTAAAAATAAATCTCTAATTTCCAGGTCGTATTATCGCAGAACTCTAGGATTTTTTTTGCAAGCATGCAGTATACCATGATTATTTGCTTCAAAAATCTTAATACCAAAGAAACTATTTCATACCAGAAAAAAAATTAACATGATAATATTGGTTTGATAAATAGCTTTGGTTTCTATAGAAACGACAGTCTCAGAGAAGAGCAACTTGTCAAAAACATTAGTTCAAGAATCCCGCCAGATGGGATATGCAATAATCCATGTAATAGTAATATACTAAATCTATTAAGTGTGGAAACCCACAAAAATATTACGAAGAAACGTAAAAAAAAAAACAGTGATGTAGAGTGCTCACATCAATGCGACATATCTAAAAAAAGGGTTAGGAAGGAAGGATATATTTATGAAACTTGCTGCTAAGAGTATTACTGACTAAACCTTGTGGTATCAAAGACCTATTGAGCACATACATATTAAAACATACAATACTGAGAGAAAATCAAAGTGTCGTTAATCACCCAAGTAATTTATTGCCAAAAAAGTAGCTATGTTGCAAATAATGTTTTAAAGTTTTCCTACACTATTCTGTATATTATTCATCGATAATATATTAAATATATATATAAAAGAAGTACTATGAGTGGAAGGATGCATATATATATCTATATATACATAATTGACTCGAAGGATATGACTCGCTACTTGTTTTTCTACTAATATTGTCCCTTAACAATTGCACTATTTAAGCAAAGATAATTTAAACATATTCTTTATTAAAGCTGTATGTTTTATTTCTAATAAGCACATATACATATATGTCTTTGAGACCTACTCATTCAAGTATTATACCTTATTGGGCATCGTACATCTCCAACTTAATAAAATGCATTTTTCATTCTTGTAAAAGATTCATATTTGCTTCATAGTGAGGCTCACAAAAATAACATAAAGATTATTTACCAGGTTACAAAATAAGAGTTATGAGGAGAAATCAAGACGGTTTCTCATACAGCCTCGAAATTCGATATTTATTTTTAGAACTTGCGATCGTTAGTCCTGGGGCCAGTGCAAAATTGACTTCCACTTAATGCGATTCTACTTTTTTGAAAGTGGATACAATACAATACAATACAATACAATACAATAAAATTAAATCTATTTTTATTCTACTTTCCAAAGGTGATCCACTAAAGCTTACATATTAAACTTATATATTTTAGAATCCTATTGTTCTGTATGCCAGTTAGTAAAGTACCTGTTTCGCACATTTTTTGTTATATTGATGTCAAAAATGCATATTTATTTTTATCATAAATTTATATATAGCTTGAATAGCATTAGAAATAAAAGAAGAGCCTAAATAAGATCTAAATCATAACATCCACAGTGCAGCGTTTACTGAAGGAATGTACACGTGATTCTAGAGTAAAATACCCACAGTATCTAATTCAAACAATTGGATTTAAACTTGTGTATCAAATAAAATGAAGAACCTAGTGTTCAATTAGTTGTATAACGCTCTTTCAGCAAAGACTGCTATGTGGATAGTGTATTACTCTTATACCTGTTAAACAATAGAGATATATCGCAAAAAGCAAATGATATCAAACGCAAACTCACAAAAAAAGCCCTATGCCTATAAATACCCAACTTGGGAGCCTATATAAAGATGATCTTCATTGGGTGTTAAACTAACTTGTCGTGTAACATACACAATGATGAAGTATTTATCATTAGACTGTATCTTTAATAAATATATATATGGAAAATGTAGATAAAGCACCCAAAAACCATGCCTGGAAATTCAATCTCTTTGATGAATCGAAAAGCTGTTCACAGTAAAGCTTACAATTATTATAAGCATTCGCAGCAGTAAGACAGACCCTAAAACATGGATCAAAGGAACAGAAAGGAGAGTGGTAACAAAAAAAGAATTTATACTAAATCTTATGGCCTAGGAAAGAAATATAGCATACTTCGGCTCAATTGAAATGGCATAAATCGTCCCGTAGCCATGAAAACAGAAGCCACTTGAAGAAGTGGAGTTTGTACAAGGCCAATCAACTGTCCAGCCTAAATTTAGACAGAATGGTTACAATTAGTAGCTCCATATGGACACGCCCAGGAAGTGCTCTCTCTTACAAGGGAAAAACGACAGCAAGTGTGTCTTTCTCCACTAGTTCTCATTGCAAGCGCTTCAATGGCTAATAACGTATACTCAACTACAGCCCTGGAGGCTAACCACAACCCACCACAACCACCACACCATGATTTTGTCGATCAAAGAACCCCAATAGAGATGAATCCCTCAAGGTCCATGCAACGTTCCAAAACAGTACGCAATCTCGGAAATGCCGGAAGTAGAGTACGAGGCTTCTTCAAAAAGCAAAACTCAAAAGAAGTCGATTCAAGTAAACCCACTCAAAACATACGCGATGAGCCTCAGTCGTTTTCGCCTGCTAGTACCCAGCGACCGACTCGACCAGTGTTACCATCATCATCATCTTATAGTCCAAAGTCGCAATTCGAACAGGACAGTGCTGATCTATCTCGACCACCATCATATAATATAGAGCGAGCAGCACAAGAGAAAGGTAAAGTGTTGTATTTCTGCATAGTCGACGCAGAAATATTTCCATAGCAACGGGGTTATTTGTGCATCGTACGACAACCCTGCTTTTCTTTATCTAACCTTTTGTCCCTCTTTCTCATCTTTAACCCTTTTTATTTCTGTACTGCTGATAGATTCGACAATGGACACCCGAATCAGTCAACCACCAGTTACGAATGGCATTCAGAATATAACCCCTTTAACTACAGACAAGGGTCATGGTGAATCAGCCGAGCCGCTTAATTCAGAGGCGGCTGAGCTCATGCGAGAAATAGAGCAAGTGAATGCTTCAATTACGCGTGCTAAACAAGAGATTGAAGCCGAAGCAGAGAAAAAACAGACATTGCAGGCGGAATTAGATGAGGCCCGTAGAGTATTCCAGGCACGAGAGATGGAGTATACCCAGGTCGAACATAGTTTCTTCGCACACACCCGTGCTATTCGTGCTACAGACGACGACTTATCGACAATTCGAGACTCATTCAAACTACTAAAGTACTCAATTACTCGTGTCATCATGACATTAAACAAGAAGGCCGACAGAGCAACTGCCACCGAGTGTCTAGTAGCTGCATGGCCTAACCTCAACGTATTGGACCCTAATAGTCCAACCAAGGAGCTTGAGTCAGCGCACATCAATCTCTTGGCCGAAAAAAAGGTTCATGAGCACCTGGTCCAGTCTGTGTTCCGGTGTCCTATTTATCCTGGTTTATCTGTGAACGAGTCATTTGCTGCCCTTAATGAGTGGCTGATTTCGCACGACTCCAAGTTTAACGTTCGTCTCCGGCAACAGCTCGCGTCGATTGTGGCTAAGAACAGCAAAGAAGGGGTTATTTTCCAAGCAGGCCATGCAGAAAAAAAAAAGATTGCAGACATGATCTATAATGATATTGCAGATATATATGCTCCATTCGTGCGCGAGAATGATGCAGCTGTCGAAGAAGACAAACGATACTCGACCAAGATTACCGATATAGTCGACAAGGCCATGCGTTTGGTCGTAGCTATCCGTGGCCAAGATGTCGATATTTCCACACTCGATATCGAGGAAGGAAAACAAGCGTTTGACGAGGAGACGATGGTTGATGTCAAGGGCAAGACAACAGGCATTATTAGGTTCTGCATTTGCCCTGTATTTGTAGGTGGCGATGGCGAACATGGCTTTTTAGAGAAAGGCAAGGTTGTGGTAGGAAGCAGTTAAGCCGTTCTTTTACACTATTTATACTTCATACCATTTCTCCCCCCAACCCCACCCCACCCCCTCTTCTCCCATTTATTTCCTGTGTAACAACACTAGTTCCTTCATTTCAGTGTACTCTTTATCTACATACTATTCTTCTTTTCCAATGAATCATCAACTTGAGAATTTAAATCACGGAAGATCTTTTGAGCCGAACACAAGAGTACTTTATCGTTCAGTCACTCAAGTAGAGCAAAAGAAACCTTCAATTCCACATTACAATGGTCGACCTATAGGACCTCACACTATGTCCTCTCGAAGACCTAATCCTCGATCGAATGAGACATCTTACCAAGAGAACATTCGACCGAATAATCCCATCCAAAATGAAGCTAAGATTGATTATATTCCAGATGATCTTGTTCAGATCAATGGTGAATTGCCGTTGCCATTTATTCATCCATCTAGCAAAGGCACTGAAGATAGCAATCATAAATCAACCTTATTGGCTTTGGGTGGAGATGAAGAATCGACAATGCGTCATTATGTTTTAATACCTCTTGGAAAGGTAAATGAGAACAACCTCAATGCGATCATAAGATAAAGATGAATTGTATATTAGACAGGCGACGGAAAGTCTAGCCTTTTGAATGCCATGTTTGGTTATGAGCAGTTTGTGGCAAAGACCAAAGCAAAAGTAAGTTAAATAAGTATTGATATTCAATGGCTCGTGGTTAAAAAATATAAGCAATTTAGTCTGTTACTGAGCACATAACTGAGAGGACGAGTGTCTGGACTACGGGAACGCATGATGCCGTAATTACTGTAGCAGACACACCTGGTTTTGCCGATAGTTACGGTCGAAGTACCGAATTCAATATGAGTATTAAGGAGTACATTCTAGATATCGGTTCACGTTTGGGTATCGATGCATTTTTATTGGTGTTCAAGTTCAAAGCATCCTGGTAATCATGTCGTCTTTGATTTGCTATTCATAGATCATTCTCATCTTACATGATCATTTATTAGGGTAATGAAGGTACTAAAGGAGTTTGCAAATATGATGCAGGATATAGAGCCAGACACTTGGTGGGATCATGTTATTTTGGTTTTCACATGTGTGGACTACAACTCTGATATATCTACCGATATTTTCGAGAAGAAGCTCTATATCTCGAACGAATTGATCAAGACTATTCAAGCTGAATTCAACCTTACAACACCACCTACGTTTGTGTTCGTGTCTTCCAAACAGCAAGCGAATTGCGCCCATTTCTCGGGTAAAGGCACTTGCGACTGTAAAAATGAAGTTCACTACAAGCTGGATCGGATGAGGAAATTAAAGCAGGCCATTGCAGCCAAAAATGATGCTGGACGTTGGTTCCCAAAGGAAATATAAGTTCTCTTTTTTTTTCTTTTTTAAGAAAATGTTTGTACTCGTCAGTGACGCAAAAAATGAAAATTCAATGTACAAAAACGAATATTTCTGGCGTAAATTTACCATAAAATAAGTGCAGACGGTAAAATACAACCGGCGATTTTTATATTTTAAAGAGCGCCGTGGTTTGTTGAAAAAAAAACTTTATTTCTAGTTTGCCTTATGCTGTGAACAGGCCTCTCTTTGTTTGACCTGAGACACTCTCATGGCGATGACTGAGATACAAGCCTCAATATTGAGTGCTATAGAAACAAGTAATTTTTGGTTGCAATGGCGATTCCCCATTGACTTCTGCCCCGGGATATTCGCATGCAATGACAATCCCATACCCGGTACACCCATTTATTCCTCCAAGACGCAAACTGGTCTGCAGGCTCAGCTACTTCTTTGTAGTGGTGTAGGCATTATTTGTCTTTTACTATTCTGTTCCTTGCGTGTCAGGTAATGTCTCCGGTCATATATTGTGCGTATTTATTTATCTGACACAAGTAAGGGTGTAAAAAAAATTTAGGTGGGGTACTATGTATTCTCCTAGACTTCGTATGTCAAAGTAAGTTTCATGTTGAAGCGCATATAATATGCCGAGAATACATATTCACATTTCTTGTGGTAGGCATGCTCCTGATCATCTCCCAGATACCTTTTTTGGGTGGATATGGCCACTGTTGAAGACGCCAAATTCTGTTGTGCTCGAAAAAGTCGGACTTGACGCTGTCGTGGTAAATACATTATTTATGCGTCGTTGGGAAATAGTAATAATTAATATAATATACGCCTACAGATGCTCCAGTTCTTGATGATGGGATTTAAGCTATTTGCTTTATGTGGATTTTTTGGTGTCATTGTCCTTTACCCTATTAGCAAGATGGGGGGAGACTTGATAGACCCTATTAACCCTGACCCAGAAAATCCTGATAACTCCACCCAGCCTGACAGCTTGCTTGGTCTCGATCTTTCGGGTTACTCACCTGCATTTTTATGGGTTTATCTATTCTTTACCTATTTATTCTGCTTTGCTACATTCTATTTCACTTTTATGAACTATCGTGATTATGTCTACATTCGCCGTGAATATCTTTTGCGTATCGGAAAGACAATTCCTGCCAAGACAATCTTGGTTACAGGTATCCCACCCAATCTTCGGTCGGATAGAAAGTTGGCTGAATACTTTGAGACACTTGGAATTGGAGTTGTGGATTCAGTCCATATTATTCGCCATGTTAGTCGTCTACTAGAGTTCATCAAAGAACGTGCTCAGTATTTACGTCGTCTTGAGACAGCCTATACTGACTTTTGGGGTAACCCTTGCTACGATCCTACATACGATCCAGACCGTCTTTTAAGAGAAGCTGAGCGCGACCAGTCTCTGCATGCCCTTGACTGGACAACTACTGGTACCGAAGGTTTACCGACCCATAGTAAAGATAGAAAACGTCCGTTGGTGCGAGATGGCTTTATGGGATTGATCGGTAACGAAGTTGATTCAATCAAGTTTCACACTGATAAATTCAATGAAATTGATGAGATGGTGCTGAAGGCCAGAAAGCACGGAAGATTTCTCCCAACAAGCGTTGGATTTGTTACTTATGAAGATTCAATCAGTGCTGTAAGACACACGAGCTTCCCCTGCTTTTTATTTTACTCATGCTATTCTATATTTCATTCTAGTCTATTGCTTCCCAGGTACTCATTTCGTCTACACCCTTTCGGCTACGGGCCCATCTTGCTCCTGAGCCAAGGGATGTCTTGTGGGAGAATATAGCTATGCACGGGAGAGAAAGGGTCATTCGAAAAGGAATGATATGGTTTATCCTCTTGTTTCTCGTCTTCTTCTGGGTCATTCCAATTTCTTACTTCTCTGCTCTTACCAGTGAAAACTCACTAAGAAACTATTTCCCATGGCTTATAAAATTAGCAGAGAAACACAAATTATTACGCCAGATAATCCAGGGCTTTCTACCCACACTTGGTGTCAACATATTTATGGCTTTTTTGCCCTTGATTCTTAATGGTATGCACCAGATCCGCTATGTCTGCAGGCGAAGCTTATTGTTGAACTCACGACACAACATTTTTTCCTTTGTATCATAAAATAGGACTTAGTGTAATTGAAGGATTCCCGACACGTAGTGAAGCAGAGGAATCTACCTTTAGCAAGTAAGTATTAAAAAAAGAAGAAGCAACAAAATCTGCTGTGACCCTACTAATAGTTTGCTTAGACACTTTTTCTTCCTCCTGTTCAACGTCTTGCTAGTCTTTACTATCTCAAGTGCTCTGTTCAAGGCATTGACGGAAATGATTGAAGATCCTACCAAAATATCCCAGATCTTGGCAACAAGGCTTCCCCAGGTCGCCCCCTTCTTTGTCAACTACACAGTAATGCAAGGCATGATGCTGTAAGTTGCTTTAACATATTAGCCAATAGACATCTGTCCCGGAATTGACATTTTATGTTGAAACAGGCTTCCAATACAGCTCTTGCAGATCGGTCCGATCATTGTCCAGCTACTGCAAGGTACCTTTTTTTGCAAGACTCCTCGGGACTACGCAGAAGTTTTGGCACCTCGCATGTACAATTATGGATCAGGCTACCCAGTCCCAGTGTTTATGTTTGTTGTATTACTGGTCTATTCTACCATCAGCCCACTTATCCTGCTGTTTGGTGCTGTTTACTACGGCTTGGCCTACTTAGTATTTAAGTATCAGCTCCTGTATGGTAAGTAGAGCTCATTATGAAACCTTTGATGGTCAATTCATTTGTGCTCATTCTCTATTCGTTCCACTTTAGTTTATTTTCATCCCTACGAAGTAGCGGGCAGAATGTGGCCCCTTGTGTTCTCACGCATCATCGTTGGACTTTTACTCTTTGAGTTGACATCCTCTGGATTGTTTGTGCTGAGACGTGCCTATCCCCTGGCTGGTCTCTGCCTTCCTCTGATTATACTTACCATTGCATTTAAGATTGGAATGGAGGCAGCTTACCAAAAAAACACCCAGTTTCTACCCCTTCAATTGTTAGCCGAACGGTTTGGCCCAATGGCTTCGACTGTGGCTGAGCCTCCCAAGTCGAATGCTCCTCCTTCTGAACGATCGATCCACCCGATGTCCAATGATATCACCAGTGAAGTGGCAACTGAGACTCCTTCGCAACTCGAAAACGTTCTGGATAATGGACTTAATGCCTCTGAAGCAAATGAGCTTAATCATGCATTAGACGGAGGGTCGAGAAGTGATATTGGACATGCAATTGACGAAAGATTGGGTCATACAGCTGATGATGTACTCCGAAATGACGCTGATAATGAAAATGTACCAGTTATGAAACCACTCCGTCGAAGACGGACGGTGCTGGACGAGGATGATTATACAGCAGAGCCTCGTCAGTATACCGACTTTAAAGAGCCTCCTATGACCTTGTTAGACGGTATTCTCAATACGGGGATGAAGCAGTATGGTCACCCTGCTCTTCTTGGTGTTCTTCCTCAACTATGGTTACCTATCAAGGCAGGTCATACAATAAATTCAGGAGTATGCTATGGCTCTAAACAACGATCTGTTGGATATGTGGCGAGCAATTCTCGATGTAAGTTAAGCAATTGTTTTGTTTAAAAGAAAACCAATTTTTTTTATTCACTTATATTGGGTACGGATTTAGCCATACATGACCATGATGGAGAAAGACAACCTTTGTTAAGTACTCCTGCAATCAATATTCGAGAAGAGTCATCGAGAGAGATACCAAATGACCAATTTAGGGTAGAGGAGAGTGAAACCGACGATGAATTTGAGGTGGGAACTTATTATCACCACCCAGAGAGACGCCATTCCCGTACATTAAGCAAGCACTATGGAGCAGCCCGATCACATCATTAATATTAATATAAATATAAGTATAAATGTACATCCATATATCCTGTTTTTTTCTTCTTTTTTCTTTTTCGTTTGTTTGTTTTCTGATACTGTACAAGAGTTAATATTAGATGTATATTAGCAATGGGGGGTGAGAGGGAGAGGGTCTTTTTTCTTTCTTTTTTGGATACAATAGACTTTATATTTAGCATTATTCTATATCAAATAAAGTGGTCAGAAAGGTAGTCCAGCAAGTAAACTTGTTTCTATTCATTGACGACAAGTCATAGATACTGTTATGAAGCTGACTGATAGGCTCAATGAAAAGCAGAAAACAAAGGGGTCCTTGTGTAAGCTTGTCAATGGTTCGATGGTATTGCAGAAAATAAGATAAATATCTAATAGAGAATGAGGGAGGTCCCTCATGTTAAAGTCTTATAGCCTGGTAGTGTAAGCAAAATCCACACTGAGGCTTAAAAAACATATTCAGGGGAAAGGGTTCCAGCATAAAATACTGTCGCTTTGAGAAAATAATAATAATATTGAAGGAGTTCATGAAAGCATGTCGTCTTTTGACTCCGCGTCTATTACCCCTTGGCAGATATAGAAAGGGGTGAGGGTGGGATGAGATGGGGGGTGGGGACCTTTTTCATCACCACGACTAGCGGAAAAAAAGTCATTTTTATTGTTATTTTTGTTTGCGATTTGTTGTGCATATCATTTGTTCTTTTATTTCAGAATCATTCCTCTGTCCTTTACAATGAAACCCTGCTCAAAATATCCACATCAAGGCGAAGATAGTGACCAACAAGTTTTGTCTTCACATAATACCCGAATGTATTCTATTCAACAACGCCAACAACCAGGTACTGGTCTACGTGGTATCGATACCGGCCTCCAGGTCATTGAAGACGACGATGAAGAAGAAGAAGAAGAAGACGAAGACGAAGAAGAGATGATCATTGAAGATACCTCTTCAATGTCATCCTCGCCTAGTATACCAGACGAAAATATCAATTTTGACCTTGTTTATGCTCTTCATACGTTTGTCGCGACAGTAGAAGGCCAAGCCTCAGTTGTCAAAGGAGACGCATTAATATTGATGGAAGACACGAATATATATTGGTGGCTCGTTGAAGTATTTAAGACGCGTGAGATGGGATACATCCCAGCAGAAAATATCGAGGTCCGTGTCTTGCTATACCGTTAAGCAAATCAAAGTATGCCTGCAATTCTAAATTTTCTATTTATTAGACACCTTACGAACGACTTGCTCGCCTGAATAAACACCGAAACGTTGAACTCACATCACCTCGATTGGAAAATAATGTTGAACATGAAGTTGACTTGCCTCGAGACGACATACCTTCAAAATCAAAGCGTGTGGTAATTGCCAGTGGAAGTGGGGCAACACAGATATTTCATTTCGAGGTTGAGTCAGATATCGAGGAATATGAAGACGATAGCGACGAAGACGATAAAACAGAAGATTCGATTTCAATGACAGCAAACGAACAATCAAAAGCTAAACCCACAACAACAAGTACAGATTGGCAAGAACAACAGTGGGATCTTGAGTCGCCGATATTGCGCAAATCATTCGAGGACGCTGGACGGCCAAGTAGTTACGAAGCACACGAATTAAGAGTTTTTGCAGGCAATATCGGGAAGGGACCATTATTCCATGCGTTCATGATTGGCAACACAACGACAGCAGAGGAGCTTGTAAAAGAGGCAGTGGTCCGCTTTAGTATCCAGGACTTTGCCACCGAGAATTCTTCAGACTGCACCATTGAGCACTACCTTGCAGTGCAAGGGCTGGACGGGGGTAGGTCTAAGCCAAGAGATATAGCAATTGACTAATACACAATAGCAGATGATTACGTTTTGGCCGGGCAGGACAAACCGCTATCAATCTTCAGGACCCTTACGGCACCTCTAACAACACCAATGCCTAGCCTGTCACACATAAAGCGAATATCACAACAAGAAAGTACCCTACAGGAAGGTAGAGTGATTCAGGCCCGCTCAAGACGTCCCCGATCTAGTAGCTTCAGTAGCTATGAGCAGACGTCGTACGATGAGGATTCTGTGCTCCGGTTCTACCTCCATAGACGGATTAAGCGGGCACATGAAAGGGAGGGGTTGATTTACATCAAGGTCTCCTTATACCCAGATGAAAATGTTGTTATCCCTTCCAAACCACACAACTCTCGTGACGATGCCTTTACAACGAATCCAACCCCATCTACTCCATCCAAGAAAAAGCTAACTGTTCACCGCACCGAGATCGACCGGATCGACAAGATCATCGCTGTCCGACAAGAGTTGCAGATTGGTGCGGTGATCAATGCGGCACTCGACAAGTTCCATGTGCCAGACGCAGAAGCAGATAATTTTGGTTTGATGGAACAATCGCACGACCTGCCTGGTGCAGATGCTGGTGTTAGACGCCTTGCCAAATACAGAATGTCCGTGCGTGCTAATGGAAAAGGTAGATTGGGCCTAAAAAGTACAAGGCAACGTTGTGGAGAGAGGGGAAGAAGGGGGGGAAATACGAGTGATTTTATATTAGGGGAAAATCAACTAAGCTCGCTTAAACTGAACTTGCATCAATCTTGCGTAGAATGGGAATTGCAACCTTTGGATCTCATGTCAACTGTCCTTCACCAGCAACATCCCTCGTCGCCTCACGGTCCAGTCACAAGCGATCTTTTATTCATACTTTCTCGATCTGACATTGATCCCGCGCACCGGCCAAGACATGCTCCTCGTTTGACAGGGGTTGCTAGGGCACTTTCTGATACACGCTTGTCTAGTGCTCCTCCGATGCTGACGTCGCAAGATAGACGTCCTAGTATCCTTGACATTTTGATGGATAGTCGGCCTGAGGACCGAAGGCCTAGTGCCACGAGTACTCTGGACAGTTCACGTGGAGACGAAAGAAGGCCTTCAACGGGAACATTGAACCAGGAACGAAAGTCATCCCTGACACCACAAGGAGGAGCCCCGGGATCCAGCCAGGGATCACTGGCTTCTTATCCAAATCATCCAGGAAAGCCAAACTCACCTTCTTCTGCTCTTTCTCCTCCTTCTCTCCTTGGCTTCCGTCGGTCATCCGTCACTTCCTCCAACATTTCCGGCAATTCACTCAGCTCAGACACGGCTATCGATAGCTCATCTTCCATGGCTCGCTCCAACTCACTCCAACCTTCAACTGCCGATTCGGCAACTGAGGCGGGGAAACGCAAGAAAGAGAGTTCATTCAAGCAGCAGCTCAAGCGGCTTGTTGGCTGGGGATCAAAGTCTAGAAAGACACCTCCAGCCGCCCTCTCTCCCCAGTCGACAATGGCAACCGCCACCTTCGACGTACATCCACTACAGCCAAGTCTGTCATGTACAACTTCTCCGAGTATGTTACAACCCATTGATGCTCGCTCTGATTTCAGTTTCGCATCAGCCCCCTGTTCTGCTCGTCAAGCTATGCCTGGAACTCCTCACTCAATGAACTACCCGAGCCAAAGCACCCTTACCGTACCAGAATCTACAGGAGGTGTTCGTCGCGCAAGCGCTCCAACAACAAGTATTAGCTCAGATTCAGCCAAACAGCCACCCAGTCGTCGTCTATCTGCAGTATCTTCTGTATCATCTGGATCCACATCCACAGATTCTGATACTGAAGATAATAAACATCTGGCACAGGAGATTGTTACTCACACCCCGGAAGACGAGAATATCGAGGATAAGGAGCATTTTTTAGCTGTCTCACTTAACCCTGGACTACCACCAGCTCCAGAACCGCTTTTAACTGATATTCAGGCGCAGTATGCTATGTGGATCGGAAGTCAAGACACCCAAGAGGAGGCTGTCCCAAGTCCCACTCCGGCCCCTAGTCAACCAGCAATAAGGTCTCCGCATATCAAGGTCGTCCCAACCGCTTCCAAAGCAGAGCCATATATTACTCCTCCGTCTCCTCCTCCTCCGTCTTGCTCTCCTCCTCCTCCTCCTGCTTCTATTCCTGCCTCTGTCTCTGTATCTGCTTCAGCCTCTGAATCTGCTATTGATTCCACAGAAAATGTTATCTCAAATTCCCCTCCTGCAAAGTTAGTAACAGATACCATTATTACTCCTTTGTCTGTGCCTTGCACGCCTGCCGTTGCCCAAATTGTTGTACCAGAAAAAATTCCAGCTCAGCCTATCCAAGCTGTTCATTCTGTTCAGCCTATTCAATCTGTCCGAGATATCCAGCCAGTCCAGCCAGTCCAACCGGTCCAACCAGTACAGCCAGTACAGCCAGTACAGCCAGTCGAAGCCCCATATGTAAAGACAGCACACCAGACCAATGCACATATGAGTAGCAATGGTCTTGACGATTTGTTTTTGCTTGTTGCGCACGGTGTTGATTTTCTACAAACACGCGAAAATTCCCAATGGGAAGATGAAGGCGGCTATGAATATCATCCATGGAACAGATCAGAAGGATCATTTGCTGTTCGAAGTAATAAAAAGAACCCCAAGCCTAGCATTTTGAAGGATACTACTGAAATAGCACCACTCTCAGTTGAAAAGGAAGAAGAAGAGATCTTGCCTAGTACCATACTCCTAGCCGATGAGAGCGAGGCTCTGGTAGCCGAGGGTCAGACGACAGAGAGTGTACCTGCCGAAGAAGACAAGCCATTGTCACCCCCTCCTACTCCATTACCACGACAACAGAAACAAGATGAAAACATTCCAAAGAAGGTGGCTAAGCCAGAGTATGTTGCACCACCTACACCAACCCACTTTGGTAACAAGGTGGTCCAGTCAGAAGGAAACATGGATGAAGTAAGGAGAATATTTGATCTAAAATCAGCTTGCTAACACACTTCTTTTCAGGAGCTCCAACGGATCGTTGCCGCTCACATTGTCTTTTGAAGAATCGAAACAAAAAAAAAGCATGCCCATCGTTTAACTACCTCTCATACTACCATATTTAACTATCTTTCTCTATATCTCCCTTTTCAATATCTTTCTTTATTATAATATAAACAAACAAATTGCTATTGTTCCTTTGATTCTTACTCAATCGAAAGATGATTCCACTAGGCTATAGTACCCCTCTTCTTAACTTTACACTTAAAGTATTAATCTATCGTACGGTGAAATAAAGCAAACATTATTTTTGTAACAAGACCTATCGACTTCCTGTCAAAGGCATATCGTCTTCTTCTAGATCAATGTCATCCATCAATGCTCGCTGGTACTCTGCCTCTCGCTTGCCTCCCCAGCGGCGACGATGTGCTCGTCTTGAAGTAAAAAAATAGTCTAATAAAAATGCTAGCCCAATGCCACAGGTCCCGCCTGTCACATTGGAAAGGATATCATATGGATCAAAGGTACGGTACTTGGAGCCAAATAAGCAAAAGGATGGTAATGTATATTGTCGGTGAATTTTATTAGTTTATTAAAGGAACTTACTGGTAATAATCCTTGTACAAATTCACTTAGTACAGCAGCAAAAAAAAGAATGATAGATGCAAATAGTACATTGCGACGATAAGAAAGATTCCACAGATAATATAGACAGGCACCAAGTAAAAAGAATGAACAAAAATGTAAGACTTTGTCATTGATCCTTCCTTCGAGGTTTATGGGTGCAAATCCGAGCACACCCATCAGAATCAGCAATACAAACAGAACAATGAGAACCTTGAATCGCATTGAATTAAGACAGACAAGAATCGAAATATAAACGATCTATTTTTTTAGGCAACTCTATAAACAGACACAGACAGATAAATAGGCTTTGTATGACCTCATCAGAAAATTAATCTTTATTTGAACTTGGTCGTTTTGCCTTTGATTCGTTGTCACGCCGTTTTCCCTTTTCTAGATAACAATGGTTAAGACAACTATCATTGCACGCCTATCAGATGGTCTCCCGTTAGCGGCTAGCATGGATGATGAGCAGGCAAGTAATCTTGCCATTAGATTTATTTATTTATTTATTTAAATATATAAACACATAAATAAATATACAAGTAAGTCAGTAATCTCATCCTTCACAGGTAGAAACAGAACTTGCAGAATACAAGGGACAGGCCAAGAGTATATTTAAGCGCCTTAATATTAATTCCGAGCCGAGATGCTCGATTGAGTCTAATGGCTATCAATTCCAGTAAGTAGAATGATAAAAATAATCTTTTTGATGAAGTAAAGATGGAATATTGAACACACTTGTATAGTTACATAATCGAAGGAGGCGTGTGCTATCTCTGCATCTGTGACAAATCGTACCCTCGTAAACTTGCATTTAGCTACCTTGAAGAACTTGCTAAAGAATTCAACATGAGCTATGGTAATGAAGTAGAGAAGCCTGGATTGAGACCATATGCGTTTGTAAAATTTGGTGAGTATCTTTTTTAAATAAACAAACTTTACTTGAATATACGAAGAATCTGATGGAGAAATATTATAGATACATTTATGCAAAAAACCAAGCGAATCTACCAAGATACCCGAACACAACATAACCTGACAAAATTGAATGAAGATCTTCAAGACGTTACGCGAATCATGACAAAGAACATGGAAGATTTGTTGTGGCGGGGGGATAGTCTTGATCGTAAGTAACAACTTTTTTTTTGCTGAAATTTCAAGGCAGATTTTTGGTTTTAATGGGTGTATGCAGGCATGAGCCATATCTCCGGTGAGCTCAAGGACAGCGCCAAGATGTTCAAGGACAAAGCGCGTCATTTGAACCTTCAGGCGCTTTATAGAAAGTATGGCCCTCCTGCCATTATCGCTTCATTTATTTTGTTTGTCTTGTTTGTCAGATACTATTGGTACTAATGTTTATAACTATAAAAGAAAGGATGAGTCTAGTATGATATCAGATTGCACTGAGTTGTGTGTTTTTGAAGATAATTGAAAATGTGGGTTAAAGTGTACTGAGCGTTGCCATTAAGACAGGGGTTTGAAAATAAGGATTGAAGGTAGATATATAGGGTACTCTTATACAAAAGACAGACCCATATACTTCTTGTAAGTATTGACTTGGTTTGATTAAGAAATAGCTTATAGGATCAAGTTTCATACTCTTGATTCCAATGCAGCCGTGTCTATTGAGCACCAACCCCCGATCCGGAGATTTAAACACAATATTTTATGCTATGCAAAACAAGTCTTTTATCTTTGGGTTTGTTCAAAGTATCGGGAATGTGTTTACTTTGATTTCCTGTGGCTGAAGATATTTTGTAAAGTCCATATAAAAGAGAGATTAGTTAAATCAATTGGTTCTTTTTTTTTACCTTGTATTATTCTTTTACTGGCGAGTCTTATTCCTAAATATACCACCTTTTGCTTTATTATGGAGAGACATTACCGTCATAACAAAGGACAAACATCGCATAAAGGCCTTTTCAATCTATTTCCTAGAAAAAAGAAAGAAAAAGTTATGATCGATTCAATTGACCGAAAGCAAATCCATACAGAGCCTAAGCGTGAAATTGTGAATGAATATTTTAATACTTCACCTAATATTGTTTCGCCATCTTCGCCACACCAAAGCTGCTGCAGCTCAACGAACATTAGTTATATAGACAATGATAATCTAATTGAACAGAACAACTCTGTCGATTTCTTTTCATCACCATACAAACGTTGTCCAGATACACCTCCACATGAATTGACAAGCTATACTACACCAAAATCGAGATCATTTCGAGAAAATAGACGAAAGAAGCATAGAAGCGTAAGCAGTAATTCCCATATTATCATTATTATCATTATTATTATTTTAAAAAATAAAACATTAAACCTTTAATTTCTATTCATATTTTTTTAGATTTTGAAATCATTAACAGTATATGCATGTTCAACATTCAGACACCGAAATCCAAGTTATCACTACAATCGATCTAATAACCCACGAAGAGCACTTACACGACCAGCAAGACCCAAGGAGGAAAATGTGCATGATAACGAAAATAACGACTTTATATTATATATACATGATATAATTGGAAATGAGCAAGACGGAAAGTAAGTTATATAGTTGCATATCTCTGTATATCTATAAAAACTTATAATGGTTGTTTTGTTTTATTAAATTATCATTGTATGTGTATGTTTATGTTTGAATTTTAGATATGTTGTTTTGGAGCTCCTCGGCTCGGGTACATTTGGGCAGGTGGCAAAATGCAGAGATCTATCTACCAATGAATTGGTAGGGATCAAGGTTATCAAGAATATACCTTCTTATTTAAAGCAGAGCCTTGTTGAAATTAAGGTCCTAGACTATGTAAGCCTTCTTAATAATAGTTATGCTTGTGTACTAATATATACATATAGTTGAAGAGAGAGTGCGATCCATACGACATACACCATATCGTACGCACATATGGCTCATTTAAACACAAAGGTCATCTGTGTCTTGTATTTGAACTGCTTTCTATCAGTCTGTATGATCTTCTTCAACAGAATTCGTTTAAGGGTTTACCAATGGATACAATAAGACATATTTGTGCTCAACTTCTAGACACTCTGTGTGTCTTAAAGCAAGCTAATATAATCCACTGCGATTTAAAGCCTGAAAATATCTTATTAAAGAGGTATTGATGATAAAAAGATAATGTAAGGTTTATTAACAATTTATGTAATTTTAGGCTGCATGACCCAGACATAAAAGTAATTGATTTTGGATCTTCATGTCTTGAGAAAGATCAAATATATACATATATTCAATCACGATTCTACCGGTCCCCTGAAGTGCTTCTTGGACTGAAATACACCGTTGCAATTGATATGTGGTCCTTTGGATGCGTCATGAGCGAGCTTTTTCTCGGACTACCTATATTCCCAGGAAACTCTGAATATGATCAAGTTAGCCGAATAGTTGATGCACTAGGGTAAGACTCTTTTTTTTTTACTATTATCTTGTGTGCAGAAATCTCTATAAATTTATCTGTACCTATATTTCCTAGACTACCCCCTCCATATATGATTCAGGAGGGAAAGAAAGGCCATATATACTTTTCAAAAAACGGAGATGGCTTTAAATTGAGAAGTGTAGAAGAGTATATGGAGTCCCAAGACAAGCAGGAGAAGCCTGGCAAAAAGTACTTTAAATCCACTAAGCTTCAAGACCTCATAATGAACTGCCCCGTCCGTCAGAAAGGAATGAGTCTGGAAGACGGAGAAAAAGGTAAGCCGTAAACAAATAAGAAGGCTTGTTTTTAGTTTTGACAAATTATTGTTCTCAGAAATTTCAGGAAGATTGTCTTTTTTGGATCTCTTGAAGAAGGTGCTTACTATAGACCCAAAAGAGCGAATAACTCCAGAAGAAGCCAGACAACATCCCTTCATCAAGGGATATAAGCCCTCTGAACCTGAAAATAATAGGAGAGAGACGGATACCAGCAGACCAAATAATGAATATTTACAAAGATTCTATGCTAGTCGATGGAAGGAATACAAGAGTAAACCATTAATACGGGAAAAGCGATCCCCGGACGTATTACCATCGCCAGATGAGGATATATATGATAATGCGAAATACGATTGTGCAAAGTGTATGTCTAGCGCCACCAGAAGCTGCAGCCGCTATGATTCAAAAGAATCTAAAACTTTAGACGAACAGAATTGGTGTTCGCGCTTTAATAATACGGATACTTCTTTACGCTACAGACACCGTCTATAAAATAATAATAATAATATATATATATTTAAAGTAATAAAATATAATAGTGTATATCATTTATCTTCATTCTTTTACAAGTGTGTCTAAAAAACGCGCTACTATTCAAAGCAGCGTGTTTATTAAAATCTATACTCTTTCTTTGGCTGTTTTGCCCTTGTTTCTTTCGTATCGAAATGTCAGATGACTTATCAAATTGCCTTGTTTAGCAAGTCAGTACTCACGATTTTTTTCCCTGTCAGCAAAATCAGAACCATCCCCCCGTTTTATGATTACACCTCTTTTTCTCTGCTTCTTACAACTTACTGTTATTTTTACTATTATTAACGACTCAAAAGGTAGGCACATACACAAAGAATATAAAGACAGTAAAAACTATATACATATATACATATATACATATATATGTATATATGTAGGCACATACATACTCAAATATTCCCTATCTATTACATGGTCTTCTAGTTCTCTTTGACCAGCAATCTTTCGTAGCTTCAAGAATTCAAGATATACCATAAAGACCTATTCGTTCTTGCTTCTTAAGAATACAGACCAATTAAGCGATCCATTCAACCCGACATACTATAATCTACATCTGCATCTTTGACAATGGCACATGGTCCGATGAGTGGTTTAAAAATAATAGGTTGGTTCACACTCAGAGGAGAGATACAGAGCATAAAAGAGAAAGGGACATAAAACAGGAGAGTATTAAATCACTCGAGCTCATATTATACACTTCATCCTTCAAAGGCGACGCTGATCCAATGAAAGTCATCAAAGTCGCAGCAAAGAGCGGAAAGACCGGAGAAGATATACAGTTACATTATTCAAACTACAAAGTAGCCGGGAATGGTTCATTTGGCGTGGTATATCAGGCCAAGTTATTACGCACAGGCGAAAGCGTGGCAATCAAGAAAGTTTTGCAAGATAAGCGATTCAAAGTAAATATAAGCAAAATTCGAATATGAGCAAAGAATCGATACTAAAAGAAAGGGGGTCATTGACTAGAATCGAGAACTTCAAGTGATGAAAAGTGTCTCCCACCCAAATATTGTTACACTCAAAGCCTACTTCTATAGTCAAGGAGATCTAAAGGTAACTTGAGCTACATATTTAAGATAAAAATAACCAAAGAGAGAAGGATCAACATGAGAGTAAGAGAGAGAGAGAGAGAAGACCAAGAGTCGGCTACACCTAACCTCTCTCCTGCATGTTCAGAAAGACGAGGTTTTTCTTAATCTAGTACTGGAGTACATTCCCGAAACCGTTTACAGAACAACCCGTCACTATGCTAAGGCAAAACAACATATACCAACTCTTCATGTCAAGCTATACACTTACCAGTTACTACGTGCGTTGGCTTACATCCATTCCCTTGGAATTTGTCATCGAGACATCAAACCTCAGAATCTCTTGCTAGACCCTGCTTCAGGTGTCCTTAAATTATGTGATTTTGGAAGGTAATATATATAGGCTTTGATGTCTACATATAAAGCGATTTCTACTAATCACAGTACACCAAGTGCAAAAATGCTTGTGGCCAATGAGCCAAATGTGTCCTACATTTGTTCCCGTTATTACCGAGCACCCGAGCTGATATTTGGAGCCACCAATTACACCGTCAGTCTTGATGTTTGGTCGGCAGGGTGCGTCATGGCTGAGTTGATGTTATGCCAGCCATTGTTCCCTGGCGAGAGTGGTATTGACCAGTTGGTGGAAATTATCAAGGTACTTGGTACACCCACCAAAGAGCAGCTTCTGGCCATGAACCCCGAGTATACGGAACACCGTTTTCCACAGATTAAAGCACATCCTTTTGTAAAAGTTTTTAAGGCGCGGACACCAGTTGAGGCTATCGATTTTATTAGTGAACTACTTCAATATGCTCCAGAAAAACGCCTGACTGCGATAGATGCACTCGTTCACCCCTTCTTTGATGAGTTGCGTGACCCAGCTGCACGACCTGTGACAGGCAAGGAGATGCCGAAGCTCTTTGATTTCACAGCCCACGGCAAGTATCGAATTTTTTTTTAAAAAAAGAAAAAGAAAATTCATTAATATTATATAAATATAGAGCTGTCAATAAAACCAGAGCTCATCAAGAAACTAGTCCCACCCCACTGTGAAGCAGAGCTCCTGGCTAGAGATATCGATATCAACCATTTCCAACCATTATTGCTAGACGATCTGAAACGGGCTGCTGTCAAGAGCTAATCTAATCCTACATCCTGACACTCAAACACACCAAACTACTGCACAACACTACTTGCTTTGATTGTCTATTATCCTTTATACATATACATCTCTAAACTTATTGTATTTTTTTTCCAAACATTTTGCACTACATACAATAAAATAGACATTAAAACAAGTAAAATGAGGCCCCAAAAGTCAAGTACTAGCTTATGACCGAAAAACCAATACTTACACTCCTTGGATCCTATTATAAAAAAAATGAAAACAAATAATAATTAAACTTACAAGTTTTCTAGGTCAAAAAATGAATGCACGATAATTGCAATGAAGCGTTACAGATTAATCCTTTGAATCAAGTCCATTAGAATCATTCCTTTGAATTAAGCTAAAGGAACATCGGAACTATATATAATCAGCAATCTATAAAGTTAATTCAGGCTTATCATCTACAAAAGTAACTTGACTCCAGAAACAATTCTTTTTTTTTTAAAAAAAAAAAAGCAGATATTTGATGTCAAACTGTTTTATGTGAACCAAAGAAGAGTAGGAAAGTCTTGGTGATAGAGAAGGCGTGGACTTGTAGCAATCTACGCATTACCTTATTTGGGTGTTAAAGCAATTTGATAGGAAATTGCTACAAGTCTACACCCTCTTTATTATAGAGTTCAACTCCATCTTAACCCTTACTTTTACGATACATACATATATAAAAGAACATCTTGGATTATTTTCTTATTTTCGAGGAGGTTAGAGTTTGTATGATTGATATTTATTTTTATTTTTGCCTAAAATTTATTATATGTGCGAAACATTAGTGAAAATAGTGTATCATTCAATTAAACCATATCTGCAGAGCCATGATTGACTATAGAGTACATATAAGCTTGGGCTATAAAGATAAATAATATTTTTTATTATTTTATGTGGATACTAGTATACATAGAAAAATAAGTAGTATTTTTTTGACAAGCATTTCTTATAGAATTTTGTATGCATACAACATTTAAATAGAAAGCGTTTATATATAAATGAAAGAAAACAATGGGGTCTATTACTACAGTATATATATATATATATAAACAATGGAATTGTAATAGAAAATCACAGACGATATATAAAATTCTTGTCTTCCTTGTCAGTTTTGTCGAGATAGACATCAGTAGGTTCAGTATCTTGGTTCATTAAGCGTTTCTTGTTTTCTCTTGCCATCAGCATTCGTACAAAGAGCATACAAAGTATAGTGACAAGATTTGCGGCTGCAAAGCCAACCATACCTCCGACATATCTTGGAGACTGGTTCTCGACCATCATAAGAGGTCCAATGAAGTTACCGACCGTAAAGAAAATCATGTTCATACCATTGTAGCAGATTTTCTTTGTATATCCAGATACATCATTTGAAATTATTGTGAGTGCTAGAGTAGTCGCACCAGCTACAGCCCAGCTAATATAATATCCCAATAGCTTAATTGTTCCTTGGGGGATTGCTGCCAAAAGAATACACCCAAGCATTGAGATAAAAGACATTAGTATAGAAGTGTAGATCGTTTGATTTGTTTTTCGAGATATCCAAACTCCAGTCAAGGCACCAAATGCGGCGGCTAGTCCTCCAGGTATTTGAAGAAGGATAGATTGAGTAGACTAACAACCCATTAATCGAGTTAGGATAATCAAATAGGGAGATGAATGTCATAAAAAACGTATAATGTTACTCACTGAAAATCCAAGTCCTTTGACAAATTGAGTACTAAATGTAATTAGACCACCGTTTTGAAGGCTACTGCACAGTGTAGCGAATGAAAGTAACCACAAACGGGGTTCCTTGATGGCCTCCCACATTTGGTAATATTTAAAGTGGCTGCTTTTTACTACTGCATTATCGCGCGTTCTTTCTTCAACAATAAGCTTTTGTCTTTCCGAGAGGTTTAACAAGGGAGAGTTTGGATCGTCGACAAGAAAAAAGAACACAATGACGCCAAGAATAATAGTTGCCACGCCAAAAATAATATATCCCCTAGAAAATTGATTTTAAAGATTGTAATATAAAATAAATTAGATATGTTATATATTTCAGAACATCAAGTGGACTTACCATCTCCATGCTCGCCATCCGCCCAGTTTATCCATGTATGCAATACCGAACGAAGCCACGGTGCCAATTACAATACCTAAACCTGTGCATATTGTAGTGAATCCAAAGCAGGCTGATTGCTCGGAACGACGATATAGACGCGAAAGAATTATGTATAGACAAGGATTGGTTCCAGCTTCAAACAATCCAAGAAGGAATCGAGCGGCTGCAAGTTGTGCAAATGTGTGACAGATGGCTGTTATTATCATGACGGTTCCCCACAGAACCAAAAGCACACCAAGGTATGGGCCATGAGAAACTCTTTGTAAAAGCAAATTGTTTGGTAGCTGTATATGTATAGATGAGTAAATATGTGCATGTATTATTACTAGTATTAAAAACACATGAACAATAGAAGAAACAATTACTGTTACTATTCTTTACCTGAAAAAGAAGATATCCAAGGTAAAAAATTGATCCCAACCAACTGAATTCTTCTCCTGTTAATTTTGCATCTTCCATAATTCCCATGACAGCTGCGATGCTTAATGATGCCTTATCACAGAACTAAGTAACCAATGTTATACCTTGTTATTTTAGGCAATCTTTTAATTTAATATCTTCCATACTTCTCCTTACTTGTATAAACACAATTGCGCCTACTAGTGGCAAGAAAGTCCAGTTGAGCTTCTTTACATATGCCTTTTCTTCATCAGATTTCTCAAATGCGATATCTCTGGATGATTCTTGCTCGATCTTGTTGGTCATATTTTTTTTTACAAAGATAGTGATTTATACAAGGGATAAGTTTAGGAGGGTTTGATGATATAATGCTATGTATATGTATGTGTAAAGAAAAGAAAAGAAAAGGAAGAAGGGTAAGTTAACTAAGTCACCTAAACGAAAGAGAAAGAAGGAAAGAAAGAAAATACTTTTGCTGTCTTTTCTAAAAAAAAAAACTGTAGTCTTTATTCACACTATAAGAGTGTGTTGGGTAAGCATCATAAAGGAGAGCGTTAGGGGTCAGTACTGATGGTATTCTTTAGTAGATTTCTATATCTTTTTCAATTTCTGTTTAGACTTCACGGAAGACGAGTAATCAAACACAATGAGCCACTTTCTTCATCCCCCCTTTTGATACCAATAACTATAAGATAGATAACTGTAAAGGAGTATTGATCAAGTTCTCACGATAGACTACCTTGAGTGTATTCTTACACGGCCTTGTGAGTCTGTGACATATATATATAAAATAGTTTCAATATTACCAGCTACTACTATTTGCTTTTTATCTTTCTTTTTACAAATCAAATATACTTGCCATTTTCTTGATCTTTTATCATTTATTCTTACCTGTGCTTCTCTCGATGCAATGACCGAATACATAGTGATACAAAACATGGTTTCTTTCTAAGCCAACGAAATTATTTTTTATTATTTAAAAAGAAAAAGAAGCAAGCAAGAAAATTATGATATATTAACAATATATAATGAAATCCTGTGTTGTATCCTTACTTTAATTACGAGCATTTTTTTTTGTTACTATTATATATTATACAAGCATTGGATGCATTAGTCCGCTTTGATCCAAATATATAGATATGCGTTTCTTTACTGCAAAGAAAAAATATTTATCAAAGTACTTAAATTAGCATGTAATTTATGCTTATCAAATGTGACAATGTCAACTCTTGTTTTGCATATTCCATAGTGGTATCTGGTGCAATGCTTGAGTTGAACACGTGACCTAAATTCTGCCAAACCCGGTTGGGCTGCCATGAACAAGATTTCCTTGTCGTTTTTTAATCATTCTTGTTCTTCTTTAACAACATGAACAACGACCCCAATAAGCACAATCCTAATCAGCCATGTCAATGCAACATTGATCGTGCTCTTCATGGACCAAATGGGTTTGTCTTTATTAATGGTGCTCAGAAACAATCAGACACACCTACCGGGAAATCCTATTTTGCATATAATATCCGTATTGGCGTAACTATCACCCCCTCCTATGTCTCATTCTACGATGAACATCATCCTTTTTAGAAGCATTCTCATCCGATGCACCAACTTGTATTATGCAGGATACTGAGACTAAACATCGATACAGTGAATTCGAATCACTTCGGAAATCACTCGTCAGATTACATCCTACAATGATCGTGCCACCAATACCTGAGAAGCACTCTATAGGTAAAAATGAAACACAAAATAAAGATAAACTAGAATAAAGTTACAAATATGTTTAGCAAAAAAATCGACTAATACAATCTATACATACTCCAGTTGATTATGCTGCACTTCAGACAAGAGTAAAGGATGACCTTTCGATGGTAGAAAAGCGAAAGCGTATGCTTCAAACCTTTTTGAATCGAGTTGCGAAGCATCCACAGCTTGGTCACGACCACGTATTTCATCGATTCCTTGAAAACGGTGTCGCATGGGTGAGTGAAAAATTCAGGGCTGACCATCGAGACTAACAAGAGCCCCGAGAGACTTTAGTCTGATGTCTTACACTCATCTCCACTCTCAGACTTGCCCAAGAACCCTCTTCAAGTCATTGCAAGCAAGCAGCCGGATATTGCTGCATATGAGGCTATTTTAGCAAACAGTTTAATTCCCACACCTACGGCAACCTATACACTTAAGAATCCTGATCCACGATTCGAGGAATCCGAGAAATTTACATATCGAATTGCAAACTATATGAGCAACAACCTCGATAAGAGCCAACGGAAGGTGATCCGCCGCTTAGGAGGTACAGTATACAAAAAAGAAATTCCCAAAAATATCAAACAATGACAAAGAAAAATGTCATTTCATTACTCAACTAAATTTATTCTGTGCATGTTATTATTTTTAGAGCTCGCCAATGATTATGCTGAACTTGGCGCAGTATACAACGGATTTAGCTTGAATGAAACTGGCGCAGTAGCAAATGCTATTGAAAAAATCGGCCAAGCAGTAGATGCTTCTTACACAGAAACAGGTCAAATGGTAAATAATATAAGATAAAATAAAAACAACAAAGAAAACATCATAATATATATATATATATATATATATATATATCAAAAAAGTAACATCATGAAAACCTTCTTTTTCTAGGTTACTGCTCTTGAAGGTGAATTCGCCGAGCCAATCCAAGAACATTCCCAGTTTGCCCACACTATCAAACAGGTTTTGCGATTCAGACACATGAAGCACGCTCAAGTAGAGTTGATCGAAAGTTCTTTAAAAAACAAAGAAGAAAGTCTCCAAAACTTACTAGATATCGAACGTGAAGCTAGCCGTCTTCATGATGCAATGACAACTGAACGAACCATTGGTTCCAATGCTCTTGATATTGATCAAATAAATGAAGCCGCCAATTCGCACACTAGTGGGGAGGAATCTGGTCAAGAAGAATCGCCTTATCTTAATAATGATCACAGACCTATTGTTCGAAGACGCTCCCGAGGCTGGGGTGGCCCAGTCCAGATGATTAGTGCGGTAGGACACACACTACAAGGGCTCATTGATGTTGATCCAGCTTCTACTCGTCACAATCAAATTGGAAAAACCAAAGATTCCATGGAGTTGGTGAGTTATATTTTGAGTACACACACATATATATACATTTACTTGCACATCAAATCATCTCATCCGGTATTTTTTTTATGAAGCTTCAAAAAGCTTTGGAAATCACTCGTAAGGATTTAGCAGCTGCTTCGATTGAAGTACAGGCTGATTTGGACAGATTCCAACGAGAAAAGATTAGGGATCTACGCGATATGCTGATCGCATATGCCAAGGTCCACATCAATTATTGTCAAAAGGTAAATTCGATCTATCTGATTCCCCAATTAACAATTTGTTTAGAATCTTGAATCATGGGAAGAAGCCAGAGTCGAGATTGACAAGATACCAAACTAAATACATGCTGAAATCGAATGCATTCAATATATATATATATATGGTCTATGTATATCTTTCATGTTTATTTCAACAAAAGAGGGATATTGCTTCTTCTTTTTTCTGTTTCTCTCTTTTTATTTCAATCTTATCTCTATTGTTTAGCACTTTTCTTTAAGTCTATTATAAATGGCTTGCTTATAGAACATCATCCCAGAGATCTTGAAGACGTCTCTCTTGAGCAAACTTGGAGCAAACACGATCATATACATCTATAAATGTATAACGATAAGTTTCTCGTTAGTTGGTTCGTTTGATTGTTTGATTGTTTGCTGTTTGAACAACCCAAATCAAAAAAGGGGAAATGTAAATAGAATTTACCTTTTCCATAGTGTTTGCACAGATCTGTATCTGCAGGCAAAGCTTGATGTGCTGTCCTTTCAACTTTGGTGAGGCACACAGTGTTGTCGTAGCTTAATGGCTTTGATCTGTCCCATCTTGCAAGTGCTACCCGATCACTAGGTCCGGACAAGATACTCTTACCATGCCACATCTCTTCAAAGACATATGATACATCATGCACATCTAGAGGACAGACTCTACATACAAGCACCTCATTTTATCAAAAGATATTCTTCCATATTCCTACTTAGAAAACTTACTTGTTATCATAATATTTCATTTCATTCATCATAAGATCCCTGTGCACCCGACTGTACATGCCGTTGCGCAGTTTGATAGACAATGGTTCAAAGGAAGGGAACTCGGCCAACTTTAAGATTATATAAGTCGCGATAGACATGCCAAACATGCTAGGAAGTGTACCTAGAACAGGTAATATACGAGAGCGGAAGTCTGGAAGGGCAGCAAAGTCATCTGCTTCCTGTACACGGTCCTCTTCTACTCCAGTAGGTTTAATAAATGACCGAATAAATACAGCAACTTCACCACTCTATTTTATTGTTGTTGCTGCTGCTTCTGTTTTTGCGCCTGCTGCTGCGCCTGCTGCTGCTGCTGCTGTTGAATTTTATAATGTCTTTACCTAATGGCAATAGCTTGACATGATGTGGTTTTTCGGTAGAATATGCAACAGGAACTCCGTGTTCAATTCCAACCTTCTTTAACTTTCGGCGTACGGTACGTGCCAATGGATCCTCTAAGGACACCAAACTTAGTTTAATCCAAATTTACAATATCCTTCCTGATGGTTCTACTAACCAAATGTTTCACTAATGTCTGCAATTTGAATAAGTGATGGATTAGCCTTGGCACCAGATCCCATGGAGCTGACAACATTAATTTTTTTTTCGTGGCAGTATTGAATCAATTCGATCTTGGTTTCAATGTTATCAATAGCATCGACAACATAATCAGGGTTTCCTATATAAGCATTATGGGGGTTAAAAAATTGGGTACTGGATTCGGGAATTTTGTTGTTGTTATTGTTCTTCTTCTTCGACTAGTAAAGCTAGCTTATATTCTATGAAATATTTGCCTGATAATAAATCATCCACATTATCTGCACTCAATAATTCAACTCGGGTTTCAAGTTTGATAAATGGTGCAATGGCTTCAAAATGTTTTCGGATAGCTGATACTTTGGAAGTACCGACGTCTTCGAGAGTAGCAACGGCGTGGCGATTAAGACTGCTAAGAGTGACTTGATCAAAATCAATAATACGAATTCGCTGGACACCTGAGCGGGCCAACATCAATGCTGCCCATGAGCCTACGCCGCCTGCACCCACCACAATCACAAAAGAATCGCGTACTTTGCGAAGGCCCTTTGTACCCAGAAAGTCGGCGTTCCGTACCAATTGTTGCTCGATGCGAGCTTCTGGCGAGAGTTTTGCTGTGATAGGGTCTACCTTGGCACTGAAGGGTGCATTGTAGGTCGTGGTCTGGGTCATGGATCGCAGCTCGGCTTTAAGTTCGCGTGTGCGACGTCTGCGTTGGAGGGTTTGGTAAGAGAGAAGAGTAGAAGCTGTCAACATTGAGGCAGCAACTGCTGTGAGGGTGAGGCGGGCGACCTTGTCATTGGTGTTGAATACACGCGAGACCGTTTCTACTAGGCGATCGACGGATGACATTCAGGATAGAATGAGAATAAAATACAAGGGGAGTAATCTCGAATGAGTTGGTTGTGACGGCCAGATATAAAATAATAATAATATACAATAGATTGTGTATTTGTGTATTTGTGTGTCTGTGTGTCTGTGTGTCTGTGTGTCTGTGTGTCTGTGTGTACATAATCCATGAATAATTTTTCGCTGCTTTAAAAACAAAAACAAAAATATGAAATCTGAGTTGTATTAGGGTAATTTATGATCGATACTGTATTTTGGGAAGCTATCTTATCTGTTATCCAATTAGAAAATACTAATAATGATGATTTTGATGAAAAGCCAAATGGTTGCAATTTAGTTTGTAAGATAAATATAATTTGGCTTAAAAGTATTTAATATTAGAAATATAAGCTCTTTTGATTCTTGAGGTCAAAATGTATTCAATGTAAAAGAATACTCACCATTGGCTCTTGTGGTCTACTAAAAAGGGATTATCTCTATAGTGCTTATATTGCTTTACAAATGTTGATATTCCTAAAACCAAAACCAAAACCAAGACTAAAAGAAGCCTTGATTTTTTTCTTTACATTTTATTTTTTGTGTTGCACTAAATTTGTGTGGTAAAGTTACGAAAAATAAAGGCAAAAAGAGAGAAATGCTAATGAACAATAAAGACTTTTTATTGTATTTCTTCTAATATCTGTTTTGGCTATAAATTAAAGTATGTGCTGTATTGTCAAAAACAGCATGGTCTTTTCATATATACCTTGTTCAATGCACAGTCATGGTTTTGGTTTCTTGCCCAACGATAGTCAAACACTGATAATGATGACTCTGTTTTGTCAGGAGCGGGAGGAGGTTGATTTTTAAAGGGGGGAAGAGAAACACTGTATCGGATAAAATGTGTGCCACAACCATTATAATAAATGATCAGTGTATAATACATCAAAACATACCAAAACGTTATTCTTATATCTAAAATAAATAACTTTACCCGATGAGCACACAATAACACGGCAGTAGACACTCTAATGTTCCTTTAAAATTTGCTGGCACTTTTTTGCATTTTACTCTATTTTTTATTAGTGTCATGAATTCAGCTTTTCTCTCTCTCTTAGTGAAGACAAGATCAAAAGTATCGCTGTTTGAAAAAGAACCATGTCACCCCGCTCCCTCGACACCACAATTCAGCTTGAACCACGTAGGTCCTTCATCTCTGCCGGCAAAGCAAAAAAAAAAAGAGAGAAAAGAAAAAGAAGAATCCTTGTCTCTCCAAGCGTGTATCAAAAATAAAATAAAGACATTGCCCGTTTCTTTAGAAAGCTCCTCTTCTTTTTCCCATCTATTTTATAAGCCTCATCTTACTCATCGGCACTCATCATGAGCTACGGCAAAAGAGACGAAGACAATGGTACGGTACTTTTGAAAATCCTATACTTGTGCGACGCGTTGGAAGAAGATGAAGATCCAATGGTCTTATTGTTTTCATGAGCAGGCGAAGTCGGTGTTTTCTATCACATCAACAAATCAGCAGTACTCCAAGAAGCCCGTGTGTTTAATGCCACACCAGTCAATGCAAGAAAATGCAGACTTCTCCTGACAAAAATCATCTACCTTCTCTACCTTGGAGAACCATTCGCTGCCAAGGAGGCCACTGACCTTTTTTTTAATGTCATTAAACTGTTTCAGTCCAAGGATGTAAGGTTTGCGGGAAAGAGATATATGCATACACACATAAACGCATACACACAGGCACAAATTTCTGTATATATGCCTGTTTATTTTTCTGTTTGTGTGTGTGTGTGTGTATATAGAGGATTAGGAATGAAATTCATCTTATAATTATGAATTTTTAGACATCATTGCGACAAATGATGTACTTGGTCATTAAGGAGCTATCTGGAATTGCTGAAGATGTAATCATGGTAACCCAGTCGCTTATCAAGGATATCCAGTCTAAGCAGGAAACCGTGTACAGGGCTAATGCTATTCGCGCTCTTTGCCTCATTACAGATGTAAGATTTCTATATATACATATACATATACATATACATATACATATATATATATTAGTTTGTACACATATGTGTGTCTGTGTGTGAATGTGAATTTCATCACTAGAAGAAATAGGGAAAAAAAAGCCAACAAATTTATGTGTATGTTTGTATGTGTGTATAGCCTTCTATGATCCAAGGTATCGAGCGTATTCTTAAGGCTGCTATTGTGGACAAAACATCCTCAGTGTCTTCAGCTGCCTTGGTATCATCCTATCACCTCTTCCACGTATCCAAGGATATTGTGAAGCGTTGGTCTAATGAAGTCCAGGAAGCTGTCCATGCTAAACAGGCGTCGGGATTTGCGTCGACTGCCTCAAGTTACATGTCCAGCTTCGGCGGGGCAGCCTCTAACGGATCTCCCCCCATTACTTCTAACAGTAGCATTACACAGTACCATGCTCTAGGTCTGTTATACCTTATCCGTCAACATGACCGTATGGCTGTTGCCAAACTTGTTCAGACTTTTGGAGGCTCTCGTAGTGGAGGTATTCTTGGTAGTGCAAGTACTCCATTGAAGAACCCTGCTGCAGTTTGTCTTTTAATCCGTTATGCCTGCAAGGTTATGGAAGAAGATCCTGGGTAAGTATATATATATATATATAAATGAAAGAGAGAGAGAGAGAGATAGTAAGAGACAAGGAATAGTATAATGCAATATCCACACAAATGTATGTGTGCGCATAAACTTATATATACATATACATGTCTGTGTCTGTGTATTATTTGGTATTAGAACTACACCTCGTATGTATGAGTTATTGGAAGGATATCTGAGACATAAAAATGAGATGGTCAATCTTGAAGCTGCACGCGCTATTTGCGAAATTCCTGATGCCTCGGCCAAGGAATTATTCCCTGCAATTTCTGGTGAGAATTTTGGATTAACTTGACAAATAACTTGTATAATATACTTTCAAACGCATGTAATTGATCATGCTATAATTATCTATCTATTTATTCATTCCATTTATTATTTTACTTTTTTTTCTATCTGTAGTTTTGCAGCTCTTCTTGTCTTCTCCCAAGCCTACCTTGAGATTTGCCTCGATTCGTATCCTTAATAAGCTCTCGCTCACCAAGCCCGCTGCTGTTGCCCCTTGCAACCTTGACATGGAGAGCCTGATCACAGATACCAATCGTAGTGTAGCTACCTTTGCCATCACCACTCTTCTCAAAACCGGGAACGAAGCATCTGTAGACCGTTTGATGAAGCAGATTACTGGATTTATGTCCGAGATTTCGGATGAATTCAAGGTTATCGTGGTAGACGCCATCAGATCTCTCTGCCTCAAATTCCCTACTAAGCAGGCTGTAATGATGTCTTTCTTGAGCGGTGTATTACGTGATGAGGGAGGATACGAGTTCAAAAAAGCTGTTGTGGAAGCCATGTTCGATATGGTCAAGTATATCCCAGAAAGCAAGGATACAGGTATTAATATACATGTCTGGCATTATCCTTTTCTAAAACTTAAACTAATTCATTCATTTGGCTTGTTTTTTTTTGGGTAGCCCTTTCTTACCTTTGCGAGTTTATTGAGGACTGTGAGTTTACCAAGTTATCTGTACGCATTCTGCATGTTTTGGGTGTTGAAGGTCCCAAGACCACCACACCCACGAAGTTCATTCGTTATATCTACAACCGTGTTATTCTCGAAAACTCGATTGTTCGTGCTGCTGCTGTCAGCTCATTGGCCAAATTTGGTGCAAATGTTGAGGATCCTTTGGTTAAGAAGAGCGTCCACATCTTATTGACAAGGTGAGTTTACACTATCTATACATAAATATGTGCATACTTTGTGTGTGTGTGTGCTTAGCTTGGTATTTTCTGCGAATTATCTTTATTCATAAATAACGTTTACGGTAATCTCAAGATGTTTGGATGACACCGATGATGAGGTTCGTGATCGTGCCACCCTCTATCTTGCCATTATGGCTAACGAGAGCAGTGCCAAGCGTCTCTTGAACGACAGTAAGTTGACATCTCCAAAAAAGAAAATAGATAGATAGTTTTTGGTCTTGATAATAAATACTTTTTTTTAATAATCTGTACTTGATAGACTCTACTTATGCACTTCCTACCTTGGAACGTCAATTGGTCGAGTACGTCAACAGTCCTCTTGGTAATGAGCAACAATTCAACTTGGATGGTGTTCAGGTTATCAGTAAGATCCAAGAAGATGAAGAAAGACGTCGTAAGTAAACAAATATATGTACTACCCAATACCCATATATATATATATATATCGATCTAATTAATTTATTATTATTGCTATTATTTTTGTTGTTGTTGTGATTTTTGTTAGGTATTCGCTCTCAGGAAACTTCTTCTACTCCTCTTATTGCCACATCAAATGCTTCTGCTCGTACCGGAACTCCTACTCCTGCTACAGGCTCCTCTCCTAATGTTTCCAGCTTTGATCAACAGGCTTTGTATGCCGAGAAATTGGCTACGATTCCCGAGTTTGCTAGCTTTGGACCTCTGTTCAAGAGCTCGAGCAAGCCTGTGGAGCTTACTGAGAGCGAAACTGAGTATGTTGTGCACTGTGTCAAGCACACCTTTGAGAATCACCTTGTATTCCAGTTCAACTGCACCAACACCTTGAACGACCAACTTTTGGAGAATGTCGGTATGATGATGCAGCCCGACATTGACGACTGTGGTTTGGTGAAGGTGGTAGAGATTCCTGCTCCTAAGCTTGAGTATAGCGTTCCCGGTGTGATCTATGTTGCATTTGAGAAGGAAGATCCTGCAGATTTCCCTGTTGGTAAGCCAATAATAATAATAATAATAATAATAATAATAATAATAATAATAATAATAATTAATGAGAGCTAATCTAATGCTTACAAAACACATGCGATCATTTATTTATTTATTTATTTATTTATCTATTTATTATGTAGTTACATTCACCAACACTATACAGTTTGTAGTTAAAGATTGCGATCCAACCACTGGCGAGCCTGATGCAGAGGGTTATGAAGATGAATACCAAGTTGAGGATATCGAGGTGCTGACAAGTGACTACATGCGCCCTCGTTACATCTCTAACTTTGAAGAAGAGTGGGAATTGCTTGGCGAGAATGAGGCTACAGAAACCTTTGGCTTGGATAAGGACAAGGCCCCTAGTCTGAAAGGTAATTGTTATTAATATTATTATTAAAGTAGTGACATGTACACGTACAAATAGATGTACAAATAAATGTACACACACACACATATATATATATATATATATAAACGAATGAATGAATGAATTCATGAACAGAAAATATAAATACTTACTTTATGATATTTACTTTGCTTTTTTTTTGTAGCTGCCTGTGTAGCTATTACCGATCTATTGGGAATGCAGGCTATGGATGATACTGCGCTTCCACAGAGTGCAAAGACACATGTATTGATTTTGGCAGGTACCTTCTTGGGTGGCGCAAAGGTGGTCGCAAGGTGTAGAATGACCTTTAATAGCACAACTGGTGTTGCATTCGAGCTCACTGTTAGAAGTCAAGATCCAGAAGTGGCACAGATTGTCCTGTCTGCCATTGCTTAGAAAGCTTTGAAAAAATAATAATAATAATAATAAGAAAAAAAAACGCCAGAGAGAGAATATAAACAAATATACAGATATCTTATGCCCGTATACTTATGTTGGCAGCACGTTTAGAATGAAAATTATAACATATTGCATTATTGTAATCAAGGTGAAATTGGGAGTGGATAGAAGCTAAAATCTGTAATCCTGATTTACCTGCTCAATAAATATTGACGGATATCTTTATTACAATATTTTTTTTATCATATATAAAAGCAAAGCACTACTACTACTACTACTACTACTACTACTACTACTACTACTACTAGAAAAATCACAATGGGGCACCACTCTATTATTCTTAATAGAGTATAATTTGTGTGTCTTTAATTGAAAGTGAGGAGATTCAAGCAAATGTTCTTCGAATCCAAAGTTTCATTAATAACTTTAATACCTCTGAGTACAATTGCACACACACACACAATATCCTAAGTTTGATCTTATTTGCTAGTTCTTTTCATTACTTGCTTGGTTTGACTGTAATTATTTTAATATGGAATTACAAAGAGAGTCCAGAAATGTATCTTTTGGTGTCGTTTTTTCTTTTCTTTCTTCTTCTTCTGATTATATATATATATAGATCTTCTATTGAGCATCATCACGCTTGGCAATGTAATCCACAGCTTCCTGCACAGTCTTGATAGCATCCGCGTCTTTATCGGGGATTTCTACAGAGAACTCCTCTTCAATTGCCATAACGACTTCAACAGTGTCCAGGCTATCGAGTCCAAGGTCTTTGATAAAGTGTGAAGACAGAGTAACCTAAATATTCATATATACATACAGATTCACCAAAAAATAAAAAGCAAAAAAAAGAAACGCGAATTATTAAATGTGCACGCTCCAAAAAAATTATAACTTAATCTGTAACTAGACGTATATACCTATGTACGTATTATTTTGGTTTTGGTTTTGGTTTTGGTTTTATCTTATCTTACCTTGGTGTCGTCCACCTTTTGGAATCCCTTGACAATGTCTAACACACGCGATTCAACATTGTCTCGTGATACAGAGTAGAAGCGAGTGGTGAGGACGGGAGTTGCTCTCAGAACAGTACGTAAGGCATGTTGCTGAGTGGTAGTGGCAGTAGCAACTCTAGAAGCAGCAGACAAGAGAACGTTAGGGCGGAAAAACATGATGATTATGGTGGTGGTGGTGGAAGAGTAAAGAACCGGCTATTGTCTATTTCTAAAGAGTTTTGGATTATTACACCTCCAAATCACGGAATTCGACGTCATGAATTTCATATTTCCATGTATGGAATTGATATTGGAGTTAGAACCAAGAAAGTTACAATACAATACAATAAAATCACACACAAGGAGAGAGAGCTAATTTGTTTTACGCAATCAACATTTATAAAAATCTACAGTTAAAGAATTGTACAATTAATTTCAAAACTCTTGAGTCTTTTTTTCTTTCTTTGTTTGAATTCATCACAGCTTCTTTATGATGTAATTTATTTAATACATAGAAGAAGAAGACGACGAGAAATGTATTTAAAGCCTATAGAGAAATATCCCCGTTTACAAGACCACTTTGTTATATTTCTCTCCCTTTTATCAAACTACCAACCAATTCATATATCCTTATTAATGAGCTACCTCAATTGTTATTGTCGTTGTAGTTTAATCCTACTGCACACACACAAACACACATGTATGTATATTATGATAATGGTAATGCTAATGATAATGAAAACCTTTCTTTTGTCTGACTGTTTGCTTGTTTGTGTGTTTGTAGACTCAACATGGATTTGAATAATGCCATTCCCCTTTGCTTTTGCTTTTTTTTTAATAGTGGTAGTTATCACGAGAGAAATTGGGATCTTGAATAAATGCAGCCAGCACCTTACTACCTGTTTGTAACAACGGATGTCCAGCCACGCTACATAACCCATAAATCAAATCACATTAGAACCAATAAAAGAAAACAATCGAAACAATGGTATTGTCTTTTGCCTCTCATTCCCCCTTTCCCCCTTTTTTTTTATGTATACTACACACACACAGGCACACATAAAGATAAGAAACTCACATTTGCAGGAATCTTTCAAGTCCTTCTCTACGTTGCTCAATAACCTCATCCGAAAACCTGTTGGTAAAGACCTTTCCTGGCAAGGGAGGGATATTGACACGGGTAGATTCACGTTCAAGTACATCTCTAAACCATTCAAAGTCACTGTAACGTCTGCGTGCTGAAGAATGTTTCAACTTGAATGCGGGGATGTTGGTCTAAATTATATATATGTATATATAGACTGTGGGCATTAGAAAGTCATTCCAACCTTTTCTTTTTCTTTTCAAAGTAGAAATTAAACTATCCCCCAAGAAATTGAGTTGGACTTACTCTGCAAAGAATCTCGTAGTCTGTGTACATCTTGCGTCCAAATCCTAATGAATAAATGTATATCAAAAAAAAAAAGGATAAGCATTAGAGTAAAGTGCAATGTATAATTTACAGTATATACATACACATACATACGCATATATGCATATATATATATTGTAAAAAAAATAGACAACATTTATAAAGAAACTGACCATGTGTTTGAGGATTCTTTACTTCAACCTCAAGAAAGTTTTCTGGGATTCCATAGCGCTCCTCAATGGTCTGTTCTCGATTGATAGGACCAGCCATTGTTTCAAATGCTTGGAACCGATGGTTGGTAGGACTTGTGGGACTAGCAGGGCTTGTGGGACTACTGGGATTGGCCATTCTTGATTATGTTTTAAGAGATTGAATTGAATTGAATTGAGTTGAATTGAGTATAATACAATAAAGTACTGTGTGAATATATATATATATATATATATAGGGATATATAATATATAGTAGATATGTGTTATATGTGTATGTATATAAAAGAGAGAAAAAGAGAAAATATAGAAACTCCACTAATCAAATGCTCTTTCTTTTCTTTTTAATTCCATTCTTTGGCTTATATGGTACGCCAAGGAAAAAAGAAAAAAAAAACTGGGCTTCGAAGCTAGGGCTAAGCTTTTAGTAAAGTTGTGTGACGTTGAAAGGTTGTGAAAGGATCCATGCGTTGGTTTTGTATTTTTATTGGGACACTTGCTGATAAGCAGGTTTGAAGTATTACTGAGTAATAAACTTTGGTTAACTTGGAACGACGTCTATTTCTTTAGAATTGATATATAAAAAAATAGATGTAAGAAAAAAAAAGAAGAATAAAGAAATGGAAAGATGAAAAAGCTAAAAAAAAAAAAAAGAGAGAAGAAGAGGAGGTTGGGAGGATTTGTAGAAGAAGTTGGTGAGAGTGAGGATAAAGGTGAAAAAGAAAAAAAAAAGGAAAAGTTAGGATTTAGTTGGCTTGGGCAACCTGAGGAGCGTGGAGACCAAGATATTCAAGGGGAGATCTGAGATCATCCTGAGCTCTTTGACGGGCTTGATCCTTGTAGCGGGTGAGCTGGGACTGGATGGTCTGGAGTACGGGAAGGACTTGGTCTTGGAGGCCTTGGGCGACGTGTTTGGCCTTCTCAAAGGAGGAAATATCAGAGCGCTTGAGTTCGAGACGGACGGTATCCAATTGCTGACTGGCGATGTCAACAAGCGATCCCATGCGGGCACGCACCCATTCGGGGGTCTCGTGGGACTGTGTCTTGACAAAGCCTACGACCTGAGTGAGCTGTAGCGAGACCTGCTGGGTGAGGGTCTGGATGCGCTCTGTGGTGGTGGACTGGAGGACGATGAGCTTGGCAGCGACGGCGGGGGGTAAGCGCTCGTGGGCAGCCTGGCTGTAGACCGTTACAGAGTGACGGACGGTCTGGTTGAGTAGCTGGATGTTTGCGGTTGTGGACTGGACGAGGGCAGATGTTTCGGCCAGACGGGCGAATTCATCGCGGGATCGGGGCAGTTGGGCGGTGGTAGACCGGACCTGTTCGGACACGTGCTGTGAAAGGCGGAGGGTTGCCTGGTTGAGCACATTGTAGGCCCGGACAGCCTGGTTGTCGTCCATTTCGAGAGCGCGTGTCTGGGAAGATGTTGCGGGGTCGGTGGGCAGATAGTGGTTGAGGGTGAATTCGACGGTGTCGACAACAGATGTTAAGCGCTGGTTGGCGATCTTTGCGGCTTGTTGGGCAGGTTGGGCGATGCTGACAAAGGTACTTGTGAGGGTGCTGTCGAGCTTGTCCTTGACGCCATCCATGGCACGCAGAGATGGGCCGGCGACAGCTTGGGCGATGTCTGCGGTGGGCTTGACGACTACAGGGAATTTTGTTTGGATGAGATCAAGGGAGCGGCAACCGAGCTGGTCAGCCCGCTCAAGATGGGGTTGGACGTAAGTTTCATAATAGGACTGAACGTAGCGAGGTTGACTGGAAGTGTACTTTGATACGGTATCCAGGGTGGATGTGGCTGTGGTGAGGGCGAATCTGCCGAGGAAGGTTTTGTTGGCAAGGGCCTGTACTGTAGACACGCTGTCGTGTACGATGGGGATGGCACCTACTCGTGTGACGAAACGAGTGCTGGGCTCTTGGGACTTTTCGACGACTTTCTTTTGTACGCAGACCTTCTCTGTGTGTTCAGTCTTTTCATAGACTGGCAAGGATGTTTCGATAATTTCGATCTGCTGTGGTTCCTCCTCAACACGCTCTTGGGTCTTTTCGGATTCGTTTTCAAATCCATTCGACTCGGTGTGCTTGATATGGCCAATGTTGGCTAAAAGATAGATATAAGATAATAAAAAAAAGAAGGGATGGGGATGAATACACACTTAATCTAATGTATTCATCTGTCTGCTAAATTTACCGTCTTCAGTAGAGTCGTTGTGTTGGTGCTGGTTCTTTGCCATGTTTTACGATTTTCTGTGTGTATATATTACTAGTATTATTATTTTTTATAGATTGGAAGAAGAAGAGAGAAGGAAGAGGTTACTGATATATGAGATGAAGTCGTGAGAGTATGACGACGATTAAAATAAAATATAAAAAAAGATTTTTTATAAGGCGTGACCCAGCCAAATGAGGCAGCTATCAACAATCCCACAAGGAGAAAAAAAAAGTTTTTTGTTTTTTGTTTTTTGTTTTTTTTTTTATTATTATTTAGGTATTTTGTATGAATATATACAATACAATACAGTGCAGTACAGTGCAGTACAGTACAGTAGAATACAGTACAGTACAAGTATATCATATGTAATGTGTGATATTATGTGATATAGAAATGCATCATAAAATATGCGCTTGTGGTTTAGTAACCAGTTTAATTTCATGACACGCGCATTATTATGATCTTTTGGTTGTAAAGGACATCATAATACAATATTGGTCTTGTAGACACGGTTGGTCTTTTTGGTATTGATCTTCAAGTTTCAATAGTAAACCTTTTGTCTTATCATGCGCTTACATGTGATAACTCTAGGCGTTTTCTGTTTGCATACTGATGCCTTTTTTTTATTTTATTCTTTTTTGCTTGTGTAAATCATTCAACTTCTTATGAATTTTTTTTTTCTTTTGAATGTCGTTATAGGCATTATTATCGCTGGTTCTCCTCTGCTCACTCTTGGTCTATCACAGGCCGTGAAGCGGGGACTAATCAGGACCACTGCAACGAGACCTGGCATTTGAAGTTCAGATTACTTATCAGCCATCGATACCCTAAGCAATGATTTTCACATGAAAGCTAAACTATCCTTTGTGGTCAATGCTCGGCGGCTATCCAACCCTATACTTTTTTTTTCTGCTCCATGTGAAGATGGCGGATTTTGAATAAGCAGTAAGAAAGAAAGAAATAAAGAAAAAATAAAATTTTTGGAATCAGTGTTGCCATTCTTTATTTTATTTTTTGTATTTAGTGTTTAGTGTTTCTACAATACCCTTTAGCTCACACTTCAACATCAAACAATGAATTCCTTTTTCTGTCTGTTTTTGGTTACCAGCCAACCCATGCACTTGACTTTAGAATTCGATTTTCATTGATCTTTAAGCCCGGCCTCAAGCAGTGGCACAATCGGTGAGATCTTCATCCGAGGTTTTGCGATTAAACGCCAGACTATTCTCGTCTTTCCTTTTTACTTACAAACCTACCATTTGTCTTTCTGGCGATCGCATTTCACCATATGACATTTTATTATTTATTACTTATTGTATTAGCAACTGTAACTTGATAGCCAGCACCAGCACCAACACCAAAATCACAATAGACAATAGACAATGGCTCACAAAGACTAAAACAATTAATAATTGCCAACATTGGATCTGTGGACAGAAAAGACAAAAAAAATAGATAGATAGATAGATAGATAGATAGATATTAGAGTTCTATATTGTTGCGTGTAAGGCTGCATAAAAGGACGTGCGTACTACTGGGTGGCACTCAATTCTCACCAGCACAAAGCATTCACACGAGACAAGTGCACGGATACAATAAATCAAAAAGTCAATACGTTTCTTCTGGGTATCCTAAAATGATATATACATATTTATAGTATGTAATATATCTAATATAAAAACTCCCCCTCAAAGAAGTATTCAGATATCAAGAAAAATAATAATGAAGGCAATAAGAGGAACAGATAAAGAAGTATATATATGTGTATATATATATATATATATATATATATAATAAGAATAATATTTTTCAGAGGGTGATATCAATAATGCTGTTTTGGTTGTTTTGGTTATCTTCATTAGAGTCCATTTGATTTGATTTGATTTTCTATTTGATTTTCTTTTTCTTTTTCTTATCCTAGTATCTTTTCTTGATCAAGATTCTGGAAAGCAGTTACAATTGTATGTGCTTCAATTGCCCTAATGTAAGACGATGAGTACTTGTTGATTTAATATCAAGAATCTCTCTTTTTCTCTCTCTTTCAATACCCATCTTTATCTTCATATTCATTTCAACCTCTGTCCATTTAAATAACATAATTTTCATTACTTACCGTCCCATCTTTCCCCATAGTGCAGCCACATGCTTTTCCTTTTCTGCATCAGCCTTGCGTTTGGTCAATTTGGCTAGTCTGGCTTGAGTCGGCACCAGCTTTGCCGTCAGCTCAAATGTCCAGAACCTAAAGATATACACCTTGACGACATCGAGAATCATAAAGTACACGAGCGAGATTCCAAGCACAGACAGGCCCCATCCATATCCACACGGCGCCACTCCCTCTGCCTCACCAAACACACCATACACAGAGAAAAACAAGGCAATGATCTGGGTACCGATAATACAGACAAAAAACAACCAATGTGGCATATTCTCCCACCAAAACCCAGGCACGCGTGTTGAGAATATCACAAAATGGGGCGCTATCTCATTTAGGTTAACATTCATGTACACTCTACTTACAATCTAAACCCTGAAACCTACCAGATGATATATGAAGGTACATAATAGAGTGAAGTTCATTAGGTGTGACATGGAATACGTCCCGAGCTACATAGAACGTAGCAAACGACAACCCAGCTAGCAACACAGCTAACACAATAGACAGGGTCATGAGCTGACCAATTCTCCATTTATCAGGCCGTTCAGAGATCTCCGTATTGTCCACAGCGATCACAAGTGTAGCAGCATCGTTCTAAAAGGAGTAATAAAAACAAATCATAATAATAATAAATATCATATAGTTTAGTCCCAGTCCCCAGTCCAAGTCCAAGTCCATTAGGATTCTTGACTATTATTATTTTTTGGCCAATTACAGAAACCCTTTGGACCTCACACCAATCTATAAAAAAAATAGAAGAATACTAACCAAAACACAAATCATAATCAACAGAACGGCCGGCATTCTCCAGCCTTCGACTAGGGTGATAATGAACATAAAGAGCAAGAAATGTATAGTGGATGTGATACGATAGAGCGCATAGGACCGCAGTCTCTGGAAGATTGCGCGGGAAGTAATGATACCATCCGTAATCGTAGACAATCCAGGTGCCAAGAGAACAATGTCGGCCGCTGACCGGGCTGCGTCTGTGCAGCCTTCAACTGCAATCCCAACATTGGCTTTCTTGAGTGCCGGGGCATCGTTTACGCCATCGCCTGTCATGCCTACCAACAGACCCTTGTTCTGCAACAGCTCGACCACGCGATACTTGTGTTCCGGAATGACCTGCGCAAAACCGTCTGCCCTTTGACAGTGTTCTGTAACTTCTTCTTCGGTCTTGCTGGGATCCACAAGATGGCCGGCATCCAGGATAACTCGGCCCATTCCTAGGCGAGCTGCAACTTCCCTGGCAATGATCTGTTGGTCGCCCGTGATCATCTTGACATCTACACCCAGCCGGTTGCAGGCCGCGATGGTCTCGGCTGAGTCTGGACGAGGAGGATCCAAGAGCGAAATCATTCCAACCAACTCAAAGTCAGACATCGTGGCTGATCCAGGCACGGTCCTGGCCACACCTAATGCGCGCAGACCCCGACGGGCAAGTGAATTTACAGCATGAACGGCAGCGTTGTCCCCTCCGACCAGTTTGGTAATAACCTGGGGTGCGCCCTTGGCAACACAGAATGTCTGCTGAGTCGTCAGGTCGAGAATGGTGGCCTGGGTCATCTTGGTGTCTGGATTGAAAGGCAGAAAGGCAGTGACTTTGTAGCCTGGAATGCCGCGTTTGTCGGATCGGTTCTGAAGAATGGGCAGATTTGCTTCGGCTGCACGGCGCACGGCTGACTCGATTGGATCGTTTGCACCCGTCTCGGCAGCCAGGAATGAGTACAAGAGGATATCGTCAGAGGTGTATCCATTGGTCAGCCAAGGATCATCAAACGTAAGTTCGTTCAAGGTCAGGGTTCCCGTCTTATCAGAACACAGCACGGACACGGACGCTAATTCTTCGACAGCTGTCAAACGCTTCACAATCACCTGCTTTGCAGCCAGCTGCTTGGCTCCAATTGCCATCGTGACACTCATAACTGTCGGCAATCCGACTGGAATGGCTGCCACAGTCAAGACCAAACAGTTCTCGAGCACCATTTTCCAGTTTCCCTGAGGCGTGCCGTTGTACTTGACCATCTGGAAAACAAACACAATCGAGACCAGAACAACGGTTGACCATATCAGGACGCTTCCGATCTTTCCAATCACTTTTTGAAAGTGACCTTCTTCGACTGTGATGGCAATGAGATTAGCGGCACGGCCGATAAATGTGTTGTTGCCGGTCTTTGTTACCACAGCCAGCTGCTGGCCTTGCTTTATGATACTTGACGAATAGACTGTGTTGCCCTTGACCTTGGCGACCGGAAGCGACTCGCCTGTCAGGCCCGACTGATCGATCATCAGCTCTCCTTCGTTCTTTTCACCATTGACGCCCATGCCGAGCAGACAGGCATCTGCAGGTACGATATCGCCAATCCGAAGCACTATGACGTCTCCAGGCACTAGTTCTGATACGTCCACCTCGCGCAACTCACTGTCGCGCCAACAACGTGTCTTGAGAGCCAAGGTGTGTCGCAGGGCATCCAGCGCCGACTCGGCCTTGGATTCTTCAATGTAGCCAATGACCGCATTGACAAGCAATAGGCCCAGAATGATTCCAAAGTCGATCCAGTCGCCCACAACAGCAGCAATGATACATGAGATTTCGATGAGATATGATATTGGGCCGGTAAAATAACCAAAGAATTTCAACAGTCGATTTGACTTGGGTTCCGGTAACTCGTTCCGGCCAAATTGCTCCTGGCGCTCGGCTACTTCACTTGACGACAGACCAGTGCTCGGATCCGTCAATATCAAGGCAGCAAGTTCGGGTGAGATGTCGTCCTCATGCTGCACATGGACCTGATGCTCGTATTGAACAGATCCAGACTTTTCAATTACTGACATTGATCAACAAACAACTTTTTTCTTTCTTTTTTCTTCTGTTAAGAAAAGAACAAGAGTAAGATATAGGTATAGGTATAGGTATAGATATAAAGATGTGAATGTGAATGTGAATGTGAATGACAATGCCAATGCCAATGCCAAATGTATATCAAGATTAAATTATTATCTTTTCTCTTTTTTTTAAAAAAAAAAAAAGGTTAAAGAAAGGTGTTAATGCTTTGGTTGTTAATGGTGTTTTTTGAATAGAAACCAAAATTAAAACAAAAATTAAAAATAAAAACAGAAGATAGAAAGGTTGAGAATGAAGATTATTCAAAAGTATGAGAAATGGTTGGAATGCTGATAACAAAGACGCAAAAGTCGCAGAAGAAGATAAAGATAAAGATGAAGGTTAAGGAGAGGGAGGGAAGAAGAGGAAGAAGAAGAAGAAGAAGAGATGACAAGACAAGATATATTGTATTTTATTATAGTGTATTATATTATATTAGATTAGAATAGAATAAATATCCTAGTGCAAAAGGCAACAGCAAAATAAGAGAGACAGCAAAAAACAAAGGACTGAAAGAAAAAGAAAAGGTTGAATTGATTGAATGTGGATATTGTTGTTTCGCCCAGCCTAGTAATTCATTGCTCTCTTTATCAGAGCAAATAAAAATCTAATAGAGACTTTTATATATAGATATAGATATAGATATAGATATAGATATAGATATAAATATAGTATTTTTCTTTTGTACCAAGAAGTATATATTCTTATCAATTAAAGATGCTTAATTTATTTTTGGATTGAACATTTTGAATAGCAATAAAAGCATATACTTTGAATAGAAACCCAAATGTATGTATCTACATACAATTCTTTAGAAAAGGGTATTCAAACCATGTGTAGACTTGGACGTGTTTGTGTCTAGACATAGCTGTAGCTGTAGCTATAGATTTACATTTATACATGTTTGTATGTTTGTGTGTATTGAGATCGTTGATGTTTTTAATTCATCGAGGAAAAATGTCCATGAATCAGAAAGTAGTTGGTCTAATAATTTCACAACAATTAAAGCAAAAGATGGAGTATCTATTGTGCTTGGTACGATGATTAGTATTAATATTTCATATATACAGAAATAATCCCGAAGATCGAGTTATGTACTATTGAAATCAAAATATGTATTTAAGCAAAAAAGAAAAAAAGAAAAAAAAAAAGAAACACACATCTTTAAGATGTGGTTATGATGCTGTTTAAGCAAAGAACAAACAACAACAAAAAACAAAAGAGCTTGTCCAAAAGGTTTCTCTTCTTTCAAGATCTCAGATCAGCCGTTCGATATTCTTGACATGAATAAATACAAGCATCTTCTGAAACAATTCTATTGTGTGTTTAGATTGAATAATAAAAAGGTGACCATTTGATAGAAACAATTACTTGATAACTGTCTTTTTCTTTTGGAAGATGTTTGTTCTGTCACTACTGGTTGTACGGATTCAGAATCAGTCCTTTTGAATTCATCCTTTCGGCGTTGTCTCAAGGGTCTGTCTTGTTGAAGGTTGTGGTTGGCTTTGGTAGATATCTTAAGAATACCTCATACAACAGCAGTGATTCCTGGAATGTCTTAATAATTTTATTTTATTTTATTTTTAGATCACAAAATTCTATATCTGTCAGTATCTTTGTTGTACAGTTCCGGGAAATAAAGTCGCACCAGGTAGGGGAAATGATATGTCGCACGCTTCCTTCCGAGAGGTGAAAATGTCGCAAGTTCTAAAAATAAACATAGCTACACTGACAAATCGGATGTGTCGCATTTCCAGCATGAGTTGTTGCACAACTATTGATATTTACGCAAACATCTATACATAAAAAATAGATAATTAAAAAAAAATGCGATAATATACCCCCCCCCCCCTTGTTTTCTATCCCTCTTCTTTTACATCAAGGCAAAACTAGCTCTAAAAGCTTGTATACTTGCATATATAAAATAAGCATTGCTTTCAAGGGGTGTGGCAGACAGGATCTCTGATGGATCAAACTATTGCCGAGGATGATAGTGTAATCTTTAAGTGCTTCTAGTGGTATTAATACTACAAAACCAAATATATATATATATATATTGGTTAGCTGGTAATTCACACTTTTACGGCACATAAACGGACCAATGGGTACAAGATAGAACATGACAAGTATAGTATCTTTGGGAAACGTCAGAAGACTGGTTTCCCTTATGTATTCTAAATGATGATGGGGGACAAATACACACACGCACACACCCAAAAGGATATTTTTAGATTATGTTGATGGGAATCCGTCATTCATCTTGAAACAGGTGATAAGGACGGCTTTGAGTTAAGCATATGTAGGACTCAAGGCGACTCAAAGCCACTTGTTTGTAATTATTCTATAAAATAAATACTCTCCGTCGTCTCTCAAGAAAGCTCAGTTTCATCCCGTAGAAATAATCAGATATACTATATATATATATATATATATATATATATATGTGTGTGTGTGTGTGTGTATGTGTGTGTGTGCTCAAGTCTTGTCTATATAAAAAAAAGAAGAAGAAACAAGCATAGTAGTCAAAGTACTTGTAATGCGAGAACAGGCAGGTTTTTACTATTTAACGCTTACAGACTTGATTCAATGTAGTTTGACATCTCTACTGTTACTAAGGCTAATTAAAAGAAGAGAGAGAGAGAGAGAGAGAGAGAAGTGATGATTTTGGGCGTATTTTGTTTTTGTTTTTAGAAATTTTGGTTGTAAAAGCTATTATATTAGTTTATTGTCTCCAAAGGAAATACAATGGAGAATATACACATATATAGGGTTCAAAAGAAGTGTTTCATATCCTGTTTTATTATTTTACAGTTTTTTATGATTAACATACATCTTATATTTCTCACATCTTGCAAAAACAACAACAACAACGAAAATTAACAAATGTACAAAATGTACAAATTAATAATTCTTGTGGCCATTATAAGGTGCTTCCAGATGTAACAAAAGCTAAAAAGAAAAACAATTGGCTTTGATCTTTATAGAAATACTGTTTCCATAGTTTTCAGCTAAGCCAAATATACCAAAACCAACAGTTGAATATTTCTTCTTCTTCTTCTTCTTCTTTAATATGTATATATATATATAAGAAAGAAGAATATAAAATGAACTGTACTACTGACAGTGGATCTTCTGGAAATTTACCGCGTCTTCCTATCCAGCGATAGACTATTATATAACTTTGAATAACCAGAAACTACTGGTAACAACAACAAAAACCTTGAATGACATGATAAATACAAGCTATTCCAACATAGGAAAGCGACTCAGCAAAAAAAAAAAAGATAGTCATTGTGTGCAAAGCTTTGATTTTTTTGTTCTTTTTTTTTCTTTGCACAACACAGACCTTCATTGTTGTTGTGTAACTTTGGTAAAGGCTATATGCTCACAAAAGAGCAAACCATCAAACGTTCCACTTAATATTAAAAAGAAAAAAGAAATTATATAATTGGGAGAAAGAGGAGGAGGAGGAGGGGATAAAGAATGAGAGGCTGTCATTTTGGTGCTGATTAATCATTATTCACAATTTCTAGAGATTCTTTACATAATATATCTATATATTTTCCCCCTCAGCCCTTTACTTTTTGGCATGACCTTTAAAGCTGCCAGAAATGGTTGTCATAACTTCCAGCAAGATAACGCTAGACCTCATAGGGCAAACGTTGTAGAAAGTTAAGAAACGCAAAGATACTTTTAGAAATTGCTGTTTGAATATAACACCAGACAATTGGTATCTACTCGAGTTCCCCAAAGAAAGAGCATATACTTTAAGCAAAGCCGATACTAAAATGGTTTATAATGCTCTTTTAGTCAAAATTATTGAACACATGAGAAATAATTGGGGTAGACAGACGATAAGAGTATAAAATCGAAATGGATAAATTAACCTTGTATTATTATTATTATTATTATATAAAAAGGTTGTGGGTGTGGGTGTGGGTGTGGGTGTTGATTTTGGCTTATATAAATATTTATATACTATAGAATAATATAAAAACTGACAAGAAAGTAAGAAAGTAAGAAAATAAGGAAATAAGAAAATTAAGAAATAAAATAAAATAAAATAAAATAATAAAACAGCAAAAAGAAATATAATAGAATAGAGTAGAATAGTATTAAGAGGGTGATGAAGGACGTGTAGATGATTTTGTCAAAGAGTGATGTGGTGCAGGGTCGGCCCAGTCGTTCTGAGTGGACTGTAATCCTTTCCATGTTTCGGCTGGCTTTTCTGGGACGTCTCCATGGAGTTCGTCCATAGGAACATCTGTCAGTCTTACGCCTGCTGCTGATGATGTTGGTGGTCCATCGTAGGGTTGTGGAGCCCGCATCATGGAAACAACTGCGGCCGCTGAGGAGGCCTCGGCCTCGCGGTATTGCCGCATCGCATTTGCTGGTAAGACTTCCATTTGTGTCAATGGTGCATCACTGTCATTAGAGCCTGCCGAACCTGTCTTGCTGTATCTCTTGGGCAGATTCTCGTTCGTCTCTCTAAAGATGTCGACCGTGCGTCGGTGTTCGAGGAAGCGAGGGATCGGCATGTTGCGTTCTGCCGCGAGTTTAATCCGACGGTCTTTTTCGTACTCGCTCCACTTCTTCATCGAGATCTTGGAGCTGTCAAAGGTTCCCTCGCCATCCGCATGGCCCTTGTCCTTTTCTCCACCCTCGACCTTACGGGTGTCACCCCAAGAAAAGTCATCAAAGTGCCAGTAGGCGTAACTGGGCAGCACAAAGTTCCAGATCGGAATACTGAACAGGTACACCAGCATCCATCCCACGTACACAATCTTGCGGCTGGTCATTACAATCAGAACCGCAGGCAAACCAAGCACCAGGGCCAGCAGGATGAGTGGAATGAGGGCCGGAGAGCCCATGATAGCCTGAATGATAAGATAGAGTGTGAATGAAATTGCAGCCGGCAGAGCAACAGTTCCGACAAGTTCCATGAAAATGACGAATTGCATAGAGAAGCAAAAGGTGCCACAGAGATCGTGGACAAACAATAGTTCCATTAGGTTGTGAATAGTAGAATTGATCCATCGACGGCGTTGAGACAGAAGAACCATAAATGTATCTGGTACGACAGTCTTGCAACTACAAATATTATTTAATTAATTAATTTTTGATTATTATTATTATTATTATTATTTTATAGAATATAGAATTCTAATAGAGTTAAAAATGTAATTTATACACATAATAAGCTAATTTTTTAATGTCTTGCAAGAGTACATATAGAATCAATAGAATCAGTAGAATAAGGAACTTACACTGCTTGAGGCACAAACATCATCTTTCGGTGGGGGAATGTACGTAGCATTAGGGTAGACAGGTAACGATCTTCACCGAGCAGCAACAGATTCTTCTTGTGAAGAGTGTCGACAATGTTTTCAGAGTAGTGTTCGACAATATCAGGATTGGCCAAGACAGGAACCCAGTATCCATTGGGGCCCTTTGGTGCCTTGATGCGGTACATACAGAAACAACCCGGCAGACAAGTAACACCACCAAAGATGGATTCGAATGCTTTACTCTGATGATGAGAGATGTAGTATTCAAACACTATCATATGAAATATCAATGAATATGCAAGTATTGTTTTTTTTTTTAAAAAAAAAAAAGAAAAGACATATAAAATTGAATCTATTATTATTTATTCCATATCTCTTTCTTGTTCATTACACAAGAATCTTTAGTATCTTTAGCATACCTTGAATCATCGATACCCAGCTGTCGGTTTTGTTAGCAATTTTTGTTTCGCCACAGAGTCCAGAAATCTCAGGATCCTTGACAGCACAAGAAATAAGGCGAGTGAGAGCATCGGGGTAGATCTTTGTGTCCGCATCAACCATGAGACAGATCTCGAAACTATCGGCAGGAACACCAGTGATTCGCCAGATGCTGTTGAAGAACTCGTACTCCATGGTCGTCATCCGCTCGTCGAACATGACCTTTTGAAGGAACTGCATCAGGACGATCTGCGAATCACGTTTGCCACGATTGCCAGGCTTGGATTCGCCGGCCTCAGCTGGAGTGCCACACTTGACGATTGTGATCATCGGCACTCGCTGTTGGTGGCCAACATCGACTGTGGCATCATCGTATTTGTAGTAGCCCGCATACACTTTAGCCATGTTGTTGCGCTTGGATCCGTCTGCAATGGCAACATAGTCTCGAGCCTCGACCTCGTCGGCTGGAACAAGCAGGTCACGCATCATGTCTACGCAGACGTCGGGGGTCGAGCGAGAGTTACCGTGGCCGGTGATCATACCGTCGCAAATCACCAGGATCAGCTTGTGGGTGGCCGGGTAGTCGCTGGTCGCGATCGAGTCGATGGTTGTGCGGATACCTTCTTCGCCTTCGGAGTAGCAAGTGATGAGACAGATGGTGTGTGCCAGGGGGAAGTTAAAAGGCATGTAGTCGGCCGATGGTTGAGGCGCGACAAATGGCGAAAGCGGGAATGGGCATGGTGCGCCACCATTGGTGGATGCGTTGCTGTAAAAGTCAGAGTAGATCGAGGACGGACGCATGGGGGACATAAAGCCAGACAGTCTAACACTGCTGGGAGCGTCACCGTAGAAGCGACCGGATGGATTGGGGGATCCGATGTATGACGAGCTTGGGCGGCTCTGGTAGCCAAATGAAGACGAGGCAGGTGCCTTCCAGCTTGGAGTTGGGCCCTTTTCGACTGCAAATCGAGTCGATCCGTGTTCAGGCTGGGTGAATCTCGAAGTCTGGGGGAAGAGAGTCTTGCGCTTGTTGTTTGGTGTTCCATAGACCGATGGTAGGGTGCGTGGCTTGCCGAGGGGAGCACTGGCATCGATATTGCGTGTCCAGTTTTCGATCTCCGTCTCGCGCTTCATCCTTGCAGCGTAGGAGTTTCCTTCGTTGAAATTGCCAAGCTTCCATGATAAAAACCAGCCAAAGATAACTGCCAAGATGAATTTAACGCCAATAACACTAAGAATGACGACAAGTGAGACATAAAGGACGATCTCAGATGCCATACAGCCGATGCTGATTGTGTTGAGGGAGCCGACTTTTATGGTAGCCTTGAGACACTCTGCTTCTTCCTGCCAGCGATTGCCGGGTTCACGGTAGGCGGTGATGTGGCGAGTCATGTCCTTGCCGCCGAACAGAGAGTTGTCTTGTAGGATTGCTTCGATTAGACCACCGGTAGGAAAGCTAAAGTAGTCTCTTGGTAGGGATTGGAGTAACATGAGGTTGAGTACATCATTGTTGTACACCATGAAATGACTTGTTGTGTTTACGTCTTCCCACTCGTAGTAGACTCGGGCGGGTTTTTCGTATGTTCCCTTGTTGTCCAGAACGCCCTGGGTGTAGAGTGTGTTGAGACTGGAGATTGCGGCGGAGGAGTGGCATTGGGTTGTGTTTGTGAAGGATGAGGGGTCTGGTGGGGAAGTGTTGTTTGGGTTGAAGAGTTGGCAGGGGAAATAGCCCGAAACTGGGGCAGTCTGGAGGGGAGTGAGAATGGTGGCGCATTGGGTCATCCGGTCAGGTTGTTGGAAGAGAAAGGAGGCATCCATACCTCCGCCGTTCAAGGCTGAGTAGAGTACGTTACTTGACGAATTGACGATGCCTGGGACGGCAGGATGTTCGTTCCAATCAGAGAGCATGTAGGCCCAGCCGTTGACGATCAAATAACCTGGACTGATCTGGCCACCTCTGACACTTGTTGGAGCCAAGGGACAGACTGCTTGAGTGAATCCAAAGGTAAGAAAGCCGACAAAGCCCATCACCAGGAGTGCGCATGACACCAAGCCTATCTTTTCTCGCCATGCCATCTGAGCAGGACCATCGGGAATGCCTATAGAATAAATTGTTATCATTAGTATACTAACATCATTAACGTCAAAGTTAAAATTGAAATTGAAATTGAAATTGAAATCAAAATCAAAATCAAAATTAAGAACAATAACAATAACAAAAAAAAAACATCGTGTGTTCTTAATAAATGAGCCACTAATGTTTCACTATTGTTATATATATAAAAAAGAAGAAGAAGAAGAACATGATTTTACCCATTAATCTCATCATTGGCTTTGGTACACAGCATGTTATTAAATGGCAATAGGTGACCCATGGGCCTGGTAGACCCGAGGTGCAACCCCGATTCTTTTGATTTTGCTGTTGGTTTTTTTCGTGTTCCTTTTGTTCTTCGGCTTCATCGTCGAGTACTCGTTCTTCTCTGCCGAGGATACTTCTTCCTCGACGGATCGGTGCCGCTGATCGTGACTGGGTGGGTCTGCGCTCCAGGATCTGGGGCTGATTTCCTGTTGTACTGGCCGATACTTTTTCTGAGCCGCGGTTTATGGTTGCCTGTCGATAGTGGTACTGACGATGGTTTTCATCGATCCGTTCTCTTTCTGGTCTGACGAGGGATTTGTTGCGTTTAGGTTTGTTGTTGTTTTCTGAATTGTTGTTGTTAAATGCGATGTTTTCGGGAAGAGGAGGCGAATCTTCAGACCCAAAAGATACGTCTCGATTGAGGGCCGGTTTGTAAGTTGAAGGACCTGAATCCATGGTCTGTCTTTTGTTGTTTTATATATCTCTTCTTCTTGTTCTTCTTTTTGTGTGTATCAAAGAATATGTGTATTGGTTGGTATAAATATATAAAAGAAAAATAAGAAATTATTTATACAAGACAAGGTATGAAGGTATGAAGGTATGAAGTAATGAAGGTATGAAAAAAAAAATGAAATGCAAAATTACAGATATAAATATAAACGAGAAAGAAAGAAAGCAAGCAAGAGGGGAAGGGCAAACCGGGACAAAATGTATGGCACTGTTACCTCAGTATATATAGAAATTAAGTATTATTATTTATATATAAATAAATATAAATAATTATATTTTAGATTTATTTAGTGGGCGGGCCGCCAACCTTTTATATAAAATATATATTTATATATATATATATAAAATAAACGGGTGAATAAGTAAGTTTTGCCTATTGGGCAATAGCGGGATTTGGTTGATCGATGGGTGGATTACACAAGACCAATGTACTCCTTTTTAGATCTGGTTTATCTTTTATATTTAAATATAATTATATATGTACATTACACATTACATATTACACACACACACTCTCTCTCTCTCTTTCAGGTCTAAAGAGAAGTAAGCTGCTGGTCATGGCGTCATCCACTACACATTCAATTTCTCTTATTTTATATATATAGAAGAAAAAATTTAGTAGTAGATACGAGATAAAGAGTAAATAACTCTATAGATTGTGCACTAAATATCGCACATTTTTTGAACAATTTGAACGATTTGAACAATTTGTCTGATATGTGCCACATCAGTGCCAAAGGTATATGTTTTTTTATTTATGTTCCTGGGATTCTTTTAACCTAAAACTTATAATTACCACCTTTTCACTTTTTCACTTTGTCTTATACTTTCTTTCACTCTCTATGATTTTATCCGGCCAATCAGATTACAGACCAGCTTTCTTTTTTTTTATTGAGATACAAATGTATAATTATATAAATCAAGCGAAACTTTCTTTTTTGTTGTTCTTACACTCACACAACAACAACAACAAAGAAATACACAAAACACAAACCATTATACTCACACAACCCGAGCATAGAGAAGAAGAAGAAGAAGAAGAAGAAGAAGAAGATATACACAAACCCGGCTCCATCTACCCGACGGTTCGGTTACTGAATTACGATTATGATTATTATTTTTATTACTATTTTTATACCTTTCCTTACCTGTCCCTAAACAAAGTGCTCAAAAATATATATATTTATAAAAAATGTCTTATCATCTGTTCATATAATGTATCTATATATCTAAATTTGTGATTTATCAATTTATTTTATTCGCTTACCTTAATATCTCAAGGTAAATTTTGCTGTATTGAAAATTATATCAGAATTACTAATAAGATATTCGACTGTCAATTCATTTGTTCCACAGAATGGGACAAGAATATATAGTAAAATTATAATAGACAAAAGTTGACATGCCGGGAACCTGTTCCCCGATCGGACAACTGGGCAGATATAGCAAACGCGTTCAAATTCTATTTCTATTATTATTTTTTTATTTTTGCATTTTAATTCAATTCAATTCAATTCAATTCAATTCAAGATAATACAATCAAGAACAATGCAACTGGACTAAACTGGACTGGACTGTACTTTACTGAACGGAACTGAGCCAAATTTGAAATATTTATATAGGTGTATGTTTTTCTAAAAGGAAAAGAAAAAGTTTAAATAATAATGGTGCATTTATTGATTCTTGATTATTTTCTCCAAGAATATTGTCTATACTTGTACACCACACGTGTCCTTATAAAAAGAGAATAATACAGCTTAGCAAAGATGCACACACATACATTAAACAATTGGCTCATCGGTTATTACAATATATTTTTTATTTTTTATTTTTTATTTAAATTTTCAATGCTAACTCTTTTGAGCGGAGAACCGTACAATTTCTTGTTTTCTTCTTCTTCTTCCCTCACTACCCCCACCCACCTTTTAAGAAAAACTAGCTGATTGAGTGTATAAACTGGTCAATATATGGAGTGGAGTAGAGTGAATAGAAAGTGTAAAGATATAAATAAATATAAACTATGATTTTAAGCCAGCACAATATTGGACCCTGACAGGTCAAAAGAAACAAACATGGGTTAACCTTTTTTTTTGTTAGAATTTGGAAACACCAACAAAAAATCAATTTATATATAACAGCACACCTTTGTATTGTTTATTCTTACAGGAGAGTACATCGACATGTATATAGATATATAAGAAGAAGATAAATTTATGTTTGCGGGTTGATTGTTGATGAGGGCGATGATAGGGGGAGAAAGAGGGAATAATTGTAATTGTAATTGTGAGTGTTAGTTTAGGTTTGGGTATCAAGATATATAGGGAAAAATAAAACGTTTCATTCGTTTGTTCGTTTATTCGTTTGGTTGTTTGGTCGTTCGCTTGGTCGTTCGTTTTGTTTTTTTTTGGACTTGTAACAAGTGTTGCGTGTGATCAATATGCCTTTGGTTTCTGAATACAGTCCATTGCGACTGCTAGTCCGGTGAGTATGTGGAGTGCGTTTATGAGGCTGGCGTGGTTAGGGTCATTAATTGGTGTGTGTCGAAGAAGATCTTTTATATGTATATATATATATATAAAGAAGAATAAAGCCAGTCCAACCAAAACACCAACCAAAACCAAAGTAAATAAATAAATAATCCTTTTATTATTATTTTGTTATATTTTATTTGATCTGATCTGATCTGATCTGGATCTAGATTTGGATCTGATAAGATATATATATATATATCTTTGTCTTTGTCTTTGTCTTTATCTTTACCTTTGCTTTTACCTTTACCTTTATCTATATACACATATATTTGTCTATCTATCTATCTACATACACTGTGTGCTTTGTCCTTTCTATTACTTTTTGGATTATTAATGCTATTACTATCATTACCTTTTAATAAGAGACAGTATCGAGGTACGCGTTGGAATGGTGAAATCAGATAATCAGCCATACCCATTCGATTACTTTCTTTGTGGGTCAATGTTTCCTATAATGGCAATAGCAGACAATTCAAATGCAGTAATAATATTAATAATATTAATAAATAAAAAAAAGTAAAAGCACGGACCTGTTCAATCTTGAGAACAAGCACATTGTTTGATGCCCGTCGAATTGCCTTTGCATGAACTCTGTAATGAACTGCATAGCGAACAAACACGCCAAGATCGTTCTCTAGCCGCTTGAACACTTGACCCAAACACACCGATTCAAACTCACGCCAGGCAGTCGGTGCATTGCTTTCATGATCAATGGCACCGATAATCTTGGAAGACACGGCCAGCATGTCGGGTAGGTGGCGGAACAGGACAGGAATGTCGGATTGTTTAACGAGTGGTGGACGGGCCACTGAAGCAGCCAGCATTGGGTCCATGTATTGCTAGTATTATTATTATTTTTATTTTTTTATGTATCATCTCTCCTTTCATCTCTTATCAGACTCCAAAAATATTCTTGCTCAAAATAAAAAAGACACAGACAGACAGACAGACAGACAGACAGAAAGAAAGGCTTACATGTCGTATCAGGGTCAGAAGCTGGAAATACGATTGTTCGGTCACATAGAGTTCGTGGACGATAAATCTTGCGACTGCTTCATCACGTCGAGTAATAGGACGATCAGGCTTTATGAATATATAATTGTTAAAAGTTAATAAGCATATATATATATGTATGTATGTATGTATTCTGTTTCTTAATCTCATTGCATATTACTTGTTCAAGGTAGTCTTGGGATAGCCTTGATGTGGTTACACTCCAGACCTGCATGCATTTTCGCTCTTTTCTAGACACATCCATTCCTTTTCCAAACACAGTCCGGGTGCGCATGGATGGCTGACATTTTTCTCCTGATACATCCATCGAAAGACTACTACTATTAGTTGGATACTTCGTTACAAAGAAGTTCACCAAGCGTGATTCTGAAGGCTGGATGAAGGCTTTTCTGTCATTTTCATTTTCATTTTCATTATTATTATTACTGTTATTATTATCTCTATCTATCTCTTTGTCTTTCTTTTTGTCTTCATCTTCAATAGGCCACACGCCTTGGGATTTCTCACTTTGACTGCTTGCACTACTATTAGTGCTCATCAGACTCTGGGGCTGGCTTTCGGGAGTAGAGCTACCCGACCGAGAGCTGAAATCCCATTGGCTGTGGCGCCTGGTATCCATTACCACATCTGCGGTTACACTTCCGCTGTCGGTCAATCCAAAGAAATCCGAGAGAGGCCGTCGTCGTGGTTGATGAGGTACACGTGAATATTGCTCTCGCTTCTGTTGTTCTTGCTGTTTTTGTTCCGAGTTAAATTGTAATTGTGATTCCTGTTCCTGTTCTTGTTCTTGTTCTTGTTCTTGTTGTGGCTGCGGCTGTGGTCTTGTTGTTGGTCTTGTTGGTTTTGATTTTAGGTTCGCATTTGATTTAAAATTTGAAGTTGAATTTGAATTTGAAAAGGTTTTTGATTTTGTTGGTTTTGTTGATTTTGATTTCATTTTTGATTTCAGTTTCGTTTCTTCCTCTTCGTTTATATGGATCTGTATCTGTGTCTTGGACTTGGTTTGCGTTTGAGGTTGATAATATGGTTGGGTCGGGACAACTGGTTGTGATAGCGGTCGAGGTTTGTTGCTCTGTAGCCTTGATAGTTTTGAGGGAGTAGTGCTTGTCGGTGTTGGTACCGGTGTGGGTACCGGTGTGGGCGGGGCAGATGTTCGAGACTTTCTGGAAAAGATCATCGCACCAGCCGACTGGATCTTGTTGAGTGACGGAGGAGTAGGCGTAAGGGGAGTAAAGCTGGAGGCAGGAGAGGCAGATAAGGCAGGCAAAGCAGGAGATGTAGGAAGTGATTGGGATGTTTCGGATTTCTTTCTGGTGGGTGGTGTTGATTTGGACGGAAGTGGCGAATTGACAATGCGACGTAAGAAAGACGATTGAAGCTTTGACCGCTTGAGATCCTTTTGAAGTGCGAAGATGGCATCATGTGGCATCAGAAGTAGTTAAGGATATCTAGATATTTATTTAAAGAAGTAGATAAGTGAAAAAGAAGAAGAAGAAGAAGTAAGAAGAAGAAGAAGTTTCGTAGTCTTGTCTAATCTAGTTTACTAAAATATAAAATACAGAAATATAAATTATATAAAATAAATAAATTATTCTATATTGTTTTTTTTTGAATATCCGAATCTCCTCTCACAACTCGAGTTTTCTTTCTTTTTTTTTATTTTTTTTTATTTTAAATATATTTTTATATATAAGGTTAACTTTAACACTTCTTTAGTTTTGTTGCTATGATACTAGTAAGACAATGTATCATTTTATCTCATCAAAGAACAATGAATAAAAGCAACGCATTTACATTCTGGCTGTATCTCCAAGTCAAATATTTTAAGCAACTGAATATATCTAAATGGTTGTACCATTCATGGTCACACACATGTAATATATACATATATAATATTTACACTTTCTCTCTCTCTCTCTTTTTTTTTTGGCTCCATCTAGCGCGCTCTTTGGTATTCCCTGGTTCAACACAAAAAAGTGCTGCGCAAGAAGAAGAAGAAGAAGAAGAAGAAGAAGAAGAAGAAGAAGAGAGATGTATATACATATATGTGTGTGTGTTCAAACATTTCCCCCTCATCCTATCTCCTTCTCTTCTATTTTCTTTCAGATTCACTCATTAAGGTCATAACTCCTTTGATCTCTTGTAGATCAATATAGATGATGAGTAAAATCACTAGATTTTCCTATATAGTTTAAATAATCAATATCTTAATTCATCTCTACCATTACCACAATATATAGTCATATATATATATGTACAATATTCATTCTTGTACCACAAACCTTCTTTTTTTACGCCCAAAACTTCCTCTTTAAAGGATCATTTATCTATATAGATATATGTTATATGTATGGATATTGTTGCTTGGAAACAATCATCTTATATTTTTCATTCATGACAAAAAATATATCAGACAATAAGATACTTAGAAAAGGAAAATAAATAAATAAATAAATTTTAAAGAAGTATTTAGATATAGATATATTAATCAATTGCTATGGCTGTCATTGACACTAATAACTAATAATACAAATATAATTAAATAGAAATAGACTAAAATTAAGAGTGTGTGTCCGAGAGAGAAAGAGTTATTTAGACTTGTTATTAGTTAATTCCAAAGAACATGCATAAAACCGAGAGGGACGCCATCAAAATAAATAAATAAATAAATTTTCATAATAATAGAAATATTTCTCCATAGATGAAATGTACGCCCTATATTTGGGTGACACTAGTACGCGGGACTCGTCCTACAAAGACCTTGGTACCTACGCAGTTAGATTAATAGCCACCGGGATAGCAAATATAGAGATAAAGACATATAAGACGTATACTAACATATATTCTAGATAACTGTTACTGCCTTTATCTAATGACTATTAGTATTCTTACTTTTTGGTTCATTTATTTGATACCAAAATATTTGTACCTTTTCATCAAATGGTAATATCAATATGTATACACATATCTGTACACAGACACTCATGTACACATGCTTAAAAAAGATATATATATATATATATATAAAGTCAAAGAGAGAGAGAGAGAGTGTGTGTGTGTGTGCGTGTGTGTGAGAGAGAGAAGTGCCCGCATTCAATTTTTTTTTATTATTATTTTTAGAATGTAAATCAGTTGCAGGATCAAGTCTAACTGGGCACATTAATGTGTATGTTTTATATCTTATATAGATATTGTACCAAACTGCCTACATGTATGCCAAGCCGTGCTAAGAAATAAAAGCAGACAGACCGACATACCGATAGGCAAATAGTCACCCAAGTAAAGAAGGATGAAAGGAAGGAGAAAAAGGATGTTCTCCGATAAGAAATCCCACAAAATTGTCATTAAATCTGTACATTAGCATAAAAATAACTATCAGAAGGCAAAGACATGTACGCATGCACAGTGTGAGAGAGAGAGAGAAAGACAGATAGTTAATTTGTAATATTTTTGTACATCTATATGTATATATAATATGGAATTACCTTTGACTCTTTGAATTTAGTATTAAATATCTATATATTGAATGAATAGTACTGACAATATGATTTGGTTAGATCCACTCGAAGATAGCTGTACATTTGGACTGAATTCCCCCTTTTTTTTCAAAAAATAATAATAACAACTTATACAAGCCCATACTATGTTATCTGATCTTTACCGACAAAAACCAATACTTGGAATTTGCATTTGACATTATACTAAGTTGTATTCTTGTCCAAACCTTCCCTCCCTCCTCCCCTTTAATCCTTAATTATTAATAGTCAAGTTAATACAAAGAGTTGTAAAATATCAAGAGTATCACACAAACGAATATCTACTATATATATATATATATTGACCTATTTGTATTTCAGTTTATTAAAATATGCTACAAGTAGGACAAAAATAAAGAATATTAGACTTTTTTCTTCTTTTTATATAGTTCTCTCATCATTCTTTTAGAACTTACCGTGTTTTCGATTGATGCTCGACTCTATTTATCAACCTTTAAACAGGCAGACATAAAAACAAACAAACGACTAAATAGAGAGTGTGAAATCTAGAATGAGCTACAGCAGATGCTTCTGAAACCAGTTTATTCTTTTTTGTACATATTTCTTTACCAATCATAAACATAGTCTACTACTGGTCTAATAACTATTAAGGAGAAACACTAAATAATACAGCGAAAGAGAGAAGAAGAAGAGAAGGAGAAGGAGGAGAAGGAGGAGAATCTTGTGTTCATTTTTGGGGTTTACAAAACACAAACAAAACCAAAAAAAAAAAAAATTACAAGCAGACAAAGATGGTGAAATATATAAAGTATATTAGTGAATTTTGACTTCCACATTCACACATTAGAACCTTTCTTTTTTTTTTTTTTTGGTAACTGACTTTCTGCCCTGTTTTTTCTTGCCTATACTTTTGTGTGACGGCTTTAGTCTTATCCAGGACATGTTCATCCAAGCACATACATATAATTGTCAGAGTCCTCTTTAGTTATGCTCGAGTCATTTCCCGGTCGTGTTGTTGTTGCTGTTGTAATCCTACTCATAACTTTCTTGGCGATTACAGCACGATGGATCGTACTTTGGCCAGCCTATCATGACACATGGATGCTTACCCCAATTTCGGTTGGGCTGATTTTTATCTATTACAACTATTATCTCGCTTGCACAACCCATCCTGGCAAGATACCTGAAGGATGGGTAATAGACATACATGCAATACATTCTTATGTCATTCTATCCAAACCAACAAACCAACAAACCAATACATGTATATATGTTTCGTCGTCTGTCAATTAGGAACCACCCAAATCTCTATTCCCAGATTCAGAAGAACCAAAGCCTCGTTACTGCAAGTCATGCTCAACCTATAAACCTCCCAGAGCTCACCATTGTCGTCAATGCAACTCATGTGTACTGAGAATGGACCATCATTGTCCATGGATCAATAATTGCGTTGGTCATGCCAATTACGGTCACTTTATTCGCTTTGTAATCTCGGTTGATTTGACATGTGGTTATGCATTTTTATTATTTCTTCAACAATTACATCCCATCACTGCTCCTCGACGTAGTATTATGGTAAGTAAAACAAAATAATAATAAAAAAATCAGAGGGGTTCAAGTATATGATTTGAAGTATTGTTCTTACTGTATACCACATCTAAAATCCCATCTGTTGTATATGTATGTATTAGGAGCCAGAAAAGAGTGTATTACGTCAAGTGATGTTTGGTATAGACTTGTTATTATTGATTATTGTACTCTTGAGTGTGGGACTGTTGAGTATCTTTCACATCAATTCTGTGATCAAAGGACAGACAACAATTGAATCCTCTGAACGTAGTAGAGTCAAGAAACTCGTAAAACGAAGAAGCATTGAACCAGTAAGTCAAGATTTTATAGTGGCATCATTAATAATACTAAACGAAAAAAAATGCTATTGATTGGTTTATAAATACATAAAATAGGTCGAGTTTCCATATTCACTAGGAATCTACAGTAATGTTAGTCAAGTACTCGGTAAGAACCCTTTATTGTGGTTCTGGCCACAGTCTATAACTACAGATGGTCTTTCTTTTCCGGTTGTTCAGGGCACAGGTAATTTGTAATTTTATATATATATATATATATGAGTAGGTGGACACAGAGAAATATACATACACACATACACACACACACACACGAATATATAATAATCATAGCCATGATACCTAGATCCAAAATTACCTTTTTATTGGCCTCCTCGAGATCCAAACGACCCAAAATTAAAGATATTTTCAGAGGATGCTGAAATGGGTGCCCAAAGTGGGGCACCGTCTCTGATCCGCAGAGATTCAGAAGGATACCTGGTGAGAGAAATCACAGCCATGGATCGATGGTCAATGTTGGAAAGTCAATTCGAAGACAGTGGTGGTAATGGTGATTTTGGTGGATTTGGGCTGGCCAACGCAGATCAGAGTGTGGAATATGCTCAAATAAACCAAGCTTACTATGCAGACCAAACATACGATGGTATCTATCAAGCTCAAGTGAATGAAGATTTCCGCGAAGATGATTACTGTGATGGAGAGTATGATGAGATGGAAGATTATGAAGACGAAGCAGCGATGAACAAGGAAATGCCTGATATGACTGATGTACCTGGTGTGGATGAACTAAATGATGAGTTTGGTTACGATTCTGGCGGATACAGTGATTACGAGGAGGACTACTAAACAAAAAAGTCCCTTTGTAAACCTATTCCTTTCTTCTTATGTTATTTTAACACTTGATATTTTACTCTTATTAAAATGAAAAGAGAGAAAAGGATGTATTTTAACGTTAAAAGAATGGTAAAAATGATATATATAAAACAATATGTGATATTCAGAAAAGAATATGTCTATCTACATGTATCTACGCTTCAACCAATGTCAAGTAATTATTTGGGGCACAACCTTGTTCTGACCATCCACTGGCTTCTTCCCAGCGACGACTCAACCACCAACCATCCTCGTTTTTATCAATAATTCCCAACAGATCTCCCTTTGTAAATGAAATCTCATCTTCATCCTTTGCAGCATAATCAAATCGAGCAATTGCTAAGAGTTTATATATATATATATATAGAGTTTAATGCGGGACACTCCAGGCAAATCGATTCAAACAAATCTTTCTCTAATATTCTACTCTCTTTCTCTAAGCTTACCGTAATCAACAAATGTCAGTTCAGTACCCGTATTAGATGGACTCATGGATTCTGATCGCCAAGATTCTAGATCATTTCTGCTCTGGCCTGTGCTTGGACTCTGCTGCCGATTTGGATTCACATTCATATCCAAATCTGCCAGTGTGTTTCTGCTTGTTCCAAGTGGATTACCCGACCCAACACTCGAGAGAGTGGGAGCAGTGGATTTTCTGGACACAGGATCAAATAAGTCATCACTTGCAGATGACTCCATCGAACTTGTGGATCTACCGCTTTCATTACGCTGAAGGTGATTAATTTTAGTTGCACTAATAGCACTAGCAGTACCACTAGCAGCAGTAGTAGTAGTAGTAGTATTTTTAGTCGGTCGTTGACGAGGTGGGTAGCGTGAGGATGTAATACTGGCTCCTTTGGCAGAACCAATACTGGAAACCTTCTTTTGTTTTTCGAGTTGTTGCAGCATGTCTTCGAGTTCGTCATTGACTCTCGAACTAGATGACCGGGGCGAGTCATCAAAGTTTGCATCAACAGAAGGCATATCCAAAATTGGATCGACGGACGGTTCGGCGGAAGAGGTCATGGGTAGCGGAGAGCTGGTTACAAGATGATTATCATGGCATTCGTCTTTGGAAGCTTGAGCTATTGTCCGTGCTATCTCTCGATCGTGAGAGCTGTAGCTGTCACTACCATTGTCATTTTCAATGTCACTCTCTTGATACTCGTCACTGTCTTGGTCCTCGTCACTCTCCTCCCAATCATATATTTTCATATGAGCCAACATGGCCCGTGGAGCTTCCTGTGGTGGCTGTGACAGTTTTGATGGCTGTGATGATCGTATATTTTGTTTTATTTCTGGAGTTTTGTTTTTAAGGACTGATTTAGAAGGTCTAGGGTCTGGATCTCGGCGTGGTGTATGTTCTGTGGTCTGTTCGAATCTTTGTCTGGTTACATCTTGCTGCGGATTAGTATCTGTATCTGTATCTGTATCGGTATCCGTACCAGTACCAGTACCAGTACCAATAGTATGATTAGTATGGGCAGTAGTACCATCAGTAGTGGCAGTAGCTGCTGAAAAGCTGATGTAATCTATCATATTTGGGATTGTGCTGGTTGATCTATGGTCTTTGACAAATTGATCGAGTTCCTTATCAACATTAATATCAAGAACATTCTGACGTGAAATATCAAATGACTAAAAAAAAATTACATGAATTAGTTAGGTTATTAAAATAATCAATGAAACAAACAAAATAACCAACTGATAATAATAGTAATAGTAATGCTTCTATGTATATTTTTGTGTATGTGTATGGTCTTACTTCTTTTGTCTCACAATTTTCTAACAATAGTGTGTAATACTGTGCAAGGTTTTCCCTAAAGAATTCTATCCGTTCTTCTTCAAGTTGCTCGAATATCTTTATATATATATTTGTTAAAGAAGAGAAACCCGAATTATTAGTTTTCAACTATTGATATGTCTCGTTTTTCTAGTGATTTACCTCACAGCCAAATCGCCACTCGGTATTCCAGTTATTCACAGCTGTTTCAAGATGGGTCATGGAATCTTCGTGATCTTTATCTAAGAACATATATAAAAGAGTATAATGAGTTATATGATCAATAATTATGTTTGATATCCGTGATCAGTAAGCTTTAAAATTAAAAGATAAATAAATAAATATATGTATGTATATTACATAGGTTGTTGATCACAGTGTTTGACCTCATGTAATGAGATTTTCGTTCTTTGGCTGTACATTTCTGCAGTTCTTTATTGGCTCTTAAGCATTCGGAATTGTATCTCTCGCGAGTCTTGAACACCAAGATATATATACAAAGAAGAAGAAGAAGTATCTGTGAGACAACCCTCTCGATAGTAACATATAAGAGAAACAAAAAAAAGATATATTTTTCCCTCTTATTTCTCTTCTTCTTTGTATTTAAACCAACCTTTAATACTGACTGGACCTAAGATAAAATAAACCCCTCAAACGAACATAGATTATTTGGTTAGGTATTGTTAATTAAGGTATATATATACATTTACTTACATGTAATTGTCGGGCACTGAGGGACTTTTGAATAGTTGAATCTGTCTACAAGTATATACATATAAAATTTAGTGCAATATTCTTCTTTGTGTGTGTGTGTGTGTGTGCTAATGTGTGAGAATTATGCACAAAGATTACCTGTGCTTTAATGCTCTTTTGTCCTTGGATTAGGTTCGACAGTGGAAGTACAAGATTGGATCTTATTGCTTCAGACAACTGCAATTTATTTTCTGCTGTGCTTTCTAATCCCTGCTGAACGGCATCTATTATATCTCTAACACCTCCAGTTTCCTCATCAGGTACTCTGATATCTTGTGCCATTTGCATCATTCTCTGTCCGTATTCTTGTTCGATGGAAGCTCTTTATTTATATTGGCATAAAATATCAAACGTTATTAATCTTTTGGCTGGGTAATTTTTTCTGTTTTTTTTTTTGGCTTACCTTGCTTCATATATATGCTTCAGTAACTCGCAAGAATGCTTTGCATCTCGCATTCGGTTAGTCAGGACAGTAGTTCCGTTAATTTGGTCATTTTCCTATTTGATTTCAATAACAATAACAATAACAATAATAATGACAATTGATTATTATTTGCTCGTTAATTAGTTAATTAGCTAATTATTAATATATAAATATCTATCTATTTTACTTGCCCAAAAGTTATCTGCGAAATACAGTTGTCCTGGCATAGTAATAAAAAGAAAATTGTAAATTTATAAAGAGAGATTTTAATATTAAAGAAGTACTGAAAAAAAAACAGAAATAATAATAACAAGAAGAAGAAGAACAAGAAGGAGATGGTGATGATGAGCCAGTTGAATAAATAACCAAGGTAAAACAATATATATATATATGGAGCCAGGTTCGTCAGCTGAAGAGTGATTTTTTGTGATTTCTTAAAGGGCAAACCAAAAGCAAATTTATCCAAATTTTACCATATTAAGATCCATGTCAACAATGATATGATTTTTTTTCTTACCCTTTTGATATATGCGTGTGTGTGCGTGTGTGTACTTGTGCGGGAGCTCAATATAGATATGTCAGGTACACATGGCCAAAGCAACCAGCACATATTTGAATCATATCAACACACATACACATGCGTATGTATAATATATATATATAAGATTGAATAATATCTGACAGCGCCATGAGGTTAGCAAAAATCAATAAAGCTTTATATGAGGAAGATCTAGTTTTACAACTCCCCTTGTGCAAATTGAGGTTTTATTGGATACATCAATAAAAATAAAATAAAATAAAATAAAATAAATATACAGTGTATATACTATTTTGGAAATAGTATTATGGGCACTACTTTGATTATTCTCACAGATACAAGAAAGAGACATTATTTTTTGAATGTACGAAAAATAAGGACTGATATTTCTGAGAGATAAATAAAGAAATAAATATTATAGGCAGGCAGGCAAAGAAAAAGAAGAAAGAATTCAAATATGAGTTGTACATGTTTCAATCGACAATCAATCCTTCTTTGCCTTCTTTCTTTCTTTCCTTTTTACTTTCACATTTGTACCCGTGTCTTACAATCATACGTTACACTATCCACAAGAGAATTAAATCAAATAGACAAGTGCCTAAAGTTATATACGCACAAAAAATATATATAAATGTTTCTTACAGAATAAATGTTTCCACAGCAACAGAAACATAAATTTACAAAAACTTGTATATCTAATTTTACTTGGCAGCAAATTAATCTTTTCAAACTAGTGTATGAATTTATATATATATATATATCACCTACTTAATATTGTAATGAGCTTGGATAACACTGCAAATATAGATTATAAGTAGCTTATGTCTAATACCGAGAATTCTCTTTTGATATTTTGTTGAAACTGCAGTTGATTGGATCTTAATTAGCCTCACAAAGTGCTTTAGTCTATCTCATTATTTTACTTTATAAAAAGTTAAATATATATATAAAGAGTGAGAATAGGTGAAGATATTATAGGATCATTGAATACTAGACTCGGTTACACACTGTGCGGATACAGCGGGTGCAAGCTTCCTTTGTAGTTTTCTTTTCTTTTTTTCTTCCTTTCCTTTTTTTTCTCCCTCTCTAATTCTCTCCATCTCTCAATCTCTCTATATTTTCCTCTCTCTCTCTCTCTCTCCCTCTCTCTCTCTCTCTCGTTACTTCTTTTTGAAAAATACCAAGTCCAAATCCAAATCCAAATCCAAATTCAAACAAAATTAATAAATGATGTCCAGAGCACAGTTTCTTCCTCATCAACTCGGCTTCCGTAGCCCACCACCCAGTAGCCCTACCTTACCACTTCCTGACACCCCAACCGCCTCATCAAGTTTCAATCTTATGCACCGTATGAAACGGTCGCTATCATCAACCGGAGCTCGTCCCAGTATTCCAGCACCTCTTGGATCATTTAGTAAAAAGTTAGTAAATAAATAAATAAATAAATAAATAGATAGATAGATATTGCAAGAGAAACCAGTCGATTCACAATGTTTCTTATAACATGTTTCCTTTACCCTCCTCTATATGTATTTTGCTTAATGTACCTTGGATTCTAAATGACTATATAAACGCATAAATCTATAATTTTATCTAATTATATTATATAATTGATATAATTGATATAATTGTATTTTAGATCTGATTCAGAATCAAAGGTTTCAATATCCTCAAGACCAAATACTCTGACCAGTCTATCACAGCATAACGAAAGTCGACACCGATTAGATACCGACAGCATAGGGAGTCTCCAAAGTCTCGGTACACCAAGTCTCGGAAATATGGTTCAGGGCACCGGCTCGTCAAGCTCAACCCAAGGCTCGGCTAGTAGCCTCCGACTCTCCAGTCCATCTTTTCCTAGACGAAATTCATTTGACACTACAAATGGTATATATATATATATATATATCTAGATACTTTTGCATTAAAGCTAATATTATACATAAATAAATATATAAAATGGATATATAAATATATAGAATAATATAATATAATATAGTATAATATAATATAGATATATATACATATTATAGTGATTTGTGCTAATATTGACTGTGTGTAACTTAGGTTCAATAAAGCAAAAATATAACCAGAGAGCAATACAATCAAGAGCTAGTATGTCACCACGGCCTGTGGGTGAACTTTATCCACCAACAGCCTTACCAAAGAATCCTTCTGAAAAACCCACCTTATTGTGTATCCCAACCGCGCCAGCACCCGCAATGTACTGGTCACGGCCAATTACCTATGGTACACCCCCTAAGCCGGTCCGTGGCCACGCAAGTGTAGTTGTAGACGGTATAATGTACGTCTTTGGCGGATCAGACAGCCGTGGATGTATGCAAAACGTTTACATGCTGGAATTAGGTACGTACTACTTACTATTTTTGATTTAAAAACATTTGGGCTTGTTATTACTATTATTAAGCATGATATTTGCTGGTTTTGTCACCTCACCTCACCTCATTTCACCTCATTTTATCTCCTTTTTCTCTTATCTTTACCCTTCCTTCCCCACAGATACCTTTACTTGGACAAAGCCAATCGTGCACGGAGACAGACCTCCTCCCTGCAGAGCCCATTTTGCTGCAGTTGATGAAGAAGAAAAGAAGATCTATATGTTTGGAGGTGGCGATGGACCAACCTATTACAATCACCTCTATGTATTTGATACATGTAAGCTATTCTAAGTTTGATTAATAAATAGATATTATTATTATATTCAATTCATTTTGTGTTGCACCATAATGTACTTTACTGTACTGTGCTGTGCTGGGATGTGCTGGGATGTGCTGGGATGTGCTGTACTATACTGTACTGTATTATATTATGTTGTGCTGTTGATTTCTTATTTCTTATTTCTTGTTTATTTTTATATATTAAGTATCCATGTTGTGGACACAGCCGGAAGTAAAAGGACCGATACCTTCACCACGCCGAGCGCACACGACAGTGATATGGAACAAGACATTTTATTTGTTTGGCGGAGGAGACAGTGATCGTGCTCTGAATGATGTTCATGCCCTAGACCTGAACACCTTCACCTGGGCTACAATAGAAACCACGGGTCCAAAACCCATCGCAAAAGGCTACCAAACCGGAACCCTGGTGGGGAACATACTTGTGGTCTATGGTGGTAGTGATGGGCATGCGTGTTACGGAGATATCCACCTCCTTAATCTAGGTAAGCTCTTTTTTGTTCTCTATTTTTACTATTCAACTGTTTACTTGTTTATTTGTTTGATTTGATTTATTTTTGTTTGATTGATCGTCTTATTTTTTTAAAATTTTTGATGTAGAAACCATGGAGTGGAACGATGTCAAAATGAGTCATAATCCCAAGAGACTGTCCCATGCAACAGTGTGTATAGGATCCTTTTTGTTTATCATGGCAGGACACGATGGGCATTATTATTCCAATGATCTTTTATTACTCAATCTAAGTAAGTAAGATTGTGTTTTTTTTTTGTATATAAGCTACACTTGTGTACTTATTGATAATCAAATAATTAACAATTTTTTTGTCTTTTGTCTTTCGTGGATTAGTTTCAATGCACTGGGAAGTTCGCAAGGTCTATGGACAGACACCTTCCCCACGTGGCTACCATACCATGGTGTTTTACGATAGCAGGCTATTCGTATTCGGGGGGTTCGATGGGAAAACGTTTTACAATGACTTACACGTGCTTGATCTAAGCTCCTGGGCTTATCTCCCACAGATCACAAATTTTTCAATTGACATGTCTGATTAAAGAAGTTTTTTTTTTTTTTGGAATACTTGACCAAAAAAAAAAAAACAAAAATGTGAAATATTGATAGGACATTTTACATTTCTATTTTTCTTTTTTCCCATGTCTTTCCTTTGTTTTACTATATGTAATCGCCGACTGTTCTATATTTGCTTTCCGCACACGTATTCACATATCCGACTATTCTTGATTTAAATATATATTTAAGTACAGTCGATATTCGATTTAGTAATAAAGTTGGGAGTAGCCAAATTATATTACTATTACTAAATCGAATGGATGTTTCTTACTCCGAATATGTTTAGTAATATTTACAAGACCGATATAAGTGACTGCTGGTAAAAAGGCTAAAAAAGTATTACTAAATTGAATGTTGACTGCAATTTAAGCCATATATCGCCGATGCAAATATAAGAGTGCCGACAAAAGCACTGGCTTGCAGTTAAAATAAGAGTTAGAAACAGCAAATAATTTTTGGGTTTTAGTTTTCATACTTCTTTACAGACAAAATAAGTAAAAAGAAAAAGTAGGCCATACAATCGATACAGCTTATATATATATATATATATATGTATATATATAAGAAAAGTTATATATACAAGCTACTTTACATCCGTATTAATTAAGCAAAGAAAATATTTTACTGTAATGGTTGCTATTTCAAATCGACTTGAGTTTTTGTTTTTTCATTCTGCTTTACTTTCTTATATTTTTGATATGTCCAGAATGTCAACTTGAAGGATGTAGAATTAGTGTGTGAAAATAAAAGGTTCGCTATCTACGTCTTTATCTCCCAATGTTAAAGAAGAAAGAGAGAAAGCGAAAGAAAAGGTTAGATTCTATTCTATAATATATATATATATATATTTTCAATTTATTTTTGTATACATATATAAAATAAAATAAAATAAAAATAAAGTGAATGGGTAATTGACCCTAAAGAGGTTCTGTCTTTGCAAGTCACGATGGTTGCTTTCTCCTTTTCTTATACACCCCTTTGAATTGAATACTTCAATTATTAGTTTTTTTCTTGCTTTATTTAATACAGTGCCAAAAAAACCCCCCCAAAAAAAACAAAAGCAAAAGTAAAATAAAATAACTAACAGGAGACATAAGAAATATTATATAAAGCACACAAGCAAAAAAGAAGAAGCAAGAAAAGGAATAGAGAGGTGTTTTATTTCGTTTTAGTTTTAGTTTTGGTCTTGTTTTTTATGCTTTCTCTTTGGTTTAAATATTAATAAGAATATAATACCAAGCTTATTTAGTTAGTTAGTTTTTTTTTATTTTTGTTTTTTTTTCTCTTTCCTTCTTTCAAACGATGTTCACCTTTGAAAGCTTTCGTCGTACTAGCAGTTCACCCTCTGTTCCGACAAACAATGACAAAAACAACAATACGTCTGATGATTCAAATCGACCAAGTTTTTTACAGCGTATAGCTAGTACAGAAAATGTCAATCGTAACCAGCAATCTACACCCGGACGATCAAATCTTGGAAATGGTTCCAAGAATTCAACTTCTTCGACATTCTCGTCCATCTTGTCATCTTCATCATCAATACCCGTACCAGTAAACTCATGGGCCATGCTCACATTGTCACGCCTTCAAGACACAGAAGGCGAATTTGATGACATTGTTGACTTGCTGTTATCCCAGAACAAAGTAAGAGACATTGAGAAGCAACATTAGCACACGTACATATACACACACACACATACATACATACATACATGGATACACATGTATAAATAATAATACTAATAATAATAATAATTGGTTACATGTATGTATAAATATATATATATATAAAAGTACCAACAATCTGTATTGTTACTACCTGTCTCCCGCCCTTCACATCCTTTTATCATCATCGATCGAGAGTTTATTCATGATCATGTCCTTGTCTATCAAAACAGTGACATGTCTCAAGCAAACTCTCTTAGCGGTATCAGAGGTACCTTTCAAAAGTAAGCTGCAGTACTATAGATGCTGAGTCTCTTCTTCATTTGACAATATACACACTTACGTACGCTTATATACTTAAATACATATATTGTACACTATAGAGATAAATTTGTTGCTTTGGGTATTGTTCCACCAGGACGTCAATTGATCAACGATGGATCTGATGGTTCAAAGTAAGTAACATTTACAAACAAGACCAAAAAATAAATAAAACCAAATTAAACTAAATTAAATTAAATTAAATTAAATGAAATATATGTACATGTACATTTATATGTATGTAGACAAGGATTGGACAATTTCCGCCTCGATACCTCTTCTATTTCCCCTGATCAGCCCACATACCCTATTCTTGCAAGCCATGTGCAGATACCTATCAAAGACAAACATATAAACGTCATGCTGATCCAAAAGCCGATATCAAAGACAGATGTCATTGAGTGGGACAGCCGAGAAATTAACCAAGTCGAGCCTATTCTTTCAAACGGCTTGGCGAATGCACTTGCGGATGCGTAAGAAGTCTTTCTATTTCGTTCATTTAATTGATTTTCTCTCTCTCTTTTCAACGGCAACGATAAAGATAACAATTGAAGCTAATAAAGGAAAAGAATAGATTTGTAAAAAGATACCGCAAAAATATGCCGCGTACATTGGACCAAGCAAGCAATACTATTCTTGATTTCTTGGAAGATGTGAGATCTAGTTTGCTGCAGTCAGGTGTCAATCCTGATGAAATTGAAGATCTTCTGGATGAAGTTGAGACATATTTATGCAATGCATTATATGAATGGTAAACATATCCTTAATATCCTTATCTGCTTGGTTTTCTTATGCTGAGCTACTTAGTTTGTTTCCTCCTCCAGGTGGAGATGAGTCTATGGCCGATGAAGCTTTGGAATCACGTATTGCTGCTCTCAACTTGCTTGATCTCAATTTGGAACATCTAGGTGTCCTGGTCAGCAATGAATCAGAAATCGAAAGCATTGATGCAGTTGTCAAAACAGCAGGTATCCAATTGCAAAAGTTGAATTCGATCCTGGGAGCAAAAGAGAAAATGGATGCTTTGGTCATGACACATCATATTATAGTCAGTAAGTACAATTCAAATAAAAAGACCTTCTTTTTCCTTCCTTCCTTCCTTTTTGTCTTACATATACATACACATGTTCCATTATGCTTACAATCAATAAAATACAATACAATATATACAATATATATGCATATATATATAAACATATATAAAGGTGCAATGGAGAGCTTTGCAGAAAAATACAAACAAACAAAACTTGATTCTATCGATTCTGGAACAAATAAGGAATTCCGACAGACCAATACCACTTCTTTGACACCAACACCAACTCTTACTCCTACTCTTACTCCTACTCCTTCTACTGCCCAACCTGATGAAGATGACACTTTAGTGGACGCAGACGACGATGACGATCCCAAAGAAGATCATAACGGTGATAGTGGTGATAAGGAAGAAAATGTACAAGAAACTACAAAATTAAAGGAGGATCAGCCAGTAATAGTGACTGTGCCACCAACGCCGTCACCTCAACCTCAACCGCAACCACCAAAAAAAGCGGAGGCAGCAGCAGTAGAAACAGGAACAGAAAACAAAGTCAAGGAGAACGAGGATGAGACAAAAGAAAAGCCAAATTCAGACAACCAAAACCTTCACTCCGCAAGTGCAGATGTTCTCCTTCCTTTGCTGATCTTTACAATCGTCAAATCAAATCCAACAAATTTCCTTTCTAACCTTAGGTTTATTCAACGTTATCGACGCCAATCCCATATAACAGGGCAGGCAAGCTATTGTCTCACCAATATGGTAATCTTGTCTACACATCTCTTATAACAGCAATAACAACAGCACCAATACCACCTTCCCTCCTCCTTCTCCTAACCAACTTTATTTAACAATTGATTTGCGTAACTTATTGATATTTGTAGATGGCAGCCGTGTCTTTTTTGGAGACAACGAATCTAGTTGGCCTGGGACTCTCTGCTGACCGCGTTTACAGGTAAAATAATAATACATTTAATTAATTAAATAAATAAATGAAAATAAGGAAATACTTTATATAGACATATTCTGGGGTAGAGGGTTAGAGGATGGTGTATGATAAAGTGGTCTGGGCCTTTGTTTACAGAATATATACATATAAGAAAAAGAAAAAAAAAAAGGGGGGGGGGAAAGAAGGAGGAAGAGGAAGATGAGGAGGGAAGGTTTTATTTTATTATTATTATTTGTATTATTGATGGCTGATGTTGTTAGTGCAGCTCCTAAGCAAGTATTTTATTGATTGATATTATTTAATGTTATTCTAGCCATGTTACTGATCTCAATGGCTCTGGAGACTCCTCCATATCTGCGGCTTCTCATGCGCGTTCAGCCGCATCAGCAGGTGGACTTAAAATTATGTCTGATGTGGTCGACAGCTCTTATCGAGTTTTGGATGGAATTGGACGCCTGTGGCAAAGAACCACAGACAGTGAAAGTGCAACTAATTCAAAACTACTCAAACCACCACTACTATCATCATCAGCAAAAATATCTTCTTCCTCTTATTCTTCTCCTTCAACATCATCATCAACAACAACAGCAGCATCGTCAGTATTAGCATCAGCATCAGCATCAGAATCAGCATCGGCGTTGGCGTTGGCGTTGGCGCCGGCTTCGGCATCAGCATCAGCATCAGCGTCAGCGTCGGTATCGGCATCGGCGCCGGCGCCGGCATCAGGGCCTGCAACGGGGTTTTCTGCAACATCCGGTAGGCCTGGAACCAACAAGTCTGGAATTTTGGGTACTTCTGCCAGCATGATGGAGGAAATGGTCGGCAGGGTGCGTCAGGTTAGCGATGGGTCCGAAAAGAAGCAGCCGCTGAGTGAACTCAAGGACATGGCACACGGGGCTCCAAATTCTAGAAAACAAAGCATGAGTAGCTCAAGTCATCAGACCAATAGTGCAGGTGGGGCAGGATGGGAGAATGCAGTGCCTAGTTTTATGGAAAGCCGGGTGGGTACATTTAAGGTAAGAGGAAGAGGAAGAGAAAGAGATACATTTATTCTGATCTTTTTTTTTGGAGTATAAATGATTGAATGATTGAGTGACTCATTGAATGACTGGTTTTGGTTTGCTTGGTCTTTCACATAGCCTACAACAAGATCAGAGGCTATTCAGGCCCTTCTGCAGGCACCGTCTCATTTTATCCAATCTGTCACCCCAAAGCCAACCTCGTCATCATCATCTAGTTCCAGATCGAAAGAAGGACCCCTAAAGAAGTTCCTCGAGGTTAAGTCTGTGGATGACCTTAAGATAGGTGAAGTAGCCGAACTCTTGGCTGATTATAAACGATTGGCTGCCATATTAAAGCAGGCAAATTATTCTTAAAATTCCATTTAGTATATTACATAAATTAAATTAAAATAAAATAAAATAAAATAAAATAAAATAATATGATTATGATTATGATGATTATAATGATGACAATATTAATATCAAAAAAATAATAAAATAAAAATCACATCTCACAAAATGTAACATGAAGTGCAGAATTTCAAAAAAATAAAATCCAGAATTTGATAATTTTATGTATTCTTGTCGTGTTTTATTATTATTTTTTTATTTTTTAAAAATAAACCACAAGACAAGACAAGAGAAAAGGGGATCGAGACCTTTTTTTTTTTTTTTTTTTTAAGATATTTCTTTATTTGGTATTTGTAACATTCAGCATTGTGGGAGTCGAGACTTTCTTTTTCTTTTATAATCTACATTTTGATGTTCATTTTTTGATGCTGCTGTCCTTGTTCATTATTAACATTTTTCATACTTGTTTTTTTTTTAAAAAAATAAAATAAAAGATTCTATTTACTATTCACCAACAAATTTCAGGAGCAAATTGAAGTATAGAATCAGAATTAGGATCAAAAAACATAAACATTGTAGAAAGAGAATGGGAATTTGTTATTCGTATTCTTCAAGAGAATAAAATTGTGAAATAACACGTATTCTCTTAAAAAATATAACGCCAAAAAGGGCAAAATAAAAGCTCTTTTTGTTATTATTTTTGGTATTAAAAATCATGCCAAAATGTACTGGATTCATAATCGTCTAAATTCAATATTTGAAAGTAAAGATATAAATAATTAGCAAATATACACATGGCTTAATTTTACCTCATAAAGGTTAAAATTTAATAATAAGACTTTGGTTTCATTTCTAGACATTTTACATATTTTTGTATATATGTCAGATGACATTAGACAAGAAAGAAGATAATATACACGTAATTATCCATAAAAGATACCGCTAGGGAATAACTAATGTCAAGTATATAACCTATCTATTTTATACAAGAACCCGCTAGTAGTTTCTGCTGCTACCACTCTAGGTTAGTAATTCAGATATTATTAAATCCAATGAAAATGACAAAGATTATGATTTCTATTCTACGTATCAGATCTCAAGCATTTAGTCTGACAAGGCTCTGGGAAATGTTACATACATACGCTTAGCAGAATTATCAGGCAACATTAACTTCTTTTATTATTAATAATAATTATTTTAAATAAATTATATACAAGTAACACTTCATCACATTCACTTCCAAGAAGCGCAGAAACCAAAATAAGCAAGGGAAAAGAAGTGAAAGACCACAATATTATCTAAAGCAGTCCAGCCATCTTTTAGATTTACTGATTTGAATCTTATCTATCATACATATATTTAAATACCAATAATGATATGTGTGAGACAAATAAAGCACACGCCCATTACAAACCAACTGTTCAGTATTTGATGATTTTTATCTATTTTTTTTTTGGTTAATAAAAACAGGTGCTTGTAGACAATTTTCTCTTTCTTTAAAAAACTTTTAAGCATAAATAAATATAATATATCTGTATAAAACAGCAAGGTAACACATGGATTAAGGTGTGGGACGGTACAGGTTGTGTAAGGGCATTTTTGATGGCATACAGGCCTTTTTGTCAATTGTTGGAGTGAGGCCAAAAGACAATACTTCTTTAAGACCATTAAGCAACATTGAATATATTTTACCTAATGTGGCCAAGGGTATTCTGAGGTGTGTCAAATATGCACAATCTGATAGATCAAAATAAAAAATAACAATTTAACAATAAAGTCCATATCCAGTGTCTTTAGTCTTTAATGCCTGGTGCCTGGTGTTTGATGTGTGAATATGTAATTGTGTAAATGGGCGGTTGAATGCAAGATATTGTTATATGTACATTGTTTTAACATATGCACGGCTATTTAGTGTTGGATCAGCGCAAGTTATCAAACCCAAATGATAACAGTTATCATTATCATTATCACCATAGCTATCATTACAACCATCATTATTTCTACTTTGCTGTAATACAAGATATGTATGATCTTTTTCGTATAAATAAAAATAAAATAAAATAGACCTGGACCTTGTAATCAAATAGAACAGATCTGCCATTAAAGTGATGGGCGGGGTACATTATACCCCTCCTCCCTCCCCTCGAGACAATTACAAAAAAACATCATCCAGATCGTTCAATGAGGTGACTTTTTGGATAGCGCAGTCTTATCTACACACTGCACACATCTTACTATATACATTAGACTATCAACACGTTTAAAAATCTCTCTTATTCTTTACTTGGTCCAGAATATAAACTATTATTAATAATGCTTTTTATTACTATTCTGTGTATTTCAATATCATTATTTGTCTTTGTCTCTAAAGAAAGTTTATCCAATGATCAAATGCCATGATAGGGACAAGTCAAAATTTGTAACAAATAATAACATTGAAGACACCCTCAATTGTTGTATTATATTGTAGATCGTCACAGTAATTTTCCTAAAAAAAAAAAATTAAAAAATTAAAAAATTAAAAAATTATAAAATTATAAAATTATAAAATAAAAATAAATAAATTCTGAGACTATATTATTCTTCTACAGGTCTTGTCCAATTTGGCAAGCTACTTTATATTTCTTTTTAGTTTTTGTTTGTTTTAATTCCTTCTTCTTTTTTATCTCTTTCTCTCATACACACTTTCTCTCTCTCTCTCTCTCTCTCTCTTAATTAATTAATTAATTAATTCACTAATTATATATATATATTTATACATACATATATACATACATATACATATACATATACATATACATATACATATAAATATATAAATATACTTGTTTATTCATTAATTCTAATACTAAAGCCTGTTGTGCAACTTCATTCATAATTCTTAATTAATGGAACTCTCATGCCCTTCGACATTCTCGAATCAAATGTTCTTCCAAGACCACGATCGAGACACAGCAATTGTCGCACCCATCATGAAGAAGCTTGTGGATGGCGTATTACAGAACGCAGTCGACGATGTACCAGACGGAAGCGATCCCGACGATGATTCACCATTCGAACGTACATTGTGTGCTGCATGGGACACATGTTCTGTATTAGACTATGCTCGGGTCATGGCCACAGCCCAATCTCATCGTTTATTACTCAAAGTAAGAAAACAACAACAACAAACAACAAAGACAGAAAAAAAAGTTTTTTTTTTTTTTTTTTTTTTTTTTTTTACATATACATATATATTTATATATATTTATGTGAGAATTTGTGCTTAAATTTAAATATGTCCATGTCTATGTATGTGCGTATATTTCATTAGATTGTCACTGTCACAAAGAGACCTCGTACACGGGAACTGGCAATGGGAGCTCTTGCTAACCTTGCCTGCCACTGGGACGCTGGAATAGGCCCAATGATGCTCGACGATATGGACGTCTTAAAGCTTTGTCGATCTGTTTTGTGGCATGAGAACGATGCACGCGTATTATTAGAGACGTCTCGGTAAATTTATAATTATATATATATATTCAATATTTGAAGAAGAATCTAATCCAAAAAAATTATGTAATTACTATTATTATTTTTAAAAAAAAAAACATACATACATACATCATTATTCAGGCTTCTCAACACCTTTCTGTCCTGCTCGATCGATACTAGCCACCAGACGATTGTAGAACACGATCACCTGACAGAGTTCCTCACACCTGTATCAATGGCACCATCTGTATTTCATCAGTATACTTCGATTATCTGTAACACTCTCTTTTCAGAGCTTTTGCTGACTAGTCTGGAACTCATGACTCGTATCGTAGTCTACACAAACGCAATCACTCACAGTCTAGCTCGGCGCAGACAAAGAATGCTCGAAGGCGAGGCAGAAGAGGAAGAACAAGAGGTCTTTTTTGACAAGGCAGACACACTTGCCTTGGTCAAATGGGGCGCAGAGCGTCTTGAGGAAGAAGGTCATGGAGTTGGAATCGGTATGGGCTTTAATCGGGGGATTGCTAAGAATGTCATGCATCTCCTGTGGGCTTTGATGGCTTACAATATGGTCAGCACAGCAGAGTGTGGTAAGGAAAACCAAAATAGAAAAATAAAGACAGGCAGATAGAGAGACAAAAAAAAAGTAGATATACAAACGCGCACAATTAGTTTATTTAGATATATATATATATGTAAGAAGATCCTAGCTTTATTAACATTAGACAATTAAACATTTCTTGTGTAGGCTCTGAAATGACCAATTGCTTGGGTCAATCGATGTCTCGCATAGTTTCATATATCCAGGAAGATGAGTATGAGAGTAGGAACGAAGACGAAGACATCCAAAGCTTAGCACACGCCCTCAATACAAAACTTTCGATGGCCAGCTGAACGATTGATCTTGTTTATCCTCAACTCTTTTGTACATAGTCCTATCTGTCTTTCTCCCCTTAACTATCTATTTCCCTTTTATCTCTTCTTACTTCTTTCTTTCTTTCTATTTTATTCTATCCTATCCTATCCTATCCTGTCCTGTCTTATTCTATTCTATTCTTCCTTTCATAAGTCAAAAGCATAGACATTGTATTTTGTGTTTGCTAGATAAGATCTGTTCCACAGATCAAACCCATCAAGAACATTTTATAAATAATAACAATATATATATATATATATATATATATATATTACTCTAAAGATTCGTTTTACAAAACAAAACAAAAAGAATGAAAGAAAAAGATTTTATATACAGACTTCATTTCACTGTTTCTCGATCTCTTTATCTCTCTACCTCTTTATCTTTATCTTTTGTTTTAGGGGGGTTTTACTGAGGAAGAGTACATTCTAGTGCAGTCGAATCTGGTCTACTGGTCAATTCATAGCCTCGTCTTTGCATATAATCTTGAAGTTGAGATCTGTTCAAGTGTACAACAGCTGCTCGTCTGGTGTCATTGACCATGGCACACACAAGACCCATGCCATGATTATCGTCATCGACTGTGAATTGCCGTGCTTGTCGGTTGTCACTCAAGAACTGTTCTAGTCGTTCATAACTCTCGGCAGGACTCATTCTGTGTTGAGTTGGGGCAGAGGTAAGTCCAGGCATGATAATAGTAAATATTTAATAATAATAGTAATAATAATGAAGAAAAAGAAGAAGAAGATAAATATGAGCAATTAAATAAATAAATAAATAAATAAATAGCCTTTGATATTATAAAGATTATATCACATGGCTGAATATGGAAAGGTTACAAATATTTGCATTAGACAGGTTGCATTGGGTGGATGTTACGTTACCAATTAAAAGAGGAAAATTACTTGTGGCATTTCGAATAGCTATATTTCATATACACATTATATCAACTATAATAATTCTTCCCTTTTTAAAGAGCATCTTTATCAGACCGTATATTTGAATACATCACGTAAGATAGAACCAAAGGAAAGACTATCAAAACAGTTTCCGATCATACTATAAAAGCACCAGCCTTTTTTGTTAATGTTGTTCTTTATCAAATATTGCTACCAAAAGCCAAACTCCATTTATTTATTTGATTTTAAAATAATCAATCAATAATTATCATCATCATATCATAATCCTTTCTTCTTCGTCCTTTTCTCTCACACACATACACACACTCTATCTCTCCACCCTCAGACTGTGTCGAATTGATCCATCGTCTTGGTCACCATGGTTAACATTTCCAGGAAAGAATTTACTGCCACACGCAGCATTTTAGTGGAGGTACACTCAAAGGATCTATTATTTATGAGCGAGTCAATTTTTCTGTGTTTAGCATACAGTTCATAAGGAGGAAGAGGAGAAGGATAGGAACCCTTACACTGTCAATGTATTTCCGGCAGTGTCAACCGTACGCTTGACCTGGTCTGTCTTGAGCTCTTTATCTACACTCAGTACACGCTTGGCTATAATGGCCAGACGTTCATTTGGAAACGGAATCTCTAACTTTCTATTATTATCATTATTTTTTTTTATTTTCGTTTTATTATAATTGTAATTGTTATATTATATTATATTATATTATAATGCGTTGTTTGATGAATTCATTTGAAATTTAGGCAGTAATGCAACATTATTGTCAATGCTTACAATGAATGGTCCATGGCGTATATATATATATATATTCAATTCTTTAGAATTATATATATATAAAAATCAAATTAACAGTACCTCCCAAATACTAATAAAAAAAAAAGAGAGAGAATGCTGATTTTTGAAAATGTAATCCAGTCACATATTATTATTTTTTGGCTTTTAGCTTTTAGCTTTTTGGTTGTCATTTCTTGAGTTTAGGCTTAATTTTTTTTTAAAAAAAAAATGTCCAGATTATGTTTAAATTTATGTAGCTTATATTGATTAATGATATATATATATATAAAATTAGACTTTTCAATGGCAACAGTTGCTTAGCAACACTCGCTCTCACTCACTCAGTCACTCATATAAATATACAAGTAATTTTTGTTTTGATTTTGTCTATTCATTTTCAATTTTGGCAGTTTTTTTTTTAAAAAAGAAAGAGCATTTTTCTGCTTCCACATAAAATTCATGGAAACAGCCATCATAGTATATTTAGTAGTTCTATTTTCTTTCTATATGTTCTAGGAGGAGTATCCAAGGCTTCTCCTATCCAATAAGTGGCCCCATTATTGTTACTGCAATCATCATTGTTTACTAAGCAAAAACTCACAACATCAAGAGTTGGACTCTTTTGTATCAATTAGGAGATTTAGTTATATAATATTAGCCTTACACTACGGGAGAAAAAGTGGGGATTATGGAGAATACTATAGAAATGACTTTGCCAAAACTACCATCGGAATCAGTACCTTCTTTCCTATAGTGTTTTTGACCTATCTTTTTTTTAGTGGCAAAGTACTTTTCAAAAGTCTTAAATCAAGCTTGAATCCTGAGCATCTCGTTACTTTAATTGGAGTCCATAACGCTGTAGTTTTTAGAACAAAAAATGAAGAAAGGTGTGGTATAACAGATAGGCTCAGTCCCAGATATATGTATTGTAATGTAGCAATTTGTTTTTGTTATAATGTGTTTTTCCTCCTTAAACAGCCCTTGTTTAAAGAAACAGATGTTTTGATGGTCAAATATAATGGGGTTTACTTTTTTTTTTGAAAAGAGAAAAAGTAGATTACTGAAAATGTTTGGCTCTATAGGACTTTTTACCCTTTGGCTTTCATACTTGGACGAAAGGGAAGTGCCTTTTCTTAATATCTTCTTCTTTTGTGATCTAAACTAAAATAGATTATTATTAAAAAAAACAGAGACGTAGACTACATTTTTCGATTGGCTCTAGGGCTGCATCTTCTTCCTCTTCCTCTCACTAAAGTTGACAAATGATATTAAACCCTCAATCTTTAAAGATCTTGCTCGACAACTTCGTTAATTTTGAATTCTAAAAGTTAGGCAAAGAATTAGGATAAGAAATAAGATCAGAGAATTTATATACAACGATTTTATACTTTTTTTTTGGAACTACCAAAAGGCATAATGTATTTTACATAAATGGTTTAACACGTTCCGAATAGACATATTCCACTCCAATATGCATCCAAAGAGTGGTCAATATACATACACATTTTATTAAAAATAAAATTTAAAGTTAGCTCTAATAAGTAGTTGGGCTGTCCATTGGAACCTATAAGAACTGGCTATCAACAGTCTTTTATTCTAAAGACCAACCTGCCAGCAAGTTCGATGGTTATATTTCTTCCCAAAACTTCTTCTGAAGCTGGAACTGCTCTTGAGAACTGGCCATTATGACCGATTAATGCTTGCCAGTTGATCAAAGCGTCTAACTCAATTGGAGTACTACCACAATGTACTATATAAATACCTATGTGGCCCAATTTTTATGGAATATGAACCTACTAATCATACTTCTCATTCAATCATATGAACCATGAGAAATATATCTTGCTTTTTAGGACAAGGTATAGGCGTAGGGTGTTCTGGTATAAAATGACTATTGCTGAGCATTAAGGGTACACAGTTACCAGCCCAATCCAAATATATCCTTCAATAGTGTATCATGAGTAGTCCTACCAAACAACACTTGTTTCAATTCACTCGGTCGTTCTTTGCTTAGCCCAACAAAAGTCTTATCTTCTTTCGCACTTCAATTAACGCTAGCTTTGGAAACTGCAAAATAGGAATAACAATCGAGTAAAAGTAGACCTTGAAATTTTGATAGTATGAAATTCACAATTGATAATAATTAATCGAATCATATAAAACAAAATGCGGTCTTTTCTTGTAATGTATTGAAACCATACGTCTATGCCTTTTTTTTACATAGCCAGCTTAAGACAGAAAATTGACCAATCAAATATTGATGAATTCAAAAAAAAATTAAAACTGACCAATTGAAAGGGAGAATCAGTGCGCAAGGCAAAGAAAAACGCACAATAAAATATATATATATATTCATTCTGAGAGTGGGAAAACAATATAATTGTAAGAATATGAGACTTGGTTGGCTCAAAACATCTTTCTTTCTTTTCTCTCTCTCTCTTTTAAAGATCACCTGGGAGGCTCAGACCCTTTAAGTTGCCTTAATATTCAATTCTTTTATTTATATATTTATATTTAACTCACATGATATTAGAGGCGCTTCTTCCTTTCAAATGAGCGATATATATATATATAAAGAACTCCAAATAAAAATAAAATAAAGCTCGAAATCAAAACCAAATATATATTATATATATATATATTGATCTTCACACACAAAAGAACGAAAGAACGAAAGAACGAAAGAGAGAGAGAGAGAGAGAAAGGAAGGAAGAATTAGTAAGTGAGTTAAAGTATGTTTAACCCCCCCAAAGAAGACAAAAAGGCATTCTCTCTTTTTTCCTTAACACCAAAAGCTATACCCCTTTTTCTTTAATTCATTTTTTTTTTAAAAAATAAAAAAAAATAAAAAAAAAATTAAAATAAAAAGGAAACCTCAATAGTCATTAAAAGCAATGGCCCTCGCTACATTTGGAATCATCACTCGCCGTTGGAAACCAACCTACTTATCAGTCGATAGCTATAACTCTTACCGTGGTTTATCAGATCATGTAAAATATCATTTATTCATTTATTGAAACAAGATATTCAATACTAATATTAATATTATCGTCTCGCTAATCTTAATCTTAATCTCTAAAAAAAAACATAGATACCAGAAAATCTATTTCTCGAGCGCATTACAGATCTAAACCTATTCATCGAAAAAAACTACCCTCATGTTTATCCGGATTCATATATGTTCCTTGTTGCAATCATCCTCATCATACTTGCAGCCGTATTCTCAATTGTGACTAGAGTTCTCGACATATCCCTCTGGTACCCTCTTCTTATTCTCATTGCTCCTGCCCTCATTGCATATTGGACTACAAGAAGACGAGGCTTCTATTATCTTCGATTGAACAAGGTATGAAGACTTTTATACATTATTATTAACAATAATATCATCTTATTCAAAGTTTCACAAATGAATTACAAAATTACATATTTGTGTGTGTTATGTGCTATGTGTGTTATGTGTGTTATGTGTGTGTGAATGTGTAATTATGTGTATGTATTGATACTTACATATTTTTAATTTTTTTTTTTTAAGTTTTACGATTCTTTATACACACACCTCAAAGAAATCAGCTCAAATGATGCACCTCATCACATCCGGTGGGGCTATCGAAGACTGAGAGACGACGACACCGCAGATACACTTCACCTAACACAAGATATCTCTCATTGGCGGATTGCATTTGTAATTGAAATTATCCAACTTGATCCTGAAATCGATCACTCTCACAACGGCCAAGAAGTGTTGCCAGCTTACAACGCAGCTTCTCAGGATGTCGTTCTTGACATTGGTCCAGATATCATAGTACGACCAACTGCCGAGCAACATAACGGAGACCAGGAGGAGGGGGCTGTTCAGGGGATCACAACCACAACCAACACCATCAGCAACAGATCCGCCACAAATGATAACAATACCCTGATGGCCGAGCCTCCTACATATCGCCAATCCATAGACTTGGGAACCCCTCCACCTTACCTCCGTCCACCCCAAGATTAAAAAAAAACTTATCATAATAACCATATTAACCATATTAATAATAATAACTGTATTTTTTTTCATTCATTCAGTGTATTTATTTTTCCTTTTTCCTTTTTCCTTAGTCTTTATTTGTTTTGTTTTGTTTTGCTTTGTTTTGCCCATTGACATTTACCCTTTCATTTAATTTACTTTGTTCATTTTTCAAATAACATTTTTAATAACTATATAATGTTATCAAATATACGTGCAAAAATATTCATATTAATATCTATTACCTGTTTTAATAGTCTACACACAATATGTATATATAGACTTCTTTAAACTTCTTTATAGGTTATTTTGATGTTTTGTTTTGTTTTATTTCTTTTATCTTTTCTTCTTATTTTTACAAAACGGAGGAGTGGGTGGCGGGGGAGGAAAAAAATATCATACATTTCTTTTTCAAGAGCGGTCCTCTCTTGGGTTTGCCTTTGTTCTAAGGGAATTTTCTAATGAGAACTCGACCGTCAATCTCTTTCCATCAAACACCTCGGGATTGTTGTTGAGGTATCTCAGAGCAGCAAGAGCATGGGCATGGGTAGTGTATTCCAAGAAACCATAACCCTTACTACGCTCCATCTTCGAGGCAGCGTCAATTCTGTCTTTGCTTCGAATAATCTTGGCCTGCTTGACGCGAGGCTTGTACTGCCATCCTTCTTCCTTCTCCTCTTTTGTCAAGTCAGACCGCAACTTGGCCTTGACCTCCTCCTTAAATTTGGGAATGCTCTGGAAGCCCAGCTTCTTGAGCTCTTGATCATCAATGTTCAAAGGAAGGTTACGGACTGACAGACGAGTTCGGGACATATAGAGAGATGGGTTGCTACTGATCTGCTTTCTGCGGTTAGAGAATGCCATCTGACGCTTCTGGAGTTCGGCAGGTGTGATTGTGGCAGCTGCAGGTGTATTGGGGAAAATGACACCCTCTCGCATGAGATACAAACTACGCTTATCTTCCTTTTTCTTAAGGTTCTGCTTATCCTCTTTGATCTTTGTAGCCTGGGTTCGGTCAACTGCCCGTGTGACATCCAGTACGCGGCCATGGAGAGTGAACTTCATACCCAAGCTTGATCCACCGTCAGGAGCCAAGATACTCTTGTGCAAAGTACCCTTCTTCTTCTTCTCTCTCTTGGACATCAACGAGTTGATGGCCGACTGATCATCAGTTTCCTCCTTTTGTGACATTTTCTTCATCTCCTCAGCATCTTCCAAGCACTTGTCGGCATCTTCCTTGTTAAACATACAGACAAATCCAGAACCTCTTGAAAGACCAGTTTCAGGGTCTCTAGTGATACGTGCATAACGAACTCTGCCCCATTGAGTGAAACTACAGCCCCCAGAAAAAATCAAAATAAAATAAAATAAAATAAAGGTGTGGTTAGTAAGATTTTGTGCTTTTAACGTATAATAATAATAACAGTAATAGGCGTGTAACTCACAGTTCTTTAAGGTCTGCCTCTGTGGTCTCGAACAACAAGTTACGGATAAAAAGTGTGGTTCCCTCAGTCGTCTGGGGAAGTGTACGTTCCTTTTTCGCAAACTTTTCCTTGACTTCTTCTTCTTCATCATCATCTTCCTTTTCTTCATCAGAGTCAGAGTCGGAATCAGAGTCGGAATCGGAATCAGATTCCGATCCTGAGTCTTCACTGACTTCCTTCATTTCAGTATCCTCCTCTTCAACAGCCTTTTCAGCTACAGGTACAACGGGAGCAGCCTTGGCGGCCTTGGCAGCTTCTCTATCTTCAATCTTCTTGAAGCGATCTTTGGACAAGGACCAATCAACAGCAATAGTTCTACCAGCATGTTCAGTGGCGTTCAATGCAGCCATAGCCTACATATATTTACATTTATATTTATATATAATTAGCAAAAACAAATAAATAAACAAACAAACAAGCAAGAATCAATTAAGAAAAGATTTCATTGAAAATCTCAATATTTAAGCTTTTTTTAAAATAAAATTACTTTTTCTTAAAAATGAAATAAAAAATAATAAAAAAAAACTTACAGCTTCGGCTTCAGCAATAGTAGCGTACTGGATGAAAGCAAACCCACGAAGAGGTCCATTCTCAAATTTACGGGGAAGCGTAACTTCCTTTACTACACCATGCTCGGAAAAGACTTTTTCGAGATCGGCCTCTTTGTACTTCCAGGGCAAGTTACGAACAATAAGACGAGATGCCTTTGTTACAGCCTCAGTTCCTGCGGCAGGACCTTTAGTAGTAGTTGTTGTTGTTGTGGTAGTCTTGGTAGTGGTGATTGATTTGTTAATTTTTTTAGAAGGTACGTCAATTTGTGTATCTGTCTCAATAACGGTTGCAGATTTGTCCTCCTGCTCCTCTGTCTCCTCTGTTTCTTCTGCCTTGGCCTTTTTAGCAAAAGGTTTTTGGTTATCGGATCTCTTTCTCTTTCTGTTCTCGCCATCTTCATTCGATCGTCCTCCGGATCCAGTAGCATCGGATTTACGTTTGGCAAGTTCCATGCGAAGTTTTTTTTGTCCTTTGAATTTAGCAGACTTGAGTTTTTCCAAGGCTAACTTGGCATCATCTGCAAGAGCGTAATGAACGTATCCAAATCCTCTGTTTTTGAAACCGGGTTCGCCTTCCTTCACATCGCCGTCTGACTTGTCTGCAATCACAAAGCATTTACGAGTAGGTCCAATGTCGCCAAAGAACTCTTCAAGGTCTTTGCTGGTTGCGCTGGGGGGAAGTCCACGAACAAAAAGTGTGGCGGTGGCGATCTGACTATCGCTGGATGCCTTTTTTGATCTAACTGGAGTTTCTTCTGTAGACATTATCAAAAAATGACGATCAATGATAGAGATTATAATTTTTTTTTAATTTTTAATTTTTAAAGCCATATGGTTGAAAGATCACTTAGTGACAGAGTGGCTTAGGACGGTCACATTCGCATAGAAGAACCTGGCCTTCAGTCCGAAGATTGAGAAAAAAGATAGAATCAGAAAGAGAAAGAAAGTTTAGTGCCAATTATTCAAGTTGTATAACTTACCCTTAAGCCCTGGGTGTCTTACTGTTATACAAGACTTAGCTTAATTGAATTGTTGAGGCTATTGTTTTTACATAAAATATAACTAATGTTGGTATGAGATAATGTAATCTGTAATAACATCAAGACAACTTTCCTGGCTGAAACTATCCGGGCATGTTGCTGTTGCTGGCTGCCATACATAAGAAGATATACCGAATATTGAGACTGGGCATGTAATCTTTATTCCATCGAGTATTACAATATTTGCATTTGAGAACTGAATGGATCTTCACAATGGAGTCGTAAAGTTGGTTAGATGTACTTCTTGTGTGGAATCTGGGACATATATGGCTTATAAGATACTAATCGATCATAAAGACACACTTTGCTGCATGTGTTTGGTTGCTTCTAGTCGATTTGATGTAATTTAACAAAGCCGCTCTTAATGTCTTTGTTGGCGGAGCTATACTCCTACAGAGTCCACCAAAATGACCAGTATCAAACACCATCACAGTATGTCTTTCGGCCTTGCCAGTATTGTCCTCAGGGATTGAAGGCTTCCATTTTTGATGGTTTGCTTGTTGTATCTCGGCACCTCAATCCTGGTATTTTCTGCTTCCTGTAAACAATCGCTTACACGTTTTATGTAGTACATTTTGCTTGTTCCTATAACTATGATATTTGAGTTTTCTCAAGCCGATCGAGTAATAGCCTTTGATTGCCTCAAAGTTCCGAAAGATATATCTTAAAGATTCATTAAATTAGTCCCAGTTACATATCCTTGTTGACGGAGTGTTAGAAATCAGGCGGCGTGCACTAGCATTAGCTCTATTCTGTTTGGCTATTTTCACGGTAACAGACTTGAATCCGAAAAGCTGGTAATATTCACCTGCGAAAGTTTTACGTATTCCACATCTTTGCCTATTTTAGCCAGCACAAGCTCCAACACCGCCACAAGAAAAAAAAACAGTGTGCACTCCAAAATCCAACCCCCATGTGGTTGCAGTTATCGAATCGATTTTGGCGGAAATATCAGCAGGTGCTAAAGAGGTTCCAGCAGCACGAGCAGGCCGTTCACAGACAAATTCCAATGGAATACCATCGGTACGAATAGCGCCAGTAAAGTTCTTGCCTGGCAGCGCTTTTCCATCAAAGTCATTTCATGAGTGAAAGCCAATACGACCCGTCAAAGACGTTCTAGTATAAGTCGTTAATATCTTTACAGACTGCTACCGATGGTCTTATTCTAGATTTTTTGATCATTCTGCTAATTCCTGCAAGATTTATTTGGATATATCGTTGCTGGAGACTGTATATTGGTAGTATATTGAAGAGGTGGGCGTTACTAGTGTCAGTATTTAAACCTCATATCTGAAAACGAAGATTTGTAGCTGAAGATCCATCTCCGGACTAAGGATCAAGTTCTCTTAAATATTGGTACGGACAGACAAAAGCTATATTATTTTTTGTAAATGCAATAATAAATAGATATCTGTATATAGATGTACACACACACACACATATATATATATATATATGGAGTTGGTAGAAAGATTAACAGTACAAAAAAAAACAGAGTGGGATAAAAGAATATATGAAAGAAAGAGGTAAGGGCGTTTTTTTTTGCGAAGCTATTATATATATATATATTCCTGAGATTGATAGGGTGCTTTATTGTTGTTCATACTCATAACGTACACCCATACTTTCTTTGGGTGTTAATCCAAGGCGACGCATTCTCTCGGCCTGAATACGCTCTCTGTTGACCTTGGAAAGCTCTTCAAGCTGATGCTGTGACATGGTTAGAGTTGGTTGTTTAGAAGCGACTAAACGTGCAGCTTGTCTCTGTTGTTGTCTACAAAGAAATGTTTATATATATATATATACATGAGTTTGTCAAAGCTTATTCTTTGCGAAGATCAAGATCGATATTTACCTAAGTTGTTCTTCATCATCCTTAAAGTCATATACACCTTTTGTGGTCGGTGGTGCTTCTCCCATTCTAAGAGCACGCTGACGAGCTTCCCATTTAGAAAGATCATAAAACCTATAAAATACATACATATAAAAGTTAGCTTCAATGTACATTATAGTCAATAATTATCTGTGCATACTTTTCATGAGTCATGGTGGCTGTGTTGTAGTCTACAAGAAGAAGGATTGAATTCAGACTAATTAAAACAAATTTTAAATATACATATATATATAGAGAAATATTTACCTTCCATAAAGTCAATAAAAAGTTCCTTTCGTTTAATATTATTCACAGATTCTACATCGACATGCTTCACTTCAATAAGCCAAGCTTGGAATTCCTAATGATATTAATAATAAATTCATAATATTATTATCGTTATCATTCTCATCCGTAAGTATCTAAAGTTGATAAGATCTTCAAAAGACTATGCTGTCTATCACTTCTTGGAAATACTTGCTGCTTCTTTTGTAAAAATACTTTTAGAAAATAAAAGTAACATAAAAAGATATATAAGTAAATCTTGTATTAAATTTTCCCCATATATCCTTGTTCTTTGTGTAGAGAGGTAGAATAGCCATAAATCCAAAAAAGATGTATAGTTACTTACTCTGCTTCATATATAACACCAAATTTCCCCCATTGATCTCCCACACTTCCAAGCTTTGATTTTTTTGTCTTTTTTGATTTCTACAAAAAAAAATAAAAAAAAAATAAGATATTAAATATATAGACACATAATCCAACAATTGGGAATTGCCTATTAATACTCCAATTATCACTATCACTATCACAATCATTTTTACCTTTGACTTTTTGTGCTTCTTTTCTTTCTTGTGCTTCTTGTGACTCCTTCGTCGGTCTTCATCCTCTGATGATGAACTTTCGGTTTCAGGTGAGGGTGAACGTCGGTGTTTTCTAGTATACAACATTGACGTTTTAATAAATCCCATAGGATTGGCAGAAATAAAGAGAGAGAAAACCAAAAGAAATCGACATATATGAACGCATACTATGTTATCCTTTTTTTTAAAAAAATATTTGAGGTTTGTTGACGTTTTCTAACCTATCCGAATGAGAAGATCGATGGCGACTTTTATCATCCACAGAACGATCGCTTGCTCTCTTGCCATGCCTGTCATCAGGAGAGCGAGCCGAGCGATGGGATCGACGCGGAGAGGCTGATCGATCGGAGGGTCTGTGCGATCGTCGCCGAGGAGAAGGTGAACGATTGTTAGAGCTGCGTCGTCGAGGAGATGTTGACCGACGGGATCGATGAGATATTGGCGAACGTGACCGTCTAGAGGACGAGTATTCGCGGCGCTGAGAATCTCCCATTACTTGTATACTACTATATTTTATTTTATATCAAAGAAAGAAAAGAATGAAAGAAAGAAAGAAAGAAGGAGAAAGAGTAGTTCGACGTCGCTATTATTAGAAAAAGTCACGCCGCTAAAATGATACTCCGGATATTCTTTACGCGACTTAATACTATCAAGGATAAGGAACAACATAATAAATAAATGTAAAGAAAAAAATGTAATGGATAACTTCAATGCTTAGAAGCAATATTAATTTAAGTGATATTCTATACTTGAAATATCTGAATATATATATTACCACATTCTATACATATTTTATCGAAGAAAATAAAAATTAACAAATACACAAATTTTCATGGGCTTATAGATGTCCATTTGTACTACAGCATAAATAATTTAATATTTCAGTGAAATTGCAGTAAAGCCAATTGTATGTAGGTATGTATGTATATGTATATGTATATGTGTATTTTATTTTATTTTATTACATTATTTTTTGTGTTTGATTGTAAGCGAAAAACCGAAAGCCATATGGTCAAAGAAAACTAGCCGATTGGACAAACTCAGTTTACCAGAAAGCCAGTCCCTTCTTCTTTAGTCTTTCTCTTCCCCTCATTCCTCTTTCTCCTTTCCTCGAATTATACCTGCTTTTTTTTTGGTTGGACTTCTTCTCCGATGCTGGACTCTTCTAACCGTCCCTTTGTTCATACAGCATAAAAAACAATAAATACATAAACAGTACAATGGGTAGTTTCGCTGTTCCCTCCAGTGCATCAAGTGCATCAAAGATTAAAAGAAAGCGACACCTGTCCGAGACATCATTTGAGCCCAACGGGCAGCCAACTTCACGCGATGCTTCAGGTAAAGCATAAAAAAGATGATTAAAGAACAAGAAAAAACCGAACATCAAGACGAAAAGAAAGAAAGAAAGAAAAAAGTGGATTGTCTTTTTTAGTTTGACCGTATTCTTAGACGAAGACAATACAGATTCATCTGTACCGGGTAACAATTCAGATACAGTAATGGTCAACTCTAGTCCAGCTTCCAAACGTCCACGACAAAGAGGTCTAACAAGTGAAGAAGACGAGTCAATGTCAGTGTCAGTGTCAATGCCAGTTGCCGAGTTACCTGCAGGACTTGAAGAACAATATGGCTTCAAAATCAACCCAGCAAGTAGTGAATCTGATTTATCTCATGTCTTTTCTCTCTTTCTCCATCTTTTATTTAAGTTAGTGTGGATTGAAAAAATAATAATATTAAACGTGTGTTTAATGTAGCCACCGCTTGATCGCCCAGTAAGAATCTACTGTGACGGTATCTACGACCTCTTTCACTTTGGACACGCAAAGGCTCTCGAACAAGCCAAGAAAGCTTTTCCAGATGTGTACCTTTTGGTAGGCGGTAAGTTTCTTTTCTCTTTAAAAAAAGACAAAAAAAAAACCTGAAACATTACAGGTGCATTTCGGTGATTTTAATGTACACATATACATACATGTATGTATATGTATATATATAACAGTATGCAGCGATAAGGAAACACACAAGCGTAAGGGAAAGACTGTCATGACCGACAATGAACGTTATGAGGCAGTACGCCACTGTAAATGGGTAGATGAAGTTGTCACAGATGCGCCTTGGATCGTTGATCAAGACTTTTTGGACTGCCACAAAATTGATTATGTAGCTCATGATGCTGAGCCTTATCAGAGCCGAGAATCTGGTGATGTGTATGCATTTGTAAAAGATCAGGGTCGTTTCTTGCCTACAGAACGTACCGAAGGAATCTCTACTTCTGATCTTATTACCCGTATTGTTCGTGATTATGATGCTTACCTGAGAAGAAATCTTGAAAGAGGTGTCAGTGCAAAAGAACTTAATATATCCTTCCTCAAGGTAAAACATAATCAATATATACAAGTATACACGTATACATATATACATATTCAAAATTAGTCCGTAACAAATTTTATCTGTTGATTTTGTTATATCTATATTTAGGAACGTAAAATCAAAACGAAAAAGTCTATTGAGGATTTCAGGGATCATATAAAGGCAACACTTCATGATACAATGACTTTGTGGGAAGACAAAAGTCATGATTTTATTCGCGGGTTTGGTAGTCTATTCGGAGCTGAAGATGTAGTGGTAGGTGGAAAGAAAGGATACAGAGATGTAATACACACATATATCAATTATTAGTTGTTCTAAACGATTTCAAATGGGATTTAGGATAAGTTTTGGAAACTTCGTAACAAGCGGGGTAGAATTACTATGGATAGTGCTAGTACAAGTAGAACCAACAGTAGAGCACAATCCGAGGATCGTGATATGGCAGGATTGGAAGCATCAGAGGATACCGACATGGAGGTGCCCAAGAAGAACAAAGAGTGTGTATAAAAACAATAAAAAAACAAACAAACCAAAGAGAAAGAGAGAGGTATATCACAGCAGAGAGATCACTAAGTTCAATTCATACTTGTTTTGAATTTACTCATAAAAGTAAAACAAAAAAAGAAAACATACGCGTTACAGACACAAACACACAAAGTAGTTGGGTTAGTTTTCTGTTAACACATTGCATATGTACATACACACACACATAGATATATATATATTGATTAGGCTTGGAAGGCGAAGAGAAATATGCTTGTGACTTACGGCATTACTTGCTAATATAAGCTTACAGGTATTTATAAATAAGATGTAAATCATGATTTTATATTATACCACAAAACATTAGAACTATATTTATTTATTTTTACTTTATTTCTACTATTTATGATATCCTTGAACCAGTGGTGAAATTATATATGTTAAATAAGTGTATATCTTGTTTTTTTTTAAAGAAAAAACACTTGAAATATATTTCAAGGTCAACATCAGAATCCCTAAGTGCCACTAATAGTTTTAAGAAGATTGTATCTGGTTATATAGACACTTCATTGTTTAATTTAAGATCTTAGCTAGTTAATGCCCAGTCGGTCCTGAGCCAGCACAATTCCATCGATGATTCCCTCCTATGCTGATGAACAGCATTAGAGAAACCATTGTAATGAAAAGAATATAAATTTACATATTCGAAAAGTTTACACAAACTACTTTGAATTCTCTGAGCAGCTATAGTATCTGTTTTGGAGCCTCTATATTACATTTGTCATACTATTGAGAAAGAAAAAGTTTGAGCTGAACAGTATATAAAACCTGGCTATTAGCTATCAAACATTTTCGTACCCCTAATAAAAATGTAGTAAAAAGATACAATAGACTATTTTAACAGAATTCGTTTTCAAAACAATATATATACACCCTAGTAATTACGATGAGTCAAACTATATCTAACTGGTTAGGTATAGGGACATGAAAATAAATCAACTGAATTATAAAATAGAAATATCATTTTTAACGAAGTGTAAAGTAGTGGGAGATGTTGGATCTTTGATATATGGTGCGATATGAACTTTGTTCCGCCCGAAAGGGTGGAGAGATATACACACGAGTTAGAGGGAATATTGGGGATAAAGCGGGGCGAAATTGCCACAGCAAGGTGCAAGATACTTGTACTAAAGGGTTTTCTTCTAACGATTCAGACAACTAATAACAACCGGAGCGACCTATGCCCTCTGCAACAATTATAAACTTAACAGAAAAGAGATTTTTTTATTCAATTGGTGTGTGTAATGCTATTATTGGAGTATGACGCTATTGTAGTACTATGTTCTGATATAGTCGTGGGAGACTCCTGGGCCCGGCTCTCTAGCCCAGGTCGAACTGAATGACTGGCCGACCTGGACAACATCACAGAAGTAAAAAGGAATCCTTTAATGTGTGGGTTTAAGTTTCTTCTGTTACAGCCTTTACTTTTTCTTAATCTCTCTCCCTTTTTACACTCTATTTATAATTTATTGTTTATGTTTTATACTCAGAAAGGAGGCAGCTGCTAACCACTACACCCACTACCTCAATGTGTGTGGAGCTGTTTTTAGTATTCAAAATAATATACTGTATCACAAAGACCAAAAAACAAATAAATTATAACCGCAGTTTGAATTGACCCAAATTTATATATTTTGTATTTTACATAATTCAACCAAATGTTTAATTATCTTGCGTTCTAGTAATTCGTTTTTGCTGAAAACAAGTGCATTAAAGAGCTAGAGACAATAAAAAACGAGTGGAATAAGAGGCGCTGCGGGCTTTTAAATAAATCGAATTTTCGGAGTATGAATTAGCTTGAAAATTGAAATCCGCTACTTACTCCTGCAGTGGGAAAGTGATGTTTTCAGTCTCCATTTGAGTAGTATTAAAAGACAGGACACATACAATTAGGGTGTTTTAAATTTAGATATTTTCATCGGCGAACGTAAGAAGTAAGTCAGCTTCTTAAAAGGATTCTGAAACTAGTGAAGTATCTGTAAAAAATATCTAAATCAAAAAGCTTCAATACATTTCTTTTAGACTTTTAGAAGTTGATTATTTTTTACATGACTTTACGTAGGGAAGTTAAGTAATATATTTTCATATTAGATGTTATTAGCTAATTAATAGAGTATGGATAGAAAATAAAAACCTTGAATTCTTCAAGATCTTTAAACTTGAAACACTCTATTTTATCAGACACGGATTTAATATGAAATGTCAAATTGGACAATATGTTCCCTAGTTAAGAATTTTAAAGATAGACTAAAAAAATATATCCTTATTATAAGAGCTGTATCTTGTCAGATTTAATAAAATATACATATTTATTTGATTTATATGAGATTTTCAAATATATCTAACTGAAATAGAACAAAACTAAGAATCTTATCAACTGAGAATTTAATAATTTTATTTGATGTTGGAATATCAAGTTTTATTGAAAAATAAGAAAAAAAAAACACTATTATACAAAAAACACTTAACAATATATTGAGAACAAGTATACATTCTAAATATCAGTTAAATATTAGATATTATCAATAGTAATAATAATAAAAATAAAATCCAAAGAAAAACAAAAAAATATATAATTAAATATTAAAAACAATTTATCCTTCACTTGTTTATTGAATTTTTTTAAACATCTGCTTTGATTTGATTAAATCAAATCCGCTTTTATATAAATTTATTTTATTTATAGACATGGAGTCTTTGTTCCCTTTAATTCTCTTCAATATTTGTTTATTCTTATTGTGTTTAAAGAAGACATTGCAATTGCGATTTATATCAGTTTACTATTATGATACCTCTGACTTAAACAATCGATATATATATATATATTGAAGATTATTCTGAAATATATGCCTTTCTTTGATTGTATTCTATATGTTCGATTACTTGTAAGAGTATCTCTAACAATTAGATGATTTTATCTTTTCTTAAAATCAAACATCACAACTCTAGATAAAAAAAATCACTTCACCCATCAGTTCAATTTAGTTTTTTTTTAACATAAATTATGGGAGCATTTGCATTAATAAATTTTAAATCCTTGTCAAAGTTGGCACGAAGATAAAAAAAAGACTATATTTTTTCCATAAAATAAAATAATTCAGACTTGTGAATATAACGCTTTACTAAACTTTTATATTTCAGATAGAAGCTGATATAAATTTGACTGTTTGAGATATGCGAAGATATCAAATTTTAAAATTAAATATATAGAGCAAATAAAAATAAAATGTTGATAATTAATATAAACGAAGAAGAATAATTAAAGAAAGCTTGTACTAGTTTAAAAGTCTTGATTAATACAATAAAAAGAGAACCTGGTTTGGTCGGGTAAAATTCAATATATATATATATATATATTATAGTCATTATATATGTATCCGATTAGTTCCTGTGCTTACTTTAAATATAGTTCAGATGATAAAAAGATTGTGAGGTTACACGTAGATAGCAAATAGCAAAAACATATTTTATAAAAACATATAAATATAATAATATAGTTTGTACTTAAACTATAAACTCTGAGCCACTTTACTATACTCAGACAATTTCTTATAATAAACCGTGTGTTTCACAATTGAATATATGTACATCACAGATATATATTATTTTCGGGAATGTTTTCCGTAATATCTGAGTTAGTACTGGCTTGAACCTGCTAAGAGTCCAAATTGAGAATTAAAATAGAGGTCGCAAATCAAATAAACACAGTGTACACATAAATGTTACATAAACATTTGTTTTGTGTATATTACACTTTTCCTACAAATGGTCTGATGTTTGTGTTTAAAAAAACACAAAACCTTGTATGAAGTATCCGCACTTTATTAAACGAGTGAATCCAAGTCAAATTATGTAGTAGCATATATCAAATGTTGCTTGTTGAAATTTTTAAATATGCGTAAGAGCGTCATTAGGATCGAAGAAGGTGTCGGAATTATGGTGGTATGAATACTATATGACTTGGAGAGTTGAAGGTCAGCTCTGAGAATGGTGGCATATAACACTTCAGGTATAGAGAAATATTGTATATGACTTCCGAGTGTTGAGGTTTTATTATATGGCCATTATTTCGATTTTTATTTTTCAGTGATTATAAAATAAAAGAATAATATTGTTGGTGGTGGCGATTCTGGTAGTTTTGTAAAGTTGATGGCGGGATGGTGGGATGGCGGGATGGAGGGAATGTAGGAAGAGGATTGACGCCATCGTTAAATATAATTTTTATTTTATTTTGGTTACGGCGCAGTGAAGGCCACTTTAATATACCGTCCTCTCTGGGCGATTGTAAGTGATCACAAGACGGTCTTTCAACCTATGTATGGGTAACAGTATCCCTGTCAATGGACCCTGCTATGTTCCTTTAGCTTAGGGATACACAAAGCTGTCTGCGCAACCAATTGGTAATACCAATTTACAAAAAAGTGCATTCTGTCCGAATTATTGAGTAGAATCCTTAGGTTGTAAAAAGACACAAAAAGAAATAGACAATATGTATATTTTGTATCAGTGCAGCAATTGTATTGGTAGACAATTGGGCGAGTGTGCGAGTGTGCGTATGTGCGTGTGTTGGATAAAAGAAAAGAAAAATATATGATAGTAAGCCCAAAATATGATAGC